TCACTAACAGCATCAATGCATAGTAAAATATGCTGAACCCTCTGAAGAAGGCTCGCACAAGGACCATTGACCTGCGCTACAAGTGGATAACTGAACAAGTGAAACGTGGCCTCATTAAGGTGGAACACATCAACAGCATCGACATGCCGGCTGACGGTCCTACAAAGCCGTTACCGAAGGATAAGCATGGCACATTCGTCAAGATGATGGGGCTTACGGTCAGGAAGGTTCCTTGGGCGTGAGGAACAAAGGGACAAGGAAGTCAATGGCAATGGTATTGGAGGCTTGGAGAGAGCCACACTAAGCCCATTGAGCAGAGCATTGTTCGTGGGATTTGACAGGTCTGGGCAGTGACAAGGGCACAAAATGGAGTGGCATTGATGCCGGGTATGTGGTGTGGAAAACACCAAGAATTTGTACGGGAGTATGGAGGATATGTGTTATGATGGCTTCATCAAGGGCAGTCAGCAGGGCTGTCTGTGGGGGGGTGTGAGATGTGGTTCGTGCACCACATCTCCATTCGCCATACAGCCCCGCAGAGCTTCCTGCATGCCTTTCCTTCCTTCCATACCTTAGCAGTAGGTAGTTAGTCATCCACGACAACACCATACGATTCATCACCACTTGTGTTGTCTCACAACATCTCAAGGACACTGATGCTCTTTGCAAAGTACTTCTCGTCATCGTCAATATCGTCGTCCATCACAAAACCCCCGTCAGGGAACGCTCAGGTGGGAGGGTCTGAAGGTGGTTAACGGGGCGCTCTTTAGAGCCGTCGACATCATCCCCGATCTCCTCTCCGGCACCATCGCGCTCGCCAGCGACGTGACTTTCTTCCTTAGCCCACCGGTGGCCCTCCTCCTCGAGTCGGACGATAGCGCGGTCCTCACAATTCCCGGACCGCCCAACAATACGATCCTGATCAAGTGCAAGACGGTCACAATCCCGAATCACATACAGGGTCAGGCAAACGGCCGAGGGCCGGAAAAGGAACCTTACGGAACTTACTTCGTAGTTCCTCCAGGCAAAGCCACACGGATAAAGCCACGGATGAGGAACATTTTGGAACTTACTTCATGGTTCCTCCAGGCACATCAAGTTGCCGCCTTTCTGGCATGTCGCCCATCAATACCAGACCACCAGGCGGCCAATACAGACGTAATACATCCAAGGCGAATACAACTGCAAATGATTCGTGTTCGGGGACTCCGATGCAGCGAATGCTGAACCCAACTCCGCCCGCCTGTTCCGTCCTATTTTGGGGGCCACGTCGCGTCGCAAGGCTCGCTCCTGACGTGTTGGAAGATGGGCGGATTCGGGTTACACGACGTCCCGGTTGCCTTCGGATCCTGGTTCTTGGCCGCTATTTGGCGGGTTTCCATCCGTGAAGCACACTTGATGGAGGGGTCATAGGACAGCTCATCCTGCTTCTTTTCACTTCTGTCTACTTCTACACGCTTGGTAACACAGGTGGGGTGGAAAACTTGGCCATCTGGAGGAGGCGAGAGACGGGAGGCGGACGGGTATATAAGTGCCCGCTTCTTCTCGCTCTCCGCGTCGTCTTTCTTCTTCCCTTCTCCAACTTTTCTGTGGGCTCACTGCGTGTCCGCTGCTTTCCCCTGTTTTCGTACGTCAAATTAACCGGAACTCATACAGCCTTTGGTGGATATCACACGGGACATGTGAGTGCCTGGCCTTCCCCGCTTGGATAATATCTTTCTTCTTCTGGGATATGCTAATGCAACTCATGGCTTCGCTGAATAATAGGTCCGAAATGCGGCCATTCTTCCGCGAGGCTCCAATCTGTTCCAAATGCGGGGAGCGCACCCATCGTATGGTGACGAAATACAACACGAATGGGAACAAAGGCCGTAAGTACTATAAATGCCGCCTTTGCGGGAAGTTTGCCGGGTTTGATGACTACATCGGGATCTTTAAGTCGAACCCTCGTTGCCAGTGCGGCAGACATTCTTGGGTTATGCATACCGTTAATTATGGCACTCGGTCTTACTGGTTTACTTGTGCATCTGAGGTGTGTTCTTGGCTCGGACCTTCGGTCGACGAGGATACAGTGAGAGAGATGTCGACAGCAATTAGGGGTTGGCCAGCAAGCAAATCTCGCAGAAGATATAAATGGTGGTGAGGGAGGGGGGATGGAGTGAAGGGGAAGAAGGTCTGGGGTGGGGGAGGGGTGGCAGGGTGCAGTCAGAGTGATGCCTGCCCGGTCATCCTCGGTTCGTGATGGGTACGGGGGCTAGCAAGATTAATTCCTGGCCGATACCTGGTGATATTGCGATAAGCAATAACAATGAGATTGTCGAAACGTTCTTTTTTCATCCTTTCCGACCCAGCTGATGTGACACCGCCTAGCACACTCCGGGATATCTTTGCCGCGGCTTCCGGGTCACGTCTCCATAAGAGGAAGCAGCGTCGCCCCTCGGGAACCTGTCCTACGTTCTCGGGCTGCACCCAGGGCAGGGCCCGTCGAGGGTTGCACCCGTTTTCTTACTCGATGCCGTAATTGGAGAGTTTTAGGGGCTAAGCCCCCTGATTGGTTGCTGCCCTTAATACGGCACCGTTAACACCTACCTGACTACCTTTATTTGTCATGAACTAAGCTAACAAGGGTGGTTGTATATAGTAGGCTAGGGGGGCGTGGGGAATGCCCGAGCTAATCATTTAAGTATTAGGCACCAGTTAGTTATAAGAGGACTTAGGACGCTATGATTAGGAAAATAACCGAGTAATCTATAGCATACAGAATGCTCGAGGTGATTAAGCATTAAATATAACAAGCATGAAGGCGCTTAGAGATTCGAGGGTCGAGTACCCTGATCACTTTAAGAAATACCAAGTATAACGTATCTTCTAAGTGAGTCGTACATATAAGCGAGTTGTATAGTCTCCACCATGACACGTCCTCCTTACACCTAACATCAATTTTTTCTACAACCCAACATGCCTCCTACATCAAAGGAAGCCAGATTCTCTTGGCCATTAAAGCTCTTCAGAACGATGGAAAATTAAGCCTCCGAGCCGCAGCTAGGCTCTATAACGTACCAGCCGTGACTCTCTCTAACCGACGCGCCGGCCGGCTTGCACGACGCAATACCACACCAACTCGCGCCGGCTCACTGATTCCGAAGAGGAGGCTATTGTTCAATATATCATGGAGCTAGTTACACGTGTATTTCCACCCAGACTAGGTGGTATAGAAGATATGGCCAATTAACTGTTACGCGTACGCGACGCGCCCCCTGTCGGCAAGCTCTGGGCCCATAACTTCGTTAAACGCAAGCCAGAGCTCCGGATGCGTTGGACACGTCCGTACGACTACCAGAGGGCCAAGTGCGAGGATCCAAAGATTATTGGCGCATGGTTTGTCCTTGTACGGAATACCAGGGCCAAGTACGGTATCCCGGACGACGATGTCTATAACTTCGATAAGACTAGGTTCATAATGGGCATCATCTGCGCATGTATGGTGGTTACAACCTCCGATGGCCCAGTAAGGAAAGGAACATATAGCCTTGGCATCGTTCCTCGAGAAGGAACATTGGGAACGAAGATCGTTCCGGTTGTTCCAAGTACGGGGACACCTGAGGGGGAAGCTAGTATTTAGGATTCACTTCAGACACTCTTTAGATAGTATAGCTTAGCTTCCTTAGTGAGCAATTCAAGCAATAGCCTTTACCTATTGTACAGACATTGCAAGCAAGCATTGCTGTGAACCTTTTGGCTTCACCGAGACCTACAGCCCGACCAGTGATACCTTCGACAGAAGAACCTTTTCAGAGGCAGGACTGCCTGGGTTTCGTCACACTATTCCTCCCTTCATCATCCTGGCCGCGTAATACCATCTCGCCAACTGGTATACTGAGTATAGCCTCCCGGCCGACTGGCGCATCGCTACCACCGAGAACGGCTGGACTACCAATGCGGTAGGCCTAGATTGGATCAAGCACTTCGACTTCTATACAGCAGCCCGGTCAAAAGGCAAATACCGGTTGTTGATCCTCGACGGCAACGAAAGCCACCACTCGACCGAATTCGAGCTCTACTGCCAGCAGAACAACATCATCACGCTCTATATGCCTTCGCACTCTTCTCACAAGTGCCAGCCACTCGATGTTAGCTGCTTCGGGCCGCTGAAGAAAGCGTACGGTCGCCTGGTTGAGGATTTGATACACGTACATATCAACCACATCAGCAAGCTCGAGTTCCTCTGTGCCTTCCGCGAGGCCTTCTTTACTTGTATGATAGAGAACAACATACGGTGTGGCTTTGCAGGAGCTGGCCTAGTACCGTACGATCCAGAGGGGGTCCTTTCTACTCTAGACGTAAAGCTTCGTACACTGACACCTCCAACCTCACGACCTGGCACTGCACAATCTTGGGTCTTCCAGACACCACACAACCCCCGAGAAGCCAAATCGCAGTCAATCCTTATCAAGACTCGCATTTCCAACCATCAAAACAGCTCTCCAACTTCAATATTAGGTGATGTGGGCCAACTCCAACTTACTAAGGGTACGATGGCTATGATGCACCGCGTGGCTCTCTTCGCTCCGCAAGGCCAACGAGGCACCAAGCAAGCGCCGGAGAGCTAAAAGAACACGTGTTCAGCTTGAAGGATCACTTACTATACAGGATGCACAATATCTAGTAGCCCAAAAGGCAGTGGGTAATGAGGGACTGCAAGAAATGCAGCCGGATAGTAGGGGACCGGATCCTGGCGCCGAAGATGCACCGCCATCGCCAATGCACGGGGTACGCGCTGGAGGACTTTGATAGGTGTGAACGAAGTAGAATGGGCGACGACTTCCGGCCTCCGTCGCCGGCGCCGTTTGGAGCCGTTACGGAGGCGGCCCCGGTCCGAGAACGCGGTCGCGTTCTCGACCGGCAGAACTTCGGGCGAGTGCTGGCCCGGGCAATTGCTGGCGTGCGAAAGGCGAGATTTTGCCAAAACCTCAGCTTAATCCTTTCATTGTTGAGCATTTCGGAACCGTCAAGCTATTCTAGCAACGTTCCCGCAGCAATAATGCGGCTGTATCCGTATACGCCGGGCCAGTATGCATTTTTCCGCTCCGAGTTTCGCAGCTTCCCAACTGGGTACCGAACTACCGATCGCTCGGGAATGAGTTCGAGGTGGCGGACGAATCGTTGATAACAGAACCCCACGTGGCCGCGAAACGAGAAGGTCGCTGCTCCAGCGTAGCAGTATATGCGGAGAATGGGGCGTTCTACCAGAGCAACGGAACCAGGATGGAACAGTTAAAGATGAAATATATAATGCGTTGCATCCGGATTCTTTCCGCCCTATCTACGTCCGTCAGCCCTTAGAAGTTTGCCCTACTATCACCATCCTCTCAGCCTCCGGAATGGCAAGATTGGGTCTGCTCAGCCTGGCTGCGGCCATCTCGATCCAGACAGCTCTGGCCAGCAAATGCCGCCCGTCTAAGCCGGTACTCTCTTGCTCTGCGGGCGCACAGCCGGAATTGGTCAACTCATGCGAGGTCGAGACCTTCGGCGGCCTGGTGCTTTCCACCCAATTCTGGGACACATACACGGGGCTCGGGTCCGCGGGGCAGCTGCTCCCGGAGAAGTCATTCACGCTGCATGGTCTGTGGCCCGACTTCTGCAACGGCTCGTGGACGCAGTACTGCGACCTCAACCGGCAGTACGACCCGCACCCGTCGCCCAACACGACGACCGGCACGCCCGCCGGCACGCCCGTGCCGCCCTACAGCGGCCCGACGGTCGACACCTTCCTCGCGGCGCTCGGCCGCCCGGGCCGCACGCTGCTCGCGTGGATGAACAAGTTCTGGATCGCGCAGAACCAGCCCAACAGCGAGCTCTGGGCGCACGAGTTCTCGAAGCACGCCACCTGCTTCAGCACCTTCGCGCCCGCGTGCTTCTCGGCCCAGGACCTCGCCCAGCACACCGACCTGCTGACGTACTACTCTGCCGCGGCCGACTACTTCACGCGGCTGCCGACCTACGACTGGCTGGCGGACAGGGCCATCACGCCCAGCAACTCGACGGGCTACACGCTCGCCGACATCCAGGCGGCGCTGGCCGCGCGGCATGGAGGGGCGGTGCCCTACGTCGGCTGCTCCGGGCCGCGATACAACGAGACGGCTGCCGGGAAGGGGTCGCTGGATAATGGCCGGACTGTGCTGAATGAGGTGTGGTATTATTACCATGTTTATGACCCTGTGCAGGCGGGTAAGGGCAAGCCGGTCGGGGCGGATATCAATGGTGGGAGTACGAGCAGCTGTGCGAAGGCGGATAGGGCTGTTTGGTACTATGAGCGAGCGGCCGGGTCGGAGAGGCGGGTGTGAGCGCGTATTGCGATATACTACCTGTGATGTAGAATAGAAGAACGTTGTGCGGCGTGCCATAGTACCGCGGGACATGCCATGGGCCCATTTTCACATGCGTACTTGGAGGATAGAGGGGACCGCAGCTACTTGTTATTGTTGTTGTTGTTGTTGTTGAAGTCGAGACTGTTGTTATCTCCATTTTTAGTTTCTTACTCTCCCGCTACCATAGGACCATACTACTACTCTGACGTTTATTGTGTTATGAAGAGTACCAGTACCTGAATCGTCCAGACCTCGCCCAACATGATTAAGAGCGGCGCCGTGTCACCCGGAATACAACGCGGCGGCTAAACGGGCGTCATATGCTACCCATATTCCCCTCAATATGTCGGTGGGTCCATAGTTTCAGACGGGAGTTCGGGAGATAAGCACGCGATCGACCAGGGCCGTCTGCAAGGCATGGAATGTATCATTGGTGGGAAGTTTGACTCTTCCGGGGTTCTATGTTTCGAGGTTGACGATCACCACGGCGAGATGCCCTGTTGGGAAAGCTCGGAGGGAGAGATGCTATGGAATTATGAAGTGTGGTAAGCGGTGCATTTGAAGAGTGATTTTGCGTAGGTATTTGGCGATGCTACCGGATGGCTTTCGCCGACGTCCAAGAAGCTGGACAGGGCGGGTCATATAAGAGGGTCATAGTATATGGGTGGTTTTCGCTCCTATGTCATAAGTATCCAGCTGTGCTCTGGAAGGGAAGACCCTTGATTGACACAACCCTTCCTTTTCTCACTTCGCCATCGCTGAGCCAACTACAAAGATGGCCTGGCCGTGGCAGACCTCGCTGGCACTCATCCTCGCCGTCAGCGTGGCCAGCAACCCCCTCCAGAGGCCGCGCCAGCTGCCATGGCCGGATCCAATACCAGCGTCCTCCATCGGACCGCTAGACTGGTCCTCGATCCACCCACCAATCTTCAACAACCCCAACAAAGGCTACTCCCTCAGATTCACCACCACTCCCCCACTACTACCCTCTTCCGTCGACTGGCGCAACCGCTCCGGCCTGAACTACATCACCACCCCACAGAACCAGGGCGTGTGCAACAGTTGCTGGGCCTTCGCCGTCACCGCGCTCATCGAGGCCATGGTGCGCATCGAGCACGGCGCGTGGAGCAAGCGCAGCGAGGCCGACGTGCACGACGGGCTGGGCGCGGCGTGCGAGAGCACGGGCAATGCCGAGGAGACGCTCGCGTGGGTGGCCGGGCAGGGCGCCATGTTTGTTGTTGCCAATAACAATGCTAATACTAGTACTGACCCGGATGCGGCATCCCCGGGCCCGGGGATTGCGGACTGGCCGTGTGATCCGTACCAGGATACGCCGCCGCAATCGCATGCGTATGGGCATTGTGCGGATCGCTCGGGGAGGACGACGCGGATTCCGCTTTACCAGGCGCTGGGGGTGGTTGAGGATCAGAAGAGGTGGTTGGATCAGTACGGGCCGCTGGTGGCGACGTTTGTGCTGTACGCGGACTTTGGGGCGTGGAAGCCGACAGGGGAGAATCAGGGGGTGTATCGGTGGGATGGCGTTTCCGAGTCGACGGGCAACCATCTTGCGCTTGTTGTTGGGTATGATGATGGCAAGCAGGCGTGGATTATGAAGAATTCGTGGGGCCAGGGGTGGGGAGACGGGGGGTTTGTTTACTTTGCGTACGTGCCCCTGAGCAAATTGAGGGAGGGATTGAACGGCATGATCTAACAACAGGATACTACTACTAAGATATGACATCGCCAACATCGACAGCTGGACCAAGTACGGTCTTTCCAACGTCAACCCCGATCCGTGGACCCGCAGGCGCCACCAGAGCGGGAGCATGATGCAGTCTGGCAACGGCGACACACATCGCAACTTCGAGCTGCTGATCAGTGATTCTAATGCTCCTGGATTCACCCACGTCTCCCGGGACGGCAACTCAACAACGTGGAGCAAGGTCTCCGAGATCCAGGGCAGCTCCCTCGTGGGACAGCCAGCGATCATCGGGACCTCCTTCAACCGCGACTTCCATGCGGTGGGCATTACCAAGGACCAGACTCTCCAACAGTGGGCGTACAGCCAGTCAGCCAAGAAATGGTCGCAAGTCTCGACCATCGAGGACACCAAAATCGATGGCTTCCCCGGCCTAACCCAGAGCGACGGATCCCAGCTGGTGATGGTGGTGAAGCACGCCGACGGGACCCTAAACGAAGTGAGCCGCCTTCCCTTACACCCGCCTCCCTAGTGTGAGCTACTAACATCAACAAGTGGCAACAACAACCCAACAGCACAACCTGGACCCTAGCATCCCCGCCGCACTCCCCGATCGCAAGCAACATCGCCCAAAGCGGCCCATCCCTGATCCAATCCAACATCAACCTCGACCTCTACCACCCCCTGGGCGGAACCTCCCACGGCAACCTGTACACCGTGGCCGTGCGCACCGACGGCAGGCTCCAGCTCTTCTGGCGCAGTAGTAGCAGCAACCAAAATAATACCACGACGAGTACCAGATGGTCTGCCGGCGAGGTCTTTGCCTCCGATATACCCCTCGACACACCCCCCGTCATGATCCAGGACTTCTTCCACACGCGCAACGAGACCAGCGTCGGCGGCTTTCAGCTGGTTGTTGCCACGGCCGACGGTGGGGTGCAGCACTGGGAGAGGGTGAATGACGACGACGACGATATTGGTACTAGTACGGAGGAGGAGGAGGAGCAGGAGGAGGGGAAGAAGTGGCGGCTGGTGGAGACGGTGGCGGGTGGGAGCCGGGTGAGGCATGTTTGGGCGCTGGTGCAGGGGAGTTTTGACCGGAGGATGCAGATGGTTACGGAAGGGGTGGATGGGGGTTGGTGTATTGGGAGTGGGATGGGAGGTGGAAGGTTGTGGAAAGGTTGCTGGGGTTGGGGGATCCGTCTTGGAAGAGGGGGGAGCCGGTGAGTGGTGGTTGATTTACAGCAAACTAGTACCCATGGATGGTTATATGGGAGAGGGTGGTCCCATGTTGGGCTGTTTGATAGAAGTTCAAGTTCTAAAGAGAGAGGGAGGGGCACTTATACATTAGTTTTAAAGGATAGACTGGATATCATAGTATTCATTACTAGTACTAGTAGTAATAGACCGGAGACATGCCAGCTACGAATACAAGAGCCACACCCTGAAGCGTGACCCTAGCCTGAGGTAGCCGTCGCCGTCGTACTAGTACTAGCATCGCACTAAGACCAGACTCGCGCCCACCAAGCCTTCACGGGAATCTTCATCCGACCACTACCGCCAATGCATACCAATAATCGATCGCCGCCATCTCGGCACGCAAAGCACGTCTATACCCCTCTCCTTCTATCCTCCAAAATCTCCAGCATATACAACAAATACGTCAAAAACTCCTTCGCCTCGACCCCAAATCCGTGGTGGTGTCCCAGGACGAGCAGCTTAGGACACTCCAAGATCTTCGCCTTGCTCCTCAACTGCCCTCGCAAAGAGAGCATCCCTTGACCGGACCGCGCGCACACTAACCCCGATGCTCGTCCCATTCCGCCTCAGCCGCCACAGGTTAGGCACGTAGCCCAACAGGGCGGGGAACTCGTTCTCAGGCTCGGGCGGCACTGTCTTGGGGACACCCTCGTCCTCGTCGTCGTAGCCGAGCAGCCTGGCACCGAAACTCGCTCGCGGCCTGGTCGAGGCCCCGGGTCTCGTAGACCTCGAGGAGGTGGAGGGACCACCCAAACACCTCAGGCGCTTCCAGTGAGCAGGTTGACGGTGGGCGCCTCGTGTGGGTGACGAGGTGGTCGACCATAAGTAAGTCGTGCGCGAAGATGGCGCCGCTGCTGGCTGCCGAAGACGATGGACTTGTCGAAGGCCCCCCCAACGGCCGTGATGACGGCGCGGATGTCCTGCGCTTGCTGCGGGATGCTGAGCCGCTTGTTGTTCTTGTTGTTGTTGGCCGATTACGACCTGGCTGGCTGGCATTTGGCGGCGGTCGAAGGTGGCGCAGGTGTGTATCTGTCGGATAGGGCGGCGATCATGTTGTTGAACTGCCGGCCGTGGCCATTGCCGCCGGGCACGAAGGTGATGAGGCGGGCCCGTGCCTTGGTACCAGTAGTGCAGGTCGCAACCTTCGTTGTGCACGATGGCTCTAGGAGGGTTGAACTCCATGATGAATAGTATTAATCGTCTTTTGGTGTAACGTTAGGGATAAGTCCAGTGCAAACGAGAACAATAAGTGATAGAAGTGATCAGTGATCAAAATCATATCCGGCAAGATATGCGCGACGTATCAAGGTAGGGTTAGCGCTGGCTCTTATACTCTGTAATCCTGCGACTAGAGGATGACCGCGAGGGATCGAATTGGAACAGGGTGGGTGGATGATGATCTGCTGCCGGCTGTTCAGCCCGTTCTCCCGTAATCCAGTTCCGAGCGTTTCGGACTTTCGGTGTGACTCAGGCGACGCAATCCACGGATACGCAACTACTAGTACCGGCAATGACGATACTGCTGGTAGATATAGATGGCTTCGCCGAAGCAGCTTGGGTGAGACGGGGGAATCACATAATGTATTGACAAGGTCTGATGGCTAACTCTAACTACCTGATGGATAGATCCGGATATCCAAGAACACACAGGCATATAGTAGTAAGCATCCATCAGCACTAGATCTCAAATCCCCCAGCCAGGTCCATCACCCTGTCCGGGTCGATCTGATTCCTAATAGCCTGCAGCCGGCGCGCGTTTCTCGGCCCGTACAGCGCCTGGGCCGTAGTATCCGACAACGCATAGTTGGAGTACTCCGCAAAGGTGTCGTTGTAGATGCCTTCCTCGCTAGCCACCTGCTTCAGCGTTTCGACAGACTGGCGGATCCGTGCATACCACCACTCGTCCTCGGCCGGGTTGGTCCAGGCAAAGTTCCAGTTCAGCTGTCGAATAGTATTCACTTAGTCTCAGGCAAGGAAGGTTGGGGAATTGATTGGAGAATCCTACCGGTAGAAGCGAGTCGCCGTGCGGGAACGCACTGTCGGTGGCATGCCGGCCGTACTGTGTGAACGGTTCGATGTCGAAGCTGACGGATGTGCCGCCGTGCAGTGCCGAGACCTTCCCGATATCCTAGACGATGACAAAAACCAGATACCATTAGCACTATCGTTTTCAGCTTTTCAAAGCAGCATCCTCTGCTTTACGAGTCTTACCTCGGCCTCGGCCCTGACAGCCTCAATAAACCCAGGAGTCAACCCAGACGTCGAGAAGGTGGCAAACGTGCCGCGCACATTCAGAACTAGGTTGGCCGGGAAGCTGCTAATGAGCTGCGCGTACGACTTCCGGCCCGTGTTGTCCAGCGTCGTGAGCAGGCCGTCCCACATGTCGAAGATGGCGGGCTTCTCCGGGCCGTCGTAGAAGAAGAGCGCCTGGATCGAGACGCCCCCCAGGGCATCCCCCACCACGGCCGTGATGATCTGCGCCTTGGGATCCTTGTTCTCGCGGAAGAAGCGCTCGGTCGCGTTGAGGGCCTGCGGGACGGAGAGGGATGGGTAGAGGCGGAGACCTCCCTTTGATAGTATCAATCATACATGTCAGCATGAGCTCTGCGTAGGGTTGGGAGGTTTGCTATTGTTGAACGCACCCAAACTTTTGGTGGCTGCGGGTGAGTGTAAAACTCGGCCGAGGTGACAATGCCGAAGCGGTTCAGGCCCCCTTTGAGTGCCCAGAAGAGGTCCCTATTTCGGCGCTCGGAAGCTTCGGTGATGGTCCCGTTCTGGAGGCGATTTGGTCAGAGATGAGGGAGTCATGCTCTCCTTTTGTCACCCGGATTACTCACCGGAAGGACGACATTGAACTTCTTGACCGTATCGCAAGTCAGGCCTGGTGGGAGAGGTTGCTCCAGTCAGACATGATACTACACACATGGGAAGTACTAGACAGACGAACCATATTGGTTTGTTTTCCTGAGACAGTCAGTGCAACTGCTCACCACCGACATCTTATCTTGAAATGGACTTAGTTCTAGTCTCTGACTTACCATGAGTATCCGCCGCCGAGAGTGAACCCTCCCACACCAGGACCAGGCACCCTGCCACCGACGACATTAACGCCGGTGTCCGCCAAGGCGTCATAAACGTCCGTCCAAGCCTGTCAACCGTTTAGTGAATTACCTTGCATACTAGGATACTATACGAGGAACCCCGGTCGAGAATGCTTACCAGACCGAAACCGATTGTGACCGTCTTCCCATCAGGGGATAACTCTGTCTGGTTGAAGCGCTTCAGCGAGATATGGACTCCCGGAGTGCTCGAGAACCCCGGATTCGACGCGTGCCCGCCCGAGTAGACGGCGAAGGGCGTCCGGGACGCGCCGACCAGCCGCAGCACAAGCGAGACATCCTCCGGCGAGCCGACCTCCACGACGCAGGCGGGCTTGTCGGTCGACGTCAGGAACCAATGCTCAATGTTGTCGTTATACTTCGCTAGTTGGTCTAGAGGCACGTGTGTGTGGATTAGTGGATGTAGATCGGTTATTACTAGTACTAGCAGTACTGCCTGGACTCCGCTTACAGGGATAGACCACCTCGCTGGCCTGGGAGATGGCGTCCTCGATCTCCTTGCAAGCATCGTTTGCAGACGCAGAATTCACTTCGCGGAAGGCAAGCGCCAGGAAGCCGAGCAGTAGGGGGAGTCGGGTCATGACGCCGATGCCAGTTGAGACATAGGTAGACGGGGTACCGCCAACTCAAAAGTCAGGAAGGGGGTCTTCTGCTTAGCAATGAGGAAATTCAGTTGAGAGGTGTTTGCTTGGGTATTTTTGGTCCGGATGAGATGGAGAGCCCCGACCCCCGGGGCTGGATTGACTCAGTATATATTTACTACCGTAGCTTACGAGACCTCTTCGGCGTCCGGGCAATTGTCTCGGACCGCATCCTCTTTAGTCAAGGGTTCTAAGACATTGCGCCTGCAGCTGCGTACCCACTCCAGAGCCAGCTATGTGCATCGTCTTCGATGTGGGCCAACGGCCCATACGTAGCTTGGTCAGCTCTCAGCCCTGGTAACCAGGCTGCTGGGGTTGCATCGACCATCAAAGCAGGTTTATGAGACAGCTCGTGTGCCTGGTTGAGGCGTATTTAGTGGGAGAGCCAGTTATTGCTTTTGCTCACTGGAATGCAGCGATGCCAGACTGTGGGTACCGGAATCAACTGACAATGCTCTATACAGTGAGGCACAAGAGGTAAGGAAAGGTTAGAAGACTCAACGGGATCCTCATTTCCGAGATACTGAGTACACATCTTCTGCTAATCGGCAATTAACGTGTGTAGCATCGCGGCCAATACTATCCCCCGGGAATCGTACACCTCGGTTGAAAGTATCTGGCCGCAGTCGAACGGTATAGCTGTGGGCGCCAAGGTTACCTTAACTGTCGTGTCATGGCTGTATGGACTCCCCAACCAGGCACTTGGCCGCCCCTGATAGGTCCGGGGGCAGTCCGGCTGCTTCGACGGATGCAGGACTGAGGAGCTTGCGGAGCTATGCTGAAAACAAGGAAGGCGCCCGGCCAAGCTCAATACTAAGAGGGTACCCAGGTAAGGTAGGTATGCACGGAATTTCAGAGTGGCACGGTCCTGGCTGGAAGGGCTGAACAGCAAAGCAAGTTCCTGTCCAAAGATCGTGCCAGACAGAGCCCATCAGTAGCTGTCAAATCGCTGGTTCCGCGGGTTCCGCGTCTGCGATACCACCTCGCTAATGCACCGGATGCCTGGCACAGAGTTTAAGAATAGTATACAATACCTGGCTCCCTCTCTCTTGACGATGAGGAGCAACAACTCCGTTCGACCACCCCGCTGCAGCACGGAAGAAAAGTGCCCTGTTTAGATCCTCGATAATCAAGCACTTAGCACTTAAGCACCGCTTCACAGCGGCATTTCCAGCTCACACACCGACCAACATTGGTGTTCACGTGCCTCTTCCGACTCCCGGGTGTAACCCACCTCTTACTTGCCGGCTAGAGTCCAGACTTTTCCACAACATGCCAATCCTTCCCCGCTTGGTAGTCTGGAGAGGCTGCAGGGCGGCCCGCAGTTCGGGGCCGTTTCCCGCTAGCGTTGCTACACGGCCTGGTCTACGGGCCATGGCCTATATGTGGTGGAATGACGATGACAATGCCCATGTGGAATGTTCATGACTTGATTTACCGTCAACAGACTAGTGACCCCTGTGTCAACAGTATGTCAGGAGACCGGGGGGGGGGGGGGGGGCTTCCCCCGCTAGGTACTTCTAGTAGTAAATATCTCTCGCTCTGAGCGGGAAGGGAATGATCTCCAAGTAGTATGCGGTGCATGGGCTTTATTCTATAGCGTGATAGCAGGTCCAGGTAAGGTAGAACCTCATTGCCCCTGGGTTGGGCCTGTTGGCAAATTGTAGAACACGGATCACAAACCACTCCAGCATTTCCGAGTTATTCAAACGGCAAGACGTGGAAATTCTCAGAAAACTTTGACTAACTCTGGCATGTAAATGAAGCTAAACCCAACCCAACCAAATAATCCCCATTCGCCCAGCCAATGACTTCCCCCTATCCCATACCAGCTCCAGGCTAGCATAGCATAGCACCCCCTTTATCAACGTAAACCTTCCGCTAACGCACCGCGATCAACCCAGAAAGTAAAGGAGCAAGAAACATCCCTCCATATCCACATCCACATCCACAACTCCCTCCCCTCCTCTTCTAAAATCTAAACCGTGTATCCCCTAGACGACCTATCCCGCCTGCTATCCATATCCCTCCTACCCGGCGCCCTCGCCCACCTGGTCGGACTACTCCCAAACGCCGGCGACTCCACAATAGGACTGTAATACCCCGGGTTCGGATCGCGGTACCCCGGCGCGGTGGAGTCGGCATACGACCGCGCCGCCGGCGAAGCCGCGTAGATCGACGGCGACGGCGGCTCATCATCGACCGCCGTGCTGGCGCGGCTCAGCCTCGACGACGACCTGCGGGATATGTCGCTTCCCTGTGGCGAGTCAAAGGTTCCGTAGCCCCGCAGGCGGTCACGGTTGCGGGGCCGGGGGTGGCGGCTGCTGTTGGGATTGTAGCGGGAGGATAGGTCGGTACTAGTACTAGTGGTTGGGGACCTGGCTCGCGGGGTTTCTGGGAGGGGGCAAGGGAGGCGGAAGGGGGACGGCGAGCCGTACCGGCGGGAGGAGGTTGTTGTTGTTCTGTCCCGCTCCCTGAGGCGGCGGGTGCTTGGTCGGTAGGGGTTCAGCAGGGAGGAGTATGAGCCCAGCGCGGAGGACGTCGACGACGAGCAAGTTGAGCCTGCCACGGTGGGGCTCCTGGAGTGGTTGAAGGATCCGGCGGGGCTTGGGTTACCGGACGGGGCACCGGAATAGGAGCCCGAAGCTGCTGCTGTGCTGCTTGCTCCACGTCCGGGGTATGCGGGAGGTGGCGACCGCGTCGAGAAGGGGTTCCGCCAGGGTTCGGGGTCCAAGGGGAAGAGAAGCCCGTCATCGCCGGCGCTATGGGTGCTTGAGGTAATTCGTGTGCTGCTATTGTTTCTGCCATATCCAGCCGCCCAGGTCAAGCCGGGGCCAGCGGATGGGTCAAGCCGGACGGAAGGGATGGCTCGTGGGCTTGAGCGGCCTGAGCCGTAACGGCTGGAGTCTTGAGAGCCCATGATGCGGTGTTGTTCTTGACAGTGGCCAATAGTGTTTCTAGATCGGGTTGGAGATTGCTGACAAAGATCAACTTAGCTAGCGAAGGCGATGAACAAAATGGGGAATCTCCTAGACGATGAGCGCGCCTTAAATACTTCCCGGTATTTTTGTTACACGCCTGTAGGGGCACGAACAGTGACTGTTCGCGATATCACCGTGTTCAGCTCCAGGGACTTTAGTACCAATCGTGAGGCTACCATCGCCCCAGTAGCTCACGAGGAGTGCGTTTCAAAATCCGGCCGTTACATTCAGACGACGTGTAAGAGCAAAGCCTTACTCACACGCACAGCTTCAAAGGAGATATATCAGGGCTGAGTGACTCGAGGCTTCGTGGCCTCTCCAGATTGAGCCACAACACCTAGTTCATCGTATTATGGTTGCCTTTGCGAGCAGTATCACTACGATGACAGCTGCTGACCGGCCCATATGAACACTCTCTGCCTTTGATCTCATGGTTAGAAGATCCAGCGTGCGATGGTCGAACAAATACGGCTGCTCAAAGTGCCATCCTCCTCCACGATGCCGGGTTGTGACCCCGGACATGACAGATGACAACCTCGGCACCGGTTTCCTCAATCCATATTCAAGGCATCATATGGCTCAGGAGGCTCAAGTCACCGACCTCCAACCTAAGGGGGCACAGATGGGCTCCTCCAATTCTTTTCTGCTTCAGCAGATAAGGACCCACGCATGGTGTTTTGCGCTACCTGCTCGCGGATGTGTTGCTTTGTAGTGCCACTGCACTTGGCCAGCTGAACAGCATACCACAGGGATCCGCACCATTGGTGTGGGGGATGTGCTGGCTGAATAGAATGATGGTGAAAACAGGCATTGTTGACAATCTGGTAGCCGGTGATTGAGGCAACTGTAGACCTATATAAGGGCCCCTGGCAGATCTAGGGGACCCCCTCGGACTCTCGTTTCTCTTCCACCTTGCAAGTCAAGTCGAGGCCACGAGCGATTGTAAGCTCCATCCATAATTTTCTGCTCTTGGCTGGTTGTCGATGAGAACAAGACAACAACATGAGTTCGCGGGATACCGGCAACGGGTCAGGGGCGCGGCGCAGATTCGACATCAAACCTGCCCCTCCCCCCTTATCCTTGACGAGCCCTCCGCCAGCTACTCCACCTCCTCCGGACTCGCAGGCAACTCAACAAGACCCCCCATCAACTTTGCATCGCTGGCCGCCTCACCTCGATCCTCCTGGCGTGGCGAAAGCGGCGCAACAGGCTCACGCTCATACTACTACGGCTCCCCCTCCCACGACGTGAGATCCCCCCACCCACTCCGCTATTCCAGGAGCCCCACCCCCTGGGGGGGCTCGCCCTCCCGCCTCTCCCAGCAGCGCGAAGAAGAACCATCCTCAGCACCGAACTATTCCATTTCCACCTCCTCCTCGTCATCCTACCACTCCCAATACCGCGCACGGAGCCCCGGCCCTTATTATCGAACAGGCGGTTCTAGCAGTGGTGGTGACCGCTCTCCCCGCCGCCACCACCACCACCTCCGCCGGCGCTTCCCATCCCCCTCCCCCTTCCGCCTGCCGTCACCCGAGCGTCCCATCCTCTACGGCAGCGCCCGCCCTTCTTCCCGGCTCCAGCACCAATATGAGGACTCAAACACTACTACTACTAGTAGTACTACTACCGGTACTAGTACTGGTACCAGGTCGCGGGCCTCGACGTGGCTGAGCGGAGGAGGAGGAGGAGGAGGAGGAGCGGCGGGCGGGGCAGCGGATGATTATGATTATGAGTATGATGAGGAGCCGGCGCCGTCGGTGTGGTCGTCGTCGAACTATGGGTCTTCTGATGCCGGCGTGGGACGGAATTCGGATTCCGGGTCATGGAGGACGCTCTCGTTTCATGGTGGTGCGCGGTCGTCGCCTGTGCCGGGCAGGGTGGGGGAGAGCAGGGCTTGGGATAGGCGAGAGAGGCGGTTTCGGGAGAATGGGAGTCCCTGAACGTATCCGTATTACTGAGGAGGGAGGGGGGTGAGAGAGGGATAGTTTTTGGTATTAATGGCGCTGCTTTAACACCTAGGTGAGCGGGTTGAGCAAGAGGAGCTACACTAAGGGTCATTCAGGGCTGGTACTTGAGTCTTAGGGAGGGGATTTATTCGCGGGGTGATTGGGGGTCATTCCATTGAAGTGGCAGAGTTAGACAGGCTTAATGATAACTCGCGGTACCTTCTGAACGACCTAAGAACTACTACTTTGAGTCTGTTCATGGAATAACTTTGAAAGGTGTACCTTCACACATGCCCTGAATGTAACCGCTGGGTTCTGAAAAGCATCCTCGTAGGCACGAGGGCCATGCCAACCCCTTTTCCGCGTTGAAGCTGCACCTCGGCTCACACTACAACCCGGGCTTTTATGCTGCGTCCGAGTAATTAAGAGATGGTACCTAGAGGCATGTACCAGGCTTTGTACTATTGGTGACAGCTGTAGGGCGATGCCTAGAGGCCAGCTGGCCAGGAGCTTGTTTGCTAATACATCAGGCACGTAGCAATGTACAACGAGATCGCTGTCTCTGGTATCTGGTGAGGTGTTGTGGGAGGGAGACTTGCCACTTTGCTCACGTACAACTGGCATTTGCTACCTCAAAAAGGCTATAAAGGCGGCTCATTCATCGGCGGTGTTCTCTTTAGGTTCCTCACCAGTGCTCTCTCCTTACTGAGGATTTGGGCCAAGTAAAAGTCCCCCAATTCGCCCAGCACCCAACGACTAAGCCACACACCAAGCAAGATGAGCGGCCGACAGCTTCGCAGAGCCTCCTCCAGGCACTCCGGCAGGAGCCCTTACAACTATGACCATATCGCGGAGTTCTTGGGAGCCTCTAGAGCCGGACCGACCAGCAACCCGACATTTTCGCCGTCTGACGCGCTCTTCCGATACCCCATCAGCGCTCCCTCGTGGCCATCGGGAGGTCATGACACCTCCCGACGACTCCTCCCTTCCAGGGGATCGTCATCATACTCCTCCTCCCGACAGCACCCCTCCACACCACAAGTATCTTCATCCTTGAGGCTGCCACCGTTGAGACCTCCCCACACCCCTTCGCCCGTTCACCGTCGACCACTTCCAGCGCACCGGCCCACGTCCGTCAGCCCTCTGAGTCCACGCTCTCCCCGAACCGAGACAGATTCGGACCGCATCCCATCCCGGGCTCCTACGCCGCCGCCTGCTGCGCTGTCTCGGACAAACACGGCCTGGCTCTCGGGGCCGGTTGGGAGACTGCCGCCGCGGAGGTCTGATGGAGGCTCTTATGGGACTTACCGCTCCGAGAGAGACAGTGGGACAGGTTGGGTGCCGCCGCCTCGGATTCGTGCACCGTACCCGGCTGCGTCTGGATCGACTCGGGGACGAGCGCTGCCTGGGTCAATTTCGTCGACAGCTGAACGGCGGCGGCGGCACCTTTAGGTACCAGGTAGTGTTGTCGCCGGAGTGGTGGTGGTCCAGAGTTTTTCTGTCTTGGAACGTAACCGCCCGGGCGCGTTGCTTTACCATAGAATATGGAATTAAATACAAGATGTGTATTGTGTTGAATACTTGGAAGTTGGCAGATATGAGCACATTGTTGATAGGAGTTGTCAGAGAAGTTGAAAGGCTGGGTGAGAAGCAGAAAGGTAGGTCGGCAGGTACCCACAAATGGGGAACGAGTAGAATGCACACCAGCAGGGATGGAGGTCTCGTTCCTCGGCCGCGGCTGTGATGGTCACACCACAGATGTGCCACAGTCGATGTCCTGTCGGGTTGCTTTTTGTTTGCGATGTCCTGTTGCACGGGGAGGGAAGGTGCATAATGTTTCCGCCAGGCATTGGCTGAGTCTGGCTCAAAATTTCAACCTAACAGCCACCCCAGGCCACTCGATTAATCAATCACTTTTGCATTGCCCACTCGCTTTACTATGCGATTCAGAGGGAGGTAGGTGGCTGTGTGCATTTGGCTGACTTGAATAATCAATACGTGCCTTCCTTAAGTGCTGTTAAATCACCTACATTCTGCTCCTCAGAGTCAGGATGGCATCATTTTCGTTTCGCGTTTCACTGCTTCTGTTACCGGACCATGCGACTGCTGAAAACACGCGACCTCGAGTTCGAGGAGTTCGCAAATGACGAGCACCGACCTCCGTACGCCATCTTGTCGCATACATGGGGACCTGACGAGGTCACATTTGCCCATCGTGTCGGCCGCCAGGATCCGGCAAAGGCGGGATACGCGAAGATCCATGGCTGCTGCAAGATCGCGGAGTCGGAGGGATTCCAGTATGTCTGGATTGACAGCTGCTGCATCGACAAGTCGTCGAGCGCTGAGCTATCGGAGGCGATCAACTCCATGTTCCAGTGGTACCGCGACGCTGCCATCTGCTACGCCTATCTGAGCGACGTCCGTGTCTTGGAGGACCCCGCCGGCGAGATGCCCGCGTTCTCGGCCAGCCGTTGGTTCACGCGCGGATGGACCCTGCAGGAGCTCCTTGCTCCGACCGAGCTCGTCTTTTTCGCCTCTGACTGGACCGAAATTGGCACCAAGTCGTCCCTTGCCAGAACCGTCTCGAGGATTACGAGGATTGATGAAAAGATCCTTAAGGGGGGCGACTGGTCCGGATATAGCGTCGCCCAGAAGATGTCGTGGGCGGCAGGCCGCCAGACCACCAGACCCGAGGATGAGGCGTACTGTCTCATGGGCTTGTTCGACGTCAACATGCCGCTGCTCTATGGCGAAGGTCGGAAAGCATTTCTCCGTCTACAGCAGGAGATCTTGAGGGTCTCCGAAGACCAGTCCATGTTTGCATGGTCATGCGACAACACAGAGGAGCTGACACGCTCAGAGATGACGGGCGTGCTGGCGTCGTCACCCGATCTCTTCAGGAATGCGTCCCAAGTCCATCGTTTAGAGTCTACCCAAGGTCACTACGAGAGCATATTCGAAGTCGTTAATCAGCTTGTGCGAATGTACCTCCCAGTCGTCGATAAGATCACAGGCCTGAAACTGGAGTCGCTCCCAACTTCGCCGCTAACCCACCGGATTCTGGAGATAGAGTCGGATTACGACGAGGTAAGGGCTGGGTTAATACAACACCAGTCAGTCCTAGACCCCCAATCGACTCTGCATAAGCAGCAAGTACGTCCGCCCGAGCGGAGGTCAGTTCGGTCGGAGACGGATGGCATCCCGACGAGTCTGCTCCACCAGGCTACTCCTGAGTCTCAAAGCACGCCGATGTCCGAGCCGAATAGCGAGAGTCTAATCGCCACCGTTAGCATACCTTTCCGGCCTTTTACATTCTGGTCGTATTACACCTTCCACGACCCCATCGTAGTCGTTCCACTTCGGTGCGGGATCGGCACTAGACAGCTGGGGATCATCCTTTGTCGGGGTTCTGCCAAAGAGATATTGCCAGGAGTAAATCCACTTTCGCGCCTCCACCAGCCATCTCTCGTCGCGTTCAGCAGCCCATTGGAATTCGATCGACGGCTACCTACCACTAGATACGCCATTATTTCGAACAAACCTAGCAATGGTACAGTTGGCAACCGCCAGCCGCAACCGTCCGGTTGGCCGGAGATGCGTCTCGGTGGTTTATTGTCCACTGGTTATGTTGTCGAGGATTACTACACGATGGGCTGGATATATGACGAGACTCGTTCCGCCTATATGCAACGAACCAGCGGAGTCAAGTCGTTCACACCACTCGTCCTCGCCTTCCGCAAAACCGGCAACGGTGCCGCTCACCCTGCCTTCGCCTTCCACATCACCCAGCAGCACGAGAGGAGCACGCTCCGTTGCTACGTCGGCGTTTACGGCGATGGTATGCGTCGAAGCCTTGAGCATGCCAATGACATGTATTCATTCGACCTGGGTAAGATGCGGCGCGCTCAGGTGTCATTGGGCAATGGCACTGGCGTCGTCGCTGTGTACCGGGAGGCGACGACCGGGGCTTTTGTCAGCCTGTCCATCGAGCCGCTGGTCAAGAACAGGTTCCTTGTCGAGGCCCCGCGTAGACATGCCATGGCGAGCTACTGACCTGGAGGAGAGACCACGGTTGGGGTTGCATATGATGAGCACCTTGATCCCAAGCCCAGCGCCTGGTCTGATGACGATGATAATATGATTGCTCAACAAACCTAACGCTCGGCGAAACGATGTCTAGGGAAGTGCTTTAGGAGGCGCCCACGCGTGTTGAGGAACGAGACTCAGAAACATCATTAGAGAGCATCACCTCAGAGCCTAGCAAACAAAGACTTGCATATTATTGTTGCCTGCGTCTCCTAAATCCAAGGCCGCCGCTGCACAAAGAGCTGGAGCTGATTAGTGATCAGACTACATGTGACAGCGCGCCACTTACGCGCCAAGAAGGAGGGGAGATGCAGATGCGGGCTCGCCGTCCACTGAAAGACGCGTTGGACAAAGCCAAGGCCGCATCATCACGTCTGGAAATCGTGATGACTTCAGCCAAGAGCAACCTGTCGCAATGCTGCCTAAGGGGCGGTCAAAGCAACGGAGGCGACTCGATGCCTATTTGAGCACTCGCAGCGCCGACTCAAAATGCATTCTCAGGAATCAGGCATCGTCTACCGAAACACCATTCAATAGGTAAACACTCACAAATCATCCAAGCTCCATCAAGTCACACCCTCAGCACAATGGCACCCACCAGCCTCAACATGATGACCTGCCTCTGGTTCGACGGCCAAGCCGAAGACGCCGCCCACTTCTACACCTCCATCTTTCCCAACTCCAAGATCGTCACCACCCAGCACTTCCTGGAGGCCGGCAGGGAGATGCACGGGCACGAGCCGGGCAGCGTCATGGTGGTCCAGTTCGAGCTCGACGGCCACCGCTTTGTCGCGCTCAACGGCGGGCCGCAGTTCAAGATCAACGAGGCCATCTCGTTCCAGATCGACTGCGACAGCCAGGAGGAGGTCGACTACTACTGGAGCAGGCTGGGCGAAGGGACGGATACGACCAAGCAGCAGGGGTGCGGCTGGATCGGGGACAGGTTTGGAGTGTGTTGGCAGGTGGTGCCGAAGCGGCTGAAGGAGATGATTGCTAGTGAGGATAAGGCGGCGGCGGGGCGGGCTAGCCTGGCGATGATGGGCATGTCGAAGTTGGATATTGCTGAGCTTGAGAAGGCGTTTAGGGGTTAGGAGAACAGTGGGGTTGATGACACTCCGAGATTGCTGTGTATGACTTGGAGGTAGATTTGGCTTTAGCAAAGGGATTATGTGTGCTAACATATTCAACTAAGAGATCTCTTGGAAGAATTACTCAACCCACATTCAACCCGGCCTTCCGTCGCCACCCGAAAGGCAAGAATCAAAGTAACATCAACCAACCATGGGTTCCAGCAGAAAGAAGTTCCCACCCGTCAGTCTCTTTACTGCTACTTAGACGGTAGACCACTCACACCCGTCATCACCCATCAAGGGCCTTCCACGCCAGCCACACCCACTTGCCCTTCTCCACGCCGGTATAAAAGTGAATGGCCACCGGCGCCTGCGTCACCGAGGGCGGGCTGTCCTGCGCGTTGGTGGCCATGACGCCGTACTGCGCATACCTCAGCGTGGGATGTCCTTCAATAGGACCCCCATTGCCAAAGGTCTATAACACGACATGTCAGCACCCTCCTAATGAAAAAGGAAATCCATACTTCAGCATAGGAATGCCAAGGAATCACCTACCCCAAAAACAGCCTCTCTCACACCCCCACCGCACCTGAAGTTGTTCACATCGATCCCACACGCTCCCGCCTTACTATTAGCACTCGGGCCATTAGAAGGAACAGAGCTGAGGTAGAAGGTGTAGTTGTTGATCCACGACGTCTCGAACACGCCGCACAGCGCCTCGTTGGTCGTCCACTGGCCCGCCGAGGTCAGGCAGCCCAGGTCCGGGTACGGGTTCTGGATGTAGCGCGTGCGGACCTGCCCCTGGCCTTTCCAGTCTGGGAAGTCCCACTGGTCGCGGGTGGTGATTCCGTTCTTCGAGACAGGGACGGGGACTGGGGCAGGGACTGGGGCAGGGACCGGGGTGGCGGTTGTGGTGAGGGTCAGGGTGGAGGTGACGGCTAGGAGTAGGGTTCTTAGGCGGAGCATTTTGATCTGTCTATGGATCTAGCCGTTGGTGTCTGGGCCCGTGAGGTTGTATAGGGCTGGCTGGATGGACAGTGGTTGTGGTATTGGAGAGTGGAGAAGCGTACGGTAGCCAAGGTCCTTGTGTGTAGTCGAGATCTGCACTACCGGTGCGTTCAAAGAAGAAAGATGGAGTTGATTAAGCAGTGGATCTGGGGCCCGGGGAATTCAGCCTTAATAAGATCGCAGTCGTGTGCCCGTCGCCGATCCATGACCTCCCTTTTATATCCGAGTTGGCGTATATGAAGTGCACCGTACCGCATTCCCATCATGAACGGAAAGTTCCTCGGTAAACCCCGCGGAGGGCTCGAACCCCAACCTTGTTCCCTTGTCTTAACGGCGGTGTTCTAAGGAAGGTGCGCGAAAATCTTGCTGCCAGTTTGTTGGTGGCAACCGTGACCCCTGCCTCATGGGGCAAGTCCCCTTTGGGCAGGAACCCGGGTCGCAACGACGACAGCGCCTACAGCGCTACCCCCAGGACCGCCAAATTCATCGATTCACAGCTGATGCGTGTTCATGGCAGAGGGGTCCGGTGATCCATACGCTTGTCCCTACACAGGAGAACGGACCTCTGACGTAGATTAAGCGTGATGGAACTAGTGGTGTTTGTAAATTGCCTACCAACATCTCTGTTCTTACCAACATCTTAGTAGTGCTTTACCTCCCTGCCTCGTCTCACGTCCCGAAATCCTTCTGTTTCTGGGGCCGCCCCCGCACCGGCATTTGTAAGCGTTACGTTAGGGGGCGGTCATTTATTTTTTTAAGGTTGCGTGCCCGCCATTGGAAGTGCCCGATCGCACCGTTGCATTCCACCGTTCGGAAGTCACAACATGTGCCTTACCTACCTTGGTTCCAGCGCTGACGTCGGTGCTGCTGCTGCTGCTGTGCTGGCACATTGCCAATCTGCAGCTTTGCCCCAGTTTTGTTTTGCGCACCTTGGGGCGCCGAAGTACGGAAACGGCATCTGTGTTATAAGTGTCCGACTTTCCTAATGCGGACACATGATTCTTCGGTCGGATGTGTGACCCGCCGACCATGCTCACTACACACCACACACACACAGCTCGGAAGTCGGAGCCCGGTGGCTTGGAATGGGGTTAGTTTCTTCGGGATGAAAATGGCCGAAAGATTCCAGCGGTGAATTTTCTCACTCTCATTGCCCGGATCTGCCCGCTGCACCTGCCGTGTCAGTGCTCGCGGCCGTGGCATCGCATGCATGGCGATCATGAGGTTGCACCAACCGATGCTACCGGAGACAGGGTCCGAGACATCTGATTCCCGGTTTTGAAGGGTTTCTTGACCGCGACACGGTGACCGCTCTCGTTTCCGTGCAATGACAGGCCTTTTCCCCTGGGTGGAAGGAGCTAAAGCGTCAACCACTCACACATGAGTTACTTCGCCTTAGACAGGACGATGCGGTCTAGTTGCGGCATGCAGTTCTAAAAACCTTAACTGTGCCTTCTTCAAGGATCAGGCGCGCATCATTAGTACTAGTCTTGAGATGGACCTGAGTTGACGCCAGCCTTCCAAAAACTAAGGGCAAGGGTTTATATTGTAACTTATGTCGGAAGGGAAAGGGCGGTCTTAGCCCCTGCTTTAACGTGATGCGGGGCAGGACAAGGCAAGAACGGCGTATCTACTAACGTAATGACATTGTTCGGTAGGTGTCATTGATGGCACCGACAGCGCGCGCGTATCGCATGGTCAAAAGCGGAAGTCGATATTGGGTCAAAGATAATCCCTGACTTCATATAGGGATCGCAAGTCCATGCAGAGTAAGATACTCTTGATGATGACCAGATCCACCTAGATAGCATATAGAAAGAGTGACATCGTGGCCCCGTCGTCAGTTCTTTAAGGGTTCAAGAGCGTACTAAGGTAATTAACCCCTGACCACCCACTCTTGCCCAAGTCTATCCAGCTCTCGGGGTTACCTTCCCCAGAAATGATAGCACCACTCGTTATATCGCACGCCAACCCTCTTGTAGTGGTGTATTCTGCCCCCGCCCTGTTTACCATACAGATAGCTAGCACAATACCTGGAAGTAATATTCCGTAACTCCAGGCCACGGGCGTAGTAATCCCCTACTCTATCAGTGAGTGTCCAGTAGGCTGTGCCCTGACCAGAGCGGATCTTCCTCATTGCAGTCTGGCGACAATGGGGCTCAGGAAAGCAAGGAGGTCATCCAACACCTGTTGAGCATGGGTCAAGTAGAGCCCTACAAGCCACGGTCAGCCGTCCCACCTTTCGAACGAAATCCACAGATCCCCATGGAAAGGGGAAAAACTCACCATGCCCTGCCTTCTCATACACCTTAAGCTCAGACCAGGGCAGCATCTCATGAACCACCGCCGCGCTAGCCTCAAGCGGCATCCCCGAATCCGAATCCCCGTGCAAAATTAGAACGGGGATCCTATCAGGCTTATTAGCACCTCCCTCCTCATCAGCCAGCCTCTTCAGCTCAGCGACCATCGGCCTCTGCAAAATCGTCGTGGTCCGCTCCAGCGCCATGGGATCGGCCTGGCCAACAATCCTCTCAAAGAACTGCAGCGTGCGCTTGCCGACCTCATTCCCCAAGTCCACGCGGAAGACGCCGGGGAGAGCCTGCGCAATGAAGTCCTTCCCGCCCGCGCCGCGGAACCCGTCGATCAGCCCCTCCCACACGGCGCGATCCGGCGCCGCGGGACACTCGTCGCAGCGCAGGGAGTAGGGCATGTTGGGGCCGATCCACACGAAGCCCTTACAGTGGGCCCGGACGAAGCTGCTCGCGGCGCGGGCGAGCACTGATTCGCTGCAGCCCATGCTGGCGGCCACGAAGACGAACGGGGCTGAGTAACTTGGGTTGGTATTGGTATTGGTATTGGTATTGCCTAGGAGGGCGTGCTCGAGGAGGGAGATGAGGTCGGCGACGAAGGTGTCGAAGGTCACACCTTCGGCTGTGGTTGTGGGCGTGGTCCACTCGCTGTTGCCGAAGCCGCGCCGGTCCGGGGCGATGACGGGGAAGCGGTGCGTCTCGACCAGGGGCACGATCAGCTGGTCGTACATGCGGGAGGACATGGGCCAGCCGTGGAGGAAGACTAGGGTCAGTGGCTGGTGGGCGACGGTGGATGCGGGCTTGTAAGGGGAGGATGAGGGGATGTAGTGCCGGAAGAACAGGCTGGCGCTGTCGACTTTGCTGTGGAAGATGGCCATGGTTTAATAAGGATTGGTGGGTTTCGTGGGATGTTGGGTGAAGTCAAAGCACAAGGCACCTGGATTCTGAATGTATATGGATAAACGAATTCAACACGGCGGTGTGAAGCACCGGTATAAGTAGTCCTCCGGCCAGAGATGAGAACAGTTATGCCTTATCCTTTGCCATGACCCAACAAGCCGACTCGGGACAGGTGTTATGCGTTTCCGGGGCATCCTAACGCAGGGCCTAAACCAGGACGAGTCCTGAAAGCCGAAAGTTAGCCCGCGTCTTACATTTTCAGCGAGGATCCCAAGACAAAGAGGCATCCACCGAAGTGCCATGATGCATGAACCGAAAGAGTCGACGCGTTATGCTAAACCGTTATGCTTAACCCTACGGGGTTAGGGTTGCTTCTGGCCGACCAGAGTCACCCAGGCAACCAGAGTTGCGACAGATACTCCTAAGGTAGCTTAACCCCCCCCCACTTTCCTCCTGGGCCCTTCCAGAAATAACCCCGAATTGACGCTGGTGGTTAACCTGCATCAAGTATTTGCAGAAACCCATGCTCCAGCAGCCCCCCACGAATCCCGTCTTGCGACAGCTCCGACAAGACGACGAGGGAAATATCGTATACCGGCTCTCACCCGTAGAGTAGTATCCTCAATACTTGGCAATATCAAAGCGGCGGACCGTATGAGGTACGCTACTCACTAGTAGGCCTCTCCCGATTTGGAACCAAAAGACGGACGTTGGCTTCGATCGGTTGCGCCAAGCTAGACCAAGTACACGAGGGCTGGAGCGGGAGACATGGCATAATAAAATGGAAGACTGCTGACACTTCGGGGGAGGTGTTTACTGCGAGTATTCTCACAAACAATGTCAGGCTAGCCAACAGCATTTACAGCCTGTCATGCTCGGACTATGTCCGTCCGACGACGCGGACCATAACGCACCAACGACACGCAGCCGAATTTCGCACTGATTCGAGTACTTGTGGTTTGTCACTGCAGACGTAATGATATGAATGACCTGTCCTGAACCGAGACAAGGCACAAGAGCTCGGAAATGAAAGGTTAGTTGGGCTCGAGAATCGAGATCCGGGTTGAGCCCGAGCTTCAAGACATCTTGCTGCAAGCTAAATACATCCCAACTCCACGATGGCTTTCACGTCGCGGAGCAAATTTACGACACTGCTGGATAGCTGTCGAGATTTCCCTTGCCCATCCCGCTAGAGTCCATCACAGTCGGGGCCTGGACGCCTGTCGCGACGCTCTAGATGCTCGTGGTATGTCGTGCCCCGAGGCTGCCCGCCGCGAGGGGACATTTGTCAAATTACTGATGAGTTCGAAACCATTATCGGGTAAGTAGTGTCGTGCGCCGGGGGAGTAGCCTCGACGAAGCTTGAGCCTTCAACTCACCGGGTGTGATGGCAATGAGTCACGCGCATCGGGGATGCAGCAGCTGCTTTGCTGACGATATCTAGCTCACTGACGACAGCAGGGAGGATTAACCGCCTTAGAGGCTCCAGAATGGGCTCACGTTGACGGTGCGTTGATGCAGGCAGGCCCTCGCCCTCTATGGCAGGCTTCCGAGCTGTCAACTGGCGCATAGCGCCGTGGAAGGTTGGCCGGAATGCGACGCCATGACGGAACAATATAACCGGGCTTTATGCTGCATCGCGCGGCGGCGACAAAGAACGACAGATTACTAAGCTCTGCGACCCTCCACGCCTCACTGCTTCGAGTCGTATCCAACAGCATGCATGGTCGCCATGTAGCTCCAAGGCGCTCATCATGGGGCCTTCATCCTGCCCCTGGCCACTTCCTCGTGGCTCGCCTCGACGGCGACGTCTCAATGCAGACAAGGCCAGCACCCGGCCTTTCCAGCGTGCGGTGATATCCTCGACCACCGTGGGTCATCAAACAATTCTACTATGAACAAGGTAGAAAAGCTTCTTGTACATGTTCGCCAACTCCCCTGTCGAGTTATCTCGTCGCGGCGCCGTTGAGTCGCCGCGGCTCTCCTGGCGGCGACGGAGGCATCGCCAAAGCTGGTTCAGCGTGATGAGCAGGCACGGACTGGGTGGCGGAGGCGGCTCGCCACGGGGGATTGCGACAGGTCCGTGATGGTGGTCAGCCTGCAGGAGGCCAGGACCAGGAGGTCTTGGATAAGATGTCATACCCGGATTATATAAACCGTGGAGTCACATCTCCCGATGGCCATACGGTGTCAGAGAGCGCAGCGACGGCGTGAGGAAGAACCGGATGACGCCGAGGTGATGTGATGGGTTGTGCGGGACCCTCGCGGCGGGTACGATACAATTACATTAGCAGCGACGATACCACAAGCCCCATACATTCACCGCAAACTCATTTACCCAATGGCATCCCCAGTCTTGCTCAGACTCCCGCCGCGACGAGGTGGAATACAATTCCGTCCACCGTCGTGGAGAATTCAATATCCCCTTGGGGAGCGCGGACCGCGAGGCCCTGCCGGCGCCAGAATTGGGACGACGTAGTCAAGGGCGGGTTGTGACTGAGCAGCTTACATATTGCTTGGGAGCCTTTTGAGGCTCGACAGCTCGACGCTCTGGCTTGGTTGGACACCGCCAAGGGACTGCGTTCTCGAGCTTGGCCTCGCGGCTTATGGCTTGGCCCGTCCTATCTTCCTTCGCCCACGAAGGCTTGGAAAATCGAAGGGAATACCACCATACCCTACCCAGCGAGCCGTCGACGTCGACGCAACAATCGCCAAGGAGTCCCTGAGCGATCTCCACAGGGACATGGACAACTGCAGCGTTGTCGCGCACTTGTTGATCAACAACGGCAGCCATTCTCCTGGCTTCAGGTAGTCCGGAAGAGCCATGCCGTCGACCGCGAGCGACGTCAGATGATCGAGGTTGAGGAGGCCCAGATCGAGTCGAACTACGTACAACTAGTCGATAGATAGCATGCGGGGACGTACCAGAATACCACGCTGAGAGACCGCAGGTTCCGCACATTGCTGCAGCCCCCCGCGCCGGCTCCCCGACCCTTCGCTGTCCGCCAGCGGCCCTGGTGGTCTCTCTCATCAGGTATTTTCTACGTCGAAGAGCTGATGGAGTCGAGCTATTATTCATCTCTTTATCGGCCGCCATCACATCGCTGACGTCGGCAAGGAAGAGGCCATCTTGGCCGCTGCCGGTGGCGCGCGCGCAGCTGATGGGAGGTGCCCGCCCAAGGAGGTGCGCCGGGGAGAGGGCGGGGAGATCTCATCCCGCCTTCCTAGCTGAGCAAGCGCATCGATCTCCTCTCGAGCGTCATTCATCGTGTATTGCCACTTCATGCACCCATACCGCTGCGGCGGGCGGGGCGGGGCGGGTCGAGGTAATTTGCCAGGATGTACACGCCACAGACACATTCCCTCTAGCCAGGGGTCCGTGGTAGCGGAAAGCGCCGACCGATCTGGGTCTGGGGATTGTCCAGCCTTGGGGGACACGAGTATAGCGGATAGCGAGCAATGCTCTTCAAGCTGCGCACGGTAATACTGGCTTGCAGCCAAGACGTCCTCGACAGACGATACGGGCCTACAGCCAAGACGTCTTCGACAGTCGACACAACAACAATAACGCATGGCTTGGTAAGAACAGGAGGGGGGTGCGTGGCGGCGGGTACTGTGTTATTGTACGGATTCCCACCTTGTCCGGTAACTCCCTTCATGTGCGTCCGCTTGTTTACGTTCCTGTACCTCCCGTGGACCCTTTCATCATATGCATGTCCACAACAGTTTACAGACTTTCAGATGGGACATTGAGATGGACAAGAATCGACCTGAATGGGGATGCTATGTTGGAGCGGCGACGGCCGGCCCGGCTTGGATCGTTAAGGGGAAGTTGGCAAGTCGCTAGGCAGAACGACGGGCGAGCGGGTGCGATGTGGCCAGCTGGACATTGTCCGATGGTTTGAGAGTTCGCAATAGAAACATCGTGTTAATTTCGATGTCTTTGGGTCGAGTTCGATTGGTTTTACGCATGAGCCATAGGTTGTGGAGATCATCTAAGGTCACTCGCCTTAACATGTCGTCCCAGGGGCTAGTGGCCCTCGAGACTGGTGGGGCTGTCTCTGAGGATGCTCAGACAATTCTTTTGTTGGAAACGGCCTATCGAGCCCAAACAGAGCAAATGGCCCAAACTCATCTCTTGGTGGCAGATCCTGGGCACACTCGAACACAGACCACCCCTCATTTATTAACGCAATACCCGATCACGTAGTACCTACTCCGCGTGAGGGGTAACACTCTTATCAGGGCTACCAGGGAAGTTGCCACTGGCCCTTAGATATGTAATCAGATAGCGCCCCCGCGACCTTCCCTGATCGCAGGAGCGGCGAGATTGTTGTTGAGGCTCCCAGCTCGCGGACATGGACCGCATTCACCTGGTCCTATTGGCTGTGATTCCGGTCATCTTGCTGCTGGTAACTAGGCTAGCTCGCCGACTCATCCCTCGGCAACCGAAGGGGATCCGGGAGCCGAAATCTCCATATCTGCTCGATTTTCCCCCGTCCCGGCGACATGTCCTTGCCCGGCTTCCCCAATTCGAAATGGGTGCCAAGCCAGCTGCGATCCCGGCTGAGGTCTTGAGGGCTCAGGCGCTCCCGACGACGGTAGGGGAGTCGAATATCAGACGGGACACCTACTACACGACGACCGGGCTATCGACCCGAGAGGTCGACCTCCTGGGCCGCTTCCCCGACTACGCCCTTCTGAGCGGCGTCCCCCACCCCGAGCCATGCAGTCCATCCTGGGACATCTCCAAAGCCGTGTTCCGACCGTTCAGGCCATTCCGCTGGAAATACCACCAGCACATGGGTGCGTACAGAGAGAGAGAGAGAGCTCTCCCTCCCGAATCACTTTACTCAAACGTCTTATTATTGAACTTAACCCCCCCTGACCAGCACTAATGAAATACGACCCCAAATTCTGGATCGAGCTAACGCGGGACTACCACACCACCCTCTCAGCCCGCCAATCCCTCCTCCTCGCCCACCCTTCCGAAATCCTCTTCCAAACCCCCTCGCCGGCATGCACCCTGGCCGTGCGCGAGCTGATGGAATCCCTCCTCCAGTTCCTCACCCGCCGCTACCCGCAACACTTCTCCCTCTCCGCCGACGACGACCGCACCCTCTTCCACAACGCCCTCCTCGGAACCACCACCAACCTGCTCACCACCCCTCCCTTGCGGGTCATCTTCGAGCATATCCCCGAGGACTACGCGCTCATGCTCCGCGACCCGAGCGATGGGCGGTACTACCTGCGCGCCGCGGCCGTATGCTCTTCTGTTGGGTGGCATATTGCACAGCACCGTGATAAGCCGCTGCGGGAGATTCATGGGGAGGTGCCGGATGCCGGTAGGATGGGGATGAGTATGGATCGCTGGTTTGCGCGGCTGGCGACGGATGGGCCCGTGGCGAGGTGCTCGTGGAGTTTGGAGGATTGGGAGGTCATGTTTGCTTCGCCTGCTGTGGAGGAGAGGGAGGGGAGGGCGTGGAGGAGGGGCAGGTTTAGTGTTGCTGATAGTACTAGTGGGGAAGAAGGTGGTGAAGTGGGGTTGACGGTGAGGGATGTCAGGCTGAGATGTGATGCGCAGACTCTTAGGAGGTTGCCGGTCAGTGGGGCGGTGGTGTTTAACTTCAAGGCTGTGTTTACGCGGTTGGAGGAGCTGAGGGACGAGCCGTTTGTTCCGGCGCTGTTGGGGACTGTGTTGCGGGAGGGGAAGAAGGAGTTGGTTGAGTATAAGTGCGAGGAGCATGTGAGGAGGGTGGCGAATGAGGCATTGAATGCGTGGGCTGCTGAGCAGGTGGAGCAAGGAGTTGTGCCGTCGGATTGGGATGTTGGGACGCTCGATGAAAGTCCCTTCTTCCCTGGGTGGCAGGAGAAATGGCGGAGACAGCAGGGGCTGGGATAGGAAGGTGAGGGGGCCACATGGTCGGGAGTATACGTCCTGAGTAAATGCTCACGTAACACACTGCTCGTTCCGGATTCATTGAAGCACAGCTCCCTTTCATGTCCACGTTTGTCCTAAGGATCAACTCTTCCTCTTCTTCCTGCTTTTGTGGACGCTGGAAGGCCTTCCCTTTAGGGGGAAGCCTGTGCTAGAGGCAGGCTAGAGGTCAGCGACAGGACATGGAGGTTGTGCCCTTTTTGGGCAGGGCTTCCATTTCTCCCCCCAAGTCAGACCACAAGGCAGAGCGAGGACCAGTTCACAACCGGATAAGAGGGGAAACAGGATACCTAGAAATCTAGCTACCCGGTGGCTTTATTGATGAACCGGCTTTAAAGCCGACCAAGGGAGCGAACTAATGGTTACATTGACGGTATTAGTCGTGGTTGTTGCAAGATGCCGAAAGAATCCTCAGCTTTCGCCAGCAGTCAGACCCGGTCTTGTCCACTGATCGGGCACACAGCCGGTTGCTCCTTCCACATGTACTACCTTAGTCACAACTCACAAACCACAAAACATCTGGGTAGTACCTTGCCACTAAACAAGAGCCAGTGTGCTGTTGAACAAGGTTGATAATAACGGATGCGAGTTCTGGATGAACAAGAAGGAACGGACTTGCGCAAAGAAACTGAAGGAGGGGGCGCATAACTTGCCTTCATAAACTTTGGTTCCCTGATACACGGAAAGGCTAATCTTGACCACGTTGGGAGCAAGTTATTGACAACTGTGTCCATTTCCTGAAGTTGCGGTTCCATCTCGCTCGAGGCCAGCTGGAAGAGGCCAAGACATCACAAATCGTAGACGGCAGGCCCCGAGAGACTCATTGAGGTATTGCCCACCCGGCGGAAAGTATTGTACCAGCAATCCACTCCAAACTCAAGACGATGGTCGAGACGTAGAACCCACTGATTATTCCGTATGCGATCCCGAGGAAGAGGAAGAGGAAGAGGAAGAGGAAGAGGAAGAACGTGCCTTTGACCAGCTTGTTGTACCGTTTGATAGATGAGCTGAAACTCTCGTGGGTCATTGGGTCGTTTGTGCTAGCACGAGATGTGTGGGGAATCGAGGTGGTCGTTTGAGGGATACGCAACGTTCATTAACCTCAGATATGTATTGGCAGGTCTTTGCGGCTGATCTGAACACGTAGACCTGCCGTCCCGATCGATATACGTTGTCGGATCTTGTGAGATCACGACCTGCGGTTGGGAAGGCGAACTGACTACCTCATGTAGGTGGTGGTCATTATCACAAAGCATTTGGCGGGTTCGGAAAACTTCCATCGGCACCTGGCCGGGGATCGGACTCGGGGATCGGCTGAAAAAGTGGGTCTGAGTCTGAAACGGCCGGCCCACTCACGGCCCCGTTCCGTCTCCGCGCAGCCGGTCCGAAGATCCACAAACACCAAGACGGTGATCAGGGTTTTGGAGATAGCAAGGTTTTGAAACGAAATGTTCTTCCTAGATTCGATGCGGCACCTCCGAGAAAGTCTTAGGCCGTGAAGTCGGTCGCGGGTGATCGCCCAGCATCAGTTGATCCGAGCATGGGTCTACGTCTTCCGACTCGATGGCGCGACCCATGGCCCGGCCTGCCACTGATCACGGCCTGAAACAGTCGGTCACCAAAACAGCTATGTTGACAGACCTCGGTGAAAAGGCGTTCGTGTCGGCAACCGGAATCCTACAAGTTTTAACTCATCGTTTGCAGACGGTCCGCGATCCGGTCACCTGGTCTAGAGAATCGTACCCGGACCATGTTAGAAGCAAATGGAAAAGGGGATGGACAGATCCATAGTCCGATGAGTGTTTCGGTCTGCTTGGTAGGTTGATCATTTAGAGCGTGCGAGGTGCATAGGATCAAAGTATAAAAGGGGCGAAGATGATTTAGCTCCACCTCAAACATCCTCATCCCACTCCCAAACACCCAGTCAGCAGAGCCGATCTTCAAGAAGCAACCACCACTTTGACTCCGTTACAAGTAAATATCACAGATCCATCACCAAACCCACAACACATCACAAAACCGCAAAGATGAAGTACACCACAGCACTACTCTCCCTCGCCGCCCTCGCAGCCGCGGCACAAGTTCCAGCCCCAGACGCCAACAATGCCGCAAACGCCACTGTTGCTGCACGCAAAGTAGCAGGCACCCACAGTCATGAGAGCACAACTTCCGAACGCCACGTGAGCGGGAGAGATTCGACGGCTGCACCGAACGTCCTGGAGGCCAGGAAAGGGGGGGTGAGTGGATCGCGCGGTGCATTCCGCAGTGGTGGCAGCACCGTCCCCTTGAGCAACAGCCACCACGGCACCTCTGGTACCAGTGAGCTTTTGAGTGTGGATATTGGGGCTCTGGTTCTCGGGCTTGTTGGCGGTGTTGCCGTGGGCGCAGGATTGTTCTGATCTTCTGATCTGATTGGGGTGCGGCAAGGAAATAACGTGTTGGTTTCATTCTTGGGATTTGCGAGTTTACGTGGGCGGTATTACCCGGGGATTGAGGTGTTTATGGTGTCTTGTTTTGTTTGCTCTGCTGCAGGCAGCCTTATGACTGGATCGACAAATAACCTGTTAGGAATGTTGATGGCATTGACGCTGCTCCCTGACTGCTACAAGCCTCTTGTCTCCCATAGGTGAACGAGAAACTCGATTGGACACAGACGGTTGAGTTATTCCAGTATCTGGAAGGAAGGTGTCAGATCTTGATGTACACTGGGAGGGCTTGAAGTAAGTGTCTGTTGTGCAAGATGTTGGAAAAAAGGCAGGATTACAGTTCGGAATTTGTTTGCCTGTGTGCCGGTTCCCCAAGAGACCTGCAGACAAACCCGTCCAACTGCAGCGCTGCATTGCATTAGTTGCCCAGGTAAGGTGATTGTGGGACACCACGGCACTTGCTGGAGATTCAACCATCGCTGCTCTTACCAGAGCTTGATGGCATCATAAAGAAAACTCGATGGATCCCTCGAAAGCCACAGCATGTACTATACAGTTGTAACATCATGGTCGTTAATGTTCTACCTCAACGACATCCACTATTTGCCGCGTCGACATTGAGACTGCCTCCTTTAAGACTGCTCAATTCCTCCATGACCCATTCGGTCCAGCAATTTGAACTCCCTTGCCTTCCTCTCCTTTCCGCGACTGCTCGCTTGGTTCGGGTCTGTCTACGTCCCCGGTTATTCCTCAGCGCGAATCTCCTACTCGGCCTCCCCCCATACCTTCTCCACCGCGCTCTTAACCTTGAGCAGCTTCATCAGACCGTTATGGTTGCAGCCGAGTTGGAAGCCGCGGATGTCGGTCTTTCATGGAAGTAGACCATGGCCACCAGCGAATGCTGGTAAGCCCCCCAGCTCCAGCCCAGCTTGTTGTCGGCACAGTCCCAGTTCTGGAGGTACTGTCCATCATACGGTATCGAGGATGTCATCCCATACCCCAAAACCACCCGATCACTGGTCCTGGTTGCGGATCGTGATGCTGGACATTGAAATGGGTTATAGACTGCACCGATCTCTGTTTCCTTAGGCACTCTTCGTCACTAATCTAACTGTTGCCTGCATAACCATCACCCTATTCCCTTGAGGAACGAGCACATCATCTTGTTCTGTATCCGTTCTTCGCGGTCTGCCCTCTCGGACGGCTATGAGCACACTCCCCGCTCCAGCCCTCCAAGATAACAACCTATCGTGCCCAGCAGCAGGGAAGATGTGATAGTCGGTGTATTCGTAATCTCCGTCGATGGTCTGATCGCCCTACTCGTTATGCTCAATACGTATCCACGGAACTGGCTCAGAGCGGCGGGCGCTTACGTCGGGCATGGCGACAGTCAGCTATCGCTCGAGGTACGGCGGTGAGAGGATTGCGTGTTGAGTGTGGAGACACCGATCTTCCGCCGATGAGGTCAAACGCGACCTACCCTTCAGTAAGGCTCGATTGCAAAGGGTATGGGAGGAGTTGTGGGACGCGGTGCCAAACAGAGAGTTGTTGCGTCTGGCAAGAGATGGCGGGGAACGGCCTCCTAGACCGTTTGCATCGACGTAGAGACGGTGTGTAACACACGGCGGGCGGGCCAATGATGGGTTTCGAGTCGATACACAAATTACGGTAACTGGGCTGATTGCGTGAACAAAGAAATTGTGAGGCAGGCAGCAAACCAAACTGAGGCCTACAGCGAAGGAGGCATACACATGTATCACTACACTTCTGTTTAGGTATCGGTATTTAACCGAGTCAGAAAGGAAAACATTCCCTTCGAACCTCTCATTTTTTCCTCATCAGACTTTCACTTCTGAACTCCAAAATTCCACTCAACTATCATCACTGGCACTTCTCTTTACCGACCCGAAGATGGCTTCCAGCACCATCACCTCCCTGTCTCATTCAGAGCTAGCTAGCCTTTCGGCCCCCGATGGCAAAATAACTGGGGTTCAGCACCTTGCCTCTTACAACTGGCTCGAGAGGCCAGCGGCAACGATCTCGGTTCCTGGTAAGGCGCCTCCCCTGGCAACTTTCATGGTGATAAGCCATTACTTGGTACCTTAGCCACTGACTCTCAAAAAGGCGGGCCCCCTCGTTGGTCGCCGCCCTCCCACGCCCCGAAGCTGACTCCCGATGCCGGCACGGTCTACATCGATCAGAACGCCGCTCGCAACCCGCGCTCTCCGCTGGAGCCGCTCTTCCTCGCCCTCTACACGGAGCACCCAGATTTCAACATCGGAGATGTGGATCTCGTCACGGATCGGAACAACATCCGCAAGCTCCTGCGCTTCGTGCAAGGGTCGTCCACCGACCCGTTTCAGATCCGCGTCGAGGTGGCTGGCAAGAAGACCGCTTTGTTCACGCGCGTGGAGGAGAGGACCACGGAGACCATCCAGGGCTTCCGCGGCTACGGCCACAGTTTTGAGAAGGCATACACCAAGGGCCAGAGTGACAGTGCCGGCCACCACAGGATTGTTTCGTACGCTTTTGGCGGGCTGCGGTGCATCGTCCGGCATGAGGTTGACGGCTACGTCCATGACAAAAAGGCTGCGGTGGACGTTGCGGACGACCTCGGCGATGCGATGAAGAAACTGGCCATCTCCAAGCCGGGAGTCGCCATCAAATATCCCGGGATGCTCAGCATTGAGGAACAAGGCAATGCGGTGGATTTGTCGACGACTCTGGAGATCAAGACTCGAGCGTCCCACCGTGCGCTCGACATGGCGGATGTTTCGCCGCAGCTCTGGATCTCGCAGACTCCGCGCCTGGTTGTTGGCTATCACCGGCGGGGCGTATTCGATGACGTGCGGCTCAGAGATATGACCAGGGACCTTGCGCAGTGGGAAACCAGAAACCAGAAGCATCTCTCCATGCTGGCTGGACTTCTGAAGAAGATCATCGACGTGGTCGGGTCCGGCAGTGGTGACCGCAGGGCGCTCGTAAAGTACGAGGGCGGAAGTGTGCTGAAGATCGTTACCGTTGAGGGAGCTAGGGCGGCACTGCCTGAGTACTGGTATCCAAAGTGGGAGACGAAGGAAGAGCAGAAGGTAGAGGGCGTCGATGTGAAAGAGGACACGGAAGGTGCCACGGCGGTGGAAAACAAGAAGGAGGACACGGATCAGTCGGCTAAGTGAAGTACTACAGGTACTACTAGTACCTAAACTACTAGTAGTATGGAATCTCTCTGCTCACAGGATCATTAGGTAAGCGTCTGAACTTGGTAACGTTAGTCGGTGGCATTGCATTACAGGGTCTGTCTAAGACTGCTTGAACTTGCCGAAAGTTCAAGTAGGCAAGCGTTGCTTTATTGACTTGTCACCTGAAATGGCTTTCGGTGGTCTTTCATTTATGATGATACTATCCGCAGGTATCCGCAGGCTTTCCGCCCAAATCTTGCAGGTTGTCCATATGAGTGAGCAGCCACCAAGAAGCCGGCAGTCAATGTCGAGACGAGACAAAGGGAAAGGGGGATCTCACCTGCCAAGCCTTTCTTCCGACTTCCGCCAAAGAAACCCGCAAAAGCCCGCAAGAAGTCCGCATCAAACCCGCAATACGCTCCCGCCATTTTTGTTTTGGCAACCCGGCATCGAATATTGGCCCTTCTCACCTCCGAAACAAGCTATCCCTTTTCCATGGCTTCACTTAGCGGCTACCCATCAACATCAACTGCGGCACCGATGCGGAGCCGCCGCCAGCGGACGTGCATTCCGTGCGCAAAGGCCAAGCGAAGGTGTGACAAGACAATCCCTTGCTGCATACGATGCGTAGACAGAGGCGTCAGTTGCATCTACAAGCCACGGCGAGGGGTCTATGCTACGATGGATAATCCAGGAGCTGCTGGCGAAGCCACCATCATATCCACTCAAGGCGGGAAAAGTACCGAGACGGCTGTCCCTCAAGATTCCTCTTCCGCCGCAGCCGATGCAACTGTCGCCGCCGACTACCGCTGGTTCCTCTCCCCGCCTTCCTGGGTACCTCAGCACGGATTATGCGCGGAAGAGCCTGCCCTGGGCGAGGAGACGTTGCCGCACTTCATCAACAAGCTGAAGAGCTGGGCCGAGACCTGGGTTCGCGAAGGTCACAGCCCGCTCATGCATAGAGAGCTGTACCGCAGCTGGATGCCCGCGTGTGTGGAGGAGGCATAATTACACCAGTCTGGCCGCTTACAATACGGCGTCCGCCGCCAGTGGTGCGAGGCAAGCCGCCTTGCGCATCATGGAAGAGCGCTGCAGTCGGCTTATTCAGTCGCAGCCAGTACCACTACAGCAAGTCTGCAGCAACAGCGACAACCTCTCGCCGTGTATTCTCGTCGACACGCTCGCCCACCTTGCTCGCACTCAGGCCTTGTTCGTATACCAGTTGATCCGGCTCTTTGATGGCGACATCCGCGCCCGGGCCCAGGCCGAGTGCCACATGGATATCCTCGACGCTTGGGCCATCCAGATGCTGGATAGTGCGCGACTTGACTGCATTCTGCAACATACTACCCAGGACGACAGTCCCGAGCTCACCCAACTGCCTATGACCGTTTTCAATGATATCACTAGCACTGGTAGCATACCAGGACAACCGAGAACAACAACAGCAAACAACCCCCTAAACCCAGACCCAAACCTGGCCCAGAGCCAGAACCCTTTCGCTCTCCCACATGGTTCCGAGATGCAACCGCCACTCCTCTGGCGCACCTGGGTCACAGCCGAATCCATCCGCCGCATCTACCTCGCCGCCACCTTCATGCAGTCGGTCTACCGCACGCTTAAACAGGGCTGGTCGGCCTGCCCCGGCGGCGCGGCATTTACTGCGCTGTCTGGGTTGTGGGATGCTAAAAGTGGGTTTGAATGGATGGGTATCCTGCGGGATACTAGGATGTGTCACACTATGGAAGGTACTAGTAGTACTACTGGTACTAGTAAGGAAGGGGATGTAGCACGGGGCTTGTCGCCTTGGGTGATGGTGCAGAGCCTGGAAGCGTGGAAGATCTTGAGGCAGGGGAGGTGGGAGGAGGTGGATGAGTTTGCGAGGGGGGTGTTGGAGATTAGTTATGGGGTTGAGCGGGTTGAGGGGTGGAGGTTTGAGCGTGGCTAAGAGAGATGTGAAGTTGGGCGACTCCATCTTACGGGGACAACATGGCCCAGGTAAAAGATGGGTACGAGGAAGCTATATGCGTTTGCGATCATTGCCCGAGAAAAAGAGAAGACTATCTACGAAATTGATGGCGAAGTGAGAACCGACATCAAGGGAGAATTCATCGCTGACATAGTGCTCGAGCAGCCTGGCAATTTCCAGATGTGGTTGCTGCCCATGATGGTCACTGGGATTGGCGCAGTTGGGGCCCATCAGCAGGAGTTGTTCAAAGTGGACAGCCTGGTGATGATGGTGCGGTCGACCGAACCCGGCGTGGCGAGCAGCAACGATGGAAGTTACATGCGAGTCGGTTACTTTGGGAACACGCACTATTTCGTTGGGACGATGGATAGGACCTTCGGACTCAACATACATCCGTTTGACTCTGATGAGGAAGAGCCTGGTGAGACTGGGGAAGACTGGGGGGATCATGAAACCCTAGTCGCTGACGGTTTTGATGGGCGCTCCATCAGATTTCGAAGGCGCCCAGCACCGTGTCATGTAGTCAAAGTTGTGTAGGTAGAGGACCGGGCTTTCAGTACTACTATGATTGCAAGAGCATCATACGTTTGGTAGCCCTAGCCTGAAAACGAATATCACGACTCACCATCTTGTCGTCCGCTGTCCCAAGGCACGGTGGTGGATCATTTCGTTCACGGATACATACCGGATTGGCGCGCTTGTGAGCCCCCCTCCAATACGACCCAACTCCCCAGATCGACATCTACCGGGTATTCTTGGCTAAGGTGCAGTCAGGGCTCTTCAAACACAAATATTGCGCCAATGACGCATCAAGGACTGTTACCTAGCTCCCGACGACTCAAACGATATAAGGCTAGTAGAAGCCACAACACAAGTAAAGATGATGCCAAAAAGGTAGCACAAGAGGCATCCAACTGCCACTTCGATAGATGCCCACTACAGTTTCATAGCCCCCGTTGAGTCCCCGAGGCCTGTTCACCATGGAACGACTCTTCTCTCTTCTTCTATGTCTCCTCGCCACCGCCGACGCATCACCCGCCCGACACGCCGCGGCCAGCCCCCGCGCCGCGACATTCACGAACCCGGTGCTCTGGGAGGACTACCCGGACCTGGACGTATTCCGAGTCGGGTCCGTGTTCTACTACTCGTCCTCCACCTTCGCCTACTCCCCGGGAGCTCCGATCTTGCAATCCCACGACCTCGTCAACTGGACCCCCGTCACGCACTCCGTGCCCCGACTCAATTTCGGCCCCCAGTATGACCTCCCCAACGGCACGCCAGGCGCCTACGTCAAGGGCATCTGGGCGTCAACCCTCCGCTACCGCGCCTCCAACGACCAGTTCTACTGGTACGGCTGCGTCGAGTCCAACAGAACCTACCTCTGGACCGGCCGCATCAACAACAACACCTCCTCCACCAGCACCTCACCGTCCTGGACCTGGACCCCCCACCCTCCGCTCCCAACATGCTACTACGACAGCGGCCTCCTCATCGACGAGGACGACACAATGTACATAGCGCACGGCAAAACCACCATCCACGTCGCGCAGCTCTCCAAGGACGGCCTGGCCCAAGTCCGCAGCCAAGCCGTCTACACGGCGCCCAACAACGCCTACATCGAAGGCGCGCGCATGTACAGGGTGAACGGCACCTACTACATCCTGGTCACGCAACCCGCGTCGGCCGAGTGGGTGCTCAAATCGACAAGTGGAAATCCCTTCGGTCCGTACGAGGCCCGCGTGCTGGTCGATCGTATCCCGGGACCGATTGGCGATGCCGGGTTTGCGCACCAGGGCGGGATTGTGGATACACCCGGGGGTAAATGGTATTATGTCGCGTTTATGGATGCGTATCCCGGCGGGAGGATCCCCGTGGTGGCGCCGCTAAGGTGGGATGAGGATGGGTGGCCGGAGGTCGTGAGGGATGAAGGAGGGGCGTGGGGGAAGAGTTATCCGCTGCCGGTAGGAAGTACTGGAAACAGTGGGAATGCGGGGGTGCAAATGCAGAGGGATGAGTTCAAAGGTGGCGAGTTGAGCCATCACTGGGAGTGGAACCATAACCCGGATGATGCGAAGTGGGAGCTGGAGGAGGAGGGCGAGGGTGGCGGGGGGTTGGTGTTACGGACGGCGAGCGTGACGGGGGATTTGTTTGCCGCGCGGAACACGCTGACGCGGAGGATCACGGGGCCGAAGTCGATGGGGACATTCAGGTTGGACGTGAGCAGGATGCGGGACGGTGATAGGGCCGGGGCGGTGCTGTTCCGCGACCAGGCCGCGTACATCGGCGTGTGGAAGGAAGGAGGTAACGCGCGCGTTGTCATGGTGAATAATCTGCGGCTCGCCGAAGGAACCTGGACGACGTCGTCCACGGGCACGGTTGCTGCCACCGGGCCAACTCTCGGTAGCGCCCAGGAGGTTTGGTTGAGGATCGAGGCGGACATCACCCCTGGGTTTAACACTAACACGGCTCGGACCGCGATGTTCGCGTATAGTCTTGACGGGAAGACCTTCACCAGGTTGGGACAGCTGTTTGCCATGACCAACTCGTGGCGGTACTTTTCGGGGTACAGATACGGCGTCTTCAACTTTGCCACGAAGGCGCTTGGCGGCGAGATCAAGATGAAGAGCTTCGAGACGGAGCTACTGTGAGCTACTAGTACCGGTACAGGTGCATCTGGATCAAGCACATCCGAGTCGCTCTCGGGGTGGGTGATGTGGGATGGTATGAGGGGCATGTTATGTTCTTGTACGGAAAACCTCGTAGTGTGATCTCCGCTATAGTTCTAGTAGGAGATTGGGATACTAGGTCTACAGGCCAATGCATTCCCCAAAAGTTGCCCTCAGCGATTTCCGTTGTTGTGCATTGTCCTGAGCTGCGGCTGCTTTAACCTGAGCAAAGGTGAGCCTGGTGGAGCTGAGCCAGAGTGAGCCTGGTGGAACTAAGCTAGAGTGAGCCCGGCCAAAATTGCCCTTTGAGACTGCGGACCGCTAAAACCAATAGCCAACCATATATATAGGGTTACTGCTCGGACCCCACTGCTAGGACCGCTATTGGACACGCCCCGATCCTTCCTTGCCCCATATAAACTACCTATGACACGTAATCTATCGTCACTCAAGTCCCGGTCCTATGAATGTTTAAACTGCGAGAGCCATTGGTTGCATTAGGCTGGAGTATAAACACTTCTCGAGTAGAACCGAATTGCGAAAGACCGAAAGCATAGCCTAAATGGATACTAAATAGTAACTACTTCTATGACTGAATATATTCCGACAACCTCTTGGATTCCGGCACCTCTAGGTCGACCCAAACCGCAAGAAGAATGCCTCGCCACGGCAACGCAAAGCAAGCGTATACGATACGAAAGGATCAAGGGGCTCGAGCATCGTTCATACGTAGCATTATAGAGGTACTACACCGGCGGTACAGCCTGTGACGAACATTTACTATATAATGGAGGGTCGGCTACGCGGGCTGGTGTCGGAGGCGTATGGAAATAAAGCTCTACGCCTATATTATACGCCCCGGGGGATAGGAGGCGAGGTGGCAAGCAGGGAGGGAAAACGAGAAACAGCCTAGACCCGCAGGGCGGCGAGGCCTACGAGAACCAGGTCATCTGCAGATGAATGCTATCGTCTAGGTCGGTGCCCGGCGAGGCGTCGCCGCTCCTGTTTCCTTCGTCGCCAATTGGATTCGCCGTCATAGCCATTGGGTTCAAGGGAATCGAAGACCCTCTACCGTATATAGTACAAGCAGGAAGCATACACCATAGTCGAAAGCTCGTTGCTAGCGGCTCAGGGCGCAAGGCAGACAATTACCAGGGCGGCTCGATCACGAAATACCCTTACCGGTCTCTACCTCCCAGATACTCCTTTCCAAGTCTGCCTTATCAATTACAGCAATCCCAAGGGAGGTCAATATGCTAGTCTAATACTCGACGAGACAAGGCCTACTAGGGCTCAGCTGCCGTAAGAGGAAACAAGGACTAAGGGGTTCATACAAAGAAATTGGCCAACACTGCTACCTATATAACGACCTTGGACGCAAGCCAGTCCCATCCATATGGCGTACGTTCGTTTGAATCTGAGGCGAGGCAGGTACAAACCTAGGAAAACAATAAGGTAGAGCAGCCGCCCATATAAGATAGCTCGGAAAGAGGTCGTTTCTTACTGGTTGTTCTAGAAGCGAGACGACAGTTGGAAGCGGCAAGCTTATCTGCAGTTTAGCCGCCCTAGTCAACCTTCAGCGACCCTTTGAATCATACGGCATTAAGTCACGGTTGTAATCTATAGCGGCACAATATCTCCTCGAGGCCTCCCTTCTCCGGGCGTTTCCTTCCGCCTTGGCCATCGCGCGATTGGCGAAAGTTCGAGGAACCTAGTAACCAGATGATCTTGGCTATAATGCAAGGCAGTACGATAGAAGTACGTTTTCCTTGCCTAGCCGCTAGGATAGGGTAAGGTAAACAAGGCAGTGGAAAACTAGGACTAGGACGTCGATAATATTGCGGTTGGAGGCTTTCTAGGCACGTAGATATTTTTCGTCTTTCGTCCTGCATTATTGCCTCTTCTCCTGACCCTCCTTGCTCTACGGAGGATACTATACCGAGCAGTGCCAAGCCTTGACAGCGTCATGAAGGATCGGCAACGCAGGTTGATGTCTGAGGCATACGGGCCAATACGTGAGGTGCTATGCTCATACACCCATGGGGGGTGGGGGAGGAGGAGGGCGGGAAGGCGAGAAAGGGGCTCGCCACAGGATTGCCCGGCCTGCTTCTCGGCTCGTTTGCGAGGAGTCACCGATCCCTGCGCTTCTTCCAAGGATCTCAGAGGTGGGCCGGTTTCATCCATGCCTTGAATTGATAGCGAGGCAGACACGACTCGGGGAAGCCGATGGGCTAGGCGGCTGCCCGTATGCGACAGTTGATGAGACAACCAGGGGAAGAGACTCATGGTGGGGGTGGGGGAGGAGATAGTGCCCCTGCATCGCAGCCGGCTAGCCGCTCCCTGGACCATGCGGGATTACGATCGGAGTCGTGATTCGTGGCGACACAATGTCTGCGAGGCCTCCCCTTTCCGGGCGTCTCCTTTCAGTCTCGGTGGTTGCGTGATTAGCAAACACTTGAGGAAACGGTGGATCGACTCTCTTGGCTACAATGCGAGGAGGCAGGACTATACAGAGCGGGGAGCGGCCGCCGTGTCTGCCGCGGCCGGGGGAAGCAGCCAGCAGCAGAAGCGGGCCGACGCGGTGGTCTACGAGAAGCGATACTCGATGCAGCTCCAGCGCGCCACGTATTACGAGTCGCCCAAGGCTAAGAGTATCTGGTTCCCCACGGCCCCTATCTACCAGCCGTCGCCCAACATCGTGCGCAGTCAATGCTACTGGTCCAACTGCGGCGCCGGGTGCCCGGCCAATTACGTACCCGTGCCCCGGCTCGATATAGACGCGAGCAAGAACGAGTTGATGCAGGACGGCGGGCAGTGTACTGGCGGCCGGCTGTGCCACTTCTGCTGCCCGTCGGGCAAGGCGATCCCCAAGTGCGGGTGGTTTGACTTCTATAACGGCAAGTACAGCAAGTTCGGCACCTGCCTGTCTGGCAGCGAGGATATTTTAGGCCCCTTGTTCCGCCAGCGCGAGGTCGGCTCGACCCAGACTGCTTGCAACAATGGCAAGGCCCAGGTGGCCTGCTGCGAAACCAAAGACGAGGACCTCAAGTCGCTCGACTCGATGCGCGGCTATGACGTCTGTAGGTGGCTCGGCTAGGCGCCCGGCCACTGTGATACGTATAGCTACGTCGACTATAAGGCCGCGCGCGCCGGCGCCTATAAAGTCGGGGACCCGAGCCGCCCCTACTACCTGCTCGGCACGTTGTTGGGCAGCGGCGCCACGGCCTGTCACAACTCCGAGCTGGGCTGGAAGTACGACCAGTACCGCCCGCTGTGCTGCGAGGAGCCCAAGACGGACACGTAGTGGCTCGACTGCAATCTCGTCTCCGCCGAGCTCAAGGACGGCAACTTCTGCGAGGCCTCCTGCCCGACCGGTACCATCCGCCTGGCCATGGAGAAGCCGAATGTATACGACGACTGCAAGGGTGGCGCTCACGCTATGTGCTGCAAGCCGCGCTTCCTCACCAAGGCCACTAACGACGCTGAGATCCACGACGGCTACTTCCAGGCCCTCGTGAAGGTCCTCGCAAGCCCAGATAAGTGCGACTAGGTCAAGTATAAGGAGGAGAACTCGCCCTCTCAGGTCCAAGCGCGCGACCAGGCCAGCCCCCAGTGGGTGTTCGACTGTAAGGTCGCCGCGGAGGGCACGGCCAACATGCTAGGGAATTGGAACGTGGACCCCGATGTCCGCGAGAAGTACATGGCCGATTAGGATTGCGCTGTGAGCTCGCTGAGCATAAGCTACGTCCCGGCCTCGACCATGCAGCAGCTACCCACAGGCGACGCCTTCAGCACAGCTCCCTCGGCCTCCATCCAGACCGACATTGTTCAATACAGCCTCAACTTGGCAAAACCCATCAACGACACGAAGGCCAAGGGTGAGAAGCCAAAGGCATATGCATGCGACCCCACATACAACTGGGAGCCCAGCCCGGACCTAAACAAGGACATAGACGACAGCGGCAAGGAGGAGATTCAGCCGGATATTACTGGTGTCGTGATCCAGCTCACCCGCCGCTATGATAAGCTTCTTTCTGGTGCCGACTCGCCGCCGCTCTTAGCCCGGATGTTGGGCTTCCTTAACCTGTCCGAGGCCGAGGACTGGGTGGCCCTTTATAATGGCACTCAAAGTAGCACTCTCACTGCCGCCCTGGGCAAGCCCAAGCGCTACGCCGACCTATTCAAGGTCCCGGAGCAGTCCAAGAACAAGACACTGGAGGAACGTAATACCCGCTACCAGACGGGCAACATCAGGAAATATATAGTCTTGTTGTATACGTAGCTAGAGTAGACCCCCGATATTATCGAGTCGGCCCCCTATTCTAACGGCAACCAAGGCGACGATCTTATTGAGATCAACCAAGACCTATACCGCTACGTCGTCATACTATAGAGCTGCGAACCGGACGGATATACTCTGGTGACCTATGCCACCAAGGCCAAGGCGAAAGGTATCTGGGTCTCGGAGCATATCCTCGAGCTGAACACTATCGGCCGCTACTTAACGGCGTCTCTCGACGGCGGTCTCGGCGGCTCATCGGCCATTGATATGCCCATATACTCTTTCGAAAGGCGGGCTGCCAAAGTTGACGAGGCCGTGAAATTCGTCGGTATATAGGAGCCATGGTCCAATGTATACGCCATCTCGCCCGCCGACACGTGCCTGGCCCGGCTAGGCTCCGTGCAACACACCGACGGGCTAGTCGTGTGTGACTCGAAGCTCAACGGGATGAAGACGAGGCTCTACAAACTTGAGAGCCCCGTGGGTGAGACCACGTGGGAATCCAACTGCAGGTCTCCGACTCCCGAGAGCCTCGGGCGAGCGCTAGGCGCGACCCAGCTCATCTCGGCGGTCTTCGACTACTATAACGACGCCAACGTCAAGAAACGCCACCAGCAAGTCTATAATGACGTGATGACGGAGCTGAACTTGTTCACAAAGGCCTATGACTTCGCCTATGGCGGCAGGATCACCGGCAAGTGGACCGAGGGCGACTGGGAGCGTCGGTGGTGGGAGTTCATGTTAGCATATTTTCTGCGCGTCGAGAGCCATACACGTATATGGCTCCAAAACAAGCTGAACGGCCTTGACGAAGTCTGGCACGAAGCATTCGCACGGTGCGGCTCGGACAAAGACTGGTGCACGTTCTGCATCCATGCACGTAAACTCATCAGGAAGCACTGGGATGCTGTTACAACAGGACAACATGTCAAGTTTGACTTTGGAATCTTTGAAAAGCCGAGATTTCAAGTTCCAATGGATTGACACATGACGTATGTAAAGGGTATCTCGACGAGCGAGAGGGGATGTGGGCTGGGAGTCAGGGGCGAGCGTGCTAATAAGAGATGGTACCTATCTCGGCAAAAGAAGTATCCCTCGGAGGCAGTTTTGTTTAGAATTTAGATAGTAGCTGTAATGCCAAGTTCACAGACACTTCCACGACGGTGAACTGGCTATCCTTCCGTTTGCACTGAACCGCCAGCACGTGTGTCTAAAACGTTGCAAAGGGCCATGCACATACTACATACCTCATAAAGAGAAGGTGCTCCAAATACACTCATGGTCGACCGGATTACATCGCGCCCGCCTTCTTCGCCTCCCGCGCCCGCATTTCGTACATGTCACGCTGCTGGTCAGTCAGCGCTTCCCACCTCGCCAGCACCTCCCCGAAGCCTAGCCCGGCATCACCGGCCACGAGGTCGTCACGAAATACCTCGAACCCCGAGAGAGGAAGCACCGGGTTGCGGGTGGGATCGCTTATCCGGAAATACTCCAAAAAGTCTGCAGAGGGAGGAGGCACCGGCCGCGGGGGCGGAGGGGCCGGTAACCCGGCATCCTTGCAGGCAATTCTCCTCTCATAATCGGCCCAAGCCTCGCGGCGTCTCGCCTCGTCCTGCGCGCGGTAGACTTCCTTCTGCTGCTCGGGCAGGGCCGCCCAGCGCGGGGCGGCGGCAAATGGCAAGTCTGAAGGGCTGTCCGTGTCCTCTCCGAACAGCTGGTAAGCGCTAGTGCCGGCGTACGTGACAGGCCAGGGCCCGGAACCCTGCATGTCTGTTCGCGATGGGGGCTGGACACCCGGTTGCGAGAAGGCGCAGCATGAGCACGGAACCGCGAGCGATCACGGGGAAGAGGTCGGCTTACCGTAGCCATATACTTGCGAAAAGCGCGCTGTATAGGGTCCATGGGCGGGGCTGCCTCCATAAGGGGCCCCATGGCTTCGAACTCGCGTTCCACAGAGGCTTTCCAGACGGCAAGGTCCGGCCCCAGGCGGCGCGATAGTAATGCGTCGACGTGTCCGAAGCCTGGGATCTGGTGGACCGCCTCGCACTTTGACAGGGAATAGTCGTCTCGGGCATAGAATTTATGGGCGATTAGAAAGGCCTCGTCATCGCTGATGACGGTGTCGAACTGGCCATGGTCGAGAGCGTCCTTGGCCTTGGCATGCAGCTCGGCCGTGGTGCTGAGACTGCCGCCGGTTGCCCGCTGGATGTTGGTGCGTACTACGTCCGGCGGTGGCCATCCGCGAGCCTCGTGGATCTCGTCGGTGGTCAGAGAATCGGGATAGGCAAGCGCCTTTCCTAGGACGTCGCCGCGGCTAAGGAGCAGCTGGCGCTCCTCGTCAGTGAGCTGGTCCTGGTGGTCCCGGGCCTTGTCATAGAGGCTCGTAGGAAGGCGGTCGTAGGCTACTTGAATTGAGCGCTGCTGCCTCCGAACGTCGCGATCTATGGACTCCATAATAGCCGCTTCATTACGACGCATGATCTCGGCGCCCTCCTTGGTACTCGAGTCGATATCAGGGTCGGGCTAGTCCTCCTTGCGATAGAGGTGCTCGGGGTCGCTACTAGGTGATTCCGCCATCTCGAATTAGCGATTAATGGGAGGTACAGTACAAGACTGGTTGGTTTGTTAGCACGTTGCACAATACTGCCTCTCACAGGGGGCCTATATCAAACATTGAAGGGCTTCACTTCAACCATAATATCCTCACCTCTGGAGAAAATGAATAGGGGGCAGCAGATATGCTTTATAAGATTCAATTCATGCTAGCGGCTCTTTTTTATATCAAGAAGGGTTGTTCTTGTATTGACTTCGTGGCTCTGGTAGAGCCTTTGGTCGTCAATTCAACTGCGGGGTAACTGACATGTGGGGTACGATGCAATACCAGAATATACTGTACTGTACAATACAAGCATACAGGGCGGGCGATAGGTAAGGTACATCTACCTACTGCCCACCTATTTCCACGTGAAGGTGACATTGGTATAATGGACTTATATATACCTAGGGGAGCTGACAAGGGCGTTAATGACCTAATAACCGGTCAAGTGTCCGTGTAGGGTGGTCAGCTCACCTAGACACTGGTTGTACCGTACATATATATATAGCACAATACATACAGCAGGTATCTGTAATACATACCTACGGTACCTAGGTAATCAATCCGTTACTGTATTCCGTACTTGGTTATAGGCCAAGAATCGGTAGGGCACTCCTCAGATCTCTTCAACCTACAGTGCACAACGTGCCAGTAAGCTGAACTTCAGTGACCACTGTTTTGGCTCTCGGCCCCATTCAGGTCGTTCAATTAATCAATTGCTCTGATACCGTGAGCCCTGCTCCAACCATCACGCGTTTCTCATATTACCGACCCTAACCAACACGTTCTTGTTCTTTCCAGCTTGTTACCACAATAGCTCGCTGCCCAAGAGCACCTCAGCCTCCCGTCTCGTTCTGGCATGCCGGTTGTTATGGTTGCCGATACTCAACCTAAGTTGCAGGCCGTTCTCGCAGAATGCAAGCTTATGGCATGGGTAGGTCATTTCCTGCGCCTTCGTTGAACAAGTAATCGTACAAGTGACAGAACAGACGCGACAACTTGAACGACTCAAATATAAGAGCATCGCATTATATCTCCCTCCCAAGGGCTGGCTTTTTTTTTTTTGGCGCGATCAATAGCGCGCGTCCGCACTCTGAACACTAGCCGCTTTGGTCCTTGCATCGGACATAAAATAAATCTCGGTCCGGCATCTGCCTCCCGAATCTGCTCCTCGCCGTAACACGGCTACGGAAGCCCAGACCATAAGAACTGCGTCTCGGCCGGAAGGTCAAACAGTTCGTTTAGGGCTATTAACCCTACCATTCCAATAGCGGGCATCTTATCCCAAGTCCTTGGGAAACTATACCACCGACTCAAACTCGCTCAGACTAGCTATCTATATGTGCGTCGATCCAGCTACCGAGATGGTCGAGGCCTATTGGGATTCCGGAATGGGCTGCTGGCTCCATTGACGCTAGTATATGTTACCTGATGATGGCTAGGCGCGGGAGATGTTACCCAATTCCGTGGCGGCAAAGCTCTCATTGTCCAATGACCGGATCTCGGATAGCAAGAAGACAGGGGTTTGGCACCGTTTGGGCAAGCAGAACCACAACACACTCGAGCCTCCGCCCTTTTAGCCTTGTCACTTTGCAGGAACAGGCTGGAATACATGGCAACTTGACCGTTAGTTAGGTACCTAGCTTGGTCAAGTTTCCCCCGCATTCTTGGCGACTTTCTCCAACAAGCTGATCCCGTTTTATACTAGACACCATCTGTTGACCAGCTCCCGTCGAGCCGAACGCATCCCGTCTCCGCATAGGTAGCACGTTCGCCAAGTGCTCGTGACACGCTAGCATGGGTCGGCATTTGCCATGCTTCCCCAGATTGGAGAACGGGGTCTGGGGTATACAAGCAGAGCTGCCAGAATGGATCAATTGCCCAGGCCCGCACACATTGTGCCAGGGGATGGACATGGGATGGGTATATGGAAGGCGATGGTACATACATACACCGAGCCCGGGATCGTTGCGAATGGTCTACGAACCCTTTCTTTCTCTCTCCCCCCTTACTCTTGTCACCCCAGAACCTGTCTTGGATCTGTGTAAAGTGAGGTTACTCCCCTGAGAATTGAGAGCATATTAACGCCCCCAGGAACCTGTTCGATAATCTCAGGATGGCGGAGAAGTCTGGCGAGACGTGGAAGGCGCACTGGAAGTGCTTCGTCGCCTGCGGCATCATCGTGCTCTCGCCCTTCCAATATGGTATCGACTTTGGTCTTATCGGCGGCCTGCAGGCCATGCCCGGCTTCCTCAAGGTGAGCTTATTCTATCCACATACAATGGACCCTGGATATACTATCTTGTCGTTAGCGGCGAGCCAGGGAAACTCTAGACTAGCGAAGTGCCTACATTAGTAATAGAGTCTATAAGATGCTTCGGAATCACAGCCTTAAGATTATCTAGGTTCCAACCGGAAACGAAACACCAGAAGTAGTTCCGCATAGTCGGAGCGGCCGCCCTTCCCTCTAGATCGAGCATACCTCCGGTGGACGTGGCTACGAACCTGGCAAAATGCTTCAAGGTTCCCAAGTTGTAAGGATCGGCATCTAGGTGGGTGGTTTTGTACCTGGTTTTGGCGCGTCAGCGATAATCAAGCATAGGGGTATGTTGTAGGAGGCGACTCACTCATTCCACAAGTCGATCTATACCTTGTATCTCTCTCTCGTATAGGGTAAGAGATCCCTCCGAACAGGATAATCGTCGACGGTCGTCTCATCGTCATTGAAGCCATTCTAGTCTACATACCTCCTTCGGTCTGCGGCTATCCTTTTTCTGCCCATCTTTAATCACAGTATTGCTTAATAAGATCTCGGGCCGCAAGCTGCAGAAGCAAGAATTTTAGAATACCAAGGGGGATAAGACAAACCGATCGGGGGATTTAAAGGTGTCACGGAGCGGTTGCCGGTCTCTAGGGAAGAGCATTAGGTACGGTTGCGAGGCTGAAGGTTAAACGGGCAATAGCAAAACTTAGGAGGGTAAAATAGGGGACATCTACTGAGCTTTTATCGGTAGCTCCTCGCCCTGGACTACCCGACCGGGGAAATAAAAAATTGACGCCCTACCACCTCGCGAAGAGTTTCCATCTGGATTTCCGTTGGACTCCACCGACTTGCAGAGCACCGCCTTGTCCTAAGCCGTTTCCGATCGTTCTCCTAAGCGTTCCTGGGCAGCCCTGACAGGACCTGAGCATGTCCTAAGCCGTTTCCGAATACTCTCCTGAGCGGTCCTGAGCAGCCCCTGACGGGACCTGAGCATGTCCTAAGCCGTTTCCGAATACTCTCCTGAGCGGTCCTGAGCAGCCCCTGACGGGACCTGAGCAAAAGCGACGAGGGGTGTTGGGGGCGGCCGGGGGCTGACAAGGGCAACTTTTGGGTAATGCAACATCGAATTTCGAAGGGACCAGTAGCGGTAGAGTGAACATGTCACAATATGATCACGCCAATAAAAGCCCCCTTTTCAAGTAATATGAAGCTCCAAAAATACAATAAATACCACCACCGATCCATCCCGTGGTGATCCCCCCTTGCTCAACAAGTGTTCAACATGCTCGACAGGGCCGACTTCTCCGCCGAGGTGACGCTCAGCCCATACGCATACTTGACCGCCACCCAGCTCCGGGAATACGTGCAGTAGAAGGACGTGAGCGGCGGCTTCCACACGTCGGGGGACTTGTCGCCCTTCGCCTGGTTGACGTTGTCCGTGACGGCCCACAGCTGCGGGGTGTCGATGTCGTTGGCGAACTGCGTGCGCTTGGCAGCCGACCAGGTGTTGGCGCCCGACTACCGGTAATATCACGGGAGTGTCAGTATGTGACAATGTGTTGGTGGGGTGAAGATGAGATAAAGATGAGAGGAAGATGCTTACAATCCAGGCGTTCTTCAGCGGCACCATGTGATCAATGTCGACGTCTGCTGCGGCCGTCCAGGTGGCTCCGTCGTAGGGCGAGAACCAGGTCCCCGACGTGGCCGTGCAGGCGCTGTTGGTCACCACGTTGGAGCCATCTCTCTTAAGGACATACTCCCTGTGAGAAGACGGACCATGTTAGTTTCAGACTAGTAGTTGGGAAGTGCATTACCTGAAGGTGATACGGCTGAAAAGTAAAAGAAACCAGGAAATAACTTGCCGAGTGTTGCAGGTGCCGCTGACAGTTCCCCAGGTTGGGAACAAATCACGGTCATAGTTGCCGTCGTCGACTGCGGCCTTGACGGTGAGGGCGGCCAGTTGAGTCTTCGCCGTCGAGGCTGAGGGGATTCCGGGCTGATCGTGGGTTAGCTCGCAACGTTTGACGCCCAAAGGGGTAGTCGTTTTGTCTTACTGGAGTCGGTGCTGGCATGGGAATGGCGGACACCGCTGCCACCAGCAGTGCGCCAACAATGAAGGACTTCATCTTGTATGGTGCAGCTGCCCAGCCAGAGTCCGTAGTCCGTACTGACAAGACTCCACAGTTCAAAGAAACTGAAAAGGGCTATTAGAGCACAGTACCTTATCCTTTATATACACCTTCCCTTGTTACACCCCACTAAGGAAAGTGTAATTCGCAGCTAGCTATACCTGTAATGGTGGCAGCATTCCGATGACGGTCTGCAACGCCGGCAGGTACTGAGTGCAGTAGCATCCCGGACAAATGCCATATCTGGAAGGCGATTGATGGAAAGCGCAGATCACCATTCTCACATCACACAGTGTCTCACAGCTTGTGCAACACCAATGGTCTCGGGGTTGGACTTATGGCAGTCCACCATTTTCCGCCAAGGGTCCTCGCTTCTGATCCGACCAGCCAATGCCGACGCGATGCAGTGCCGTTGTCTAAACTCCTCAGCGTCAGCCGCGACAGGTCCGATAATGATACTATCCAGTTAGGACGCAAGATATCACCACGCTGCGGGGAGGTTACAGAAACGCGGGGACACGGGTCGCTCCTTAATCTTATCAGGGGTTCGTTGAAACCCTCTGATATCGACACGTGCGGACGCCATTTCCCCGCGCGAGCCAACCATCACCCAACTTCCTGATCGGGATCGAGGTACCGAGCGGGAGGGGCCGCAGTTCGTCTAATCGGATGGCTCAAGCGCTTGGTTGGCAGCTTACCGGAAGCGACACCGAGCATCGATGTGTATGTATAATGTACCGCGTGAAAGAGCATAGATGTAGACGTACGCCCTCACATCAAACCATGCCTGACACAAAATCAACTAGACCAAAATAACAAAGCCACAAAGTCAGCATGAACAAACGTATAGACCTGTAGTCTCCGGTAGCCCTTCCTAACCCAATCCTATCGAAACCATCGAGTAACTTCCCCCATCCCAACTTTCTACGTAGAGGCTGCAATCTCCTCGTGGACCGGCTTGGTCTCAGTGGTGTCATTCTGCTCACCATCCTGCCCTGCCTCTTTGGCCTCCCCCTGCGCCTCCCTTCCTGCCTCCCCCGCCGTCGACTTCTTAGCGAACGGGTTCATGCGCGTCGGCAGCGACATGCTCGGCATGCTGGGCATAGCCGGGATACTGGGCATCTGCATGGCCGGCATGTTCGGCAGGTTGACGCTGGGCATCGACACCTTGGGCATCTCGACCGTGGGGATCTTCGACGGCAGGTAGGACCGCAGATTGGTGCCGGTCTGCTGCGCAACGCCGAACAGATGGCGCAGGTAGGCCTTCTTCTGCTCGGCCGCGTCCGACTTCGGGTGCTCTTCTCCTCCTCCTCCCTCTTGAGCGATGTCGCCCTCGATATCGTCGGGAAGGGGAACCAGCGCAGCGGCCGCGGCGATGTCGATCGGCGATTCATCCGGCACGCTGCCGTCGTCGGTGGTCATCTCTATGTCGTCCTGAATCCCCTGCTCGGCTTCCTTCCCTTCCGTTATGGCCACCCCTTCGCTGTCGACCGCCTTGGCGATGGCCTCGGTCTCCTCTGCCTCGGCAGGCGGCGCCTCAGCAAACTTGGGGTCGTCGTAGATCTCCGTCTCGTCGTTGAACCATTCCACAATCAACTTCGCCGCGTCGTTGGTCATCCGCTCATACTCCTTGTTCTTCTCCCGCCTAAACAAGTTGACGTGCGCCACAATCTCATCCTTCGCCCCCTCCAGCACATGCCTAGTGAACAGTTTCGCAGTCGGTTCCTCCTTCGCCGGAACCGCACAGAACGTCCTCTCTGGCACGAAATACCCCCCACTCCAATACCCATTCTCACCCAGGGACGCGTACACATCACACACCCCCACGCCCCTGAGCGCAGCCAACCTTTCCAGCCTCCGGGAGAGTTCATTCTGCTTCAGCAGCGACCCGACAAAGGTGAAGTGGTCGGACAGCCAGGCAAACGACTCCCCGATATTGCCCCGGTTCACATACGCCAGCCCCTGGCCCAGCGCGTCGACCGACTGCTGATACCCCTGCACGACATCCTCCTTGGTCAGACTGCGCGCGGCGCGCAGGCCCTCCAGGATCTTCTTGCGGTGCGTGTAGGCGGCCACGCCGCCGGCGGCGATCACGCCCACCGTGCCGGTGCGCATGGCGATCAGCTGCCACGCTTTCCAGGCTGGACTGCTGGTGCGGGAAGAAGACGAGGCGGATTTAGCGATGCGTCCCGTGGCGGAGCTGACGGCCCGCTTAGAGGCCAGGCGGGAGAGGGCGGCGGGCGTCGCGGCCGAGAGGGCGGTCATGATGTTGAATACGTTGCTGACCTTCTGGTAGTTGGAGAAGGCGCCGTAGACGAACATCGACCGGGCCAGGCCGTTGTAGGGCGTGTCGAAGGCGAGGATGCCTTGGATCAGAGGGAAGATGTTGATGCTACTGGGGCCGCCGGACAAGGAGGAGAAACAGGAGGAGGAGGAGCCTGTCGCCTCGCAGCGGCGCTCGTCGAGGATGCGGAAGAGGCTGTCGCTTGCTACGAAGCCGCTGTTACGACAAATGAGTGAGCGACGGGGAGGAAAGAGGGGGAGGGGAGGGGGTTAAATGCATGGATGGATGGCTTATTACCCCATCGAATGCGCCACCAGAATGACGCCCACCCTCCTGTCATTGGGAGGCCACGGGATGTCGAGATGGGCCTTTCTCAGCTCGATCACCCGCTCTTTTAGCCTGTGGTCGAGTCAGCAGGGACATAGTGATGCTGAACATTTGGTAGGAGTGGGGGCCAGCACCATTCCAGAAACGCCCCGGTGCTCTGTGCGAGCTCTCCTGACGTTTCATACTTGGGGTAGACGACCGAGGTAACCTCGTGCTCTGGCAGGTTGTTGCTGACAGTCTCCTTCAGGTGCTGCGGGAAATCCCCGAAAGTGAAGTCACTTCCCTGAGAAACGGTGCGAAGCATCAGCAGACGGCCTGGGAGTCGAGGGATAGGGAAGTTCAATGAGGAGCATACCCTGAACCCGTGGATGAAGCAAAGCAGAAGTACTCGCTTCATCTTTGTGATGCGACTTCAAGTTGATGGCTGTTGATACGAATTCAATGAGTTGAACTGATCCAGAAGTTCAATTTCCGCAGATGGTACATAGAACCTCTGTCTGGATACTGTTTTATTATGGGAAACTCTCTGAAATTTGACCCTAATTCCCAAGTTCTGGTGTGGTGTTCAAGTTCTTGCCGTCACATGCTTCCATGCATGCTGTTTAACCCATACGTCATCCATTGACAAAGGTCGTGGCAAACGAGCTGCACCAATGAGCGGCCCGGCCATTCACCACCACCTGCGTGGCACGACTAATCCGGCTTTTGGGCTGGAGAATCGTATTTGGTATGCAATAGGTTTGGCACGAGAGCCTAATAAGGGAAGCAGTGTAATTCCCTGTCATGTAGGTAAAGAACCCTTTGCAGAACAGAACCGCTATAATAAGCCCTGAGCTATGAATCAACAGTGACATAACTCCTGTACTATCCTCAATGTGTTAGGTAGGTCCCCGAACCATACTCGACCGTCACTCCTGATCGACTTGTCAGTCGTTAAGGACATCAAGTGATCCAATCAATGTGAATCATTAGACATACTTCTGATAAAGCGACAGTTCCAACCCGAATGCCAGACACCGAACCCGTTAAACCCCCTTACTTCCGATACCACATCCTGGTGACCTTCGTCCTGCGCATCTTCCTCTGCAGCTGGAAGATGCCGTACAGCAGCGCCTCGGCCGTGGGCGGGCAGCCGGGGACGTAGACGTCGACCGGAATCAAGCGATCGACCCCGCGGACGACGGAATAGCTGTAGTGGTAGTAGCCGCCGCCGTTGGCGCAGGTGCCCATGCTGATGACCCACTTCGGGTCGGGCATCTGGTCGTAGCACAGCCGCACGGCGGACGCCATCTTGTTGGTCACGGTGCCGGCGACGATCAGGACGTCGGCCTGCCGCGGCGACGCCCGGAAGATGATGCCCTGCCGGTCATTGTCGTACCGCGGCATCGACGCGTGCATCATCTCGATGCCGCAGCAGGCCGTCGCGAAGCTCAGCGGCCAGAGCGACGACTGCCGCCCCCAGTTGATCAGCGCATCGAGCGTCGTCCTGGACAAGGCGAGTTGAGTGTCAGTAAGGTATTCTGTACCCCGGGTGTGGAGGGATAGCATGTGGGCTACCTACAAGATATATTCTGCAACGGCAGTGGGCTTCTTCTCTGTCGACAGGGCGGTAGCACGAGGTGGACGAGCCGGGAGTGGGGGGCGCCTGGTTGAAGGACTCGCTGAAGGACGCTCAGAGCTATATGGCCGGGCGAGAACGGCAGAAACAGCAGGTGGCTGGACGCTCCTTGCCAGCGAGGTACATCTTATAAGTGCTGTAGGGGACCGCATGTTGGGAATGGGACGAGGTACTGCCAAGTGGTGCTTCGGGGTTGGAAAGTATGAACTGAGGACTCCGGAATCCGGAAGCACGCTTCTTTTCTTTCAGACATAATTCAGGATCGGAGCTACTTGGGAGTCTTGGGTTGCAACAATGCCATGGCCTCGACTCCATCCCGATGTGGAAAGCTACGCGGAATAAGCCAGGGCTGACTCTCGGTCATGTGCGAAGCCCGGGGAAGCACTGGCTTTGACTGCGTGTCATTGGCACGAATCTACAGTGCGCATTTCGCGCGCCTTGACTTACATCAGCCCCGTTTCTTTCCGAATCCAGCATAAAACTCGGCACAAACCCACCGGAGAAAACCCATCTCTCTTTGCACTCATACCTGAGCTTAATCAGTGCATCAACCCACAATGCCACCCCCCCAAGCAGTATCGTTCCGCTGCGACACTTGCGGCAGGCAATACCAGCACAGCAGTCACCTGCGCCGGCACGAAGCGACACGTGAGTCTCCCCGGCATTCTCCGGTCTACAACCGGTCCGTCTAGGTAGTTCGCAGGGCACATTTCTCTCCGGCTTGGCTCGGAATCAAGCCGATTTGGCACATAGACCTCCCGGACATACACCCCGCTGACAAGAACACTGCGAAGATTCTGATCCCCAACGATTCCCATGCGTGCATTGTGGAAAGCAGTTCCGGAGGAGGTAAGCACAGTACATGGAACCTTGTCCGATCCTGCATCATCCACTCACCAATTCTCAGAGATGTTTTGCGGAAGCACCACTACAGTTGTCCCAAGAACAACAACCCCGGCGATGTGCCACCCCCGGCCAGGCGAGGCATGAAGCCGCGAGCCTGCGATAGGTGCTTCCGCAGCAAGGTCTCCTGCAATGGCAGTGCGCCGTGCGCAAGATGCGCATCCCGCCAAGTGACGTGCACCTATACGAGGGTCCATGTCGACGACACGTCGTTGCCCACCAGTACTGCCCCTGCAACAGCAGCCCAGTCCCCGGACAGCGACAAGACGAAAATTCCAGTCTCTTTCCTGCTTAGCTTTACCAACCCCGAGGCCGGGTCCATGTACGAGGTGTTCCTTAACGAGCCCTACCCCAACGAGGACGCAGGCGGCGTCGAATTCCAGGCGGAGCAGCAGCCTCCCGACACCGGCCTAGGCCATGACGGGATGATCGGGGAAGTGTCCTTCTTCCCAATGTTCTTCAACCAACTCTTCGCCGAGCCCTTCCCGGACCTCAGCAGCTCTTTCCCCTCAACCGACACCACCACCACGAACATCATCATCACCACCCCCCCACCTTTCAGTGAAACCCTCGACCCAGCCTTCGCACCCCTCATCTCAGACCTCGAATCCCTCCACCACACCCTTGTCACCTCAGCTACCAGTACATACGACGGCACGTTCGATTCTGCCCTGGCAAAACAGGTCTTCACGCTCTCCAACCGCGAGGCCTTCGTCGCAGCCTACTTCTGCCACACCCACCGCGAGCTGCCCTTCGTCCACCGCCCCAGCTTCGCAGCCGACACCTGCGCCCCGGCACTGCTGCTCGCCGTGTGCCTGTGCGGCGCCCAGTACTGTGCTCCGCGCGACAGCGTGTTGGCCGTGCCGCGCTTCTTTCGCATTGCCGATGAGTACGTCTTTCGGGTTCTAGAGGCGCAGGTTGTGAGGTACGAGGAGCGGAGGAGGCGGATTGGTTCTACGAGTGGCAGGGGGGGTGGGAGTGAGGATGAACGGGAGAGGGAAGAAGAGCGGGAGTTGTATGATACCCTGAGGGGCGCGCTGCTCATTCATGGGCTGTTGTTCATGATCAATGACACACCGGCTAGGAAGCGGAATCTGCTGGTGCGCAGGCCGGCGCTGGTAGATGCGGTAAGGAGGGTTGGGTTCACTAGCGCGAGGCAGACCCAGGAGGGTGGTGAGATGCCGGACTGGAGCGTGTTTGTCAGGGATGAGACGAGGATTAGGTGAGTCGACCCGCCCATCCCCCGCCCCTACTATCTCCCTCCTTAACGTTACAACGACACAAGCCCACTGCCTCGTACTTGACGCTGGTGGCTAACTACTCGTAACTTGTAGAATCGCCATGTGGACGATCCTCGCAGACTGGCAACAGACAGGCCTGTTCCACATCCCCGGGCTGATGACGGTGCACGAGATGACTGGCGACATGCCGTGCTCAACCGAGCTGTGGGAAGCCCGCGACGCGGCCGAGTTCGAGGCGCTGGTAGCAGCAAAGGGGAAAGGCTGCTGGCGGCGATCAGCATCCCTCCGCGACTGCATGGACGCGCTGATGGCAGAGAGCTGGTCGGGGATGTGCCGGTTCCCGCTGAAAGACCTGTCCCCGATGGACCTACATATCTTGACCTTCGGTGAGCTTCTTTTCACTCACAACTCAACAAAGTATACCAGGCATTACATTACATTACATACAGCTAACCTCGCCGTTCCCCCATCCGGGTAAATAAAGCCTTCCACTCCATAATCGGCACAGCACGGTTCATGTCGCTGCTCCAGACCAGCATCCCGGCGCTCCGGCGCGCTACTGACCGGTGGCAGGAGCTGTGGCGGGCCGTGACGGCCCAGCTGGACGCCGAGCAGCTGCGGATGAGCGGCATCGTGCGGCACTCGGGCGAGTTCTGCTGGCTGGCCAAGGCGTTCCTGGAGCAAGCCCTGGCCGGGAAGGACAGGACGACGCCGTATTTCCAGCGCATTGGACACGATACCCCGAAGGAGCTGCATGAGATGCTCCAGGAGCTGCGAGGAGCGCAGTGATATCTCTATGTTGGTGGAGGCAACTACTAGTAACTAGGGGTTATGAACGGGAGTACTTGCACGGGCATGATTGCAACCTAGAATATGAAAATCCTGCTCTATAAGTACTGCTGCCTTTAAACCACGTAGAGGATCGCAAAACGGATACATCGTCCAAATGATGGTGTCACTACTAACGCCAAGCGTGCTTGACCAGTGCATGTTCTATAGAATTATGTACGTGTGTTAGGAGAATATTCCTGGACAGAATTGGGTGTGCTGCGTCACGGCTTGAGTGCCGGTTTAGTACAATAAGGTGTGACGGGAGCGAGGTAGACTTCGTTGCGACTATGAATCTGAACGCGGTGAAGCGAGGTAGAAAGTAGGTGAGGGTTGGCGTAATGGAACTACCACACATGATGACTGATGGGTGGTAGCTTCGAGTTGAACCAGAGGGGACGTGTGGGCCGCATCAGAGGAACGGAGCCATTTTAGTGGGATAGGGGTGGAGGCAAGAAGGACAATAAGGCGAAGAAGAGACTGATGCCGCGTGACATCACCTCGTGAGAATCTGACGACCATAAAATAGGAGCACCGAGTAAACAGTGCCAGTTGTGATCGACGCTTTCTTTATAACTTGGGGGCTTGACATTCTGATCTATATCACCGCCGCTGCTTTTATAGAAAGAAAACCTGGTCACCTGGCTCAGCGCTCAGAGCTCCGGATCCAATGTAGCCCTGCTTAGTCTTCCATCAACCTTCGACGTTACCGGAGTAAACACGCCTTCGATAATATCGGGATTAGCAAGGCAGAAGACAAGTACCTCGAGGTGTGGAGAGAGTTTGGGACAGCGTAAAAAGAAGGTCGCGGACCCGTACCCACTGGAGGGAAAGGAGAATGAAACCGGGGACGAGAGAGTCAGGAAGATGATGGAGGCGCTGGATGATTTGATGAAGTGAGGCTCTGCCACAAAGTGGTGTAAGAGTCTACTAGATTTGCATATCTGTGAGCAGGTGTCACCCGTGCCAGTAGTCTTTGCAGTGCGATATTATATGGATCCACGTTCCCCTCGTCCCTTACCGGTATCTACCGTCACTGCACAATAGGATAGAAGGCAAGACCGCTGTTTACAAATCGAAGGTTTAAGTTAGGAATTGAAACTGCCGAGCTGGAACCTGCCGCTGATCAGCCTTTTGCGATAGCGGAGGGCGAGGGACGCAGAATGGTGGCTGGGCTGGCTGGGCAAGTTCGCACTGTACATGTACATGTAGCTCAAGTCGAAGGAGATTGGGATTGACGGTTGTGGAAGGTTGAGGAAGCATGGACGGGCTAAGTCTGAGTCAACAAACCAAACTAGGTAGGTGTTATGACGAGGGTGTAGTGACTGCGGACCCTATATTGGTAGTTGATTCCTAGAGGTTGATCTGATCTCCGCGCATGTTCTTACCCTCGCGTTTTTTCCCGATCCTGCCAACCAACCTTGCAGCACGGAGCCGGCAGTTGATGCACCCCGATCAGGGTACTTACTAGGTCGGTCTCTTGAAGACCTGTATATCAGTGTTCGGAGGCACAAATCTCAGCTGTTGGAAGGCGCCCAGGCGGTGATGGGCAATATCTTGGTGGACATTTGTATCCAACCTCTATCTTTTACCTCATTCGACAGCTGCTACACGCTGATCGTCCGGAACACACTAAACTCCTCGCCCGTAGCGACCAATGTGCCCGGTATTTGCGGATGCCAATGCAGCTCCTTGGCCAGGTTCTGGTAATGCACAAACAACAGCTGCGGCGGCACATCCTGCACGCCCGCCGTATCCTTGCTCTCCTCGTCATCCAGCTCAACCGCCAAGTCCCACAGCGTCACCGTGTTATCGCCCGCCGACACCGCCACGATACTGTCGTCCGTCGGGTGCCACTCCACGCTGGTGATCTGTTCCTTGTGGAAGTTGAAGCTCGCAATGGGGCTCGGCCTCTGCGCCGCAGCCGCCGCCGCATTCACTCCTGCGCTGGGCTTCCACTGCCGCAGATCCCAGACCGCCCACACGCCCGCGTCGTCGCCCGACGCCAGCAGGTGCGTCGTCTGCCGCGACCACGACATGACATTGACGTCCACATCGCTCACCTGCATCGTGAGCGCCGGCTTGCGCGCCTTGCTCCGCACGTCCCACACCCGGATGGTGCCGTCGCTGGAGGCCGAGGCGAACACGGACGCCTCCGACGGGCTCCACTGAATCTCTTCCACGCTGGACGTGTGGCCCTGGAAGGCGCGCGTGTCGGTCACGAAGCCGCCGCCGTCGGTCCGTGTTGTGACGTAGATCAGACCGTCGTTGTCGCCCGTCAGTAGCTTGCCGGCTGGGTGCAGCGGCGACCAGTCGACCGCGTAGCCCTCGGACTTGTGCGCGCGGATGGTGCACAGGGGCTTGTTTTGTTGCGGTGTGATGACGGTACCCGGGGTATCGAAAGAGGCCAGGTGAGGGGTGATGTCGTGGATGAAGACGTTTGTGGACTCCGTCATGGTCGCGGTGAGAGTGACGGGGGGTTTGGAGGGGTCTTGGGAGGGCGTCTGGTGCGCTCGTATCCGGTTGGTGGTGGTGTTGAGCGGAATGCTCTTGTGTTCTAGGATGGGGTCGGCATCTTCGTCGTCGTCCTCATCGTCACTCGATTCCTCGCCGTCACCGCCCTGCATCTTGCTGAGGCCGCTGAACTTCATGACCATGATGGAGTTGTCGTTGGCCTTTGCGCTGTCTGCTTGCGTGCCAGCAACCGTGTACATGGTCGCAGGGTAGACGCTGCGGTTGTCGCCTAGGCCGTCGCGGATAATATCGAAGGAGAGACATGGCCATGGGGTGCTCAGATTGTGCAGCATCCGGTATGTTGTCGGGTCGGGGGACAGGGTTTGGCCTGGTTCGAGCTTCGTCCTGCCGACGATGAAGGTGCCGGGTGCGGCGGCGTCGACGTCCATTGCCTCTTCGGCTTCCCGTTCTGCATCTGGCCTTCCGTCGACGCCAGCCTCGATAATCTCGTCCTCACTCTCGAATTCATCCTCGAATTCGTCCTCGAACTCTCCCATGTCGTTGTTCTTGTCGTCGACGTCCATGGCGTCGGGGCGCTCGCCGGCCTTGAGCGGCCCCGCAGCAACTTCCTCTTCCGCCGTACGCTTGGCCATTCTGCTACCTTTGTACGTGCTTGATCGGTGCTATCGAAGGCTTGCAACGCGACCATCAGACTCGGTCGCAATGGAAACTCGGGTCAAAATTCGCTGTGGGTTTTGAACTTTTTAGTGGGGTCGTCTTATCACCCCGCATCTCATGCTTATCTCAGGTTATTAATCGGACCCGCATCCCCTAACCCGTGCCCCTGTTCCAATACTTATCCTGCTCGCAACGCCACAACCAAAGACTTACGGTTGGTAGAATAAACGCCGTATCATCAACAAGAGGTCTGGAAAGGCTTAACGGTTGGAAACTTATGACTAGTTTGGCAATAGCAGCTGCCTACAGGTGTTCAAGCCGGAACGAGGCAGTCGCGAGGCGGTCCTCCTACCATTTAAGTCGGTTCAACTGTTTATGAGATTCGCGGCTTCCCAAAATCAAAACAGTAGAATTTCCCAGCCACTTGTTGGCTATAATCATAACTCTCTAGTTGTAAATTTACCTAACCGTATAATTACGGCTTACCAAAACGGGCTGCCACCCCTAAGTACTAACTAGTAATTCAGAAGCCGAAGTAGTACTAACGCACAAGTCAGGAACTACCGTGGGTCGGAGGGTCCAGCAGAGCTCGCAGATGTCGTTCCGAGGCGAAACGGGCGGTCACCTGTGACGAGGCGAGGGGACACGGTACGATTTAGCCAGGCACTATTGTCTCGCTGGGCCGTGCTCTCTGCTGAAGCTGTGCAACGCCATGCTGCTGAATACATGAACATTCTGAGCGGTGCGCGATACATCGATGGACCATGTGGCCTCGCCGCCTGTCAGCTGCGTCGGGGCCGTCATGTAGGTCACGTACGATGGGTCCAGCGTAGCTAACTGTTGTCGAGATGGTGTACGGCGGAGGAGTAGGATTGTCTGGGGACAGCGAGAGACCAGCAGTCGTGGTGTTGTCCGCCATCATGCATACGAACCAACCTTCCCAGGAAGTCCCAACATCCACCATCGAGTCGACTGGCCGAGCCAAGGACTACCCAACGTGCAGCCGCCGTTTGTCAATCCTCCCCGTACAGTGACTCCCAGCGCGTCCCTCCCGATCGTTGTGATTGACGGAGAGAACATGGTCGTCGGCGAACCATCACCTACTAGGACCGCATAAGCGGCCCGGGATGCCATCCGGTTCTGTCCCTTCTCTGCAACTGCAAGGGCAAGCGTGTCGGAATTGCCGAAGGGTACCTACCTTAGGTACCTACCTTAGCCATCTCCAACATTAAACAGACGCAGGCGACTGAAAGTAGTATCTGTAACCCGGAGAGGCCCTCTGATAGGCTGCCGGGTGAGTATGTTGGGTGCAATGCTGCTCAGACAAAGCTTGACGCGACCACATGGCGAACCAACAACGCAGGCCTGTGGCGCGCATTTGGCGCGGCCGTCCGCCCACGACGATGCCGCACACCGGCATCCACACAGCCAACGGGCTACTACAAGTGACAAGTCTTAGGCCACGCCTCTGTCACCAACTCAATGTGCCATGCCCCGACGTCCTGGAACCGGCCTCTTCTCACTCAAAACACCAGCGGCCGGATTCTGCAACCGCACGACCAATACAGAAACACTGAGCCTCTCACTGTTGTGTTGGCCTGCGAGCCAGCAAGCTGGAAAGCCCGCAGCACCCTTTCCCGCTCTCCCTCATGCCCATTGCAGACGAGGGCTGGACTCGGACCCTTACAAGTCTCTAAGACCGGAGCCATTGCTTCGTCCATCCCTCGCTCTCTCAGCTCCTCGTTCTGCCCCACGCAACGATTGATCTTTCTCATCTCAAACCATAATGAATCCGTTCGTTTGCTAAACCCACCGTGTGCCTTTGCAAAGTGTTTGCTCTGAATTGGTGCGGTCGTAGCCCGGGTTGCTGTGAGCACCAAACGACAGTTCTCAGATTTCAGGTTGTGCCTCCCCTCAGCTAAATTCCAAACATGGTCCATCTTCTTGGGCCACTGCGGGGGCTCATAGCCAACACGCTAATCCTCGGCTTTGATTACACCTCTTGGTTTGAACGCGGTCGAGGTTTGAGCCCAAAAGGGGGCTCGCGACCATGGACGACTAAGGGGTTTGTTTTGGGCAGTGGACAAGTGGGCAGGTCTGAGCCATTCCCCGACTTACCCGAGGCCGGATGGGGTGAGAGACAACGATAGGGTCCTGGAGTTCTTCATCTTTCTATATATTATCCTCAGGAGTCACGTCCGAGTTGCCTGTATCCCCATCCTCCTCATCACCACTGTCTTCTCTGATCATCGAAGCAATCAATATCATCATCATCAGCAAGCAACGGGTGGCGTTGACCGTCTCCTCTTCCGCAGTGCCACCAACCACACACACACACACACAACATCCCAAAACCCGCGGGTTTTTCCCTCCTCACGCACGTACCGTACCGTACCCCGAGCAGACAATATGTGCATGTTCGAGCGCACCATGCTCTCCTGCGGTCACTACTCGACCGAATTCAAGCGGATCAAGGGAAATTGTGCTACAGGACGTTGCCGGGTTGCCGAACCGCGCGTCTACGACGTCCAAGCCACGGACCCGCTGAAGATCTGCCGCTCCTGCGCCGACTACGCGGATCAGTTCATCGACTACTCGTCTTACCACCGACAATCTGGTCACACGGGGCGTTCTTCTCGCAGCGGCACTTCCAGGGATGCTCAACGTTAGGCTGGGTGTCAGGATCGGGTGCTGGAGGAGGATGTGGGCACAAGGAAGGTCCATATCACGGCGGGCCGTGGTATACTGGATCCAGCTGCTCGCTCAGGGAGCATGGTGTGGACGGCGTGAGGGTATTGCATGTATTGAACGATGTAAAGAACGAGCGAGCGCTGGTCGTTTCTCTTTTTGCCGCTTTTTTTTTCTTTTCAAAGCGTGGTAGAATGATGGGATAGAATTTAAGGGTTTATTAGGTTTCACTTAGCACACTGGTAGTGCACCAACGAGAGCGGGAATGAACCGGAGTGAAATCATTCGTATCAAAACGTTGAATCCTAAGTAAACCCTCCTCGTCTCAAATCCCCAAAATAACCGGACCTTGAAATGAACGCCAATGACTAGGAAAGTGCAGCCCTCAGTGCAATGACAGCCATGTTATTGACACAGCGGGTTCTCATGACCTCCGTGTACTCCCGAACTTCAAACACAATTTCGTCCTCCGAGGAGCCACCACTCCCCTCCACCACATCAAACCGGAGCACCCTGGGATTCATCTCTTCCAGCATCCCCGGCTCCCACGGCCCACGAACAAGGTAATACTTGAAGGCATGATAGACCTCGATCCAATCCAGGTCGGGCACTTCCATGAAGGCGTGGATCGTGCCGTGGCCCTCCTTGCCGTACATGTCGATCCAGCGCCCGGCGGGGAAGTCAAAGCTTGTCTTGTCGGTGACGGCATCGCATTCCCATGACGCCACGAGCAAGAAATCAAAGGGCCGTGCCCGTGGTCTGAACTGTCGGGTGCGGTTGCACGGCCGCGGCGCGCATCATCGACATCCACGATGGCGCCGGTATACTCAGAGCCAAACATGCGCGACACGACCTGCGCCAGGAGTGCCCGTGCAAGTGGCATCGCGTTGAAGTCGCGGAAATCTTCGGCTGGCAGGCCGCCGCCGTCCCGGTTATGGTACGGCGGCGCAGGGAGCGGCGGGTCGAGCCGGTGGGGGAGCGTGATGGGGATGTTGACCTCGAGGACACACGGTGTATTGGCGTCGATCTGGAGCGCGTTGGGCCGGAGGAGCTTGACGGGCGGTAGTGCCATGGTGGTGTGGGATTCGAGAAGGAGTAATGTTTTAAGGTAGTGTCTGATCTGAGGTGCTTGGCAGACTTCGATTTGATCAAGAAGTTCAGGGACCTTGTAACTTGTAAGTTCTACCTGGCTGACACTTCGGTCAGAAGAAACAGAGGCTGTTGTCCCCTTTTATACACATTTCTCAAGCCTCTTCTCGGGGCCCAAAGCGCCGACAGGGTACGGCGCAGTCTTCTGCCGTATCGACTCCCTCTGATTTTGTTCCGCCTTGCATAATGTCATTCCTGTATTTCGGCTTGGCGCACACGCACCAGACTGGCACGGTGAGGCTTGAGCTGCGGTTGTCCATGAGCTGGCTGCTTTCATGTTCTGGTCAAACTCTAGACACCAAATCGGCGACAAGCCAAGAAAGCCCAGAGGTACATATAATTTGCCATCAACAAGGCAGCAGCCGAAAAAAGGGCTCTGGCTCTCTATCTACGATACCCATAAGAAACCGCAGTAGTGTGCATCAAAAAGAGACTAGAGTGCAAGTTCACCCAAGCCAAAACCCAAAGCCCTTGGCCAAATCCAGCACAAATATCCAACTCAGAAGGTGTAACATCCGACGCGGCAATTCTCTGTCTCAAACAAGCGGGGCAAAGAATCTAAAGCGGTTTTCCGGATCATACTTCCCTTTAAGCATCCGCAGCCGTTCGAGTCTCCAGGGCTCGTACCTATAGCGTATTAGGGGAATGTATCGAAAAGCCCCATGACTTCCTGTAGAATAGGTACTCACCCGTACATGGCTTGCAGGCTCTCGTCGCCGTATGCATAGTTGACATAAATGCGGTCATCCTGGCTACCCAATGCAGCGGCTTCCATTGCTTTGCTCCAATTCTTGGCTGCTTCATCCAGCGTCGTGTTGCCAACAGCCTCATAGGTGGCGACCGGCGATCTAGCTGCAGTTTCAGTCTCGTATCAACCAACGTATAGATCCGGAAAGACTTGCAGCAAGAGTCTCTGTCTGCGGTCAGGGAAGGCTGTGCTCTCGGAAGGGACTGCCTGAACTGCTTGCACGGAATAACCCTCGAGCATGCAGAACGAGTGAGCAAACCCTTCCTCGCTCACCAACATCTCACTAAAAAGGGTGTACCATTCACGCAGGGCTCGGACTTCGTACGCGTCCACGACAGCGCCTCGGAGAAAGGCGGTGCCCTGGGGCTGGCATATCGGGTTGTTTATGTCAGTTCCCAAGGCGACCATTACTCCAGGGTAGTCGGTCACTCCGGATGAGTAGCTCGCCGGACCGAGGGCATGGAACGGGTCGGTGTATCCCCCGCGCTTCTCCACAGGCCCGTTCCAAAATACCGTGAATATGAGCACGGGCTGTTACACCGTAAGCCAAAACCCTATCCTGACCATCATCTGTCAAGGACGGCAACTCACCATATCGGGATCGATTTTCTCATTCCTTGCCCAGACAGACCAAAGCACCACATTCGCCGGCTGATCCTGCATGACCCTTCCCACCACGGTATACAACTCCTCCAGCCTCCCCCCCGTAAAGGTAAACACCTCATACGCCCACTCCCTCCTCTCCTCTTCCACATCATGCACCCTCACGGTCAACTCGCTCACAACCCCAAAGTTATGCCCGGCCCCGCGCAAAGCCCAAAACAGATCCGCCCTCTCCGTCCCCGACACCTGCACCACCTCCCCGCTCCCCAGCACCAACCTCACACTAACAATCTGATCCGCCACGAGGCCATACTGCCCCTGGAGCAAGCCATGGCCCCCACCCAGCGCGGGCCCAACCACAGACACGCACCCGCACAGCCCAGTTGTGGTCTGCTTCCCCGCCGCCCACAACTTGTCGATCACTTCGGAAGACAACAGCCCGCCGCCGAGGGTGGCTGTGCCGCTCTCGGGGTGGTGGAGGTGGAAGCTGGTGAGGTTGCGCATGTGGATGAGCACGCCGCCGCCGCCGCCCTGCATGCGCGCCAGCCAGCGGCCCGTGCCGTGGCCGCCTGTGGTGGCGAGGAAGGGGAGGTTGTGGGCGTTGGCGTAGCGGACGGTTTGGGAGATGTCGGATTCCGTGGCGGGGATGACGATTGCGGATGGGTGCGGGGTGTTGAGTGGGTTGGTGGACCAGCGGTGGGCGAGGAGATGGTGGAATAAAATGGCCGTGTCATCGTGTGGGAGGAGAATCAGGGCTGATGGGGAGAGGAGCGGGCGCAAGGTGTTCCTGATGTCGTCGCCGTGGTGAGGGGCAGATAGGGGAGTGTGGTTGTGTAGTAAGGGGGAGAGAGCGCGGAGTGAGGATTCGGGGGCTGCGATCAGGATGCTGGCCGCTATGCTGATGATGATACCCAATGTCAGGCCCCATATCGTCTTTGGGTTGATGCTGAGCATCGTGGGTTGTTGGCTGGAAGGTTGAGGTTGTAGTGGGGGGCGAGGTGGGGGGGGAAGAGTGCGTTAAAGCGTGCCAGCAGGAGAGAAATATGGCAGAGGCGTGTATCCATGAAGTATGGACCCTTATTAGAGGAATAAGGGGGCTTTAAGAAGGAGACGAGTGGAATTAGGAGAACTCCCGTCTGCAGTTCAAATGATGCCTCACTGGCCGGTGTACCGTTCTAATCTTCAGCCCGTAGAAACAAGGTCCATTATTGTTGGAACTTGGCCGTCCTCTCGACACAACACATGTTGTGGAACCAGCCACTGTGTCGGTGATGGGCGGGACTCTCCGAACTGAAATATCGGCATATGGCCGGGCCCGGCGCGGACCCGGCGCCGGACGCTAATGTTGCACAAACACACAAACAAACCACTGCAGTCTCACCTGCATTGCAGCGACCCATCCAGGCCGCTTGCTGTGGAGCTGGCAAATGGGGCTGGCTTGCTCCGTGCAAAGCCGCCATGGCATCGTTTCTTGCCGTCGCTCATCCATCGCTCGTTCTGAGCACTGGACCAATTTCGCACTTTTTTGTCGTGGAACAGAATCGGCTCTTCAACAATCACGGCATCCTATCAATCTTTTGCGGCCAGCGGCCGTACTCTTCGCCGACGATGGGACACGAGGGCATGATTCATTTGGTGTCCTCAGCCAGCGATGGCATCTTCCTCCTCTACCTTCCCTTCCGATGCTGGGAGTTGCACAATTCACGCCATAGACATCTCACGGGAGCGTTGGGTCACTGCAAATTGGTCAGTGAAGGTCCGGAAACTTCTGTGTTAGCGCGTGGTGCTAATCAATAACGTACACAAATTAGAGCGTTGGACTCGTTCTCTCCGCTTACTTATTCCTTCGCCTGTTCTCTCTGCAACTTGGACCTCTTCTTCTTTTGTCACTTGCAGCATCACTGATTGCAGCGCTGGGTTTGAACCTGCTCATGTACTTGGAGCAACGCCGAGCAAACAAACCCTCGGACCTGGCGATCTTGTACCTGCTCGCGTCAGTGGCATGCGACTTGGTAGCTCTGACAGTGCCCTCCGCAGTCCGCCGGCCTCCACCGGCTCGGTGGTTGTTACACACCTTACTTCTGGTTCTAGAGTCGTTCGAATCGCCGGTCAACCAGGCGTGGACACCACGAAAAAGCCAGGCCCCGGAGGACAATAGCAGCATTTTAAGCAGGCTCTTCTTCGCTTGGATCAACCCTGTTGTCCTGCGAGGATACAGAAGCCTGCTCCTCAGCGACGACTCGCCACCTCTACCCCGAGACTTGGACGCAAAGCTATCCAAACAGGGCATGGTTGAATCGTGGAACCGGCGAGGTTAGTACCAACCGTACGTGTCCCTCTTGAATAAGGTACGCGCTGACCTGCTCCACAGCGCGGCCAGAGACCAAGCTGGCACTACCCTTAGCCTTGTTTAGATGCATCCGACGGGCCTTTGTTGCTCCAATCGTACCTCGACTCCTTCTGATGCTTTTCCGATATTCCCAGCCTGCTCTAATACGCCAGTCCATTCAGTTTGTCACTGATGGCATTCCCACAGCTGCTGGTGTGGAAACCCGAGGGTACTGGCTTGTGTTATCAGCTGTAACCATCTACATTGGTCTCGCTGTGAGCTGAAAGCCCACTATTCCGCGTGTCAACTCCTCTGTCCTGACTTTTACCCACTCTCGCAGGTTTCGACGGCAGCATACCAACACAGGCTGAATAGGCTCAGAGTAGTGACCAAGAGCGCTCTCGTGGGTATCATTCACCACAAAACTATCGAGTTGCCCAGTGCTACGCACGATAACGATAACAGCGAAGCTATCACCCTCATGAGCAATGATGCTGAGGGGCTAGATGGGGTTGCCGAAATGGTTCACGAGACATGGGCTCAGATTCTGGAGGTGGTCATTGGAATCGTCTTATTGTCCCGAGAGGTCGGCTGGATCTGGCCTCTTCCCTTGATCCTTATATTCTGTACGTCTACGGAAGACCGTGTCATTGTATGCTGCTTAATACCTGACTTTACAGTGTGCTCTCGCATGAGCCGTTACGTGGCCAAGCACTTAGGGCCTCGCCAGAAAGCCTGGAATACCGCAACGCAACAACGTGTGGCAGCAACAAGCTCCATGCTCGGCGCTATGAAGGTCATCAAGACACTGGGACTGCAGCGATGTATGGCCAGGTTCATACGTCGTCTGCGCGACGACGAGCTGGCCACAGCATCAAAGGTCAGGTGGATCATGGTCTATTACAATGCTGGCGGTTCGTCTCTGGCTCTTGATCAGTCCTCTAGGCGAGCTGGGCTGACCTGCGTGATTAAGCTAATATGTTGGGAATATTCTCCCCAGCAATCACCTTGACACTCTTCGCTGTTGCCGCTGCGCGACGTGGCCTTGCTTTGAAGCCGGAAACGGCATTCACGACAATAGCGATTTTGAGCATGGTCACCCACCCAGCCAACATGGTCATGACCATTATACCGCGCGCAGTTGCGGCATTCGCCGGGTTCCAGAGAATCCAAGCTTATCTCCTTAGGCCGCGTTTGGTTGACGAGAGACGGAACCTACCCTCGTCGGGAGAAAAATTTGATTCGGCGATCGAGGTCCAGGATGTTGCCGTTGGCGAAGATCCCTCAATTCTGGAAGGGGTCAGCATTGGGGTGAACTACGGCTCGCTGATCATCCTCTCTGGCTCAGTTGGGTCAGGCAAGTCGACGCTGCTCCGGGCGATCCTGGGGGAGATCCGTCCTGTCCGTGGTTCGATCCAGGTGGCACAACGACGGATAGCCTACTGCTCCCAGAAGCCATGGCTTCCCAACGGAAGTATCAAGCAGGCTATTTGCGGCATCATGGACGGCGAACAAGGCGATACCCAATGGTATCGGCGTGTTCTGGAAGCTTGTTGTCTCAACCACGATCTCGACCTTCTACCCGATGGCGATGAAACACAGATCGGGAGTGGCGGCGTTAACCTCTCTGGCGGGCAAAGACAGCGGGTGGTAAGTGTGGTGTACACACAATCAGGATCCTTATGTGGACTGGAAGAAGGGGACTAAATATATCCCCAAGGCTCTCGCCCGCACATTGTTTTCGAGATGCGACATTGCCCTGCTCGACGATGTTTTCAGTGCTCTAGATGGAGACACCGAGACGAAAATCTTTCGAAACTTGTTCGGGCGAAGAGGAGTCTTTCGACAGTTAAACACAGCCATACTCCTGGTTACGAATTCCGGCAAGTGTCCATGTTCCGACTTGTTGTTCTTGAATTGCAAGGAGATGTATCATATGTGGCTAATCGACACTCTTAGCCCAATTCTTTCCAACCGCCGACCGCATCGTGATTCTTAGCGGCGGTAGCATCACAACACAAGGTCCATGGGAGGCAATAAGACACAAGGCCCACTCCTCGATATCCAAGTTCAATGTTCAGCATCAAACCGACCGCGTCGTTGATCCTGCCTCGCTTTCCAACTCTTCAAAGCTGAATGCTCAGCCTCAGATCAGAGAAGAAGCCCAAGCCGATCTCGCCAGGAAGACTGGGGATCTGAGGCTCTATTGTCAGTGTGGTTGCAAGCAATGGCTGGTAAACTGGGAGAATCCTTTGCTAACTTTGCGGCTATTAGGGTACTACTTCCGCTTCGTTAGGCTGGTCAACCTTGCTCTCCTCGCCGGCTGCACCGCGTCTTACTCCTTCTTCATCACCTTTCCGCAGCAATGGCTTAAGCTGTGGACGAAATCGAGCAACCAGAACCAAGTCTTCTATGTCTTCGGTTTCATACTGTTGTCACTGATATCATGGACCTCCACCAATGGCACAATGTGGTAGGCAAGGGTTACATCCAACCTGGTGATCTATACGCGCGGTCTTAACCTGGTCTACAGGTCAGCAATGATCCGGATTGCACCTCATTCTGGGCAAATGATTCACCAACACCTCCTCACCATTGTTTCGAAGTAAGTGCACCAAATTCAGCCATCTTGTCCATAGATACTCAAGATCATCGGCGTCTTCTTGACCGGCTAGCTGATGCTCATCTCGGATCAGTGCCCCTCTGTCGTTCTTTTCCAACAACGACAACGGCTCTATACTTACCCGGTTTACTCAAGACATGCAGCTCATCGACAAGCAGCTTCCTTCTGCACTTGCTAACTTGGGAACCCGTAAGTCACCATAACCTGTCATATTTTCCTTTAGTCTAATGAGTTAAGCAGAAGTCTTCAAGCTGTTGGCGCAGGTCTTGCTGCTTTCCATGGCGCAAAAGCGGCTTGCCCTATCCCTGCCGGTGTGTGGAAGTCTGGTATGGATCATCCAAAAGGTCTACCTGAGGACATCGCGGCAGCTTCGGTTTTTGGAACTGGAATCTCGTGCGGCGGTTCTATCAAGCTTCCTAGAGTCCGTGAGTAACGGTGTACCATTATTAAATCCGCGAGTTTTTCTCAACCTTGCTGACTCATTGTGCGGAACAGGTTGAAGGTCTTGAGACGATACGGTCGCTTGGTTGGCTCAGCGAAACCGCGGACCAGAACACGAAGCGGTTGGGGGACTCGCAGCGCCCTGAGTACCTTCTTATGTGTCTCCAACGATGGCTGAACCTTGTTCTTGACTTGATCGCCGCTACGGTAGCGGTAGGCATCATTTGGGCCGCCGTCGCCTTCCGCGGGCAGATCCAAGCTGGACAGGTCGGAGTGGCACTCAACGTCGTACTTGTCGCCAACACGACCTTGCTGCGGCTGATCGAGTCATGGACGGGTTTAGAGGTCTCTCTAGGTGCGATTGCCCGGTTGCAGGCGCTCAAAGCAACGACGCCGTCTGAGCTGATAGACAAAAAAGCCATCTTTGAGCCACCCCGTGGGTGGCCGACCCAGGGACGAGTCGAATTCAAGGGTGTTACCGCGGGGTACAGGTGAGTTTTTCTGTTCTCAATACGCGCTCGAATTTATTTGAAGAGAGATAGGTGCTGACCCGAGGTGTAATACGTACCCATACAACAGCGCTGAAGCCGTTGCCTTGCGGAATCTGACGTTGACAATCAGCGCAGGCCAGAAAATAACGATCTGCGGCCGCACTGGCAGTGGCAAGAGCTCCGTTCTCCTGGCGCTCCTCAGAATGCTGGATGTGCAATCAGGCCGTATCGAAATTGACGGTGTCAACATCACCCAGATTCCCCGCGAGTTTTTGCGGCAGCGGTGCTTCGTGGCCGTGTCGCAGGACGGGTTCCTCCTGCCCAGTGAAAGCCTCCGCTTCAACCTCGATCCGGAGTGCCTGCTCGGAAACGACCAGATCATCATCGGCACGTTGACAAGGGTCGGTCTCTGGTCGCACTTTTTGGGGAATTCTAAGGAACATGGTGGCGGAGATGGGCACCCAATCCTGGACCAGAAGCTGTCGTCCTTCTCGGCCTTCTCCGCCGGCCAGTCCCAGCTCTTCACCCTCTGCCGCGGCATTTTCAAGGCAGAAGCTCTACGAGCTGACGGCGGGCGGCCGGTGGTGCTCCTCGACGAGGTCACCTCTGCGCTGGACTCGACCACGGAGAGGGCTGTGCAAAGAATCATCGAGGACGAATTGTCCGCGAAGGGGCATACCACCATCATGGTTTCGCATCGGATCAGTCAGCTATCCGAGTGTATGCGGCCGGGAAGGGATGTTGTTGTCCGCATGAGGGATGGGAAGCTGGAGGGTATTGTGAGCGACTTGAAAGGGGCGGCTGGAGAGATTTTGGGTTCTTAGAGAGAGGAGAGTGGCCACTCTGGATTTGGGGATGGATCCTTGACGCTTGGATAAAACGAGGAAGCGGAATCATCGCTAAAGTTCAGCGATTTCAGGGATAGCAAGTCGCCTACAGGAGACAGGATGCGCTATCGCAATAATATAACGTTACATGGGATCAAGCCTTAAGGGACATCAACGATTGAACGCTGTAGAGGCTGTTACAGGTTACGGGTTCCCGGGTGGATGCATGTTGAACGAGACCAACATCAACTTCGACCAATGCTAACACGAATTCACTCACCCCCCTTACTCTCGGCTAACTCTTTTGGTCAGTGTCCGGCCCGGTCGTTACCGATGCCGTCCAACACGCCGGCTCCCTGGCCAATCCACAATCCGACTCGACCGCGACCTCGCGACCGACGACAATGGTCTGACGAGTATCTTGCATGCTGTTCCCCCCAAGTATCTCGTCATCGCTGTCCCACGCGGTCACAGCATCGTGGCCTGTTGTTTGGAATGTTGAGATTGTAGTGGGGGAGGGGGGGAGGGGGGGGGGGGACGGGAGGGGAGAGTGCGTTAGAGCTGCCAGCAGCAGAGAAATATGACAGAATGGTGTGCCCTTAGTGGAATAAGGGAGGCCCTGGTAATCTAGGGGGCTTGAAGAAGGAGATGAGTGGAACTAGGGGAACTCCTGTCTGCAGTTCCAAATGATCCCTCACTGGCCGGTGTACCGTTCTAATATTCAGTCCGTAGCAACAAAGTCCATTCTTGTTGACCCCGTCCTCTCGACATAACACATGTTATGGAACTAGCTACTATATCGGTGATAGGCGGGACTCTCCGAACCGAAACATTGTAATCCGTATGCAGTTATGCAGTGGAAGTAAAACTATTGAGGGGTTAGAGTATTGCAATCTCTTAGTGTAGCGAATTTCTGAAGCACTATTAAGGACAACCCGTTGTATTGGCTTGGGAAGACACCAATGCGATTGTATTTAGCACGTACGGCATATCGTGAATGGTATGCAGAACCCTTTTCGTGACATGTCAGGGGTCGGCTGCGGATGTCTATCGGGCAACGGGAACCTAATGCACATACACGGGCCAAGATTGGAAAGAACGTCGTACGAATATTGCAGTTTCCCCGAGCAGCCGGAGCAATCACAAATCCGAGCCGACCACCACCCTTCAATTCAATCCGCACTTGAAGGACACCCAATTCTCAGCCCGACACCCCCGCATCACAGCAACAAGGCCTCAACTACCTACAGTACCTCAGCAAAGCGCTGCCGCCAGAAAGCAAAGGCATCAATAGCGCCCAAATATGGGGAAGCAGTGCCACAGGATACACCGACCATCGCCGGGTGACCTTTACCGGCAACCACTCTCAGTGACAGCAAAAGGACGCGAAGAGGGATGTAGTGAGTGCAAGTGGGTTCTTGATCTTGTTGAGGCCATCAAGCCTGGCTGGACGGCCGAAGGATTGAGTGAGAAGTACTGTACTTCAAAAGGCCGCGACGGCTGGAATCTCTCCGATGGTCGAGGGTTCAGGGAGGGGTTTACTGTCCGCAGTAAGGCCACAACAGGTTAGTCATAGGCCCCCGACATCCAACTCGCTCCACAGTCTCCGAACAATCTCAACTTATATATTGACACTTACGTCAGAGCACCTTTATTCCAACCGCTCTTCAGATCCTTGGATAGGCCAAAGCTTGGCTGTGATGTCCGATTCCGGGTCTGCAGAGGCATTTGATCGCATTCGCCACTGGTATACCAACTGCGTTGCGAATCACTTCCACGACGACTGTAACAGCCACGAACCTACCAGCAGGCCTCATTTGCGGCCAGCAACGGCATTTGATCGCATTCGCCATTGGTATACCAAGTACGTCGGGAATCGCTCTCACGACGAGTACAACAGCCACGCAGCTACCAGCAGGCCTCGCCGACTCGTGGACCTAACTGGGAGAGATAACTCCATGGTGAGGCTCATCCAAGCCAGCGAGCTACAGGACGCACCTCAATATGCATGCCTAAGCTATCGATGGGGGGATGATTTGGAAGGAGTGTTGACGACGACTGCGAGTAACATTCAAGACAGCTTCAGCGGCGTCCACGTGGAGAGACTGCCCAAGACCATCATCGACGCCATCACGGTGTGCAGAGCCTTGAATATACCTTACCTTTGGGTTGACTCTCTTTGCATCATACAAGGGGACCCAGACGATTTCGCGATTGAAGGTGCAAGGATGGACGAGATATATGCCAACTCACACCTGACAATATACGCTAAGCACGCTACATCGTGCAAAGACGGCTTCCTCGGCCCCCAGGCCCGCGGTCGTGAGGATTGGCAGCGGCTAACGTCCCTGAAAGGCCCCGGTGACACCCTGCTTTTCATCAGGCCGGATCAACCCGGTGAAAGTCATGAAGCCCGGTGCGTGGCGGCCCTAGACACACGAGGTTGGTGCTTCCAGGAATCAATCCTGCCCAAGCGCCAGCTTATTTACTGCGGGGACGAGATGATGTGGAAGTGTCAGCGCGATTGCTTCTGCGAATGTGGCCATGTTATCGAGTCCGCGTGGTCTTCAAGTTGGCATAACAAAATGGAGCGTTTGGCGCGAGGCGCCGATTACTCGCTCCTTGATCACGTCTCTGTTTGGATGGATGTTGTCCAAGGCTTCTCACCTCGGCTCTTGACGAGGCCAACCGACAAACTCGCTGCAGTGTCTGGTCTGGCAAGAAGGGTGCTTGATTGTTCTAAATCCGTCGATGGACCCGGATGCCATGATACATTCCATGCGGGACTGTGGAGGAGCGAGCTCATCAAGCAGCTCTCTTGGGTACCGACGACGTCATTGCCACGGCGACGTTTAGACAACGATGTTCCGACGTGGTCATGGGCATCCCTTGAGGGAGCCGTGACATACAGCTCCACCTACAGACAACAGTCCTCCTTGCACGCGCAAGTTCTCGATGTTGTCTGTTTCCCGGCTCATCTCAGCAACCCTTTTGGCCCTGTTCAGCCTGGTGGCTACCTCGACATTTCAGCCCAACTATTGCCGGTTAAGCTGGCGATACTGGACGCGGAGAGACGCCCACCCATTGACCATGATGACCAGCCCCCTCTGTATCTGATGGAAGAACAGGAGGCAAAGACTCCCCGGAACTGGGTCGAAGTCCACATTGACGTAGAGGCGGAAATCTTGCCCCTATTCCGCGATCCGAGTGGGCCGGTGTGTTGGCGCGGCGACCCTGAGTCTTGCGGGACCCCAGGGTGCGCCTGCCGATACCTGATATCAAAAAAGTCCTTCTTTTGTTCTCCGCTGTACACAGACTTCGACCCCGATCTGGTTCGAAACAGGAGTGGTCGTGAGCTGACAACAGAGCCAACAGTATTCCAACCAAGGCCACCACAAACAATATTCCTAATTCTAGAGAGTACTGGTAATGACAAGGTGTATCGGAGGGTAGGAGTTGGATGTCTTTGTTTCGAGTGGGAGCGCGGCAAATGGTCGAGGAATCTGACGACTATCTCTAAAATACGGATTATCTAGAGAAACCGTAAACGAGGAGAAGTTGGTCATGTGAAACAATCGATTTCTGCGAGTGTGGCGGCAGATGAAAAACGGCGAGCGATATGTATTAGAGGAAGGAAGCGCTTGCAGGAAGCCTGGAATCGCCGTTCAACTAGTGGTTGTCAAAGGTCAAATGGCTGAATGACAGCTTAGGTACCTAGTGTTCCTTCACTCTCTTCGATAGACTTTTCCGTAAAAAGGAGCAGCTGAAATGACTCATGAGCGACAGACTACGATATGTGAGCATTTGATACTACCTTCCCTCCACCAGTCTGCACCCTTTCTTGAAGGAATGTCGTTGTCAGCCGAAGGGCGCCGGATTACCGAGTTACCGGTTGTTACCTGTCGATGCACATGGCGCCCCGCAGCTGAAGGCGTGCTCCGCTGCGGAGTCCAGGCACGGAGAGTTTCTAGACCCTGATTATCTGATAATGTTACAGAAAAGAGTAGAAATCTTCAACCCCCCGCATCTCCATCCGAACCGTTATCCTCGACACCTCTCGAGGTCACGCCATAAGCTAAGGGCGAGGGCTAGTCCGGCCGAGAGAACAAAGACAGGAAAATAAAATGACCGTCGGAACAGATGACACCCAGCCGCTGCTGCGAAGCGTCACAAACGAGGGGCACCAGGTCTATACCGACCCAGACCCTGCTCCCGCACTGCAAGATGGCACCACCGACATCGCCGTCGACACAACCATCGTCGACTTCGACCCCAACGGCGACGCAGAGAACCCGCTCGAGTGGCCCACGCCGTTCAAATGGGCCGTCGTGAGCATGCTCGCTGTCATGGCGTTTACAGTGTACGTTTTTCTGTTTTGTTTTTTCGCGGTTCAAACATATAAAAAACAAACAATTAACACTGACATTTCCCCTCCCCCCAGCACATTCACCTGCATCAGCGTAGTCCCCCTCGCCTCAGACATCGTGCGCGACCTATCACCACCCGCTAGTGAGCCCTCCAAGTCCGCCAGCGTGCTGCTCGTGACCATCTGGGAGCTGGGCGAGGCCGCGGGGCCTTTACTCATCGCGCCGCTGTCCGAGATGTTCGGCCGGTACCCGGTCATGAACGCGGCCAACGTGCTGTTCATCTTCGCCACGCTGCTGGCGGCGACGAGCGCGAGCGTGCCCCAGTTCATCGTGGCGCGCATGCTGAACGGCCTCGCCGTCGCGAGCAACGTGCTCAACCCGGCCATCGTCGGCGACATGTTCGCCAGCGAGGAGCGGGGCAGCGCGCTGAGCCTCATCTACCTCGCGCCGTTGATCGGGGGTGCTATTGGGCCTTTGATTGGGAGTGCGGTGGCGCAGGCGCTGGGGTGGAGGACTGTCGTCTGGGCGACGGTCGTGCTCGCGTCCGCGTGTGAGGTGCTCTTCTTGACGTGCTTTCGCGAGACGTACAAGGTGACCATTCTCAGGAGGCGCGCGAAGAAGTTGGCGAGTTGCCATGGTGCGGGCTTGGGGAGGACGTTCAAGACGGCGTTTGACGATGCTGAGGCTCTCGGAGAGCAGGGGTTGTCGAAGTGGAAAAAGTTGCGGGACGCGGTGCTCCGCCCGGCCATTGTCTGGTGCGGGAGCGGCGTGTTGATGGCCATGAGCCTGTTCGGCTCAGTTACCTTCGCCTTCTATTACGTCTACAGCACGACCTTCTCCGACATCTTGGTCGACATGTACAAGCTGTCCCCCGTGACCATAGGCTCGTGCTTCACCATTTTCTGTAAGTGTTTCGCCTTTTTGCTCTTACTGTGTCTGTCGCCACTTGCCGGCCGCTAATATCCCCCAGCCGTTGGCTCGACCCTGAGCGTCTTCCTCTGCAATAGCACGCTAGACCGGATCTATATCCGGATGCGTGACACGCACAAAGGCGTCGGCAAGCCCGAGTTCCGACTCCCTCTGGCCATCCTCGGGGCCTTTGCTTTTCCGCTCGCCGTAGCGGCGTATGGATGGGCCGCCGAGATTCGCCTACCACTGGTGTTCCTCTTGTTCGCCGTCTGTGCTATGGGCACGGCGCTCATGCTAGCCATGATCCCCGTCATGGCCTACATTGTCGACGCGTTTGGCGCTTACTCGGCCTCCGCCATGACCGGAGTTATCGTGACTAGGTGCTTGATGGGGACCTTTCTGCCCCTGACGACGACTCCTCTGGTAGATATGTTTGGTTACGGATGGGGCTTCACGGCACAGGCTGGTCTCGGTCTGCTGCTGGCTCCTATCCCCGTTGTGATGCTCCGGTATGGGGCGTACTGGAGAAAGTTTTCCAAGTACAGTCGTGATGCATAAGACGATACCCGATGATGATGACTGACGTTTGAAGTTTGTGGGATGAGATATGGTAATGAAGCCAAAGGGGCAACATGCAAGGTTATGACTACATAAAAGGGGCCATGTACATGCGTGAGATAGATACTGGATAAGATGTAATGCTAAATCATGATGGCGTAAACATTGTCATTCCCCTCCTGCCTGGCGTTAGAAGCTGCCATTCGTGAAATCCACCACGACAACCTTCTCCACAAGCGGCTCAAGCTCCTTTTTGAAAGCTTGGTGTGCCGGGTCTTGCTCGACATAGTAGTTCCTGTCGTTCGCATTTGTGAACTCGACGACAAAGGCATGGGTCAGGCCGTTCTGATTATAGCGAAAGCTCAATGTCAGCAGGTCAGGGAGAGAGCGAATAGACAGACGCCCGAGCACCGACCTGAAGCCCTTCCTGGGAGTTGTCCTTGCCGCCCTGGATTCGCTTGATGTAGGGATAATTCGAGTTCGGCGCTAGGCAGTTGTCCTTGAGCGAGAGCATCTTGGCACATACCTGCAGAAAGGTCGGTGCCGTAGGCATGAGTACTGGGTTTACGGGTATCGGCACGCACAAGTCAAATTACAGGCAACAATACGTACCACATCGACCGCGGCCTGGTCTGCATCGCGCTTGAACTGGAACATGACAAGGTGGGTGACGGTACGGGTCCCGGGCACGTTGTCTGCTATCGACGTCGACGCAAAGCCGATGGGGTCGAAGAACACAAAGAGCCCAAGCAGGCACGCCGCTGCGATGGTGATCCTCAACACGTGAGGCTGCGCTCTTGTTAGGTCAACCATCTTTTTTGATGCGGCGCGTGAAATATCGAGGCGAGTGTTGAGATTGGCGGTGAATTTAGTAATGATGATGTTGGAAATGTCTGATGTCTGAAAGGGGTCAGGATCCGCGAATTTCAGAGCCTAATGTGAACCAAGGCATGGCACGTGACCATTGGGTCGGTCCTTCAAGGGTTCCAAACTTCCAGGTTGTTCATTTGCCTTCGACTACCTCTACCGCGGGGCAATTCTATCTGCCACTAGTGTTGTTCTGCTGAGTTTCCACCCGATATAAATGTTATCTCCAAACATCCAGCCATCCTACGAACTCAGCGAGACACGCTTGATGGTGGCGGTAACAAACATGTAATGCGCTGTATTGTACCGTAAAGATCGGATTGTACAATACAATCCGCCCCTCACACCCGACTAGGACGTTCAGGTTGCGATCTGGACCATCTGGGGAAGATGCATGCATACTGCAGCACACATGTCCGAGGTTGCATGGGTGGAATCTCTGGATAGAAGCAGAAGGCCTACTTAGACAAGAAATACTTCTGCCTTCACAAAACGAAGCCAAGGAGTGGCGAAAGACACTGAGGCCACTTGGTGTAATGGTGAACACGATCCCAGATATAAAACTAATGGATCCAACTTCTCTACCGTACCCCATACATACATACTCCATCACCTCTAGACGTCCACAAAGAGAAACTGCCCCGCAACAGCGCCGGCGATAACCAAGAAGAGCGTGGTGTACTTGTTGTTGAACGTATAAAGAACCGCCAGGACAAGCAGGTAAAGAACCGCCGCCGGGTCAACCTGAGCAGTGGCGGTAACGGCCTCACCCAGCGTCTTTTCCTTCACTTTGTCCAGAGTGCCCTCGACGCTAGCCTTGAGGATCTGCGCCGCGATCATCGGGATACCACCAATGACCGAGCCACAGAGACCGTCGAAAAAGCTAGCGAGGAACTGTTTTACCGAAAGGAAACCGTGAGCGATGCGCGCAGAGCTCGTTACATGTAGTATACAGGTAGATAATGTTAAGGGGCTTGCTAGGAAAGTTCGAGGGCTCTACTAACCTGATTCCGACCCAACTTCTCAGGAAACAGGGGAAAACATCCCTAGGGTGATGATGACAGCCCCTGCAAACGCGTTGCCAAGCGACCCATTTTCCATATACATACGCGCCTTGGAAACCCACAAATGTCGCGAAGATGGCCAGCGGCGCAGGCATTATATTACCGATAGCAATCCCGTCGATAAACACGCTCTGCGGGAGCCATGCGCCCAACAGGACCGCCTCGACCTGCATGAACGGGATGGCCGTGTACACTCTTTCTGGAACGCTCGGTAGCGACGCTTGTTCTCAGTCAATCGAGATTTTCTTGCGACATCGGACATTTTTTGGCTTTGTCTTGTCAGGAGGTGACGGCACAAAGCGGGAAAACACTCTTGATATGCTCTAGTTTTTAATGTTGGAGGCATGGATGGATGGATGTTTCGATTTTATCTCGCCCGGAGGCACTAAGTCTAGATTCAAGAACGATAATAAGGTACAAAGCCCTTTGCACGCTAAAAAGCAATACGCCGTTACCGCAAACTTGAAACCGGGAACGCGCAAACGGGGAACTCGTCCGGGAAAACATCGGAAGAGCGGAGAGTCGGCCTGCTGAGTCATGAACGACAGTCGTGCAGATCGTAGCTTTCAAACCCTTCCATCTCGCAAAGTAACCTAACGTGCATGATAAGCGAGCGGATCAGATAAGCGAGCGGATCAATTTTCTCTGCAACGCATGTCTCTACCTACAACATCAATTTCCTCCACTATACTATTATGTCTTCAATTCCGGCCGAGGCTAAAGTGGTTCTTGCACTTGAAGCTTTTGGAAATGATCCTAAGCTAAGCCTCCGGGCTATAGCAAAGATCTATTCTGTGCCTTATACTACCCTCTATCGCCGGCATACTGGCCGGCCTGCACGACGTGATACTTTAGCCAACTCGCGTAAGCTTATAGATCTGGAAGAGGAGGTAATAGTTCAGTATATAACTGAGCTATCTACACGCATATTCCCACCTAGATTGTGTGGTGTGGAAGATATAGCCAACCAACTATTACGCGAACGCAACGCGCCCCCTGTCGGTAAACGCTGGGCTTACAACTTCGTCAAACGCCAACCAGAGCTCCGTACGCGTTATGCCCGTCGATACGACTACTAGAGGGCTAAGTGCGAGGATCCAAGGATTATCGGGGAGTGGTTTACGCTCGTACGAAACACTAAGGCCAAGTACGGCATCGTAGATAACGATATCTATAACTTTGACGAGACCGGGTTTATAATAGGAATGATCTGCCCGGGCATAGTAGTTACGACCTGGATGGCCGTAGTAGGGTAAAACTAGCCCAGCCTGGTAACCGCGAATGGGCAACGGTGATCCAGGGAGTCAATACCCTCGGCTAGGCTATCCCGCCCTTTATTATCTTAGCCGCGCAATACTACCTCGCCAACTGGTATACCGAGTGCAACCTCCCGGCCGATTGGCATATTGCAACTACCGAGAACGGCTGGACTACCAATATAGTAGGCCTCGATTGGATCAAGCACTTCGACTTCTATACGGCACCTCGTACAAAGGGCAAGAACCGGTTGTTGATCCTCGACGGCCACGAGAGCCACCACTCTACCGAATTCGAGCTCTACTGCCAGGAGAATAACATCATCACGCTCTGCATGCCTCCCCATTCCTCGCACCTCCTCCAGCCACTTGATGTCGGCTGCTTTGGGCTGTTGAAGCAGGTGTACGGTCGCCAGGTCGAGGACCCAATGCGGATGTATATCAACCACATCAGCAAGCTCGAGTTCCTCTATGCCTTCCGCAAGGCCTTCTTTACTTCTATAATAGAGAAGAATATCCAGGGTGGCTTTATAGGTGCTGGCCTTATGCCATACGATCCAGAGAGGGTAATATCCAAGCTGGATGTAAAGCTTCGTACACCAACGCCCTTGAACTCGCGGGCCGGTATACCACAACCTTGGGTCTTCCAGACACCACACAACCCTCGAGAAGCAACCTTGCAGTCAACGCTTATCAAGACTCACATTGCCAACCAACAAAACAGCTCTCCAACTTCGATATTAACTGCGGTGGACCAGCTTGCCAAGGGTACGATGGCTGTAATGCACAAGGTGGCTCTTCTTCGGTCAGAGGTCTCTTCGCTCTGCAAGGCCAACGAGGCACTTAGTAAGCGCCGGAGAGCCAAAAGAACACGCGTGCAGCTTGGAGGATCACTTGCAGTGCAAAATGCAAAGGATCTACTGGACCAGAAGGCCGTGGTTGGGGAGGTGGTACAAGAAACGCAGCCGGATGGTGGTAGTGCAGGGGGGGCTCGTACGAAGGTTCAGGGCTGTAGTGTATGCGGCAAGCCTGGCCATAACGTACGTACGTGCCAGGAGGTTGCAGAAGGGTCTGATTCATCTATTTCTGATGTAATTATAGTTGGTTCCTAGTGTTGATGTATTGCAATCGAGGATAATTGTGGTAGGATAGTAGAAATTGATCCGCTCGCTTATCATGCACGTTAGCACCTTCGGGCCTCCTCCTGGGCTGCTGATTCCGAGGCCCTTTGCCTGCATTGCACGCACCTGCAGCTCGGTGCCGGTTGCCAGCGTTTGGCGAGCATGGCATCTAAGATCGATGGGCGCATTATTATCAATCAAATGCACCTGTTGCAGAGTTGACGTGTGCTGCCGGGGGCGCGGTCGGGGGCGCTGACGCTGGTCGCGAGGATGGTGTGGCACAGCCAGCACGCGTGGCGGGTCATGGTGTCGCCGGGGTATTCGTGGAGGTGGAAGTCGAAGAGGGCGCTCGTCCAGAGAGGGTTTTAGTAGTTGTTGGAGGAGATGGATAGTAAAAGCTGGTTTAGAAGTTATATCGGGATGTTAACAGAAGTTGGAAGACAGGGTGCAGGGAAAGGGGCGGCTTGTAAATAAATACTGCATTGCATCAGCCATTGTTGTTGTTTACTTCGCACAGGGTCACGGGTGCAGACGACACACAGGTTCAGACGATGATGAATACGACTTGCTGCTTTGGGATTGGTACGTATGTCGTTTACATTTCAAGTTCGACTCAGACCGTGTGCAATGGCGAATACGGTTCCTCGTTGTAGATGGACAACGTCCGGGGGCGAACCCGTCAGCAGCTTCTATCTATTCGACTCTATTCTTTGTTCACCAATTCTGGGATCCCTCGAAATTCAATCCAGTCTCTTTATAACCACACAGGATTTCATCACCAAGGCGATGCGCAAGGTTGAGGAAATCTAAATGCTATAACTTGACTTGTAGGTCTGTGTCTATACGCGTTTATAAACCGGTAACGTACATTATCAGCGAGCGGGACATATCAGCGAGCGGGACATATCAGCGAGCGGGACATATCAGCGAGCGGGACATATCAGCGAGCGGGACAGTAATTTCTTGGCACAACGCGTCCTTTCCTCATCTACCTCTAATTAACAACGCGTTTTTCCTACATCTAAAGATGTCTTCCACTTCAAAGGAAGCTAGGGTAACCTTGGCTCTCAAAGCTCTTGAAAATGATATAGAACTAAGCCTTCGAGCCGCGGCCAAGCTCTATAACGTGCAAGTTTCAACCCTCGGCTACCGACGTACCGGCCAGCCTATACGACGCGATCTTCCAGCCAATTCGAAGAAGCTTACCCAATCTGAAGAGGAGGCTATTGTTCAATATATTATTGAGCTATCTATACGAGCTTTTCCACTAAGATTGAGTGGTGTAGAAGATATGGCCAACCAACTATTACGTGTACGCGATGCGCCCCCTGTCGGCAAGCTCTGGGCGCATCGGTTTGCCAAACGCCAGCCAGAGCTCCGTATGCGTTATTTGCGAAGATACGACTACCAGAGGGCAAAGTGCGAGGATCCGAAGGTCATTGGTAAGTGGTTTGCCCTCGTACGGAACGTTAAGGCCAAGTACGGTATTGTAGATGACGATATCTATAACTTCGACGAGACTGGGTTTGTAATGGGCATTATCTTCCCGGGCATGGTAGTTACAACCTCGGATGGCTATGGCAAGGCGAAGCTAGCCTAGCCTAGCAACCGCAAATGGGCGACGGTAATCTAAGGTGTCAATGCCCTTGGCTGGGCTATCCCTCCGTTCATTATCTTAGCAGCGCAATACTATCTCGCCAACTAGTATACCGAGTGCAACCTCCCGGCCGACTGGCGCATTACAACCACCGACAATAGCTAGACTACCAATGCGGTAGGCCTTGATTAGATCAAGCACTTCGACTACCATATAGCGCCTCGGACAAAGGGCAAATACCGGTTGTTGATCCTTGATAGCCACGAAAGCCACCATTCAACCGAGTTCGAGCTCTACTGCCAGTAGAACAACATTATCACGCTCTATATGCCTCCACATTCCTCCTACCTCCTCCAGCCACTTGATGTTGGCTGCTTTAGGCCGTTGAAGCAGGCGTACAGTCGCCAGCTCGTGACTTAATGCGCGGATATGTCAACTATATAAGCAAGCTCGAGTGCCTTTGTGCCTTTCGCGCGGCCTTCTTTGCCTCTATCACCAAGAGGAATATCCAGGGCGGTTTTATATGGGCTGGCCTTATACCGTACAATCCAGAGAGGGTGCTTTCGAAGCTAGATATCAAGCTTCGTATACTAACACCCCCAACCTCATGGCCGGGCACTATATAATCTTGGGTCTTCCAGACACCATACAACCCTCGAGAAGCCAAGTCACAGTCAATGCTTATTAAGACTTGCATTGCCAACCATCAAAATAGCTCCCCGACTTCAATGTTGGCTGCTGTAGACCAGCTTACCAAGGGTACGATAGCTGTAATGCACCAGGTGGCCCTCCTTCAGGCAGAGGTATCTTCGCTCCGTAAGGCTAACGAGGCGCTGAGCAAGCGCCGGAGAGCCAAAAAAACACGTGTGCGGCTTGGAGGATCACTTACTGTGCAGGAGGCACAGGAGGTGGTAAGCCAGGGGGCTGTAGATGGGGAGGAAATGCAAGAAATACAGCTGGATGGTAGTGGTGCTGGGGGGGTTCGTACGAAGGTTCGGTGCTGTGGTGTGTGCGGCAAGCCTGGCCATAATGTCCGCACTTGCCAGGATGGTGCAGAAGGGTCTGATTCATCTGTTTCTGATGTAATTGTAGTTGGCTCTTAGTGTTGTTGCATTGCAATTGAGAGTAGTTGTTATAGAGTAGTGGAGAGTGTCCCGCTCGCTGATATGTCCCGCTCGCTGATAATGTACGTTATCCTATCTTTCAACCGGTGTCCTATCTTTTGAGGTTAGAGGGCGTCAATTTATCCATGGCGTGATTTGTGGTCAGTTCCCAGCACGTCCGTGACTTCTTCAAGCGGAATATTCGCGATATCTGACAATGATGGCTGCAAATGTAGGTCTGGTGACAGACGAACAAGGTGAACTGGAATAATGAACTGGGTACTAGCCTGCTAGGCCCGAGTAAATTGGTGATAATGAAGGTTGTGTAGCGGTCTATGATAGTCCAACATCCGCGGTCCCCTCGAGAATCTCGACAATCTGTTGGAAGAGTCCTATAGCTTAAGTATGGGGTGGCGGAGGGGGCTGGAGAGGTGCAGGAAGATCAGCCAGCCCATCTCAACGTAAACAATGCCCAAGGTACGTTTGTCTTGGACCAATCAGTTCAGGCTGACGCATTAGCATGGCCATTTTGGAAGTTTTGCGCTCGACTGACGTCGCTCGGGGTCACCTGGCCACACGCGGCACACGACACACGTTGTCGCTCGGCGCCACCACCACTATACGACGACCAAAAAGGGGTGAGTAAAACAACCATACTAAACCAAGGAAAACGTAGAGCCAATCAAAATTCAGATCATGAACAGTCACCGAGTTCCTTCGCCACAGGCAGGCGGTCTGATCTCGTTTCGCGTTTAGCTGCACTTCCCGGTACGACCCGTCCTCGGCCACATCTCCCAATAAATACCTCTCCATCCCCGCGTTTTCTGTTTCTCTTTCTCCTTCCTTTTCCACACTTTGGAACCAGACTTTCTCTTGCTCGTCCCGTTTTTAAAAAAAAAATCAATATGACCAACGACGCTTCCTCCCCTTCGCGGCACCCCGCCGCCACCATCGCCGCCATCGCTGCCGCTCCTCCCCAACGGCCGCGTTCAATCGTGTTCTGCGCCGCGTGGCGCGGCCGGGTGCAGCGCGCCGCCGGCGACGACCCCACCGGCATGCTCATCGTGGAGCATGTCGCCGTCGCCGCGGTCCGGGCCGTCGACCGAGCCCAGGACCGCTACGGTGACCGGCGGTTGCGGGAAGACCTCGAGGCGGCCTACGCCGAGGCCTGCGACGATAAAGACGCCCTGGCCGCGCTTTTCTACCGCTTCGCGTACATACGACTTCTCCTCGATTCCTAAGCGGGTAGCTTAGGAATCGGGGGGGTCGTCGTTACGCCCGGTCCTCTCACCAACGTACGTTGGCGGGACTGTCTCTGCCGGTTCGCTCTCGGTCCTCTTCTCTGTCTCGGTCCCTGGTCGGCTTCGCCTCCCGGGTCGTTTCCCTCTTGGTTTTCGGCCTGCCTCTCGCGGCCACGGCTCTTCCATCTTTCTTCCGGTTTCTTCGCCTTGCGGCGTGTGTGCTTGGGTCTGGTTTGGTTGGTGGGTGTTTGGGGTTTTTTGACTGGTTCTGGGTCTAGTGTGTTTGGTTGGTTTTGGTCTTGGCTAGTGTTTGGGGTTCGGCTTGGTTTTGTCTTGTGTTATTCATCATTGGAGTACTGAGAACGGGCTTTGGACTTTCCGCAGCAGACTAGTAGGGTAGACCGCTTCGGCTATCCCACTAGTACTGAATACATCTGCATTTATCTGTAATAATCGGAACTATCATTCCCATATTGCACCTCGGACTCCGACTCAACCTGGGTTTGGTCATCCACCGCTGATTGATGCTGTGTGAGATGAATGAGGGCAATACAAGTCATGGAACTTCTTGGTGTTGTGTGCCCAATTTCCTTTCCTTCCTCTCCTTTCCTCTCCTCTCCTCTCCGCACAAAGCTCTCCCTCCTGGAGTTTCATTTCAGATCCTGTTTCTCATGCACACGCAAGGACTCGAGGTTTTATCTTGATAGACCCATTGTACAGAAATGTATGACACAGTTATTCATGGGACCATACGGGTGGAGTAGCGCCGATGAGAGAGAGAAGACGACGATAAGACGGTCGATCCACAATCCAGGAGCCGCTCTTTTACACCCACGCAAACGCAGCCCATGCATCGTCCCAATCCATCTTGGTCCCTTCCTATCAACGGTATCGACCCGACCGCGCCTCGCAATCCAAACTTACTTTCGGCCCAACTCCCTCCCACTCAAACGCTCATCTACCCCCAGAATTTTCCTTTCAGTTCTTCTTCTCGGGCGGCCTTGATCTTGAGCTTATTCACTATCACCGGTCGGCCAAGACAGATACTACTCCGTCGCCTGGGTTCAGCCGGTAATCATGGGGATGGTGTGATGGACGCCAGGAATGCTTGACCCATCTTCACCCAAGTCTTGGCTTTGCCTTACTCATATACTGTAAGGATCAGTATATTAAGGGCATCACTCGGTCATTCCCACTGAGCTTCTTATCAATGAGTTCTCATCTGCAGTTCGAACAATACCTATGTTCGCACTGGCATAAGTTCCATCCAGCCACTCCCGCGTCCTTGATCCACCAAAAGATGGGTAGTTCCGAACAGCGGTGGCAAGTAAGTGTCATGCTTTGATAACTGATCGGGGCGGGCCGGGTAGCTGGCAACAGCAGTTCCAAGGTGCGGTCGATTACAAATTCCGCCGATTGAACTTCTAAAGTGATGTAATCATGTACCAACAAAAAAGGGGTCAAACACCGGAACCCCGCCAAGACTCCTACATACAAAACCCGGTAATCCCGATCGCCGTTTACTGAGCTCAGAAGCTGCTTTCCCTGATAAGGTCTCAACCTCTCCACTGTCAAGAAACAGACATTCCGCTTCAGACGTCTTAAGTTCCGAGCAGATTGCAACACCTGAAACATCCAACATGGGCCGACTCACCATCAACAGCACCATCAAGTTGGCCAGCGGATATGAGATCCCCCAGCTAGGATTTGGTGTAAGTGCATGCCTTCTCGTCCATGTCCAATACGCCGACCGGTAGCTGAGCAAACTGGCTCGCACATTGCAGGTTTACCAGACGTAGGGCACATCAGATACCAAAACAATTCAGGTCATGAAACTAACCGCGGCCTAACTAGACCGCCCAAGGACACGGCCAAATGTGTGGCAGAGGCCTTCAAAGTGGGCTATCGTCATGTACGCCACTAACCACCTGTTGGGTTGAGAAACTCAACCAAACATGCCGCAGATTGAAATTGAACTCACACTGTGTTCCCGGACTACTACTGTAGATTGACTCGGCGGCCTTCTACCGCAACGAAGGCGCCTGCGGCGAGGCCATGCGGGCAACCGCGTGGTCGATCCCGCGCGACCAGATCTTCTTCACATCCAAGGTGCCGCCCAACAAGATGGGCTACGAGGGCACCAAGGCGCAGGTGGACGAGTCTCTCGCCAAGTCTGGGCTGGACTACATCGATCTGATGCTGCTGCACGCGCCCTACGGCGGCTCCGCCCGGCGCAAGGGCTCCTGGAAGGCCCTCGTCGAAGCCGTCGAGGCCGGCAAGGTGCGCAGCATCGGCGTGAGCAACTACGGCGTGCACCACCTCGACGAGCTGGAGCAGCACATCGCCGAGCTCGAGAGGGAACGCGGCGGGGGGAAGGGCAAGGGCGGCGTCATCAGCGTGGGGCAGTGGGAGATCCACCCGTGGTGTGCGCGGAGGGACATTGTTGCGTGGTGTGCCCAACGGGGCGTTGCTGTGGAAGCGTACAGCCCGTTGGTCCGCGGGCAGCGGTTCGGGGAGCCGGTTCTCAAGAGGCTGGCGGAGAAGTATGGGAAGAGCGAGGCGCAGGTCTTGGTCCGGTGGAGTCTGCAGAAGGGGTTCATCCCGCTGCCCAAGAGCGTCAATCCGGACCGTATTCGGTCGAATGCGGACGTCTACGACTTTGAGATTGCGCCGGAGGAGATGGACGAGCTGGAGACGGACGAGTACTCGTATGTGGCGTGGGACCCGACTACTGCGTCGTTGGATGAATGAGTTTCTATAATGGAGCACCGGGTGGTTCCACGGTCCAGTGGAAGCGAGGGGGTCTACTAGCTGTTCAGTATTGGTGGTCTGTTGTAATGACCGATAATGTAAGAATTGAAGGCGCTGCGCAACTTGTCTAGGACGTCTAGTACTACTACTAGTACTTACAGTACTAGTACAGTAAATCCCACTTCGTCGACCTCCAAAGATATCCCACGGCAGAAATAGCACAAAGACGAACAACGTGTGAAAGTAGGTGGGTCTTCCTCCACAGCACTCATGCCACATCCACATCCAGACCAGTCCTCGCAAACAGCACCCTCAGCGGCACTAACTCATCCCACCCCAAAGCCAAGCATCCCCCCTTAAGGAACTCCCACAACTCAGCCAGGGACCCGCCCTCCTCCCCCCGCCAAACCTCAGTTACAGTATCCTCCCCCCGTCCCAGCTCCCGACCATACGCCACACCGGCCGCAACAAACGCCACAGCAAGCGTAGCCCACGACATCGCATCCTCCGCCGTCAGACTGCCAGGCGGCTGGCGAAACTCAATCGTCCCCAGTCCTCCACAATCCATATCCTCAGCCTTCCGCTCCCCAGCAGCCGCCAACAGCCCAGCCAGATTCCACCTATACGTCTTGCCACGTATGAAATCCGCTCGCCGACCCCTGGCCCGCGCAAAGTTGGTGTCCTTGGAGTAGAGGTTCATGACCTCAATGATCGGGCGGATATCGCCACAGGGGTCCGCGACGGCGGTGTCAATCTTGGCCAGGCACTGGGCTAGGCTGAGGCCGGCGAGCGACGGGTTGTCGCGCGAGCGGTTGGACTTGGCCCAGTAGGCCTCCCCGTCGCGGCGCTCGGGCGGCATGAGCTGGTCCAGCGCGTGCTCGAAGTAGAGGGCTGCTTTGGCTAAGCCGGCGAGCTCGGTGGGTGAGAAACAAGGGGAAGGGTAATGGTAAGGGTGGTGGTGGTGATGGGTGCACGAAGAAGAAGAGATGTGCACGTGGGAGGAGCATTGAGGGGTCGGAAGGAGGGTGTAGTAGTGCTTGTGCTTGTTGCTGCTGCTGCTGCTGGGGTTTATTAGGGCAGTGAAGATCTTTTGGAGGTCGTCGTGCAGGGCCGAGAGGGAACTGGCGGCGTAGATTGGGGAGACGAGCTCGACGCCGTAATCATCTGGAGAAGGATGGCCAAGGAGTTAGTAGTACTGCAGTTGTCCAACATTGGGAATGGGTGGAAGATGTGAGGCTCACAAGGATTATCGCTTTGAACTGTCAGCTCTCTGACAATGGACCATTCTCTGTAGTTGTCGTTTCCCTGGATGCTGTTTGGGACGCCGACGGACTTCAGTCTACGGCTGAGCTCCTTAGAAAGGGTGGCCCATGTTCCGTGCTGCTTGCCCAGGCTTCGTACCAGAACTTCGATCTCAATGCCGAATTGAAAGGAGTTCATCTGAGCGGGAGCCATGGCGGAGAAGCTGAAAATGGGACAATGGATGAGGAGCTTTTTAACACATGACAGTATGGGGCGGTTGTGGACTACATTGAAGGGGAACATCGCTCTATTCCTAATCTTATACTTTGGTTCATGGTCTCCTCCAAGCCATCTATCAAACCCCGTTAGCCCCTTTGTCATTGTCCATGACATGTCCAACTATTGGAGCGTTTACCGTGGGCAACGACGCCCCGACCCCGACAGTCAAGGACAGCATGCGTAGCGACTCGGCACCACGTCTCCGTAACAGAGTCCCCAAGCACATCCAACGGATCTCCGGCTGTAAAGGACGAAACAGCCAGGCGCTATTTCACGCAAAGGAGTTGGAAAACCGTCGATCCGCAGCTCTGTCCTAGACGCCGAAGAATGCCTAGCATAATCGCACTGACCGATGGAAGCAGTCTGTTGGCGGAGACACTCCGACGACAGAAATATCCCGTATCAGATCTCCAGCCGGTCTGGCAATATCTCCTTGAATCCAGAGACTCATTGGCAAGTGAGCACTCCGCAACTGATACACCGGTGGCGGGAGCTAACACGTCGGCGTCACGCCGGCCGTTTCCATAAGTAAGGTAAGTAAAGCCTTATCATACCTAATACTAGGTACTTCCTGTGCTTAGGTCAACCGACCAACTTCGGTCACCTAGCTACCGAGCCCCAGCCCCCAGATGTGGATTCGTTAATGCGATCAAAGAGGGCTAAGCCCTGGCCCTGAGAATCCACTGAAGGACAATACACGCACTAAGGGTAGCCTGTGGGAACCTCGCCGATGCCAATAATACAAGATTCCAAGACACATCTTCATCACCCCGATTCAATCTGCTACTGTCGCAAAGATGTTCCATGGCAGGGACGTCTGGGATGTTAATATGTACATGTACAGTGGTACCTACGTACCTAGGTACTTTAGGTATCCCAGATGGAGAGATTCAGCCTTGCGGGCCGCATAAGGGGTGACCAAAATCCAGACCCCCGTCCTTCTGGAAGATGTGAGGGTTCGTCAAAAAGACGCCCAATCACGCAGGACCGCCTCACGATAATAAGCGACATGCACGGCGGCAGTCTCGAGAGAGGCCTCGGATCACACGCATACCCCTGACATGCATCAGAGCCCCAAGTGGCCTGGCAGATTCTAGATGCATGGTGTATGCATATGGTTAGTGTCACGTTGTGCGTTGCCAGACGGTCATTCAAGAAATTATGGTATGCTCTGCCACATTATGAATGGAGTCCGATGGTGGTATACTGTCCAGTGCCGTTATCTACAAGAAGCGTTGCTTGTCTGGGACTAACTCAAAGCGACTCCTAACTCCTAAGCACCGGGCAACACAAATTCAGTGGGGTCCGTGTTGCTGAGCCTCAGAAGCGCACTGCTAATAGCCCGACTAAGAGCGTGGCCAAGATCGATGTGTACCTGTGAGTGTGCGATGTGTGGAAGCAGCGAGGCTTAGACTGAGGCAGCCTAATCCCCAGAGGCGAGGAGCACACCGTTGCTGGATGAACGAGAGTTGGCTTGGTGGTACAGTAACTGCTAGGCGGACTTGGTACTAAATACTCCTTTCTTTCTGATCTCCGGAAGGAACAAACCAAGAGTAATGAACTCTGCCTAGTAGCCAGCGGCGGGACGCCTTGAACTAACTGTGACACTCATATAATGGTAAAGTCATTCTAACACCACTTCGCCAGCAATAAGCTCGCGGCCGTCTCTCAGGAGCGGGATCTCCCAATCCTACCTAGGTACCTTACCTAGGTAGGTAGGTACGTACTTGTCGTTCGTCCCCATTCCCAACCTGCCCGAGCTTCCAGGGTCCAGGGTTTAGGATCCAGGGTCAGGGTGCAGGTCCAGGGTCCGAGGTCAACTGCATGCCGAACGGGCGCTAAGGTGTCCCGGCGAAGATCACTTGCAGGGCGGCCTCCGGTCACGAACACGTCCTGCAGGATGACAAATTGAGGAACCCCGCGATTCCATTCAAGGCAGCACTTCTAACCCCGCAGAAGCTCACCCCCAGGAATTTCCTCCAACATCCTGAACTTTAAAGTTTAAGTTTAAGGTAGACACCAAACTCCCAAACTACCTTACTTACCTTACCTTCCATACCTCAAAAAATGGCCGACCAAGAAGATCCCATCCACCACATCACCTCCCTCTCGTCCCTCGCCCCGCTGAGCTCCACGCACAAATACCTCATCCTCGACTTCACCGCGCAGTGGTGCCCGCCGTGCAAGGCCATCGCGCCGCTGTTCAGCAGGCTGGCCAAGGAATCCGCCGTCCCAAACGTGCTGGCCTTTGCCAAGGTCGACGTGGACGAGGCGCCCGACGTGGCGCAGAAGTTCGGCGTGACGGCGATGCCGACCTTCCTGTTCCTGGTCGACGGCGAGCCGAAGGGCGTCCCCGTCGAAGCGGTGGCTGCGGTGCCCAGCGTGAGCAAGGACGACGAGGGCCGCGTCGTGCAGATCCGCGGCGCGGACCCGCGGAGTCTGGTCGCTGTTGTGCAGGAGGTGGCGAGGCTGGCCAAGGAGGAGGCGGAGGGTGGTGGTGAGGAGAAGGTGAGTTAGTTCTATTTGGATCTCTCTATCTGCCGCCGTTGGGAATAGGATAGGATAGGGAAGCGTACTGACAATGTAATAGACCTCTTAGACAGTTGGCGTATCGGTTGGGGAAGGATGCCGGCCAAATGGCTGCAGCGCGAGAGAGGCCGCTCAAGTGTGAGCCTGATAGATTCAATGGAGCGACGAGATACCCTCAATAGCGTGCGGGTCCAATGCCCTTGGATAGCATGGACTCTTCAAGTTGCTTCAACACTACTTGTTGTCCAATTGTTTGAGTGGTTACACTCCGGTGACACATGTGCAGCAACGACGCGCGAGAAAACAAGTAGATGGTGCATTATACATGCTCCGGGACCAAATGGTATTGTAATCCACCTCCAATTCCAGTCGCTACCCTGAGAAATCCACCAAACTCCATACTCGCTTCTAGCCCTGGCAAAAGGTATGCCATGGGTACAACACGTGCCGCTCCAATACAAGCGCTGGACTCTATCCCCTGGATGGCCGTTCGACCGGAGGGTTTGCGTTCCGCCCTCCTGTCACCCTTCGTTGTGATGACCGTCATAGCTCGCTGTATGATATGACCGAAATGGCCGTCACCCCTCTGACGGGTCGTACTGACCGTCACCACCCATCATAGTGACTTCCGTTAACCGGAACAGAGTAAGCCGCATCCAATTCACTTGCCCCCCTCGAGCAGAGACGCCGAGGGAAGCAACTGCGTCCGTTCCGACTTCGAGCCGCTCGCACCCTTAATCGATATCACCCCAAGACTCTGCCGTCTACCGGCACTTTCCCCTGGCCCCCTCCCGTCCACCTCCCTTTGGTCAGCAAAGTCCTCCGCCTGCGTGCCCGACTTGGATAGCGACGGACGCCTTGCCCCATTGCTTCGATCGCCGCGCGCGCTCGTCACCGGCTGACCGGACGAGCCGACTCCCTTGAACCCCGTAATCCCCCGCCAACGGCCCAGATTCCAAAACGAAGAGCTTCCGCTGGCAGCACTGGGGGATTCCGACTGCGGCTGCTGCTGGACGGCGTCCTCGTCTGCAGACCGGAGGAGTGTAAACCCGGGAGTCGGCGGCGCCGACGGCTCCTCTGACCTCGAGTCTCGCCTGTCTTTCGACCCCCGATCCTTCTCCTTTACCAACCGCGCTGACTGAGCGCTGAAGACGCTTGCGGTCGGACTGGTCACGGTGCTGAAGGCGCTACCAGCGCGAGCTCTATTCCGAGCCGGCGACGGCCCGGCGTACGGCTGCTTCCTTGCCTCGCTCGCCATGGTGTTGTACGCAGAGTTCAGTGATGTCCCGCTGGGTTTGGTCGGGCTGAGCGAGCGCTCGCTGCGCGGCGGCGTCCCGGGGCCGTTGTCCGTCAGCAAGACGGAGCGCCTATCCCCGCCGTGCTCGATGCCCTGTCGCCAGCTGAGTATCCGGTCTGAATGCGCCAGAACGGCGCCCAACTGAGGGGACCCAATCGCGCCTGGGGCAACAGGCTGGCTGAGCGAACCACGTCTGCTGTGTGCCGTGCTACCGACACTGGTCCTCGTCAGCACGCTGCCGCTCCGGCCCAGTCCGCCGCCGACGTAGCCGCTGCCGTGGGCTGCAAGCTTGCGACTCAACGTGCTGCCCGTCTCCCAGCTGTCGTGCCGCCGCTTGGCGAAGGCGCAGTCCTGTCGGAAGACTTTGATGATGCCCGTGTCACCGGTGGTCACGATGATATTGCCGTCGTAGTGTGTCGACCGCGCAATGTATGCAGGGCTCGGCTCCGGCCGTCTGGGGGAGGGCTCGGCCAGCGCTGGGTTCTGTGAGTCGTTGGTGAGAGCAACCTGGCTCGCTGCGGCGCTCGCGGCTTCCTCCAGGCTCTGGAGCACTACCGGCGGGGGGTTGCAAAGGTCGTAGATTGGGTCGCCGCTCTGACCAAGGAGCATCCTCGTCTTGGTAGGCGCAAAAAGCGCGGTGGTAACGATATCCCCGTGCGCTTCGAAGTACTCGCAAGACGACTTGTCCTTGTCTTGGACGAGCGCATCGCTGCCGGCCAGACTCCAGAGGAACGTCTTCCGATCTTCACTCCCGCAGATGACATACTTGCCGTCATCGGAGAACGTTGCCGCGATCTGGCTACACACGTTCTCATGGCCCTTGAGCTTGACCTCGAGGGTTTTGTCCCGCAGGTTGTAGATCCGTATTCGACTGTCGTTAGATGTGACGAGCACGCGCACGTCCCCGGAGCCTCCCGCGTCCGTCGGGGCAGAAGACGCTGAAGCAGAACTCTGCGCCGGCGAACCTAGACTGTCTATTGCGTTGGGTGGCGGGATGTTCATGGTTTGGATGCCCGTTATCTTACTTCCCTTCGCATTCTTTCCCCGCGACGACCGCACATGGATTTGCGAGTTGAGCTTGAGCCCCTCGGTCTCGTAAAACATGCACAGCCCATTGAGGAGCCCCGCTATAGCCACCTTCCCGTCGGGAGAGAAAGCCACAGCCGTAACAAGGTCAGGAAGCTGGGCCGAGAAGGCGACTGCCTTGTCCGGGATACTCCAGAGCCGAAGCATGGTGTCCAGGGAGCCAGCCAGGAAGAAGCGGTCGTCTCGCGGATGGAATGCCAACCTAGTCACGAAGTCCTTGTGCTTGAACGTGCAGAGACAATCCGACCTGCTCATGTGCCACAGCCGAACCGTCTTGTCCATAGACGATGACAGCAGGAAGTTGTTTTTGCTCCAGCTGAGGTCGAGTACTTCTCCGGTATGCCCCTGGAACTCCTTGACTGGCTGGTCCCTGAAGACAGGCGCGCTAAGCCTCTCTCCAGCACCGCCAGTGACGGCCTCGTCCTCCTCGTGGGCGCGGCGTTCCTCGGGCGTTGAAAGCACGGCCCAGACTCTGACTACATGGTCGCGCCCGGCTGTGGCGAGATACTTCCCATCCTTGCTGAATTCCGTCGCCCAGATGGCGCCTCCGGTTCTCGTCGTTTTCCGCTCGCTCCCGCCCGCAACACTAACCGATACCACAGGCGCCTTGCCCGTCTCTGCTGGCGAGTCCGTCTCGTTGTCCGGAGGCCGCGTCCCGACAAGCTCCTGGGCGAGGAACACACGGTTGAACTCCCGCGTCCTCTTGTTGCTCGCCCGTGTCCGGATGTACCGTGGCGGCTCCTTGTGATGCGGCACGTAGCCTCCGCCTATCAACGGACTGCCGAGGGTCTGACTGAAGACGCGGGCATTGCTACCGTCCATCCGCACCTCGCTGCCAAACTCCGAGTCGGAGTCGAAGTCCCCGAGATCCTTCTTCCGGCCGCCACGCATGCCCAATCTGCTGAGGAACGAGCTCCCCTTCCTGTTGCGATCGAGCGCAGACCGTTAGCCGGTCAATCCAGGATGCGCGGCTGGGGCCCCATTTTGCTCCTACCTCTTATCCTTGGCCGTCTCGCTCACTGGCACCACATTCCTCGAGAGTTCCGAACTAGCGCGGGCAAGTCCTTCCGCCATCTGGGTCAGGCGCTGTGGGATCGACGGTTCGGTGTTCTTTCGCGACAGGATATGCTGCGCAAAAGTTGTCTCAGCTACAAAATGCCACCCAAACGCAAAGGGCAGGTGACACGAAACGGCGCGTTCTGTACTCACCTGCGACAAAGGATCAATGCCAGAGTTGGAACCCGGTGTATGCGCCGGAACGGAACCCGCAGTCCGAGCTACATCGACGCCGCTGTCGCCAGTAGCAGCATTAGTGATCGCAGTCGTGGTGCCGGCGGCTTGATCCGCATCCTCAGGCTCGGTTTCTCTCTCCTTTCCTGGACTCTTCTCTTTCAGCGCGGCGCTGGTGCTGTTACGCGACCGTCTCGAGGGGCTTTTTGTGCTTGGGCTCTTTGGGTGGGATTGCGGCGCCGTCGAGGCTTGGCTCCGGGCGCGTGCTGCCGAGCATACTGCGTCGAGTGCGTAAGCTTATGGTTGGGGCCCACTGGCCAACGAGGGTGAGAATACGACGGATACGCGTATTGCGGCAGCCAGCCACAACGGCAGTTTCCAGCGTGGAAGGGGCCGTAGTTACTTATATGTGCAGCAGCGCATGACCCCTCGCAGGAAGATCGGGCTGATCAGTGCTTACCTCGAGTGTCCGGCGAACTGGGAGGTCTTGGCAACGGCCGCGATGACCGCGATAACTGCGACGTGCCGAGGGTTCTCTGCGGCGAAGGGACGCGGGTGCTGCTTGTTTCGGCAGCGCGCTGCGCGTTCTCATGCTGTTGCCCGAGTGCAGGCGCTGCGGCCTTTATTGTTGACCAAACTCCTGTCATCTTCCCAGCATTGCCCGGCATGCAGCCGTGGGCGCCGCCAATAATGTCTCGTGGAACCGCGCCTTGTGTGGCGGTCGCGGGCGAAATGGCGATGCAGAGACGACCTAGGCTTTCGGGGTTTTGACAGTCCCGATTCCCGGTGTCTGCAAGGAGCCCGACCCGGTGCAGTTCTCAAGCGGGCTCCACCCGGATAACTTGAACAGCCTGGAAGGCAGTAGTCTTTCCTTTCGCGAACGTTTTGAGGCCTGTACCTAATCCATAGCAGATATCAGCGGAAATAGCCAACCCGAGGTGCTATATGTAGTGAGTGTATTGTACAGTCCGGAGTCAGAGGAATGCCATGTCGGGTGGGAAGCACCTGTGATGACCCTTCCATGCTTCTCTGGCGGTTGCATCATTGCTACTCCCTAGGGACTAGCGTTTCGGTGGGGCATGAGCGAAAATTGTCCTTCCACCATTAGGAGCATCGCACTTAAAACATCTAATAGAATAAGGTTTGGACTTCTGCATTATCGCCTAATTTACGCATAACGTTACTACCGTGTACGTGATTACCCCTATCGGTCGTGAGATGACCCGAAACCCCTGCCTTCCTGGTTTTCAGGGTATAGCAAAGGCCAGCTTCGGAGACTTACACGTGTACTGGATTACTGACGCACCTATGTCCTTGTACTTGTACATTGGGGATGATTGAAGCGAGGTGTGGTAACGTTAGTCGGAGCCTTTTCAGCATACCTACTTCTGCTCTTGAGATAACAAATCACTTTGACTTGTAAAAAGTGATAATTATCGGGACATTGACCTTATTCCATTGGCCCTACAATTCACTTTCAGCTGAAGGGCTATTTTCACTTCCAGAATGGCGGTTACCAGTGTCCGCGGAGCTAGGTAGGTTCGACCGAGCAAAGAACTCCCGGGCATATCCATGATCTCGGCCGTCTGTCACTTGACACCTACTTCGGGTGGCGATATAGCCGAAGGCAGTGCTGCAGTAAACCTACCTCCGTGACTTATGCGCAGTGCCATGCAGTCAATTTGCATATACCCCGCGATTGGATGTAGCCGCTGCGAGAATAACTATTCACGAGGGGAGGCAGAGATGATAGCAGTCCGAATCCCGAGATCGACAGTCAACTGGGACGGGATTCATCAACACCTGGCTCTCGAGGGCAGCAACCCATAATTGCCCATCAAGTCTCAAAGCCTGCCTTTGCCCACGGTGTCGTTCTCTTGCAACATCGTCAACAGTGGCATCAAGGTTTGAGTGATCAGTGAGCATGGCAACGCACTCGGCATTCCTGGGCAACTCCCACTTCGTGGGGCCGACTGTGCTTGCAGCAGCACTTGGTGCAGTGAGTTTCAACGTGCTCAGTCCCAACTTCCACAGTGTATCAGGCGCTCACTAAGACGGCCAGGTAGTGCTCTTCCTTTACCTGCTCGCACGGAGCGTCTACTATGCCTTCGTCCATCCCTTGGCCAAGGTGCCTGGTCCCAAGCTCTACGCGTGCTCCGACCTGCCGTATCTGTACCACAGCCTGCGTGGCGATTGGCAGTTCAAGTTGAAGCAGCTGCACGACCGGTACGGGCCTGTCCTGCGCTACACGCCCGACAACGTGTCATTTACGACGCCCGGCGCGTGGAAAACCATTTACGGCCACCGCGCTGCCGGACAGAAGACGTTCGTCAAGGACAGGATCACCTACCGCCCAACCCTTTCGGGCCACCCGCATATTGTCGTTGCCAATGCCGAGGACCACCGGCGCCAGCGGCGGCTGCTGTCGCATGCCTTCTCCGAGAAGGCGCTGCGGGGTCAGGAGGACATCATGAAGCACTACATCGACCTACTGATCCGCCGACTCGGCGAGCGCGCGGCCACGGGCGAATCGGTCAACATGGTGCAGTGGTACAACTTCACCACCTTCGACCTGATTGGCGACCTGGCCTTCGGCGAGCCCTTCGGTTGCCTTGAGCGCGGCGTGTACCACCCTTGGGTGGCCATGATCTTCCAGAACATCAAGTCGACCTTGTATGGCGAGGTGATGCGACGGTACCCGAGACTCAAGCCGCTCGTGACGCTTCTCACGCCCAAGCAGCTGTTGCGCAGCCAGAGGGAGCACTGGGAGCTGAGCGAACAGACGGCCAGGCGGCGTCTCGAGAGCGGCAACGTGTCGCGCGAGGACTTCATGTCGTACATCCTGCGCCACAACGACGAGAAGGGCATGTCACAGGGCGAGATCATTGAGAATGCCCAGGTTCTGATCTTCGCCGGGAGCGAGACCACGGCGACACAGCTGAGCGGGACTACGTTCCTGCTGCTGCGCAACCGCGACAAGTATGAGAAGCTGGTGAAGGAGGTCCGATCCTCGTTCGCCAGCGACGACGAGATCACGCTGTTGCGAGTGAGCCGCCTCGAGTACATGAACGCTGTCTTCGAAGAGGGCTTCCGCATGTGTAAGATGACAGCCCCGTCCACCGCGCCCATCAGCGAACCCTTCTCCTACTCCTCCTGCTCCCCGTTGCCCGCTACAGGCTGTTGTTCATTTCGCTGACTGGCCTTCCGAACCAAAACAGATCCCCCCGTACCGTTAGCCTTGTCGCGCCGCACGCCGCCCAAGGGTGAGTTTATTGAGGGATACTGGATGCCGGGCGACGTGAGTACAATACCTTCTACGAAACATGAGAGAAGATGGATGTCTAACATGACCCTTTCGACAGACGGCGGTTGGAGTTCCCCAGTGGGCCGCTTACCAGAGCGAGCGCAACTTCCGCAACCATGACCAGTTCGTCCCTGAGCGCTGGCTCGGCGACCCGGACTATGCGCAGGACGTGCGTGACGTGCTGCAGCCATTCTCGGTCGGACCGCGCAATTGTATCGGGAAGAAGTAAGCGACCCATTTTCCCTCTCCGGGGCCGCAATCCCTCGTTGCTTGGTTTCGCCCGAGTTGCTGATTATTTGATTTCTTCAACCAGTCTTGCTTATGCCGAGATGCGTCTGATCCTGGCCCGCGTGCTTTGGAACTTCGACCTCGAGCTCATGAATGAGAGCTGGAACTGGAACGACCAGAAAATCTACCTGCTCTGGGAGAAGGGCCCCCTGATGGTGAAGCTTACGCCGGTTTCGAGGCAGTAGGGAATCTAAGAACGACCAGATTGTTAGTGATAAGGCGGCGAGTGAGAGGTAGCAGATTGATGTGTTTCTAGGTACCAAATCAGATTCAAGGTTCTGAACGACAAATTACTTGTCCCCTTTTCCCGGCCCCGACAGGCACGGAGGCCAGGCCACGTCACCTGGGAAACCAGAGCAGGAAGAAGTACCTAGAGCCCAGGGTCCACACCTTCCCACATCCATCAGCCAGTTCTACCGCTGGCTAGGTTAGGTAGTTTGAGCGTTCCGGGTTCAAGTACAATACACATGCCAGGCCGGCTCGTACCTTCATGGATCTTGCGACGCCAGGCTTGACATGCAGGTAACGGTACTTCGGCCTTTCCAACGCATCATTACGATTCTGCTCGTGTCCGGCGCCGCAAACGGAGTGGGCGGGTTAAAGCTGCGGAACAGGAGCCGCTTGAGTGTGCAGCACAGATGGCCTGTGATGACCCGGACGTCCAAGTATGTAGGACCTGTTTGGGCGGGGATGAGAACTGAAGCGTCTCGAGATATTCACGACCCTCACTCTGGACTCTTCTCTTGCGTGCAAGGAAAAACCGCCCAGTGTCATAGTACTGCACTCTCCTTTGCTGGATTATTGACATCCGCCTCTCCCCCCTCGTCTTCCTCATCGTCTTCGTCCAGATCGTATATAGGGTACGTCAGGATCGCGGCGATACCGCCCAACGCCTCCAACCGCTTCCCGCTCTCGTGGTCACTGCTGAGCAGCCTTACCTCCCCACCGTCTTCCTTGACCTTGTCCACGAGACCAACGTACTTCTTCCTCGTCGCAATCTCCATACTCCGGAAGAACCCGTTGTTAACCAACAGCACTCCCCCGCCACGGCCAACGGCGCCCTCGGCGATGGCCTTCTCCACCGGTTTGGTGCCGTACCACGCCCTTCCGTCGTCCTTGCGCAGACGGTCGTAGAATTCGTCCATTAGGTTCGTCTCGATCGTAAACTTTGTGTCGTGCATCGTCCTCTTCACCTCCGGGCTCTTCAGCACCTCGTTCAGGCTGTGCACGTGCCCGGTACTAGAGTGCACTACCACCGCCTCCTTCGCGATGCGCTGGAGGGTTTTGTCCCCTGTCCTGGCAGCCTCGGACTGTATGTATGTGCGGAAGTCCTGGGCGACAAACCCCGGGCTTGCGAGGAGCAGCGTTCGGGGTATGCTGAAGTCGATGGCATTCCGCAGGTTTGACAGTGTCTTCTCGTAGAAGGCCGCCATGCCCCCTGACGCATCCTTTGCAGATGAGCGCTTCTTGGGTATTGCGCTCTCGATCCGCTGCTTGACGATCGTCCGGAAGTCGGTGATCAGGCAGATGTTGGCCAGACCTTCCTGCATGACGACGGCGGCGATCGCCTCAGGTCTGTCCTCGCTCAACGCCTCCTTCAGTGTTTGTGTGGCCACCGAGTCCCAGCCATGGCTCTTCCATATCGTGAACGTGATGTCTGCCTTCTCGTACTTGAGCGTGATGGTGTGGTGTTGCCCAACACTGACCCACTCGTTTTCGTTGACCACCGTGCCTGAGACCTTGAGTTCCGAGGCGAGCGGGTCGAAGAAGGTCGACTTGACTTTGATCGACAACTTTGTGTGCACGCCCTTGGCGACTGTAGAGCCGGTGGCTGTGGTCATCGTGACTTTGCGGAAAGCGGGAGCGCGGATCACATCTCCAGCCGAGATCAGGTTGTTCGCATGCCACATATCCTCCGGCTCGACGATCAGTAGCGAGACGCCGGCATCTTCGTCTATCCCTTGCAGCGTCTGCCTTTTCGAAGCGAATCGCATTGTGTCTACAGGATGGAGATTGTTTCGGCGCAGATTTCGCTGTTGTCGGTTTCGACTGGCAGTGGGATTGGAGCTTGGTTGTGGCAGTTAGCGGGGCTGGTTGAGGTCTTCGTGGCGGGGTTTGACGCGGATCCCGGGCTGTCGAAGTGTGGGGTAGCTGTGATGTCAGAGGTCACTCTGTCAACCGAGCCCCGAGCTCGCCGGAAGGGGGCCGTTCATAATAAGCTCCGGCACTCTACCCCAAACCATTATAAAGTCTCATGCCCTCCAACTAGTTCATGTTCCATGTTTTGATGGATTGAAATACTGCTGCCAGCTGCCTACCTCAGGTACCTGGTACAGTACCCCCTCCGACACCGCCCCGGCGGGACAGCTCAGAACGCTGATAGGGCTGAGACCCCACCGATTCTTCGAAAGCTGAAATTGTGGGGCAGCAAGGGTTGAAACAAGGGTCTTGAACTGTTGAGACGCAACACAACGGTGGGTGGTCTACGCAGTATAGTTTCATGATGCTTGCGGCCTATAAAGGGTATTTCTACCCCTTTACTGTGACGATCTACCCATCATATGGTTAGCTTCCTCGGAAATGATCATGGTTCTTGAGGCCAGCCGCCACATTTGCAAGCGGAAGGTGCTGTGAAAAGTGTCTCATGTTGGCCCTGAATTGAAGACAATCACAGAGTGGTTTGTTGGATGAATCAAGAGAATCCTTCAGGCCCTCCTGCGAGTAGACTTCCCTAGTCGACTGGAGATTGTGTCTTTTACAGACCTATAGGTAGGTAGGTAGCTAATAAGTCTTTCCTCCCAAACGTGTGGATTTTCAATCCGCCGCGCCGCTCTACTCCTCCAAGCCTGCAACAATCCTCTTGGACCCCGTAGAAGGCGGAGTGTTGAAAGCCGATAATTCCTCCAGCACTCACACCATCCGGCAGAGAGGGGCACGGTGTCTCACACATCCGCACTGATTGAGGATGGAATTCCTTCCACATACGCGGCGGGGAAGTGCCGGTTGAAGACGGTGGACCGAAGTGAATGGGATAGAGTGAACGCCAGGGGTCGTAATAGTTGCGGCGAGAGTGGCTATGTATTGTAAATCAAGACAGAAGCTAAGCTGCTAAATGTCTTGTCGCACCCGGGTCCGCGGCCTTGTTAATAATAAGTGCACCTTGCTGGCCTCGATGGCCTCGATGGTGTCGTCGTTTTGCAGTCCCAGCTATCCGAATACAACATAATATGTCAGAATTGGTTTCTCTTTTATAACAGCATCCAAGCCACGCAACTCACCATCTCTGCAGTGTCCTTCGGGTGGATGAGTCGGCCTCGAAAGAGAAATCTCATCGAATCAAGCTGCATTTCCCAACGTTCGCAATATAAGGTCATGGCCTTTCGCATGCCCTGCCTCCGCTTTGCGAGAAACCACGTTTGTTGGCCACCTGATGTGCTAGTATCAAGTTGAGCATCACGCACTCTGAAGCGGACATGGTTTGCCGGCACCGTCGGAGGGTCGGTGTCATCATGTGCCGCGTGCACGTGGTCAGCATGGTCAGCCATAGTGAGTTTATGGCTTCGGTGGAAAGTCCTCTGCGCGTGAATATCTGAAATTCGAGACTTCCAATTACTGGAGAGCTTGGTTGTGGTGTTTTTGCGCGATTGTCAGGGATGAAAATCGAGAAAAAGGATGACCTCCCTGTGCCACCTGGGTTTTGAAATGTTGCGAATTATAAGGTCCAAGGCTGCCGGGAAGCAAAACGCTCGCGTTAAACGAAGATAATTGACCGAGTCTGTGAAGGCGGCTCGTTCTAATCGTTGACCTAGGTATCTTGATCCTAACCTTGAAGCACTCGGGTCGCTAGTCGGTACCAAATCATGACATGGATGGAACATGGACTGCGGTGGCCTCAGTGCCAGGTATTGTACCTTACCTTGGTACATGGACCCGGCAGTTGATCACATTCACAATAGGATATTGGGAATTTGGAATGTCAAACTGCAAACAATCCCTGAGTTGTCTGCTTGGAATGGAGAATTTCATCAATGTTATTCTATGCAGGTAAGGTAAGAACCTTCAGGTGAATATTGTACTCATGGTGCGTCCTTCCCATAAGGACCTTCTGCCTCATAGGATTCCGAGTGTGGCTTCCACTGGTAGGTCTTGATTGTGATGACTTTTGACCTGGACCCCACTCATCCGTCCAACCTCCTTCTACGCTTCTATTGGCGCCAAGTTTTTGAAGGTTAGCCTGCAGCTCTTTGCTTCGCATGCACATGAGCGGCACCGCATCAGAACGAGCCAAACATTGGGAAGCGAAAGGCTTGCCTTGCATCTAGTGGCCCAACGACTTACGAATACTGGAAGCGCGCTTCCCGGGCGGCGGTGTGCATGCAACCCGACGGGAACCGGAGCCTGAGGGCTGTTGCCTTCACAACTTTGGAAACTGCCTCCTCATTTCTGCCCCTGAGGTGACACAATCAGCAGGCGACAAAGTGGCGGGTGACGCGGGTCTCGCTTGACGCTTTTATTTCTTGACTCACCAGGCCCTAGCCTTAGCCTCCCAGCGCCACCGCCAGATTTCAAAGTATTCGAAAATTGCAACCATCGACGCTAAAGAACCTCGTGCATCTTCGTCGCTCCATCCGAGCCAACCACCATGAATGGCATGAATAGCTTATTAGCCCTGGCGAGCACCTCGCTGCTAAATGGAGGGACCTCATCGGTCCAGGACTTGGAGGAGCGGATCCCCGGGTTCTCAGTGTTGCGGGACTTTTTCAAAAGATGGCTGAGGATCGACCTTACAACTCTCCTCACCGCTGCAGCGTTGATGGGCGCGGCATCGAGCGGCGCGCAGAGCCTGCAGGATACCGGATCTAAATTCTACTGGTGGATCGTGCGCTTCCTGACGGCCTCCATCTCGATCGCGGGTAACGACCGACTCAATCGCGAGGTGCTAAACTGGCTGGGAGCGCACGTTCTGGCGAAAAGGGGAACACGAATCCTGACGGCCAACTCGGAGACGATCCGGAACGATGCTTGGTCGTACAGGCGCGTCTCACAGGAGCGCAACGACTTCCACCACGAGAAGCGGATGCCCGTGCAATATCTGCCGACTTTTGGAACGACTTGGTTTATCCACAAGCGTAATCTGTTCATGGTGCGCCGCATCCTAACGAGCAGCTCCCACTACCACAGTTCCTGGACTAGGACGCCAGACGAGTACGCGGGAGCGCCCGAGGGCGATGAGCCACTTGTAGTCATGTGCATTGGGCGGTCCGTCGAGCCGATCAAGCGATTTCTCACCACGTGCCGCGAGTTTGCGGACAAGCAGCGCGAGGCCTATATCACGGTCCGAATCAGCAAGCGCAGCTACGACGAATCGTGGGATACGACCATCCTACGGCCACTCCGCCCTCTTGAGACAGTTCACTTTGACGAGAGGATCAAGGACGCTCTGGTAGCAGACATCGAGAATTACTTGGATGTTAACACGCGCAGGTTCTACAACGGGCGCGGCATTCCCTACCGCAGGGGCTTCCTCCTGTACGGGCCTCCCGGCACTGGAAAGACGTCGTTGTCGCTCGCTCTCGCGGGTAGATTCGGGCTGGAGCTGTACTTGCTCCACATGCCGAGCGTACGAGACGACTCGGTACTCGAGAAGCTCTTCACAGCGCTCCCTCCGCGATGTCTCGTCCTTCTCGAAGACATCGACGCCGTCGGGATCAAGCGTCGCACAGTAAGGGATTACGATAGCAGCGACAGCGACGATGACGAGAACAAGAGTGATTCTGTTGATGACAACGACCGGGTGCGCTCGAACTGCACGCTCTCTGGGCTGCTGAACGTCCTCGACGGAGTTGCGTCTCAAGAAGGGCGGATCGTGCTCATGACATCCAACTTCGCCGAGAAGCTGGACAAGGCACTTGTTCGCCCGGGCCGGGTCGACAGGATGATCTACCTCGGCCATATTTCGCAACGCAGCTGCGAGCTCATGTTCTTGCGGATGTACGGCCCCAATGCGGATGGCTCCGCCCCGGCAGACAGGGCGGTGCAGCTTCCGGAAGACGAGCTCAAACGGCTCGCACTCGACTTCAGTGGACATATCCCCAACGAACTGTTCACTCCAGCACAAGTCCAAGGATATCTCCTCAACTACCGGGACTCGCCCCTCGATGCGTTGGCCAATGTCGGGCGGTGGGTGAAGGAGGAAGTCGAAATGATAGAAGCAGCAAAGGAGAAAGAGAGAAAGGCGGCCGAGATCAAGAAGAAGAAGAGGAGGGAGAGAAAGCTGAAGAGGGCAGCTAGGCTGGCTGAGGCGATGCGCGATTACGATTCAGACAAGGAGCTCGAAGACTTGCGGAAGAAGATGATAGAAGAGAAGAGAAAGAAGAAGCAGAAGGCGAAGCAGGAGGGGACCGAAGCGGATGCGGATGTTGAGGGCGAGACATCCGAAAAACTCATCACTAAAACCGTGGATGGCGAAACACCTAACGGAGTTTCGACGGATGGCAACGCGCTTCCGAAGACGGAGAAAGAAGGGACCGTCGCGGTTGATGGAAAGATACATCACAACGGCGAAGAAGCCGCACATAATCCTGTTCCGACGGAACAAGCGACCGTCACCAACGGCAGTTGAGGGGAATTGGAGCATTAAGTGTCGTCGACCGGGGGGTTCGTTGGACATTGGACCTGGAGGCTATCGCTGTGCGGTGGCGATGATTTCTTCGATCGATATCCGTATGATCAATATCATCAGTTGCATCCTCGTTTGGAGAGCACTGCAGCATGGAAATGCTTGGCTCTTGTGTGAATTCAAGAGCCGTAACCGAAGGAAAGGAACTTTGAACTCTCATACGACTGTTGAGTGCGGGGAAGTCAACTCTTGTCCCGTGACAGATGAAGTGCCAGGTCCCCGACAGGTACGGCGTGTTCGAAACATGAGATCCGTGACTCGAGCTCACATTGGGTGCTTTAAATCGACCGTCCGGACTCCACGTTGTTCGTCAATATCTCGCAAATGGCATCTCACGGGTGTTCCTTCCTGTTATAACGCCCGTTCTTCCTGTTCGAAGTCGAGTACTCATCCAAGCGTGAAAGGGGCTGATCCGGCATCACATGAGTCAGACCGTACCGAGATGCGGGGCGGGATGTTGTGCAACTTCAATTCGACACCGAAGAGCGTCGAAGTTAAACCAAGCGATTCCCCGAGCTCGTCGATGCAGTTTTGGAAATACAGCTAATTAGTGCCCACGTGCTTACACTGCAGTGTCTGATTCAAGACTTGAAACTATTCAGCAGATCACAATGTCCGCTTCGATTCCGACCCCGATCCCCCCGCCCGATGTCAAGGACCGCCTCAAAGAGTCCTACAACGCCATCGCGGAAGCGTACATGAACTGGTCTGCAGGCCGTCATAACCATCTCCGCTTTAACTACACGGCGGAACTGCTCAAGCTCCTCCGCAGAGACCGCTTACACCCCACCACCGCCGGCGGCGACTCCTCGCCCCCTCAAGACGGGGGAGACGTCAGCCTGGGCGGCCTGCGCGCGCTCGAGCTGGGTTGCGGCTGCGGCGTTCCCGTCATCGGAACCCTCCTTGCTCGGGGATTTGAGGTGCTCGGTGTGGATCTCTCGTCGACTCAGGTGCAGATGGCCACGCGCAAGTACTTCCCCGACGAAGTACAGAACGGCCAGCTGGTGGTGGTCGAGAAGGACATGATGGAGCTGACTTACCCACCGGGCGAGTTCGACGTGGTCGTGGCGCTGTACAGTCTGATCCACCTGCCGCGGAACGAGCAGAGGGTCATGATGGAGAGGGTGCATCGGTGGTTGAAGCCCGGCGGCATGATCCTGATGAACTACTCGGTGGAAGAACTGGAAGGGGAGGTGATTGAGAAGTGGCTGGGGCAGGAGAAGGGGTGGGTTTACTGGAGCGCATGGGGCAAAGACAAGATGCTGGACATGCTTGATGAGTTGGAGTTCAAGGTATTGCTTCAGGAGGTCAAGGGGGATGAGGGGACGGATGCGAGCTTTCTGTGGGTTATTGCACAGAAAGGTAAGACGGAGGCGTGAAGTTAATTTCTGGCGCTTTCAGGGCCGTGAATCGAGGCTAACTACCATACCGCGCCTCCGGTGTCGTAGAAAATGGCAACTGCTAGATTGAAAAGAAGGTGGATTGGTTGCTTGATGATCCCCTCTAGGCGAGGCCTATGCTTTTAGATTAAATACAGACACGCGCAATGTAGCATCAACTGTCCGCCTGGGCTCGATGCCGAGAGAGAAAACGGGATCGACGTCGTGGCACTTCAAAGACCAACAGGAACTCGTGTCCGTCGGGTAAACTACGAGCGGCCATAATCCCTCCGCCTGGAGCCATTCAAGCGCACTCAGTGGTTCCTCATGGTCAACGAAGAAGTTCGTATCAACGCCCGAGATGAGACCCAAGTGTGGGGCGGCATTGGGCTGGAAAACGGAGCCACAGAGTTTGGCGTCTCTAACATAGGGAATCGGGGAGCCGGCCATCACCTCCCTTGCACAGGTTTGTATGAAGCCCAGTGGAACATGTGGAAAGCAGAATTCTATTGACCGGGAAATTAGAAATGGAAATTAGATACGCAATCGGCTGGCTACTCACCGGAGCACGCTTTAGAGAGGGCGATACAGGCGGCTGGATGCGAGCTCATAATGCCAAAGACCTTATCATCGTTCTTGCGGAGCTTCTCCAGAAGGCAGGTTGCGAGGCGACGTTCCCTGAAGTCGCGGTGGACAACGAGCTGGGTTACCCAGCAGACTCGTCGGCCCTGGTAGGTCCACCGGCAGGCAAATGCGTGACCGGCGAGAGTGCCATCAACATGGACATAGATATAGGAAGAGGAGGCGCCGACTGGAAGATATGACCTCCGAAGCCGAGATGCGCTTATCTTGACACGAGTTCCTGAAGCTAACGTTAGTTACTTGCTCGAGGAGGCGTATGCGAGAGGACAAAGATAATGAAAGTAAAACGATGAAACGGGGGTAGGGCTACCTCGCTTGTGCTAAGGTGTATTCCATATGCCATAATGCTCACTGAAGAGCTGAGCCGCGTCAATTAGCATTTCATCCGTGATGTCCTCCGACTCGAACTCCCTGAAAATATCAGTCGTCATCGTGGGGCGAGGCTTTGGGGTCGTTTTTTTCTCAAACTGAACAGTGGGAGCGAAGGTCACCCTTCCCAGCTGCCTTGAAGGATTGGCTATTTATGTGTGAGATGAGGTTTTCAAGCCGACTGGCGTTCCTTTGTCTGTAAGTCGCATGTCGTCAGGCATTCTGGATTCGAATCTCTGCACTTTGGTTGGGTGGCTGTGAGACTGCCTCACAGCACGGCACCTCCAACGCACGTGCCAACTTCGGATCTGCTACCGGTATGTGAGCACGGCCCACACGCCGAACGCGCTCCAACGGAAGTTCCGGCAGGGTGGTCCCAAACTCAGGGAGATCAGCCCAATAATCACAAATACTGATGCAATAGCAATTTCAAGCATGATGTCTTAACTTCACCGGCCGTGACAGTTGAATGCAGGCCCGGGTGCTATTTCCGAGAGTATGCCTTAGCTCCTACCCTAATTGGCTGTTGTATAATTAGACAGTGCGTATCGGCGGCAGCGCTTGCGGTGCTGCCGTTCTCGACGCGCCGCGACGACCGCCCTTCTTGCGCATTTATTACAGTAGCAGCCGTCGCTGCCCTCTCGACTTCGCATCGTCTCGCACGGTGTACGCCTCCTACCCTATGAGCGCGCCAACTGAGAGTTACACTCACTTTGCTGATGGCACCCATCGTCCTTTTCTGTGGGGACTTCCGCCAGTTCCGTCCCGTGCAGGAGCGGTCGATTCTTCTCCCTAGCGTGGCCATCCCGTGGGATGACGACATTTCGTTCAAGGCAGAGCAGACGAAGATGTTGTAAAGTCGCTTTCGGTCGGTTGTGGCGGCTCATCCGTCCCGGTTCACCGAGTCGGATTCATATCTCCACCTTCAGCTGCCCGTTTCCTCTTCCACTGGTTTTGGCGGAGATTACAGATTAGGTTTACTGGATTGGGTGGTCGAAATCCTTGTGTGGCCGAGATCCCTGATACGTTTTCTCGTTGGAAGTCAAAGAAGTGTCGGCATGGTGGAAGCAAACCGTGGCCGCCAAACTGCTACGGGTTAAATAAAGGTTGCAGGGTAATTCGGTAGCAGCTCAAGGAACCGAAGAGCTGCTCCAGGGCTGTACTAAGTAGAAAACAGCGACAGAGGAAGCCAGAGATGGCAGCGATTTGTCTTTTTGGAGGCAGCCCTTGCGGCTCAACGGGTTCTCGAGAGAGTCGTAAATGGCTTCAGTCGGCGGAGGAATGGGCAAAAAAAATAAAATAAAAAAAAATAAAAAAAATAAAAAAATAAAAAAAGGGAGTCCTGCGGGAACTGCAGGTTGTTCTTCACTCGAAGAGACGAGCATTCGGCCACTGACAGGAGATTTATTTCCCACTACAAGAAGTACGCCTCCGCTCCTTCGCTTCTTGATTTCCATCATTCATAAACCAAGCCATCCACCGATCCGCGATTTCGGGAAAGCCATCCTGCCCTAATCGTCTCTGAAGCCGCCTCCTCCAATCCTGTCTCGAGTCGTCGTCGCCACCAGGGAGATCCGATCCGCTTGAAACGCGGACTTTTGTCCTTATCCATTCCCGTGGAACAAAGCCAGCCATTTCCCAATCAACCACTCCAAGAGATCCCCGTCCAATATCTATTATTATGTTCCCGGGCCCTAGATCGCAATGGTAGAAGACGAACTTGCAACAATCCATCCCGAGATTAGCGCAGTTCCTGAGGAGATTCTGGGGACTCATGTCTTCGATGCCGTGGAGGGGAGTGAGATAGAGATCTGACATATTCCGCCCGTCGACACCATGAATGCCATTGCCTGTCCAAGTTGCCAGCTCCGTGCAGATGCCCGCGATTCGTGAGACGTAGTACTCCTTCGTGCTCTCGTCCATCGACGGCCAGGCCTCGGCAAGGGTCTCGCCAGGTATTCGGCTCTGGATAATGAAGTAACGATCCTTGCTCTGCGCATGGTGGATGACCTTTGGGACGGCAAAGCTGAGCTGTCCAAGCGGGCATTTGTTGTGGAGATGATCCAACGTGATGTGCTCCCACGTCATATTCGGATCGGGGTATTTCTTGGCTTTGCAGATGGCATCACCAATCCTCCAAACCGCCGACACGCCGCCTGCATCATAAAGTTTCTGGATGTGGCTTTCCTCTGGCAACGGTCGACACGGAGGCATAGGGCTGGGCGGTTCGGAAACGACGTAGTAAAGTCCGTTCCCATCCCCCCAGGATGGGCAGCCAGGCGGGGGCGAGTTTTGCCGGGTAAGGAGGATCTGGTCCCCAAAGAGCCAGGAGGTCTCATCGATTTGTTGGATCGATTGGTTAACAGGATGATCGAGGTGCATTGTCCGTCGCGTACGTGGATGAAGCAAGGCGTAGACAAAGTACGGTAGCTAGAAGAGAAGCTATGAGTGATGAGTGGTCTTTGGATAATGATATAGGCTCTTATTTTGCGGTAGTCGTGAGTGGTTCCTCGAGGTCCTGTGAGAAAAGATCTGGCGGTCACTGAAGTGGTTTTGGCCTGGCGCGGTGGGTCGTTCGGCTTAACTAGACGACCCGAATCTGCCAGCGTGCCGCTGGATTGGAAGCACCCATAGCGGCGCCTAGTGTTCGAACCACACCTGCCCCTAAAAGCCGGAACCCGCCCTGGGAACGTCCCCTGTAAGGTACCTACCTGTACCGGAGCTTATGCCTATGCCTACAGCGGTATAGGAACTTTGCCGTACACTCTTGGGACCGTATTTGATGACGTTGACAGTTGGGTGTCGAACGGCGCTTGGAGCTACCTTATGGCTGGCGCTGGTTGTGGCTTGACCGTGTGGTGCCCTTCCAGATATGGCTAGTTGCCATAGCGAGTAGCCGGTCGTAGGGTGCGAATAGCCGTGTCGATGCAACCAACCGACCTAAAACAAGGAGCATTAACGTATCTTATAAGCGAGATGAACATATAAGCGAATTGAACACTTGCCACCATACTATAACAGTCAACTACAATTACAATACAACAACATTATGAACCTACTATAATTACACCAGAAACGGCTGAATCAGATGCTTCTGCAACCTCCTGACAAGTGCGGGCATTATAACCAGGCTTGCCGCACACACCACAGCACCGAACCTTCGTACGAGCCCCCCTGCACCACCACCATCCGGCTGCATTTCTTATGCCACCTCCCTAACCATAGCCTTTTGGTCTAGTCGATCCTTTGCATCTTCTACTGCAAGTGATCCTCCAAGCTATACACGCGTTCTTTTGGCTCTTCGGCGCTTGCTTAGCGCCTCGTTGGCCTTGCGGAGCGAAGTATTCTCTGCCTAAAGGAGGGCCACCTGGTGCATTATAGCTATCGTACCCTTGGTAAGCTGGTCTATAGCAGCTAACATCGAAGTCGGGGAGCTATTTTGATGGTTGGCAATATGAGTCTTAATGAGCGTTGACTATAAGTTAGCTTCTCGGGGGTTATATAGTGTCTGGAAGACCTAAGATTATATAGTGTCTGGCTATAAGGTTGGGGGTATTAGTATACGAAGCTTAATATCTAGCTTTAAAAGTACCCTCTCTAGATTGTATAATATAAGGCCAGCCCTTATAAAACCGCCCTAGATATTCCTCTTAGTGATAGAGGCAAAGAAGGCTATACAAAAGATATAAAAGAACTCGAGCTTGCTTATATAGCTGATATATATATATATCAAGTCCTCGATCTGGCGACTATATACCTGCTTTAACGGCCTAAAGCAGCCAATATCAAGTGGCTAGAGGAGGTAGGAGGAATATAGAGGTATATAGAGTGTGATAATGTTATTCTACTGGCAGTAGAGCTCGAACTCGGTTGAATAGTAGCTTTCGTGGCCATCGAGGATCAACAACCGGTATTTACCCTTTATCCGAGGCGCTATATAGTAGTCGAAGTACTTGATCTAATCAAGGCCTACTATATTAATAGTCTAGCCATTATCGGTAGTTGCAATGCGCCAGTCGGCTGGGAGGTTGTACTTGGTATACTAGTTGGCGAGATAGTATTGCGCCGCTAAGATAATAAATAGAGGGATAGCCTAGCCAAGGGTATTAACGCCTTAGATTATAGTCGCCTATTTATGGTTGCTAGGCTAGGCTAGCTTCGCCTTGCTACGGCTATCCGAGGTTGTAACTACTATGCCTAGGAAGATAATGCCTATTATAAACCTAGTCTTGTCGAAGTTATAGATATCATTATCTACGATACTATACTTGGCCTTAATATTCTATATAAGGGTAAACCATTTGCTAATGACCTTTGGATCCTCGTATTTAGTACTCTAGTAGTTGTATCTACGCGTATAATATATCCGGAGCTCTAGCTGGCGTTTAACGAAGTTATACGCCTAGAGTTTACCGACAGGGGGTATATTATATACGTATAGCAGTTGGTTGGCTATATCTTCTATACTATATAGACTCGGGGGAAAGGCTCGCTCAGATAGCTTAATTATATACTGAACAAGAGCCTTCTCTTCGGAATCGGTAAGCCGGCGCGAGTTGGGTGTAGTATCGCGTCGTATAGGCTTGCCGTCATATCGGTTTCGGATGGTATTGACTATAACGTTATAGATCTTTGCTGCGGCGCAAAGACTAGGTTTTGGGTTCTTTTGAATAGCTTCAAGGGCTAAGATTACCCTAGACTCTCTTGAAGCCAAAGACATCGTTAGGTGTAGAGGATTTTGGTTGTGGTATGGAGAGAAGACGCGTCGCGGTCAAAGTGTTCAATTCGCTTATATGTTCATCTCGCTTATAAGATATGTTACAGGTTAGGGTTATATAAATATACAACAACTCTTTTTCTGCCGCAATGACATCGGCATCAACACCATACAACACCGACGTCAACACCGTTAACATCGTCAATCCTATTCAAAGCACGAGAGGGAGGTTAACGGCGCTTTAGAGCAGATTCTAAATTTAATGTCTTAGTTACATGTGAATTTGTATGGAGGACTAGACGGATTGGCCAACTGGAGCACTTCCCTGCCTCTCCCTCCCCCCAACACTTCACTCATTTTCAGGGTGTTCGAAAAATTTCGAGATTTTCACGATTATGGCTGAAAAAAAGAAAATCGTAATATTTCATTTAATTGTCTCAAATTGGGTGCCCAACCGCAGTGGAACCGAACAAAAAGTATGCGGCGCGCTATAAGATGCAGGTGCGAACATACAGTGGTAATTGCCATATTTGGCTGGAGGAGTCCTTGGCTGGGTTAATCTACGGCTTCGGCCAGCCCGCCTACTCTTTGGAAAATCAACCATCCTTACTCCGTCCTTCCTTGTTTTCAGCGCCACGGATCCGTACAAGACGCAGCCATTCCGCCTGCCGTCTCGACGTGCCACCCTTCTCCCAGATCAAACACCTCCTCCCGCATTGACAAAAACTTCTTATTGCGATGGTCGCGCCTCCCTCTGATCACCTCTCCGCACTTGTCGTTGGACAACTACATGGCGACGTCGAATCGGTCTTCATAGCTGAAGCGGACTACCTCGCGCGGGTCGTTGACTCTCCAGCATTAGAAAGCGGTCCACTCTCCCGTCTGATGTTCCCTCATCAGGGCACCGACTTCTCAAAGCAACAAAAGGATGAGATCGTCCGATGGCACGTAGAAGGCATTAAGGATGCCATCATAGGTGGTCAAACGCAGCTCCGAAAAATACGCCACGGTGACGGAACCATTGTCGGCTTGGCCGGATGGGTTGTGGAACGATGTCCGGAAGCACAAGCTAACTGAAACAAGAACAAAACTGCCGTAGAAGCGGCGAAGGTCGGCAACGAGAAAAACCATGAAGACTGGCTCCCCGAGGCGTTAGATGTATCTGGGTGGTTAAAATCGTCAGCAGCCTTGAAGGAAGAGCGGCATAGGGCTGTTGGGCATCTTCACAATGTATGCCGTACGTTACAACTAGCCCCGACTTTGATGATTTTCGCCGCTAACTCGTGTGCCAATATGCCACAGGAATAACGATCATGTCCCATTTCTCCGGAATACCAACGCCAAGGACTCGGCTCTATCCTTATGCAGCACGTCTGTGAAGAGATGGATCGTCATGACCGGTATGGTTATGTCTTGGCCTCACCAGCTGGAGTCAGATTATATTCCAAATTCGGATTTGAAGCTGTTGGCCAAGTTGACACGCCTTACGGACTCATAACAAGCATGATACGCTCGCGCCAAGCCCGCGCTTTCTCACTGGACCAACGAAGACCAAGCAGTCGATATCAGCGAGCTTGCACGGAGGCCGGACTCAGCAGGTTTCGCAATATAGTCTGATAAATCTAACTTCCCCATTCACGAGGTTGGCACTGTGGTTTTAAGGATGGCCGAAAGATGGGCGGGTAAATATACGATGAAGGTTCTGGAACGAGGATCCTCTCCAACCGCGGATGCTAAGAGCATGCGGCGCTGGGGATCTAACAGTGACTTGTTTAGAAATGATGAACGAGCACAGGTTAAGGTTAGTTTGGCTCTTGTGAGCGGGGTAATGCGTGCATGGTGTACGTTCAAGTCCAAGAAGTTCAAGGTCACCTTAGGCTTGCTGAATCTTGCATAGTGCGGGACGGCCCGGAGCGTCGGGCCTTTCCAAAGTGGGTTGTGGGGTAGAAAAGGCATGCTTGAGAAAAGGACGATGACTTGGAGATAGCTTGATTGATGGTATGATAATTTGATTGATCGAACAAAAAGTAGGGGCGCCAGGCCCAAATGATGATAACGTATCTTATAAGCGAGATGAACATATAAGCGAATTGAACACTTTGACCGCGACGCGTCTTCTCTCCATACCACAACCAAAATCCTCTACACCTAACGATATCTTTGGCTTCAAGAGAGTCTAGGGTAATCTTAGCCCTTGAAGCTATTCAAAAGAACCCAAAACCTAGTCTTTGCGCTGCAGCAAAGATCTATAACGTTACAGTCAATACCATCCGAAACCGACATGACGGCAAGCCTATACGACGCGATACTATACCTAACTTGCGCCGGCTTACCGATTCCGAAGAGAAGGCTCTTGTTCAGTATATAATTAAGCTATCTGAGCGAGCCTTTCCCCCGAGTCTATATAGTATAGAAGATATAGCCAACCAACTGCTATACGTATATAATATACCCCCTGTCGGTAAACTCTAGGCGTATAACTTCGTTAAACGCCAGCTAGAGCTCCGGATATATTATACGCGTAGATACAACTACTAGAGTACTAAATACGAGGATCCAAAGGTCATTAGCAAATGGTTTACCCTTATATAGAATATTAAGGCCAAGTATAGTATCGTAGATAATGATATCTATAACTTCGACAAGACTAGGTTTATAATAGGCATTATCTTCCTAGGCATAGTAGTTACAACCTCGGATAGCCGTAGCAAGGCGAAGCTAGCCTAGCCTAGCAACCATAAATAGGCGACTATAATCTAAGGCGTTAATACCCTTGGCTAGGCTATCCCTCTATTTATTATCTTAGCGGCGCAATACTATCTCGCCAACTAGTATACCAAGTACAACCTCCCAGCCGACTGGCGCATTGCAACTACCGATAATGGCTAGACTATTAATATAGTAGGCCTTGATTAGATCAAGTACTTCGACTACTATATAGCGCCTCGGATAAAGGGTAAATACCGGTTGTTGATCCTCGATGGCCACGAAAGCTACTATTCAACCGAGTTCGAGCTCTACTGCCAGTAGAATAACATTATCACACTCTATATACCTCTATATTCCTCCTACCTCCTCTAGCCACTTGATATTGGCTGCTTTAGGCCGTTAAAGCAGGTATATAGTCGCCAGATCGAGGACTTGATATATATATATCAGCTATATAAGCAAGCTCGAGTTCTTTTATATCTTTTGTATAGCCTTCTTTGCCTCTATCACTAAGAGGAATATCTAGGGCGGTTTTATAAGGGCTGGCCTTATATTATACAATCTAGAGAGGGTACTTTTAAAGCTAGATATTAAGCTTCGTATACTAATACCCCCAACCTTATAGCCAGACACTATATAATCTTAGGTCTTCCAGACACTATATAACCCCCGAGAAGCTAACTTATAGTCAACGCTCATTAAGACTCATATTGCCAACCATCAAAATAGCTCCCCGACTTCGATGTTAGCTGCTATAGACCAGCTTACCAAGGGTACGATAGCTATAATGCACTAGGTGGCCCTCCTTTAGGCAGAGAATACTTCGCTCCGCAAGGCCAACGAGGCGCTAAGCAAGCGCCGAAGAGCCAAAAGAACGCGTGTATAGCTTGGAGGATCACTTGCAGTAGAAGATGCAAAGGATCGACTAGACCAAAAGGCTGTGGTTGGGGAGGTGGCATAAGAAATGCAGCCGGATGGTGGTAGTGCAGGGGGGCTCGTACGAAGGTTCGGTGCTGTGGTGTGTGCGGCAAGCCTGGTTATAATGCCCGCACTTGTCAGGAGGTTGCAGAAGCATCTGATTCAGCCGTTTCTGGTGTAATTATAGTAGGTTCATAATGTTGTTGTATTGTAATTGTAGTTGACTGTTATAGTATGGTGGCAAGTGTTCAATTCGCTTATATGTTCATCTCGCTTATAAGATACGTTATGGCACCGCCTTCCGGAAACGGTCAGCGTATTTTCAGCTGTGAAATGAATGAACATCAGTCGATTTGTGAAATCTGTAAAACAAGGATTGGCTCGAAATTTCAGCCTTTTTGTGATATTCCACGTATCAGGACAGACCTTGAAATTCCCATCCCTATACGCGACGGAGCGGCTGACAGGAACCCTGATGATCCCTTGGTCGTGATGCTTGGCGCAGTCTTTGGTTCGCCAAGCCCGTCGTCGCTCCGCTCTCCGGCAGGCACGGCAGGCAGCGGGCAGGCATCCACAAGGCAGCGGCGTCGCTACTGTGGGTACTAGTACTAGTAATCTGTGGTTGTTCTCCAGTCTGCAACAGAGACGCTGCATGTCGCGAATTTAGGCACAGTACAAAAAGGCAGTTTGCACCCAAAGATTACTTTGCAGTAGATTCCAACCAAGGTGAGCCATCCGCACACCTGCACCACCGAAACCCGCCATGCCGCCCTCAACGCCACAGGGCCAGTATCCCGGCGTGGCCCTGCCGCTGCGATACCTCAGACAAGAAGGCGAGGCCGGTATCGACTTCTACCCTCTGGGTTCAACACCCGGCCTGGAGGGTACGGCGTCAGAGCCTCTTCAGGTCCGCGAGGTGGCCATGATGATTCTGATGGACCGCCTGACGGACAAGCCGAACTGGCACGAAAAGGTGTTTGACGACGCCATCGTCGCCAAGTGGCGGGAGGAGGCCGTGTCCCAAAACGAAGAGGGCGTGTACCAGGAGATCTTGGGCCACAAGAGCATGCAATACATTCCCATGCCGAAGCGGACCAGGTTCATGACCAAGGACGCGTTCGACTACGTGCGTCGACTCATTCCATTGCGCCTTTTCTGTTACTACAGTGGTACCTCTATGCCTAATGAGACTAACTTTGTGTGGAACCTCGTTTATTAGTGCATCGCCGAACTGAGGGCCAAGGCAGCCTATTTCAAGGAGACGGGCCTCGTCTTCACCCTCAACCGTGGCGAGAGAACTGCCATCAAGTCAGACACGCTTGTGAGCAACGAGCTTCGCCAGGGTCTTAAGGCCGCCTTCAAGAGGCTGCGCGCCGATCAGGCAGCCGAACCCGACTGGCACCCCTGGACGGACGACAAGGTCCAGGACCTAGTACACCCGTCTCTGTATCCGTTCGTCTATGGTATGGGGCGCCGTGGACCTTTGAAGCTTATTGCTAGTACTCATGTATGTTCTGACCATGCACCACTAGGCAAGACCAGGTTCATACCCGAAGAGGTCGTCGGGGTCACGGACGCGGTCGACAAGTGGTCGGGGAAGGGCAGTGTTGTCCCAATGTTCGAAGAGCGGGGGCCGTCTGAACATGACAGTGACAGTTACGGTCGTGATTACCTTGCGAGTTACTGGTCTACCAAGTACCAGTGGCTCCCGGCCAACTTGGCCTTCCAGGAGGATGGCACGGTGCGCTTTACGAGCTACATTAATAACCTCCACCCAAACAAGTATCCCGAAATCTACAGGCTGGTGGAAAAGCTCGTTGACAAAGCCGTCCCGGCCTGGGACCGCGTCCTCAGCGGAAGGGCTGTCACCGAGCGCGGGGAGCTCCAGAACCGGATGTGCGAGCTCAAGATAGCCGTGGAGTGAGTTGCCGACGTCCCCAAGCTGCTCAGTTGCAAGACAACCGGCCCCTAATCCATAAAACGCAGTGAGGAGGATGATGAACTGTGGGAGCAGTTCGATCCCGCCGTGCTTGCGGCCCACGAGGCGACAGCAGGTCCTGTCCGATACGACGAGTACAACGTTGAGTGGGGATTGGAGCACTCGGGGAACAGGGAAAAGAACATGGACGAGACCGAGCGACAGGCAGAGAAGGCGCGGCTTATCGCGTACTTCAAATGGAAGGAGATCAGAGATCCCATCCTTCCTCGGACGCGCGACTACGAACCGGTCACCTACCAGGTGCGGCAAACGCTCGGCGGGAGATTCAAGAACAGCGGCCTGCAGGTCATTGTGAAGATGGCCTCGATCGAGCTCACCCCCGAGAAACCCAACTTTCCGGTCGGGGGCTGGCACATCGAAGGCCAGATGAACGAGCACATTGTCGCCACTGCGCTCTACTACCTCGATTCAGAAAACGTAACGCCGAGCCACCTGTCATTCCGCATGATTACGGATGTGGACGATCTCGAGGATTTCCAGATGAGTATCGGCCAGGACATGTACCACGTCTACGAACGCATCTGGGGCACGGAGCTTGGGGTCGGCGGCAGTGACAGCGAGGCTCTCCAAATCTACGGGAGCGTCGAGACTCGCGAGGGGCGACTACTCGCCTTTCCCAACGTCTTGTAAGCGTGTGCCCTTCCCCTGCCAATCCACGTTCCACGGAGCTAGATTCCACTAACACACCCGGATTTTCCATCCAGCCAACACCGCGTCTCCCCGTTCAGCCTGCAGGACCGCACCAAGCCCGGCCACCGGCGCTTCATCGCGCTGTGGCTTGTCGACCCGCACACGCGCATCACGTCCACGGCCAACGTGCCGCCGCAGCAGTTCGACTGGTGGGCCGAGGCCGTCTTCGGCACCGAGTCCAAGGCGACGGCGGGCGAGATGCCGCCCGAGCTGTTCCAGCTGCTGCTCGAGAAGGGCGCCGACCGGGTGGTCAAGCCGACCGAGGAACTGGTCAGCAAGGTGTCGTCCTCCAACCGTCTGCCCGTCGAGCTCATGCAGATGATCCGCCGCGAGAACGTCGTGCCGGACGGGCTGATGACCGCCGACGAGGCCCGCGCGCACAGGCTGGCGCTGATGGAGGAGCGCAGCGCGTTTTCCAGGAACGCCGAGCACGAATGGACCACTACTGCGTACTCGTTCTGCGAGCACTAGGACTCAGGAGTATCTAGGTGGCCAAGGCGGTCAAGCAGTAGCCAGTACTACCGGGGAATTCTCTGGGGCATTTCACGTTTGGAATCAGTTGGATAGAACGCAATGTGATTCATTGATTGTTCTCGACATTTTCGTGGAAAGCACTGAAGTAGCAAGTCAGGGTCGAATTTAAACGACAGTGCAGAGCAACAATCAGGGATCGTCACCTCCCTCTCCTGGCATTTGTGTTGGCAAATGCTATCAGATGTGAAGATACAGAGAAGACCTCTTTGATCCCCTCCCCACATGCAAGCCCGACCAAGCTGCGCCCAGCATGATTTGCCCTATGACACTCCAGCCTGCGGTGACTCTGCTCTTTGGGACTCGACTATTAGACGACTCAAGCCATGGCGTGGTGGTGGAAGTGATGCCGTTAGTAATACTAAGGCTGCAGGCATTCAAGTTCTATTTCCGTCACTAATACAACCACCGACCGGTCGCAAGGCTGGCTAGAAATGGAAGGGAAAACTCATTACTTTCTCTCCATCTATTGACTTGGTGCATGCTCTAGTTTGTATGCAATGCAGAGTGATTGCTGCGATGGGATCACCCTGGGATGGAAGACCTTCTTCGGATTCGAGGATTGTTGCAGGACAGGGTAGCAATAGGTAGACTCAATAGAGTCCAGTTCATTCAGCTGATCGTGTTCGGCCATGTCTTCCCTTGGCGAGAGCTTTTCCTACTAGTACTACTAACTGCAATGATGGATAGCATACTCCCGTCCCGCTGCAGCGGTTAATATTGGGCTTAGGTTACATTCTTCCCCTCAGGTCGAGAGGATTCAGATCGAACCTGCATCCGCAGGCTCCGCCGAAACAGGAAGCCCGTATACCCTGGTTAACAGCGAGCATCCAGGCGAGCCGGTGTCTGTGGAGCATCAGATCTCGAGATAGTACTTTCTGAGGTGGAAACGGAAAGGCATACCGAACGCGGCACGGATGTGTTCTTTGGTGTTCCCCGATGCTCCAGCTGCACTCCCTCGTGGAACCGGAAACCGATGTAGTTGCAACCCTCAATGGAACTACTGCGCTAGTAGGTGGTCGACAAAGCCAGACATCTCCGTCAGCGTTTCATTGCAGATTTATTATGGGCGAGCTAGGTTAGGTAGGCTTTCGAGAACGGTGACAACGGTCTGGACATCTCGGATCGGGATGCGACGCTGGGTGGTATCCAAGGAAGGATAGGGCGAACATCGAGTTGGAGTCTAGAGCATCGTTATGGTCGTTCCATCCATCTTCTTCAAACGTAACCCTTCATTGTTCAAGCCCTTCACCTGGTAGTATCGACCAATATCATTCTTTAGGTACAAGAAAGCTAACTTTGTGGCACTCCGTACAAACATCCACGTGGAAATTACAGTCGCGTCATGGCTTATTCTATTGGAACGCCTTGTAGCAGCCGACCTCTCGGGTGTTGGGCCAGATGCAGGAACACATAAAATCGGCGAGTAAAATCAAGCGGGGTGACCACCCCAGTTCAGTATGTTGTCCGACAACGTGCAGATTGCCCCTGATCAAGCCATCCATTCCACCTGCGGCTGCGTTCTGCACTCTGCAACACACAGTGTATGTATATATGTACCTTCCAACAAATACGTGTATATCTGGTATGTATGTACAACACAGTACAACACAAGTCGAGTCCTGCATCTACGTCCACCGGCAGTAGCCAATAGTTAATGGGCGAGCTTGCCAGCCATCTGGCCTGTCCCGTTGCTTTTGGAGATGCAGAGCTGCATGCAATACACAGGCGCCGAATCTCTTGGCTTCTGCAACGGGAAATATCATGGGGATGTGGCTGACGACTAGTTAAATCCTTCGGACTGCCTTGGCATGGAGGGCAAGGCTGCCTCTCGACAGACAGAAAGCTGACCTGCCTATCTACGTAGCTGGTACCTAGGTACGAGTAGTTTAGAGAACGGAAGTCACGGCACCCCGGAAGCTGTCAACACCCACGTACCAGGTTCTACATACCACCTCCGGATTCCGTTCCCGCCACGCTAGGCACGGCCCAGACCCTGATGGCTGCATGTGATATCTAAAGCCCGCATATGCAACCTACCTACCTAAGGATGCCGCCCGTCCAATGTCCGACTCAGCTGAGGGACCCTGATATGTTGCGGCTCTTCGGCGCGGAGGGAGGCGAATATTGGACACTGGGTGGAGTGGATGTGCACCGCAGGCTCGGGATAGCAGCGTGGGTGGCAATCGGGGGGCACAGAGACAGACATACAGCCAGACCGGGCACTACGACGGTGGTATCACACAGACATCATGATGTCTAGTCACACAAGACAGTCTAAGAGTATAGCGCGTTGGGCTGATTTGCGTGAGAAAGTGAGTCCTCCCAGAGTATAAAGGTCCCTCATCTCTCCCTCTCTCCCTATGTTGTCATCCTGCCTTACTCTCTCATCATCAAAACTCACTCACTCACTCCTAGGAACCCACTAAGACACAAAAGAAGACACTTCCACTTCCCATCACAAGAACAGCCTGGAAAGAATGCGGTCTTCTCTTCTCGCCCTCGTCGCGGCCATGGCCCCCGCCGCCCTCGCGCAGACCTTCTACGGCTGCTACACCGAGGTACCCGCCCGGGCCCTGACCGGCGCCACGCTGGTAAACTACACCACCATGACCATCCCCGACTGCGAAGCCTACTGCACGGGGCTGAGCTTCACGCTCTGGGGCCTTGAATACTCTGGCGAATGGTATGTCTCTGTTTCTCTCTGGCCTTCCCTCTTCCCCTCTTATTCATTCATCATGGCGGTTCAGCTAACCTAGATGAAAAAAAAATAAAAAAAAGCTACTGCGGCGACACACTAGCACAGGGCTCCTTCCCAGCCTTCTCAACCGACTGCACCATGGCCTGCGCCGGCGACGCGACCACGACCTGTGGCGGGCCGAACCGGCTCTCGCTGTACGGCGCGTCGGCGGAGCCGCCCGCGGTCACGCCCTACCCGCACCCGGAGGTCGCCGGCCCGCCGCAGTACATGGGCTGCTGGACCGAGGTGGCCGGCGTGCGGGCGCTGCCCGGCGCGAGCGGCTTCTCCGAGACCGACATGACCGTCGGCGGCTGCGCCGACTACTGCCTCAACTCGGGCTTCGTGTGGTTCGGCCTCGAGTACGGCGCCGAGTGCTACTGCGGCAACGCGCTGGACGCCAACAGCACCGCCGCGGCCGAGACCGAGTGCGCCATGCCCTGCTCGGGCGACGCCACGGCTGTGTGTGGTGGCTCGGATCGGATTAGTGTGTACCAGTGGGTGTGAGAGGCTGGTCCTGGTCTAGTCTTGGTCTGGTCTTTGGCAGGTTTGGGTTGTTCTATGATGATGTTTTGAGGAGAGCTTGGTTCTGGTCAAGACGTAACTATTTGGTTTGGAAGGGGAAGTTTGGGTTATTAGTGAAGTGGTGGGCTCTTGTCAGAGTTAATACTAGTACCTAAGGTTCCCTCCCGCCTATATCTAGGTCCAGCCAGCCACCTGTGGTTGACCGTCCAGCTTCCCATTCGTTACACATACAGCACCAACAGATGCATCACCATTCCATCCCATAGATGTTGAGCTTGTTTTAGTGTGCCCTTGTTTCTTCCCTTCCAAGGCTCCAACATCTCATCGTTTTCCTTGATGCTTAAGGTACCTATTTATGTAGCAGTGATTATGAGCAGGTAAACAAACCTGCGTATCTGACTTACGTACCTAAACAACAGACGGCTTGTCCCTTCACTTACCTGCCAACATTTAGAATACTCTTTCTGCACGGTCAGTAAGTGATGAAAGTCCGATGCTGGAGTCCGCATCTCGGATAGAGTCGACGTACCTGGATGTCGTCCTTGCATCGTGCTTTGAAAAGCTTTCCGTCATGAACCAAAATCAACCCATGGTGATCATGGCAAGGGAGAGAAGGGTTAGCGGAAGTTACATGTATGACCACAATCAACAGTTCCGCTAACAACTAGTAAAGGATGTGTCAACTTCCTATACACAACCTAATAGTCGGGCTTGTATTGTATTTCCAGTTAGTATAGTATTTCGAAGTGGGTATCGGCTCGATGGTCCCAGATTTCACCCATAGGCTAAGGAGGGCCACAGAGCACAGTATCAATCCAATATTACGTCGTGGAGAATACGCCAAGCGCAATGTGCGCCCGCATTAACCACTCCTTTGTAACCTGCTCGTCGGTCTCTTACAGTAGGCGCTTCTCGCGAAGGCGCCGCTTCGGCCGCCTCTTAGTTGCCCACGGTCTGCTCACTACGGCGAGGTGGCACCGGAGCCTAGATGTTGCAATCGGGCGCGCTGATGGATAGCGGGGGTCGTGTCGAGGCTTAGCTGCCGCCGTCATAGCCTGCTTCATAGCCTCTTCCGAGAGAATTAGACCACCGAACAGGTTTGTGCCCGGCTGCGGTTCATTCATAACGACCAAAGAAACCTCCGTTGTTGGAGGTGTGTGCATGGGGCCGCGGGGCCGGTGGCTTCCGTTCTAGAACTAGAAGTAGAAGTTGGCAGGGAAAAGTCCTCTAGGCGTCAAGTCGTCCGGTATGCTTTTCCAGAATCTCTTTTGTCTCTCCGATTCTGGGAAGTCAACCGTGCCCATATCCTCGCACTCGGATGGGGTAAGCTCCATGTTAGCGAGGCGGAGGGGAGCAGCTTCTATAGTGGCGAGAGGCCCGAGATCCTGTGGCTCGAGTGACGGGGACTAGTAGTGCCATCCCAATAGGTAGCCCGGCGTATTATCCCCAACTCCACCGTCCAGTTGCCGCGCTTCTTCCGCCACTATATAGCTTGGTCTATAATCCTGTGAAGGAATCGTCGTTGCTCTTCCTCGGAACGGCGGTTGTATCTCGTCTTCTCCTCCACTATTTCAGGCGGAACGTAAACTACGGTCTTGAGGTGAGGAAGGTCATTTCTTCCCATCTCCAGCGCCACGCATAGGCGTCGTCGATGGGATAGACATTCCGGCCGGAAAACTCCCATTTCCAAGATCTTCGTGCCTCTGCCGAATCAGACGAGCCCATCGCTGTACCCCGTGGCCACTCAAAGACAGGGCACGACCGTGAGATTGCCAAGGTATGCCTCGGAGCTACCAAAGCCTTCACACCTTCTGTGACAGCACTACGGGCGGTTACTTCGGAGTGTCGCCGGATTATGGCTACGCCGCCCACGTTGAGCACTCGGAGCGACCTTTTACGCTAGCTGCCTATGGCTTGTCTGGTCTCCCTGTTGAATGCGTAGTATAAATTTACCTTGGCCATTATGCTTGGTCCTAGCCTGTGTTTCGTACATCCTCCGTAGTTGCCTGGGACGGCTCCCGACCTCGATGGGTTTTTAAGTGGTACAGATGGCAATTCTTCCTGACAGCTCTTCCTTGTTGATGGCTTCAGCATCCTGTGGCGCGGGAGGCCCAGCGTAAATGGACTCAGACGGCCGTACTAGGCGCGATGTGCCGGCTCGAACCTCAAGAAGGGGCAATGCTAGTCCTATAGCAAGTAGAAGGCTGAGACTTTGAGTGGAAGTAAGGCTACCAAACATCCAGAATAACGGCCTCTTTGTCTATCTAAAACCTAGCACAGTTGCGTCTAGCTTAGTTCATCCACGTGGGCAGGTGTGGTGGGTAACTCCCCCCACCCCGGGTTGTCACATTAGGAACACAAACACCAGCCGTGAGTGGCAGATGCAGATCACAGGAAGACGGGACCTTCCTTTGCTTAGAGAACAATAACTCTCAGGCCACTCCATCTTGGCAGCGCAGCCTGGTTGGTGGTGCCCAGGTTGCTGGATTTAGCCGGGCTCTTCCAATTTGGAGACTCTGGGTATTGCAGTCTTGGGGGGCGGTTGAGCTGGGTAACACGAGGAACGATCCAGACCCGGTGCCTATGAGTATGGTTTGGGGTGGAAGTGCCTGCTTATAAACATCTGTAGACTGGACAGTCTACACATTGTTGCCCCTTTCTTATGTTCTGCAGATGAACTCTCAACGAAGGGTAATCAACTCCCACAATGTACTCCCCATCAGTGATGGCAACCGTGCTTCTCTATTTTCTCGGCCATGCTTGCGCCCTCGCAATCGGCGCGAAACGGACACACTCGTGTCTAGCCCCCAATGCGCTATAAAACGCAAGTCTGTACACGGGCCTGGAGGAAGGGAATCAGGCCAGGCCTGAGTGAATTATCCACGTTGGTACTACCGTAACTACTTAACCCCTACTGCGTCTGAGCCGAGCCATTCACACACAAGTTGATTCATAAAGCGACGCATCAAACTTCATCAACTTCTGCGCCGGCCGCACGCTGACCAACGGCCGCCAAACCGCAAACGGCTCATGCAACGGCATCCCCATGGGCCGCATCCCCGCCGCCACCAACATGATCTCGTCACGCCTGACCCTGCGAGATTCGCTTTCTTCAAAGGCGTGGACGATGCCGGGGACGGCAAGGGCGGGCTCAGAGCCGAAGTCACGGGCGGGTTGCCGGAGGGTGCGTATCGTGTGTGCACCATGGTGGCGGCGAGGAATCACCAGCCGGTTGCCATGCCCGTGGCGCAGAGGGGTGCGCAGGACGATTGTATGAAGTTTGAGGTTGGGGTGTGGAATGGACAGGGACAGGGTTCATGATCTGAGATGCAGGCAATGATGTGGAAATTTGGGAGTTGACATAGGTATAGGATCTGGATGTGACAAGTCATTGTATTGTATGTAAATGGGAACGTCTAATGCTTTGTCATTCTTCCGTGGTCCTTTGTTCGTCTTTTTGCTTTGTTAGAGGCGTTTCTGCTCCATGCCCATCCCAGACACACAAGGGGCAAACACCCATGAGCTTTTGTGAACAACGCCATTATTCTTCTTCCCACTTCTTGCCCGTACATGTAGATAAAAAGTTTCCCAACCCTCATCTCGAGCGTCCTTCAGTATAAGGCACCTTCAGCTGCTTTGATCTCCAGAAGCTGTAACTTAGTGTTCCGCGCCGTCAACCCCTCCAGGCCTTTTCCACCAGAACAAAACCAACAGGTAGGTAAGCCTAACCGGCTGCAGGGCAACCAACGATGTATTCTGCTGTCGTCTTCCTCGCCAAACACCTCGAGATCGATTCCCTCGAGGTCACACACTTCACCGTCTCCTGTTTCCACGACTACGTGACCGGCTTTCTCAACAACAACAAAAACAACAACAACAACAACAACAACAGCCACCCGAACACCCTCGACCCCGAGCTTGCACAAATCAGGGCCAGGGTCTGATTGACCATGGCCCATCGCCCGGTCGGTTGGCTCTGGACCCGGACCCCGCAGCACACGGCCGAGGCTCAGCAAGCCTGGGGCCAGGACGCGCACGCCACCGCCTTCGTGCTGCGGGTGCTAGACCACGTCTTCATCAAGGGGCTTTTCGTCAATGGCTGCTGCACCGTCGAGGAGGCGGTCTGCCAAATCCATCGGCGGCTCTGCATGTTGCAGTCGATCTGGCTGGAGAATGGTGTGTGGGTCGGAGACCGGGCGCTTCAGACGGAGCTCAAGAGCGCCCTGGCGAAGGTCATGAGAGACGTGGAGCTGGATTGGGCAGTATGCTAATAAAGGAGTTGTCTCATTAGTCTGAGGGAAGTGTTTAACAGATTGTTTTCGCCTCTACGATAGAAAAGGTAAAGATCAAGGTATTGTCTAGCATTTCATCGTCATTAGGTTTTGAGTATCTATCTGTGTTAGCAAAGTGGGCAATCTGTTAGTGATGATGATATGCCGTCCAGTCCAATGATAGGTATTCCCGTGGCGTTGGACTCTCGAGTGGTGACCCGAACGAGTTCTATCCTGCCCGGTTAACATCCGAGCTGTTTCCAGCAAGGGAGCATTCCGCTTTGCCAAGTGCGCCGCAGCAGAGTTCGAAGATGTAAGTGGCGGTGGTGCTCGGGTGTCTGTCCGTCACGGCGTATATCCGTATTAGTTGTTCCGACCCAATACAGCCCCGCCAATGACCTCAGTTCCTGGCACGATAACGAGTATTCGTCGATGTGAAGCAGAGAGCCAAGGGAGGGCTGCGGATATCGCCAAGAACACATGTTGGAAGCAGAGAACAAACCTAATCCAAGTCCCGGGCGCCTTCGGTCCTCGGGGAGAAGCACAAGAGGTCTGTGACACAGAACGGCCCCGAAGATTTGGGCTGTATGTATGTAGTCGGGTGGTACTGTACGGATACGCAGTGTAGGTGGAATAACTGCCTTGGGCAATAACCCGAAATATTACACGTGTAGTGTATAAGCCGGCTTAAGTACCAGCAGAGCTAAGCTGAGAGCTCTTTGAAGTTTGAAGTCTTCAAGTTCAATCTTTGAAGCCTGGTCAAATCGGAACCTCTGTGGTCACCCAAATGTTGTTATCTGAGTCTTCCCAAGACGGAAGCCGTACCTTACAGAAGCTCCGTAAGTTTCCGAACAGCAGGGGTATTGCCGATCAAAGCGCTGCAAGCCGTCGGATGCTGCCCTGGGACGCGGGTTCCAGCCGGTTTCAGAACGTCACTGCTGGGACCCACTCAAAGTAAATCGGTAAACTGACCGTGTTCGGTCACGTTCGATGCAAATTCCTGGAACATAAAAAGACACTTGGATGCCATCTTACGTATAAAGCCCACAGACAGTTTAGACAAGCAGCAAGTTCATCTAGAGACGGCGAAAAGGGGCCAATTTGGGCAAGACACTCTCGCAGCTGCCCGCCATGAACCGGCCGTCGAGAACGGAGGACGATCTCGAGCATCCAACGTGGAACCAGAACCCGCCGTTTCTAGCCGCGGATCTGACCACTCGGCAAGACCTCAATGGCATTGCCAACGCCCGTGAACACCGCCATGGATGCTCCGGTACTGGTAACGAGCTGGACCTCCTCAACGACGAGAAACATAGCAATGATGTGAGGGTTTGCGCCTCGGACAATGACTCCTTCGCCGCCCTTCCCCCTGCAATGAGCGGTGTCTCCCGTTAGTGCTGCTCTCACTAGGTACCTTATGCACTCAGAAAACCACTAGTACTGACACTCCGTTACCCTTGCAGGTCCGCTCATTGCTCCCAAGACGGTGCTTGGTGGTGAAGGCCAAGCCTGTCTCTCCCGTCGCCGAATCCGACCCCCTGAGGGTTGGGTTGGCTGGATCACGTCGGTCATCGTGGTCTCGACGTTGATCAATGCTGCCGGTAGCTCACTCCCGGCCCTGTTTGCTGGCGCTATCAAGCCGGCGGCGCGGAACGTGACCAACAAAGGTTAGTAGTCTCTTTTCGAGTGCCCTGGACCACAGCCAGCGAAGCTGTCACCTTCTTCCGGCAGTTGCTAAACTCCTTCGCAGTCGAAACTCCCCTACGGCGCCTCGCCACGCGTCAGGATACCTGCGCTGGCAGTGTAGCCGGCGCAGCAGATTACAACACGCCCCTTCACGTCGGTGCGTTGCTCATCATCCTAGCCGTCTCCAGTCTGGCCTGCGGGACCCCTATGCTCGCCGCCAAGTTCCCCATCCTCCGCATCCCTGAACCCTTCTTCTTCGGCGTCCGCCATTTCGGCACCGGCGTCCTGCTCGCCACCGCGTTCGTGCACCTCCTCCCGACCGCCTTCATCTCGCTCGGCAACTCCTGCCTCTCGAGCTTCTGGACCACCGACTACCCGGCCATGCCGGGCGCCATTGCACTCGTTGGCATCTTTTTCGTCAGCGTCATCGAGATGGTCTTTAGTCCCGCGCGCAACTTCATACCCCGCGTTGCGCCGACAGGGGGCGAGTCCTGCCTCGCTGAGGGGCCAGGGACAGGGGCAGGCACGCAAGCCGCCCTCCCAGCTGCGATGGGAGGCGGACACTGCAGCCACGCAGCTGTTGTCGCAGCCATCACACGTTCCCCGACTACTATCCGCCCTGCCGGCGTCGATCCGGCCTCGCTGCTGCGGGATGCGGGAGCCGCTGACCCTCCTACTAAGAACCACCAACAACCTACGCGCTCCAAGGAAGTCCGGGACGTGGAGTCTCAGGGAGGAGGGGGGGCGCTCACTCCGGAACAGGTCCACAAGAAGAGTATTCTGCAATGCATGCTACTGGAAGTGGGGATTCTGTTCCACAGCGTCTTTATCGGCATGGCCCTGAGCGTATCCATCGGGAGCGACTTTGTTGTCCTGCTGATCGCCATTGCCTTTCACCGTCAGTTCTCTTCCCCCCCTCCGCTTTTCACCTTCCCTTACTCTTTCTCCCCTCTCTTGATATGTACTATTGTATGAAGATGCTAACCCAAGCAGCAGAAACCTTCGAAGGACTTGCCCTGGGCGCGCGCATCGCCTCCATCTCCTGGCCCAAAAAGACCCTCCAGCCCTGGCTGATGGTTCTCGCGTACGGATGCACGTAGGTTATCTTTATCCCCCCAACTCCTCAGTAGTCCACAACTAAACTAACCTTGAATGTCCCTCTCAAAGAACGCCAATAGGCCAAGCCATCGGCCTGGCGACGCACACCCTCTACAGCCCGGACTCGGAGTTCGGCCTCATCCTGGTCGGCACCATGAATGCCGTGTCGTCCGGGCTGCTGGTGTTTGCCGCCCTGATCGAGCTGCTTGCCGAGGACTTCCTGAGCGACCACAGCTGGCGCGTCCTGCGGGGCAGGAAGAGGGTGGCGGCTTGCTTCCTGGTGTTGCTAGGGGCCTTGTGTATGAGCCTTGTTGGAGCGTGGGCTTAGAACGATATATATCTAGATGCCTCTCCTTGCTGTACCAAGTAAGGAAGGAAAGGGTACTCCTGAGTTCGTGCGGGTATCGATCGAGGCTTTTGTTTACTTTCGAGCCGAGTTTGGAGGGCGGATCTCAGGGGCATATTCCGGATGACATCATGCTCCAACGGGCGCATATACTAGTGGATGGGAGATGAGTGGCATTGGGATTGACCTTGGCAAGATAACTGGTAAACGTCCAGGGCTATGCAATCTTTCATCAGAAATCTGCTCTCCCAAGATTTCAATACCCGTTAGGAAGAACAAATGTTGATGTTTGCATGTGTTACGTGGGACTGAATCCCTTATAGAGCTAAGCCCGGGAGGTCTCCGCAACAGCTCCTCGCTACGGCTGGTGCCCACACCAGCAATTCTTCCGTAGTATAGTGGTCAGTATGTGAGCTTGTCACCGGCCCGACATCGCTCGAGACCCGGGTTCAATTCCCGGCGGGAGAGATCTTTTTGCGCTTTTTCCATTTCAACTTCCTCCCTTTTTTTTGCGTGTTTTTATTCTCCTTTGTAGCGTGACCTGGTTCCACGATTGTTGTCAACCACGGTTGGCTGTCACGCTTCTCCTTTTGCCCTTCCTCTCTCCCGGACAAAACAAGTGTAGTCCTCCACAGGATATGCAATATGCATTCCCGGCGCTGCAATTATGTGTTAAGTAAGGGGTTGCAGCTTAGTATGTATCATCTAGGTATCATTCCTCATGTTATCCAACGATCTGTGAAAGTTCTGAAAGGATTCTAGATATCATCAAGTCAGCGGTAGAACAGTCAACCCACAGGGCAGCACCACATCATCCGGGCGCTTGTGATCATGGACAGAACGCCAGAAGATATCCTGCAATTCCGAATCGTCCTCGACAATGATCTCCCTCGAGCCCCCGCGCTCATGGCCCCTCATCCCACTCCTCAACGCAGCATCCGCCCTCATGACCGCTTGGACCAGTAAGTCCGCCACGCCCTGCCGCAGTGTGCACGTCGTGAAGATGGTGCTCTCTTCCACCGTGTGCAGCACCTCCCCTTTCTCCCTACTGCCCCGACCGATCTCCTCCAGCTGTCTTTCTACCCCCGCGCGCGTTAGAGGATGGTGGTGATGACGACGATGATCATGAGTCCACTGCGCATCGGCCAGACGGTGCAGGAGCAGCAGGACGCCCGCCAGCGCCTGCGCCAGCAGCACGGCGCGCTCGTGGGGCGTCAGGTTGAGCAGGATGCTCCCGGACTCGGTACCGCTGCGACGGAGACACTCGGCGAGGAGGCCCTTCTGGGTCGGGTCAAAGGTTGCGTCGAGGATGCGGGCCAGGAAGCCTTCCGAGATGATGGTGCTTAAGGTGTCGCTGGGGTCGCGCATGTTGAAGAGCTGGACGGCTTTGGCGACGAAGTTGGGGAGGATCTCGCGCATGTCGATGCCGTGCCGCTTGCGGGCGTGGCCGGTGTCGACTTCGAAGTACTCCTCTGCCGCTGCCTCGGCCGCGACTAGGAAGCGGGTGAGTCAATCTATGTCAACCAGGTATGTTTTATGGGGGGTCAACGGTCAACTCACAGCGGGTGGATATCAAGGCAGAGTTCCGCTGTGCTGCCGCGAAGGCAAGCTTGACGTTCTTGTCCCGGAGGCAGGCCAATGTGGCCTCGGCGAGCTCTTCGGAGCTGCGCGCACTGTCCTCGTCCTCGCCGCTCGAGACGCACACGCGCGGTATTCTCCCGTTCAGGACGTCGTCCCATTTCTTGCCGATCTCTTTCTCAAACTTCTTGGACGACAGGTCCCGCAGGATGTGGGACACGGCCACCTTGGACAGCCCGTGTTCATCGGCATTCCGGGACCACTCGAGCTTCACCTGGCTCACATACTCATCGTATTTGGTGAAGACGAGGACAACGGGCATGTAGGGTGCCGCCGCGTGGAGATCGCCGGTGAAGAAGCGGGTTTCCAGCTCCCCTACGGATCGGTTCTCCTCGCTCGCCACGTAATACCATACGCAGTGAATGCGGTCCTCTGGTTTGATGGTGGGTGCCGACCGCGAGGCGAGGAAGGCATGGACGCGGTCGTAGTTGGCCTTGTCTGCGGTGCCAAAATTAAGGCATGCATGGATGGCTAAACGGGCGTTTTGGCCATGGAGGTCGAGTTCTTGGCCGATCTGGTGGTCTGCGCTGAAGGCGTCGTCCACGAGTTTCTGCCATGAATGTCAGTACAACGACGAACCCCGTGCCGGGGAAAATACGGACTTTCTCAAGGTCAACTCCAAATATCTTGGCGAAAAGTTCCTGCTTGGTTGACTCGGGGTTTCCGAGCACCAATATGCGGAACTTGGGACACGCAGCCAGGAAATCGGATGGTGGTGGGAGTGTGGCTAAGTCAGTCATAACGGCCGGAGAGAAGGATACCAAAAGTATGATCAAGTGATAAAATCAACGAGATTTCTTAGAATACAGGCAATTCTACATTTGGATGTAGGGCAGATTGTGTAAGGTATTTATGTCCTGTGAGAGACGAGCTGTCGTGCCCTTCCGGTGATGCGGTCCCCGGTGGCCTGATGACGCCACGGTCAGACCACGCATCACCCGCCGACTGCGCAACGGCCTCCACGCTCATTGGACACGGGATTTCTAGGATTGAGAAGATGCCAAATAGAGTGCCTAACATTCTGCTTGTCAGATTAGATTCTCCCCAATATATTGACAAGTTCTACGCAGGTCTATGAAAGATCCGCTTCATCTCAGGAACGCTGACCAGAGATTTTCGTCGGATTCAAGTACTAATATATTAACCTCCCATGATATTGATCTGTAGTTCTTTTACCTGGTTCACATAAGTCTTGCTATACATAAGAATTTGTTCATCGTCAATGTGTAAGATCGCTGGCTCAATGGTGTCCCTCCCTAGCTAGGCGTGCATGCTCTCCTCAGACTAAAGTCTAAGCAAAAATGTTGCTGCTCAGGGGTCAGGGAATTGGCTTCGGAGGCATATGTATTGTTTTCACTTACTGCAGTACTAGTGGTCTGGTAAGCGGATGATTCCAAGTGATTCTCACTGTCCTTCTCTTTGCTATTCCTGCGTGATCATTTATCTGTCTTCACTGAAGCCATGTTCGGTTTAACCCGTCTATGGACTTATTGTAAATATTAGCGGCTTGACTACCACGCTTAATATAATCATATGCGAGCAATTCCTCTGGTCAGATGCCATTGAACTCCACTGTCATTCCAAAACTTCATTCTGTATAGAATCTTATGCTCTAGTTCCGGTTCGTTTTCATTCCTTCCGCCGCCCAAAATGCCAATGTGAGTTTCCATTTGAGACATCAATACCCTTCCTAGTATTCAAGTCAGGTGCCGTATCTGTTCTAAAAGTCAGTTGATTCTGAAAACGGTACTACTTGGGAGGTGGTGTCTCGGTCCATCTGGTCACTTGGTGCTGTATTGCAGCTGAGCTCCATTGTTTCCACTGCGTCAGTACTCGTCGGGATGTGCAAGTGATATGCTTCTCTGTTACATGGTGCGTCTGTTATCACCTCAGTCTCATGTATTCAGCCCTTCCTGGTTGTTATTGTTGTGTAAACGGTAAAACCGTCCTTGGCCATGGTCAGGAAATATACCACAATTACGGCTGGGGTTGGGAGAAATGCCGAATCAACGACGCGCGTGTGTCAAGCATTGATATCCCGCGGGCCGCGGCCTAGTAGTACGCTGCGCAGTATTTCCTAACTGTTGAAGGTCGGATTCGATAGATTGTACAGCAACCGGAGGCTTTCCTAAACGGGGACCGGCGCTGGGTTGGGGATCAGAACTCGGGAAAAGGCCAGCCGCTGGGAGAATGGCCGAGCCAAGAGGTGCAACCGCGAGCTGCGGGGCACGCAGCGGTTTGCGGTTCACGCATGAAAGCACCGATTTGTGCGGCCCGATTCCTGCACCAGCATTGCGACGCTACCGCACCTTAATGGCAGGTGAAAGTTGAGGGGACCGGTGCGGGGAACTCCCAAAAGTTGTCTCGGCCGTCGCCCCGTGTGGACATGGCACGTTGCCGTTGGTGCCCCCCCGCGACACTGCGAGAGGATGCCTGGTGACCCCGGATTCACCCAGCAATACCACACAGGAAGTGCTCCTGGCCCCCTCAGGGGAACCATTCAAGACTTCAGCGGCGGGGCTCGCAAGTCAGGGGCAGAGCGGCTTGGGAGCGGGAAGGGCGGCGATTGGCCGGCATCGAAGCCAGCTTCCTGAATGGAACTTTGGCTTGCTGAAAACGCGGCCACGGTATTTCCACCTCCTCACGATGGGTTGGAGTCAGGCGCGGGCGCCTACAAACGCCACATGGGACCATGGCACCTGGGACGATGGCACATGGGGCGATGGCACCTGGATGAAGTTATTACTTATATCTGGCCTCCGCCCCATCGATGGGGCCTCCCGCACTCCTGGGATCCGGCTACGTGCTCAACGAAGTCGACTTCGGCGCACAATCCCACCGCACAGTCGGCGTCACCGGGCAAGCGTTGGACAATCATGAGAGCCTTCCAGCTGCTGGCCCTCTTGGCCAGCTCGGCCTGGCTCCTGGTGAGCGGGCAAGGCGCCGGTGTGTGCAGCCCCCAAGACCGCACGTACAGCACCGAGACCATGCCCGCGGGCAGCCACCAGCCATTCGACAACCTGAACCCCTTGGTAGGGCCGTTCAAGACGAAGTTCTATGTTACCGTGGTGAACCTCACCCCGCACCGCTTCAGGCTGGACGGCACCCATTCGTACCAGATGGACACGTTCGACTTCGGCGACGTGCCACAAGGCCGTGCCCGGCAGAACGCGGTCAAGTACCGAGGGACGTGGTCCACAGGGGACGACGCCGGCGAGGCGTACTACCGCATCGACGGCACGGACAAGAAGTTCGCCCTGCGGGTGAAGTCCTACGTCCCGGGGTCCAACCCGCGCCGAGTCGTGTTGGACCTCAGCGGCATGGGCCTCGGCCAGCGCGAGTACGTGTTCCCGGGCGGGGAGGCATCGGTGTCTCTCGTCATCACGGGCAGCAGCAAGTTCGGCTTCCAGGCGTCTCTGCGGCACGGCGCCGGCAACTGGATGCGGAACATGTACGACGTGATCGGCAGCCGCAGAGTCCGGCACCTCATCATGCCCGGCACGCACGACGCAGGCATGAGCAAGATCAGCGACATGATCGACAGCATCGGCAGCGCCCCCAACACGCAGACGCAGGGCATCAACATCTACAACCAGCTCCGCGCCGGGTCCCGCTGGTTCGACCTCCGCATCGGCTCCGTCCATGCCAACGACAACGCGGCACAGAACAACGGCTTCTGGGTCATGCACGTCAACGACGAGATGGGCACCATCGCCATTGGCAACACGGGCGAGTCCCTGGATGAGGTCATCAGCGAGATTAACCAGTTCACGGGCGAGAACCCGGGCGAGATCATCTTCCTTCCGCTGCGCTATCTCGTGGGAAGGTACGAGTTCCCGGACCGCGGACCGATCCTGTGGAACTCGGCCATTGTGAACGACTTCTTCGCGAAGCTCCGCGGCCTCAACAACCGCTGCCCGAACCTGGACACCAGCACGGGCTTCCAGAACCAGAAGGCGTCCTACTTCATGGACCAGAACGGAGGCAGGGGCTGCGTCATCCCGCTGCTCAACGGCCATCTCCAGGGCGGCGTGCCGACCGAGTCCCCCGCCGACGGCATCTACAGCATCAGCCGCATGAACATCCAGGACCACTGGTCCAACAAGATGAAGGCCGAGGAGATGGCGCCGGACCAGGTCAGCAACTGGCGGGCGGGCACGCGCGGCGGGGCGTCCGACTACGGCAGCCTCATGATCGCGCAGTGGCTGGTGACGCCCGACGCGGTCGCCTCGACGGCCTACTCGCTGCAGGCCTTTGCCATTCAACCGACGAACCCGTCGCTGTACTGGGCCGGCGTCAACGCCATCGACCCGGAGCACTGGCCCAACGTGATCCTGGTCGACTACATCGGCGTGCAGCAGCAGGATCAGTTCGCGTGGGACCAGCTCAGCGCGGAGTTGTATACCTTGGCGGTGGGCATGAACATGTACATGGCGAGCGAGAACTGCGGTGTCAACACGCAGCGCTCTCCGCTGCTCAGGAGGGGCGACATCTCGGCCGAGGGGCGCCGGGAGACGCCGTGGAATGGCATCATCTTTGCCAATGGGACGGTCCTCGACAATCCTCCGCCGGCCCTCCATCCTGGTCGCACTGAGATCTTGAGGAACGGGACGGTGTTTGGCAACGGCACAGTCTTGGAACAGAGTATCCCGAATCCTTGGTTGTAGGAAATCAGGGGGTTCGGATGGAGATGATGTTTACAACCCCTGAGACACGACAACATCGGTATATATCCTCCTTATGATCGTAATAGATCCCTCTAATGCCGTAACGATGCAAACCAAATGACAACGCAATGCTGAAATGAACCCGATCATCAATCTCTTAGGCATCCTCAATGTTAGCGCTGGGGTATCTCCTCGAGGTCATGCTCGTCCCGCGTCCATCCACATCCTCCCCCCTCTTCCGCGCATCCATGACCTGCTTCCTGGCCGCGGCCTGCTGCTGCTTCTTCCTGCATTCCACTCGTCAGCAGTCCACATAACAAAAGAAACTCTAACCATACCCAAAAAAAAAAAAAAAAAAAAAAAAGGGGGGGGGGGGCAAAAAAGGGACTCACCTCTCCAAATCAGCCTCGCTTGCGTCCAGCGTAATCTCCCCCCTGACGCGCCCATGCAACCCGGATGACGACGGACTCCCACCACCAATTTGACCCTCACTACTGCCCCCCTTATTATCCCCCTCCTCCTCGACCGTTCCACGGCATCCGCCACCTGCCCCTCCGAATAAACCGCCGTCTTCCCGTCGGCATCGACACCATCATTCTGCTCTTCCATCGCCCCCCTCCTCGTCTGATCTCCTCCCTCAACATCAACATCCACATACCTCGTCTCCTTCCTCTCCCTCTCATTCGTCGGCCCGGACCCGCCCACCACACCGTGCCCCAGCGCCGAGGGCACACCACCTTCTTTTCCTCCCTCTTTTGAAGAAGTCTGGGTGGTGTCCGGGCCGAAGGTGGTAGCGGGAGCGGCGAGAGGAGCAGGCGCCGTCTCGCAGTGCAGCGAGTCGTGCCGGAAATAGTCGGCCCGCTGGGGACCCGGGGTGCAGGTGCCCGGCGTGTCGGCCACGGCGTACTCGGACAGGTTGCGCATCGGGTTGGGCTTGGTTGACGGGTAGGCGTCGTCGTTGGGGGGTTGGACCGGCATTTTTGTATCTTGTATTTTGTAATCTGTGCGTGTTTTTCTTTTCTCTGCTGGTGGTGGTCTGTCGCTGTGATATGGCAGGCGGTAAGTTGGTGCTGTTTAGCTTATGCTTTGGGAATTGCAGATTAGTTGGAGTAGCAAAGCAGTCAATATACGCCTCGTAGTCCGAGTCGCTTACAGCTGAGTTAAAGGAACTTGACCTTGGGAGGCAGGGAAAGCGGGTAGTGTAGATCAATGACGTAAACAGGGTCCACGAACGACACCAGACCGGCAACCTCTCTGCCACTCTCCTGTCCCTATTACCAGCGAGAATCCGCAAGGTGCTCAAGGGTAGGAATACACGTGGTTTTACTCATTGCATGGCGAATCAGACTCGAGTTCCAATCAACGACTGGAGCTTGTGGAGGGTCATTCACAATACGTCATTGTAAGCGAAACGAGCTGGCAGAGGTAAACAACCCCTATTGAGTTGACTGGTGTTAGGTATTCGGAAGCCGTCCGCGTATTATTATCCAGGCACCATTACAAACCGCGAAATCACAATGGAACGGGGCTACGTTCAAGTCAAAAGCCGAAACCAGAAAGCAAAGTACTGCCCTTGTCTATGATGAATCCTCTTTTGTCTAGTAGTACTTCGTGCACGGCATATGAAACCTCCAGATCCAGTCTGTCGGGTTACGGCCCGGCAGCGACGAAGAGAGAGAGAGAGGACGAGAGGACGAGAGATAATTGCCATATGCCATTACATCCGCCATGCCATTTGTAGTGTGCGTCAAATAGTTTAGAAGAGAGCAAAGACGCCGGCAACGAGGGCCAGGCTCACGACGGCGGCCGCCGAGAGGCTCTTGCCCACGAAGGCGCCGCCAGTAACGACGCTCGACGAGGGGCCCGCAGCCTGCTCGCCGGTGCCGGTGCCGCTTCCGCTTCCGTTGTCAGTGCCGCTGCTTCCACTGCCGGAGCCGGAGCCGGCAGTCGAGTTGGTCGAGCCGGCGGAGCCGGTGGAGGAGCTACCGGGGGCAGAGACAGCAGTCGAGGAGGAGCCGGTGGCTGCGGCCGAGCTGGTCTTGGCAGTGGCGGTCGGCGTGTCGAACTTGGTCGGGCAGGTCAGGTCGAACAGGGGCGTGGTCGAGAGGTCCTTGGTGATGGCAAACTTCATCTCGTTGTCCGGGTTGGAGTCACGCAGGTTGTACCAGAAGGTAGGCACCTTGTTGAAGAGCTTGCGGCAGCCGACCTCGTCCCAGTAGTACTTGGCATTCTCGACGCTGGGGACAGCCTGGTCCCAGTTAGGACCCGTGGAAGGCCAACCCGTCTCGGTGACCCAGACGGGCTTGCCGCCGACAGCCCCCGCGACGGCATCGTAGGCCCGGTCGAAGAGCTTGCCCGAGTTCTTGATGTCGTTGCCCTTTCCGTTCTCGTAGTAGGGGTACTCGTCCACGCCGACCCAGTCGACCGCGTCGACCACGGCCTTGTTGGTGCCGTTCGTCCAGGCGTCCCACGTGTCAACGTGCCCAATGGGGACCTTGGCCAGCGCCGTGTTGGCGACGGCCTTCTTGTACTGGTTAATGAAGTTGACGAGAACGTCCGGCCCGGCACCAACACCGGACTTGTTTGCGATGCCCGTCGCCGAGACGCGATAGAGATCCTCGCTGCCGATGGACATGCCAATGACGAGGTCGGTGAACTTGCTCCCGTACTTCTCGATGGCCTTCTTCAGCGCGGCGAGTTCCTTGTCGATGTTGTCGGTGCCCGAGGTCCAGATGCCGAGCAGAAGCTTCGTGTTGGTCTCAATGGCAGCTTCGAACGCCTGGATCGGGTCGGTCTCGGAGTAGGCCTGGATGTTGGTGTACAGGCGCACGGCATTGAACTTGCCCGGCGCGTTCTTGAGGCCCTGCGCCGTCTTGAACTCGGCCAAGAAGTCGGACTTGAACTTAGCGGACCGGTCGGCCAGCGTCGCTCCCGAGTTGAACCCGAGGTAGTTCTCGGCCGACACGCCCGAGGCAAGGGCGCCGGCGAGGAAAGCTGTGGTGGGACGCATCGTGAAATGTGATGGCTGAACAACGCGAGGCTAACTTGGCAGACTTGGCGATTGCGTCACAGGCAGGAGCAAACAATCGTCAGGCGAAGAGGAAGAAAAGGGCTGGGAACAAGCAACAATGAGCCTCGACTAGGAGGAATGAGCGTGGGGGAATCCTAAAGATGAAAGTGATCGCCAACACGGGCAGGCAGCACCTCAGTTATGGACAACGAATGTGGACGTCGCACAAGGACGGTTGGATGCAGATGAAGAGGGAGAGATAAGGGAGAAACGGTCACAGGAAGTCGTTGGAAGCAGGTTGAGGTCTTGAAAAGAATAAGGATGAATTGTTATTACGGGGCGTCCGGGGTTGAGGAAGCGCGCCGTCGCCGTCCCCTGGTCGGTCGGAAGAGTCAACACAGCCTCAGCCCTCTTGGCATGCCGATCGACGGGACCTGGCTCGATCCACGCACCTCGCACCTGGTTTCAAGAGCTTCCTCAATGTCTTGGTGCTGCAGTTCATGTGTTCTGCGGGAAAGCCGACTTGATTCTCGTATTCACACGCAACCCGGAACTTGCAAAAAGCGCGCTTCTGCGGGTAGCTTCTGCTATTCCGTTCGATCCACCGAACTTTCCGAGTGTCTTCAGTTTCCCATCCCAGTTCGAGCTCGTATCGAGCAACTCATTCCACAGCACGGAAATTCCCCTGAGAGGCCGCTCCAAAACCCGCCAATTCCACAACGCTCCACAGCTGCCCCTTACTTGAGGCAGGGGTTAGGCCTTGGACCAACCACTCACCGGCCAAGGCGGACCCCAAGGACGGCCCGCTGGTGCGTCTCGACCGTTGTTCAACCGATTTTTGGTTAAAGGTTATTGCCAAGAGCCGTACACTATTTACACTTGTGGTGTAAACAGTACGGACACATACATGTATGGAAAGACATGAACATCGAGTGCAATCATCAACAGAACGACAACCGACAGTGGCATCAACTTCCTCAGAATACGCCATCAACCTATGTTGCAAACATCTTCGCAATGTTGGCTGATCCGCGCCTGGGTCGCGGTGACACGAGGCCAAAAGGGGGGGCCGGTAACAGGCGGCCCTACTAACAGGGTAGGGTCCGGGTGCCTAGGCACTTTGTTAATGAAGGAAAGCCTCTTGCCCCACTCCGGCCTCGACTGAAGTATTGAAACGAAACATACATAGTAGCACAATCAGAAACCACCCAACAGGAGGCAACCCTTCCAGACCTTCGGCGGCCGCTGGCACCTGATATTGATGCAGCCGTTGTCCGGGCGATGCGGGCACACCTGATAGTATCTAGCCTACCTGTACGGAATACCTATGCTGATCTCTTGTCGCCCTACCAGCTTCACAATGGAACATGGCTTCCGTTTCCAGGCAGATCTGACGTTAATTCGCAAAGATTCTTACCGCCTTATCGACGCTACCCGTGGCAATCACGCGGCGGATCTGCACTTCACCCGAATCCTCGCCAGCCTGTTGCTCCCCTTCCTTCTTGACGACAGGCGGCGCCCATCGCACACAGGTGATGAACTGCCCGTGTGCGTCGGCCAGCACTTTTACGCAGCGCCCGTCCTGACTGAGGTCCCAGCATCGCAGTGTTTTGTCGTCGGCCACAGACAGGAGATACTTGCCCCCCGGGTGGAAGACGATCCCGCTCACCCAGTTATCGTGCCCGACGAGCGTCTTGAAGCACACCCCGCGCACATCCCACAGTTTGATGGTCTTATCCCGGGCCCCGGTCGCCATGAACTCTGCCGTGCTACTCGCAGGCGGCGGCTTCTTCAGCCCGGCCAATTTTGCCAGATAACCGTAGGAAGCGGCCGGAGCGAACGCGCAGCAGCCGATACCGTTCTCGTGGCCGGGAAGAACCAGCTTGTCTTCCCCGTCGGCCGCCGCTGAGATATCCCATAACCGAGCTGTCTGGTCGCTACCGGCAGATAGGAGATAGCGCCCGTCCACCGAGGAGCACACGTCCCGTACCCAGGCGGTATGGCCTTGTAGTGTCCTAATGCAGTATCCCGCCGTGATATCCCATATTTTTAGCGTTTTGTCTCCGCTGGCGCTGACAAGCATGTTTCTGGACTTCGCACTGCCAGCGATGAACCGGACTGCGCTAACGCTATGATCATGCCCAGCTAGCGTGCGGATGTTCTTGTACCCGTCGGCTGGGTCCCATAGCTTGATGGTCGAGTCTGAGCTGCAAGATGCAAGGAGGATGCTGCCTTTTGGCCCGCCATAATCGACGTCGAGTACTGCTCTTGTGTGGCCTTTGAGCGTTCTCTCGAGCTCGCCTAGTTCCCAGTCCCAGATCTTGATTAGAGAGTCGTCGCAGCCAGATGCTAAGGAAGAAAATGTCGGATGGAATGCGAGACAATTGACAGTGGCTTGATGTGACTCGAGCAGATGTCGGGGAGGAGATTGTGGGAGCCAGTCCACCGGATCCTGGTTGCGCTTGGAAAGGTTTGGAGACAATCTTGCGCTCTCAACTTTGGATTGCAGTTCGCTGTTGACAGACTCGAGTTGCATTACCTGGAGCAAAAGCCGGTTAGACATTCCTGCTTCAACAACAAGGCAAAGCCACGGGAGCCTGCTTCACAGGCTGTATGATCAACAGGCATGCCTTCTTCTGTAATCGAACTGTACTTGTCCATTTCTTCTCGAGTAGCGACCGGTATTTCGCTGTTGTGTCCGGGTCGAAGACATCTTCTCGGAGACTCAGCTCCGCTCTCAGCGTCTCGGCAGCCGTGGACAGGTTATTCGCTGACAGGTATGCAATGATTGACTTGTGCCTACCGATACCGTCTCAGCTCCGATCGGGGCCGCTGCCACCTATCACATACATACAGTTCGTCGGCTTGTCTGTCCGTCAATATACCGCGATTCATATTGAGGGTGATGGTGTCTTCCGGTGGCCTGGGGAGAGTCCGCCGTTAAGGTGCGTTGCTGTTGTGGTCACCACTAATTCGCGGTGCATGCGGGAGGTTCCGGAGAGGTGGTGGTTGTTCAGGAAGGTCGAGATGTTTCCATGGCGAGTTGATGTCCGTACAGTGTACGTCAGGCTCTGGTGGAGCGGCCCGTTTCCGCTACTATCCGCATGTGAAAGGGTGGGGCTACCCCTAACCCTATTCTCCCGCTTCCTTGCATCAACCTGGTGTCACGGTCCTGACCTACAATCCTTCGCTTTGATGGGAGCATACTACTGGGTAGGTAGGTACCTTATTTATACTACACCGTCTTCGATGCCACAGAACAAACGTTTCCATGTTCGGTCAATTGTAGATGATATCAACGGCTCAAGAGCCCCATCAACGGGTAAGACCGGAGATGCGGATCAGCGGTACGGGTAGGTAAAGTCAAAAAGATGATTGCCCGACTGAGCCTTCTAATAGAGAGGCATCGCCTAGATCAGATATAGATACATACATGCCCACTTGAAAGTTGAACGCCATGTCGAATGTACAGTAAAATAAAGTAAGTTAGTAGCCGGGTAAAACACTTACCCCGGTCTCATTCTCTGCCTGGCCGGCTCCAGGCAGTGCTCTCTAAGCCCGTAGTTGAGTGACAGTAGATTCAGGGTGTCGAATCATCATGTCGATTAAAATGTTAAATGCCCAATAGCTTCACCCAGAATACATAGCACACCTAGAGATACATTCTTTCAAAGATTAAGCTGGTTCATGACCAAGTGAACTGACCTACCTATATGTGACTCAACTGTAGGCGATCGGGTATTCAGGTCCGGGGGTAGATACAGCTGGCAATACACCATGTATGTCAGTCACACGGCCGCGAAGATATTAGACCCTATAAACTTGTCTCACTCTAGAACGCCAGACAAATCTCTACTGTGACTACCTATGCTTTGGTACCAAGATCACAGATCATAACCAACTGAAATCTCAAAAGAAAGGACAAGCACATGCTGAAACGACGGGCCAGCGTCATATTATCCTACCCCGTCAGATCTGAGCCACTAGTCAGCATCAACAAGCCAACAATAACAACAACACCCAGCACAGGTTCCCACCAGGGCGCCGATGCCCGGGACCAGCTCGTCCTTTCCCACCACTGTCCTATTTGTGGAAAGTCATCGTCACACTTATACTCCATCTGGCCATTGACACAACCGGTATGGCTGCAGCGAGTGAGTTTCGTACCCGTTCCCAGACAGTCAGAACAGTCTTTGTTGGGATCGCTCTTCTTGACCCCATTCTTGCAATTCGAGTTAGTAATGTACACTCCTTTGCGGTGCCTGCAACGAAGTAACCCTTCAGGCGGCCTCCACACCCCGGATATGGAAACCCTCTGACGGCGCTGTACTTCGTCTGCCCGCCATTCGGGCAGATTGGAACTTTTCTTGGGCATCTTAATTTGAGTGCCCTTCCTTGCATCTGTTCGGACGTCCTCATCAAGACCTGGGAATGGTTGACTTCTCTGCTCAACACCCTGTCGAATTTCGGTACAGCTGGATTGTTCATTTTTTTTTAGTATAGTTTTATATTCATAGACACAGATTCCTTTTCTTTTTCCTTTCTTATTGTTTTTGGGTCTGATAACCCTTACGGCAACATAATATCTGATGCCTTCATGTCGGTGATGCCTTTGGCGTAGTTACCTTAGGTATGCATGTCAGGTCACTACTGCAACGTAGAGTTTGGCAACTACCACGAGTTGCCCAGCTAGGTACACAGTACTCCCATGAGCCACAGGGTATCTTCTCTTTAAGCTCATATTTCCTTCCTCTTCTTTCAGTTCGGAGACTGAGCCAAGCTATTTTCTGCAACATCAACTTGGCTAATATCAGCTCGGTTGAATAGGAAGCGTATCGCGGCTGTCGCCATTCTTTGAGGCTTAAGGTGGTGGGCAGGGAAGTGTCTCGACGGATTCAAAGCGAGTACCTAGTGTCAGACAGTGACTTTGATTGTTCAACGGTGACAAGTCCAATAACAACGGAGACTACAATTCTCGAAGTGTAGACACAACCTACCAACCACACCTAGGAGGGGGTTACATGTCTAGAAACTAGTAAGAGTAACGTCAGCTGAGCGATCAGGTTCACATCCATCCCAGAGACGCCGTGGGCTTATAAATGACAACTAGAGACTCACAAGACTACCAATGCCCTGTAGAGCTGCTGGGCATTTATGGGCAGACCCTTGCCGCCCAGGTCAGAACGTGTAGTACTTCAACGGGTCCCGACACCAATATCTAAGGTGAGTATGAGATAAGAGAAGTACCAATGCAGTATCATAGACTGCTGGTTGACGCCGAACTGGCTATATTCTGGGGACATCAGTGATTAATCTTCTGGATAGCGACAGCCTGTGGTCATAACTGCCATAGGTGGTGGGAGAAAGTGGCCGGGGTAGGGGATGCTAGACGATAGTTCTGCTTTAGCAAGCCGCGTCCTCCTGAACCAAGTAGACTGGATCGGCTAAGCCACAAGTTGGCAGTCCTGCAGTGGGCGTTGGAACGTGGTGTCGTGCATGAGGTTAATTATTTTTAAGGTATCCTAAGACACGGGTTACGCCAGAATGTCCCTGCAATGCCAGCTAAATTAAACCTGCGCCATGACGCCGTCATGAACCCAGTAAGATATGTAACAGCACCATGATTCCCAGACTCCATACACGTCCAATCGGACTCTGTGGGCCACACCCAGTACTTGATGTAGGACTCGGGCTACCCTGAGAGGCTGTCCCTTGGGCTGTCCCGCTGGCCGGTGGTAACCCGATGGTAGGAGGGACAACGGAGGGAACCGGCACGGCCTCAACACTTTCTACTCCTGGGCTGGCAATTGGGGTACCGCTCGCGCCGTTGACAGCCGAAGCCGTCACCCCGCATGCACCTGTGACAGCGGACAAATCCTGGATATTGCCGAGGGCGGCAGGCGAGGAGCCGCAGTCCGTGGCCTGGGCCATCCAGATTCCGTCGGTTTCGAGGTCGAAGACCGCTATACTATCTCGTCAGAAGTCGTCAGGGTACCAGGGCTCATATGGACATGGGGAACATACCGTAAGCTGACCGCAAGAAGGTGTCCCCGAGCAACGTAAAACGCTCGCTCGGCATGATTCCAAGGAAGCATGCCGGCGGATTGCTGGATACTTCCCGCGTTAGCTCCTTGTAGGGCACCTTGATCGTCACCCCGTCAAAAGCAAAGTCGAGCGTGCCGTTCAGCGCCGCTAGGGAACAATCAATCCTGAAGAATCCATTGGAATCCGGCTCCTGCACGCCGAAGTCACGGGCGATGGCCCTCGTCAGGTTCGGCGGCAGGAGCGTCATTGTGGACCCGCTGTCGAGAAACACGGGCGTGCTGCTGTCATCGTACGCCCTGTTCACTCCGTTCGGAGGCGTAATCGAGACGGATTTCAGGCCAACCCAGAATCGAGGAACGCCGTCGGGTGACTGTTGGGCTGGGATGATTGGTAGCTTAACCAGACTGCCGGCAAACTTTGATGTGTCGATGCCGCCAAACACGATAACTCCTTCTTGCGCATCCTTGCTTCCCAAGGCGAGGGTGTACGCTTTGACGCGAGTAACATTTTGTGCTCGCAGCTGGTCCACAAAGTTGAGATATCTGGTGGCAATGCCTTTCCCATATCCTATTCCCAGGATACCTGAGAAAGCGTCTTCTGACGCGGTGGCCACGCCAAACTGGACTCCTTGGAGAGCTGTAGGGCTGCCAGCGAGGGTGACCGTGTCTGTGAAGTAGGTGATGTTGGCGCTCCCGATCCCATACCGCAGCGTTCTCGTGGTTCCGAGCGAGGTGGCAGTCGAGGACTTGGTGGTGTCGTACTGGCCGGCCCGCTCGCAGAAGACAGCGTCGGCTCCCGATACCGTCGTACAGTCCGGGTTCACCCACAACTCAAAAGAACCCGTGTCCAACTGCACAAATACCGGCTGAGGAGGCGTGCCAATGCTGACTGCGAGAAGGTTAGGCGGAGCGCGGCGAAAGACATCCAAAGGAGGAGTGAGTTACGTTGAGCATAGTAGGCAACATCTGACCGGTTTGCTAGCTGCAACTGGACGCCTCGTTTGCTGGAAAAGTAGTTGACATTGGTCGAATGGACGACGGGCAAATGGATGCAGCCAGTGTCATGGGTTGTCTGTTGGAGAGCGGTTGCATGACAGCAGAACAAGGCTATGAGCAACACCGATGCTGAGAAAAGGAAGGAAACTGCCATTGCTAGCAATGGCTTCTCGACAGCGGGCTACCTCGATATCGTCTGCATGAGCAAAGGCGTCGAGATTACCGGTCTAACTCGGACAGCTGAACGAGAGGCAGGGTTGCTAGACGCGGCCAGCCGGTTCCGAGCACCAAGCCGCGAGAAGAAAGAAGTGAAAGAAGTATGAAGGCCGTGCTCCCGGCGTTGGGCCGCTCCGGATAGACCAGGTCCAGGCTGGCAATGAGTGGCAAGAAGACAAGGTTAAACCAAAAGAGAGAATAAAAAGAAACAACAAGAATTTGGAAAGGAAAATAAAAAGAGAAGGCAGCAAGCAACAGATCAAGAAGAGAGAAACACAAGCAAGACACAACCAAGATGCCCAGCTGTCGAACCAAACATCAACTCCGGTTGTGGCCGGGCGTCCCTAGTCGAGGGATGGGGACAAGGAGTGTCACTCCGTGTCGTTGTTGTCAAACACTACCCAGCAATGTTGTCCCCATCTGCCTCAAGCAGGCGGCCCTTGGCGGACGGGTCCATGAACCCTCCCAAGGATCACCAATGAGGCAAGCAGATGAGACAAGCGCGGCTATTTCATCGAATTGTCGGCTGCCTCAGGGCGGGAGTCGCATGAACAGCCGCGGGTGCCATGGATGAGCCAGCATGATCGGGAGAACCGCGCAGTCGCGTGTCAATGTCAGGCTCGGCTGCCAGCGACTGTCGCACAAGGGAGAATTCTGTGACGCGAACATCGACGTTATCATGGAAGATCAAACACTCAGGGGCTCAAAGTTGAGAACGTCAAGTCCCTGCGTTGCAGGATCCCATTTTTCAATCCGCAGGGTCACCCTGCCGTTTCAAAGGCCCCCCCAAAGCATTGAGCCAATGAGCGCAGGAATATCTGTCCCCACACCGCAACTCGAAACCGGCAACAGTCCAGTTCCCTTCAACCCACGATGCATCGCGAGTCTGCAGTCAGAGGAAGAATGAGACAGCCAGCAATGCTCGCGGGCTGTTGAATTCTATGTGATTACTGTTTTACTTCGGCATGTTCTCACAACTCATCCTTCAAGCCTCATCGCTGACCTTGATGATGATCTTCCCGTTCGCGTGTCCGGACTCGAGCCTCTTGAAAGCCTTCTTGTAATCGGCAAACTCCCACACGCTGTCGACCGTCGGCCGCACCTTGCCGGCCACGATCAGGTCTCCAATCTCGGCCAGATTGCTCCCCAGCGGCTCGACAATGAAGAACAAGGCCTTGGAAAGCTCCTTCTTCAGCCCCGCAGGTTTGCCATACTCGGGAGGCGTATTGATAGTAATCATGGCTCCTCCCTCGCGCACAGCGGCCCAGCATCCCTCCAGCGTCTTGCCGCCGACCATCTCGACGATGAGATCACATTCGCGCGCTGCCGGGTCGGCGGCCACCCAGTCCTCAATCGACGTCTCGGCGTAGTTGACAACCTCCGTCGCGCCCAGCTTCCTCGCGGCCTCCTCCTTGCCGGGCCCGCACACCGCCACGACCGCCTTGGCCCCAGCTAGCGCAGCAAGCTGCACGGCCCAGCTGCCCACGCCGCCCGCCGCACCCGTCACCAGCACCCTGACCTTGCCGTTCTTCTCTCGCGCGGCCGCATTCCCCTTCACTGACGCGGCATCCAGCGTCCCCTGGACGAACAGGGCCTGCCACGCCGTCAGGGCGCTCAACGGCGTCGCTGCCGCCTCGATCCAACCCAGGCCCTCGGGGATCTTGGCCAGCTCGCTGGCGCGCGGCAGGGCATAGTCCCGTGCCGCGCCGGCCCTCTCGGCGCTGATCCGGCAGTAGACCCTGTCGCCGGCGGCGAAGCCGCTGTTGGCCGGGGCGCTGACCACCCTGCCGGCCATGTCTTGGCAGGGGACCATCTCCTTGTCGGCGGGGATCGAATCGGGGAAGTTGATAGCCCAGAGGAGCTCGCCCGCGCAGGGCGCCGTGGCGTGCACGCGCACGAGGACGTCGTCTGGGTGCGTCGGGGTGGGAACCGGGGCGGTGGTGGAGATGACTTCGGTTGTCTTGCGGGAGGCTTGGAGGAGGGTCTTCATTGTTTTAGGGAGCTCTTGGGCGGCCATGTTGGCAGTGGGTTGGTAAGTGAGTAGAGGAGGAGGTTCGTTGGGTGGTTGCGGGCGTGTCAGCGCTGAGGAGAAGAAAGGTACAAGTACGTCGGTTGGTATGATAAGGTGCCAGACTAGATAGAGTGCGTTGTCCCCAATGTGTCCTAGAAGCTGAGGAAACCGCCATTGTATTTATACCACGGGATGGTCATGCTACTGCGACGCACTACATCACGTAACGGATTAACGACAAAGAGCGGCTCGCTAAGACCTCGCATCCCGCTTTCGGAACGAGTGTCAGACTGTCCGTGTCCAAGCCCTTTTGAAGGAACGAGGTCAACAGCCACTCGACGACGCAGGTTCCCCGCGTCGCCAAGCATGTTGAGTCAAGCACAGTGAGTAAGCAGGGTTACCTAGTCGCCGGTTCGGGTCTCGCATCGACATGCGAGGGCCGGATGGTCGGCGCAACTCAAGACCGGCTACGGCTTGCCCTGTAACTCGACTGCACAGCTGGTGGGGCATCGCTCCAATGCCATACCTATTACACAGCAAGGTAGTAACAGATTAAATATAAATATAAAACAATCCGACCGATTCCTCGGCCCGAAAATCTTGGGCTATCCGTGACAGGAAGATAAAAGAAGTCCGTGACCTCAATTCTTCGCACACAGGTCACCCTTCCCATCAGTCACGGGTTTTGGCGTGTGAGACGGGCGGGGCAAGTCGCTGCGTTGGCTGGAATCTGCCTCAAATCTGCCTTTGTGGCGGGGTCAGCATGCCTTCTGTGTTGTGTTGTATGCCTATGGATAGCACAACAGCCGATTTAGGTGGCGTGTGAGGGCTCGATAATTGCTTGTTGACGTTGGTGTGAGACCCTTCATCAGGCTGGATGGCATCAAATATAAATAACTACCTCAACCGACTCGATCTCCTCCGGGCCTCAGCAACCTCGGTCTTCATTACACCTCACAACGCCGAGCATTATCTCCCGGCGTAAACACCGCTACCTACCATCATTAGGCCCACCGCCAGCCATGAACGATTCACCTCCCCTCTCAAAGGGCAGCATCAGCCATGTTCCCGACTCGGATATCCTCACAATGACACAGGAATGCTTCCTGTCGGCAAATCCCGACTTCGATTGCGTCGCGACCGGCGCCCTTGTCTTCTCCCGGGCCACAGGGGAAGACCGCATCCTGCTCATCCAGCGAGCACTCCACGATTCGTGGCCTGGGCGCTGGGAGGTACCCGGTGGAGGGTGCGACGCGGAAGATGAGAGTATCCATCACAGTGTGGCAAGGGAGCTGCTGGAGGAGAGCGGTCTGGTGCTGAAAGACGTGGTGAGGGAAGTCGGGGAGGCGCAGATCTTCCTAACGAGGAGTCGGAAAAGGGTTGCAAAGTTCACTTTCGAAGTGGATGTAGAGACTCCTGTCCCTGGGGTTCTTCCGGAGGTGGCACTGGATCCGGCGGAACACATGGACTTCATCTGGGCCACCGAGGAAGAGTGTCAGCTCGGTAAGAAGGCCGGTGGGCCGCCCAGCGGTTTGGGGCTGGAAACAATGGACATCGAGTTCACGAGCGATGAGCAGAAAGCATCCATACTGCAGGGCTTCGAACTTAGGAGAGAATGTGAGAACTTGAAGTGAAGAACCATGGGCTTGGGCCGGGCCATTTCAAGTTCTCTCAGCGTAAACCCTAACCCCAATCAAGCATGTTGACGTTAATTATTGGACCCCACTATCAGCTGCCTACGCGACGCGCCCGAAGCCACTGTCAAGTCTGCTCCATCGAAGACCAGCGTTTGTTCTCCGTGCAACTTGTTACAACCAACTCACTCAAGAATGCAATGGCAATACCGCCGGCGCCGTTCGATGGCGATGAGTCTCTGTTTGATTCTGCCCAACCCTTCAAGGGTGTGGTCGTTTGCTGCACCAGCATTCCGACCGAGCTGAGAGTAAGTTCAAGTTGTCAAGCGCGTCCAACTTTATCGACGGGCCGGGTCTAGGTTCCATCTCAACTCGCCCACACTCAGCACCCACGATCTGTCCTGGCTCTTGGTTGAGGTATACTACTGTGGGAAAGCTAATCAGACCTCTCGCTCGTAGGCGGATATTGCAGCCAAGACGGCTGAGCTAGGAGGCCAACACAAGTATGACTTGATGCCCGACTGCACCCATCTGATCGTTGGCGACTACGACACCCCAAAATATCGCCATGTCGCCAAGGAACGTCCCGATGTCAGGGTCATGGCCGCCGGCTGGGTGGAGGCTGTTCGGAATCTCTGGGTTCAAGATGTCGAAATTGATTTCCTCGCCCTGGAGAGAGAGTGGCAGCTGCGCACCTTCGAGACCGGGGGAGGAGAGCCGACCACTGACGGCTCGGAGCCACAGCGCCGCAGACTTCTCTGTTGTATGACCGGCTTCGAGGATCCTGACGAACGCCAGCATATCATCGACAAGATCGAAGCGAACGGCGGACTCTACACCGGCGATCTCACGAAACGAGTCACGCACTTGATCGTCTACAAGCCGGAAGGGCGGAAGTATCAGGCCGCGAAGAACTGGGGCGTAGCAACCGTCTCGGTCGAGTGGGTCCATGACTCTGTTGAGCGCGGTCTAATCCTCGACGAGAAGCTCTACGACCCGGTCTCACCCCAGCATGAGAGAGGAGTGGGCGCTTGGAACAAGCAGCGAGCACGCGTCTCGTCGCTAGGAAAAAGACTGAGGGAAAACAGCGCGGCGCAGGATGAGGGGAAGAGGAAGCTACGCAAGACTGCCAGCATGAAGCTGAACAGCCAGAGGGACAACCTTTGGGGAGATATTCTAAGGAATCCGCAAGCGCCAGAGACTGCATCTACCACCGTCGCCCAAAACATCCCAGCAAACCCGGCAGGACTCCCACCTACACACTCCTCGACGTCCAAGGCTGAAGGGAAGTCACTGGACACCCAGGGCTCGAAGCTCTCGTCGTTTGGCGTCCCGGATGACAGCGCCGTCTTCGCGTCTTGCTGTTTCTACGTGCACGGGTTTTCGGCGCAAAGGACTGAGATCCTAATCAACACGGTCGCATCTCTCGGCGGGCTGGTGTGCCATTCCCTCGACGAGGTTACATCCACGTCTGGCGCCCAGCTCGCGCACAGATTCCTAATCGTGCCGCAAACCTCCGCCCCAGACACCCGCCCCAAACCTCCTGGCAACGTCCACATCATAACTGAATTCTACATCGAAAGATGTCTGCATAAAAAGTACTTTTTTGATCCATCCCAGCATGTTATCGGGCGGCCGTTCCCACTCTTTCCGATACCGGGATTTGAAGATCTGTCCATATGCACCGCCGGATTCACTGGAGTCGACCTCAACCAGGTTGACAAGTCCATCCGGCAGCTGGGAGCCAAGTATGAGGAGAGATTTACTGCAAATGCTTCGCTCTTGGTGTCCCCATCACTGCCAGCGATACGAAAGCAGAAGCTCGAGCTGGCATTGGCCTGGAAGGTGCCAGTTGTCAGCGCTGACTGGTTATGGGAGTGCATCTCAACAGGACGCAAGGTGCCGATCAAGCGATTCCTATTTCCGGAACTGAAGCAAAATTTCGAGGATGCAAAGACACCAACGCAGACCAAGGAAGTCTCCATGGTCAAAGACAGTGCCAAAAACAAGCAGGAGAGGCGCTTCAGTAGAGATGGGATCGACGAAGATCTACTTCCAAAACCGGCCACCAAACCGAAACAGCGTCGGGAACTGGACGAGTCGGCCTTTGTAATCGCCAGGGAAGAGACGGAAGAACCGGACCAGCGTCGGAAGGGACCACCAGCAACTGAACACGAATCGAACGTCACCACGACCACACACTTTGAAACCGCTCCCACCCACATCAACGCTGCCGATGACATCAACATCAGCTTCGGAAAGAAGAACCTTTCCTTCGCTGCTCCCCTCTCGGAGACATCCTCCAACTCTTTCAACAAACCCCAAGTCACCCCACGGAACCCCGACACACCACGGCCACGAAAGCCCATGAGCCGAATAGTAAGCGAGGTCGCAGATTCAGAAGCAACTGAGGGCGACGTCGGCCACCCCCACGACATTCCGCCACACGAAAACGAAGAGAACCTCGAAAAGTCTGCCGAAACCCGGGGAGAAGATGACGCAGACCGCCCGGACCCAGAGGCAGAACAAAAGCGACTCGAAGCCAAAAAGGTGGCTGCAGAAGAGCGCCTCGCCATCTCCACCAAGCTCGTGACTTCCCTACTGGACTCGACCACCGCTAAGCTAGCCAGCACTGTGTCCGCCCCCGCCGCTCTGGCTGCCATGTCCCCAACCGGGCCCGACCCCGCCGCAGGCGAGGACAGGCCGAAGCGACGCAAACGGAACATCCTGGGCCGCGCCATCAGCAACGTCTCAGCCGCAAGTAGCGCCAGTGGTGGCGGCACCGACGCGTCTGCCGCTGCTCCTCCCCCTCTCGCGGGCATTGCCAGGTCGGACACCCTGGGGTCGGGCGTTGGTGAAGCCCCACCCCCACCCGCCGCGACTCAACTCGAGTACGAAGACCCGGAGGCCAGGCGGTACAAGGAGCAGCTGATGAACAAGATGATGGGGACGACAGGCGGCAGCACATTGGGGCGATCGTTTTCCGAGCCCAGGCAGGAGAAGCTGACGCTTGCCGGCCTGGGGGGTTATGATTCACCACAGCAGCGGTATGATGCGGTTGCTGGTGGAGAGAGGAGGACTAGGCGAAGATGAAACAAACATGGCACATGGTCTGGCCCTGGCGGGGAGAGTGTTAAAAATCGGGATACCACGAGGGAGGGGCAGATAGCTACTTATCGAACTACTTTATGCAGGATATGGTTACGGCAGGATTACGACCGCAATGCGATCTTGGGGGCTTTATGTCCTCCGTTTTCTACCATAGCTCTAATGCTGTAGCATGCTCAAGTTCTTGATGTGGGTGGTGCAGAGACGTGGCAGCGCATCTATCTAGTAAGTACCTGAGGCGCCACTGAGTGTCACAAGGCTTCAAGATTGAAAGTGAAGTCCAGCGAGGTTTTGATCTCACTCCAGTGAACACGATTTCCAAGACCCAATCTGCTTCCCAGCAAAATCATCTTCCCATTAAATACACTGAAAAGATTCCGGAAAATAGAGGGGTATCATAGACCATCCTAAAAAGGAAATAAGCCTCTTTGTCCCCAAACCCTCGCCGGCTCCCACAGACAACACACACACACCGCAAAACCGCATCCGCCCTGTCTCAGAGGTGATGTGCAGCATGCGTCAGGACACTCAGCAGGGTCGCCGCCGCGCTGCTGACGCCAATAGCGGTGGTCGCCTCCTTCAGGGCGCTCCTCCTGGACGGCCGCTCCCCATCTTCCCCGCGACCTCGATCCCTGTCCCGATCCCGATCCCGGTCTCGATCTCGGTTCCTGTCCGTATCTCTCACCCGATCCCTCTCGCGTAATCTGTCGTCTCTCGACTTTGCTCTCTTGGACCGGTCTCTCTCTTTATCGCGAGGAGCCCGATCTCGATCTCGATCTCGATCACGGTCCCGCTCCCGGTCGCCGACGCGGCGGTGGTTGTTGTCCCGGTCTCGATCACGGCGCGAGACTTCCTCGGGCGAGATCTCCCTCGGCCCCGTGCGATCAAAGCGGACGTGGTTCGGGTTCTTGTTCTTCAGTATCGGTTTGGGCGCCACGGTGCTCGAGGGAGAGATCGTGTTGTCCTCGCCGTTAACGCTCGCTGGTGGGGACACAATAACGGGGTATACTCTGGTTCCTTTCTCTTCCTCGTCGCTGTCCGGAGGCTTGGGCTTCTTGTTATGCGTAGGGGTGTAGTCCTTGGGCGTGTATCGCCCTCGGCTGCTGTGTCCCAGCCCCTTGCGGCGATTGTTGTGATCGTCGTCGTCGCCGTCGCCGTGGTCGGACGAATCGGCATCGCTCGTGTCAAAGAGTGCTTCCGAGTTATTGTCTCGCGCAAGCTCTCTGCTTCCTGTCCCTCTTCTATCCCGATCGCCGTAAGTTTCATGCCGCAGTCGGCCATCCCCCCGGCTCTCGACGTTGGCGGCTCTGGTTGTCGGCGCTCTCCTTGCGTTGCGTACCTCGAAGCTCCTCCTCGCATACTCCTCGATCTTCTCACGGCTCAGAACACCAAGCACAGCGACGAAATTCGGTCTGGCTTCGTATCGCACGCCCGCCTCTTCCAGCACCTCGGGGGAGACTAGCTTGCGATCAATCTTAGTCCAGGTGGCATCCAGAGGTATGGTTTGACCTTTGCTGTCAGGGGCGAGATGACTGGATCGTCGTGACGAAGGTTGGTACTGTTGGAGCATGTGGGTACCGGCTGTGGGCGCCGAGGATGGCAGCGCAGGCGGATCCCATCCAGCACCCAGAGTGTTCGGACTGGTACTGTAAGGGGGTGGTGGCGAGCTCGGTGAGAAGCTGCTTGGGAGAGCGGACCCCGGAATGTGCAACGGTTGGGTTCCGAATGGCAGATATCTCTGAGATGGAGAGGTACCTGGAGAGATGGAGAGGTGTGATAGTGGGGGTGACAGGAGCGAAGCCACCTTGTCAGCCGAATAACGGTCAAGAGCCATGAGGTCTCGTGTCGAGATGAGCGCCATGTGAGACCCAGGATTGCCCTCCGAATCTGAAGCCTCAGATGATGTATACGGCTCGAAGCTCAGCGCGGGTTGCAGACTGGCGACGGTGTGACCTCGGGGTTGTGAGGGAACCGGTATGGAGTTGGCCATTCCACGCGCTTCGGTTCGCCTGCGTCCTTCGATGCCGGTAGGATTGGTCGCAGAGTTGGGCTTCGTTTGCCGGCCATCGGTTGGGTACGGTCCACTGGCCGTTGCAGTTCGCGGTTGGGCATCCCATTCAAGCAGTCCACGGACAGACGGCGGGGTCCCGTCACCCTGCCGCTGGTGAGACTCAAGCTCACGGATGTATGCACGCAAGACCTCCTATTGGGCATGATTTAGTTAGGTCATTCACGCAGCAGTTACAGAAGATTAGGTGCCTGCCTTATTCTTCCGAAGCACCTCGGGCGAAAACCCTTCTCTCTCCAACTCAGCCTTGAAGCTCCGCCATAGCTCGTCTTCGTCCGTCTCTATTGGTGATTGATCTCTCCTTTCGTGGAATAGACGGTTAGCGATGGCATCCACCTGGTCCTTGATCATGTCCAGCTGTTGGTCGTCGACGTTTTCGAGCGTACGCTGTGCCTTCGTGGGGTTGTGCAACTGGATCGTATCAAGGAAGACTTCAATCTTCATAGTTTGAGAGACGACATCTCCTCGAATGAGATCGATCTTCCGAGCCCGTTCTGCGACGTTCCCTCCAGTACCACGGTTGGCCCCGACGTCTTCTCCGTACCTCTGGAGGATGGTGTCGACCTGCTTCAGGGCAAACTCGCTATCCTCGACCAGTGATCTCAACTGCCTAGCATAAACAGAATCCCGGCTTTCGCTACTGGCAGGATTCGCCGTGTGGAGAGGCGAGTCAGGGTCCTGGGCTTCAGCATCGAGGTGCTTGAGCGCTCTATGTAGGCTGCAAACGGCTATAGCCAGATCGACGAAATCGGTGCCGGCATTGCGAGTTCGCCGATACAGTTGCCGCGCAAAGGCATCGACGGACTCGATGCTTGGGGAGTCTCCGCTTGTTGCTGTCATGGATTGGGTCGCCCGAAGGCTTTCACTCCGAGCACAAGCGCGTAGTATCAGCCTCTTGGCGGGCTGGTGTCCGGCTCAACTCCTCGAAGTGGGGCCGACACGAGAGGATACTCTAGACTTAGGAGGTCGGCGCCAGACTCGGACGCCGCTTGAGAAAAAGCTCAGTCACGAAGAGGATGGTTGGCCAAGTCTGTACCGAGGAGGCAGAGATTACCAAGACGGCGAACAGAAAAGAGAGCCAGGCTGTGGAAAGAGCAGTGTAGAGGGAGACACTAGTAGTAATTACTAGGAGAGATCACCTGGGCTTCAATCAGGCTTGAAGCGGCTGACGAATCGCGGACGAGAGGGATCGTCGTTGACCCATAGTTAAGAGGGTACACTACCGGTTGTCACCCAACTTGAACCCAAACATACCCAACAGCAAGGGATGTACATAGCTAGCGTTATGTGTGTCATCGAACAAGGTGGCGCTAGCGACGCCGAGCAGTTCCTGCGAGGCTCTACGTGGGGCTTCCTAGGCTCCATCGAAGACATCTCGAGATCGTGGGCGAAATAAGCCGAAAACATCGACTCTCGATGCCCATAATGGTTTAAAGCAAAGGACGACCGCACCGCTGAATGATCCAGAAGTCAATTCTGTCGGCTTCTCTCAAACTGTGAAGCCTGTTGTAACAAGATGATTCCGATGTGAATGGCATCAATGAACGAGGAAGTGTGTGTTCTGGGACACAAAAACCCATGCTAGTGACGTCTTCATGTAACAGGACAGTGTGGGGAAACCGGGCAGGAGGGTAGGGCTAGCCAATCGCAGGGCGCGTGACCGTTCTTATGACAATGTCTTCCAATCATCGGCCTTGCAGTGGGGCAATTGAACCTCCCAGTTCGGCCCATCGTGAAATCAGACCAAAGCTGCGGAACTACACGATTGCACTCCGCCACCCTCGGCTATCTGCAGCATTTTGTATTCCACGTCGGTACCGGACGAGGGAAACCTCCAGCCACAGGAATGGCATCATAGAGGTCCTAACAGAACCAAGGGCTAGTCTCGGGGGATGGCACCCCTCGCCTCGTTTGTGGACAAGATCGCGAGGTTGAGGAAATAAGCTGGCTGGCTGGCTGGGCAGCATTTGTCTACCGTGACCGTCGCCGTATTACCCCATTGAGACCGGTATTATCACAAGCCGTTGGGCTGTGCTCCGCGAAACCCAGTCACGATGCCAAAAGTCGAAGCACCGAGTTGTGAGCGGGTCATCTTCAGCGAAATCTGACACTCGCCAACAAACGAGGCTGTGAGGGACGGGGATCCCGCCCGGGCTGCTTCTGGAAGCCTTCGTCGTCGCTGCGATCGCCGGTCTCCGTGCCGCTTTGGCATTGTTCAGCGCATCCAGCGCTTTGCCGGCGTGGCCGGTAAGCAATGCCAAGCCTCATCTGACTGAGTCACCTCGGTATACCATTTCCGGCGGAGGTGAAGAGATCGATGGCAATCGTTGAATTGGTTCGCTCCCTTGACCGAAGAGGTTCTTGTCTTGGGTTGCACGTTTCTCGACCCGCTGATTAGGTCTGTCGGATGTGCCAATGGCATATCGGTGTTGGATGAGACAAGCTGGGAGCCAACATCCTAGATTCTCGGTACTTTATGTCGTACTTGCTGTGGCGAGGCTGTCTGTAAGATGTGCCATGTTAACATCCAGAACTCCACTTGATCGTGACGCAGGCAACGTGTACACGAGTGAGACAAGGCATGAGAAGATCGGAGCGGCAGCAACGGGTCAAAGTGGGGATAGCCATGAAGATGCGGCTCGAGAGTTCCGATTGTGTGGGTTTCGCACAATTGCCACGACGTTGGCTGTGTCCATGTAAACCGATTGTCCCACCGGGAAGCCAACATGCATAAGAGGGCAACAACTGATTGCTTGATTCAGCGTGAACATTACCCATCTACATTCAAATGCCTTCTAGTATGTAGGCTCACCGAGCTTCCTGGACAACAGTGACGCGGCTTCCGCCCAGCAGCGTCTCCTCCGATATCCGGTGCACCGAATAGATGCCCCTCTTTTTGCTAATGAAATGGCCAATTTGCCTGCTGCTCCTCGGGACGATCTCGCCGCCCGACCTGACCCTCTCCGTCGAGATTTTGCTATCGAGTTTGAGCCCAAGCGGGAGTGCCTCGGTCATGTGCAGCGATGCGGCTTTACCCTTCGCGGAATCCGCAAGCGCTTTCCTAGCCTTCTTCGCGTAGTTGACAGCCTCGGCCAGGGCTCCTTGGAGACGCACCGCTTCCAATACGCCTTCCAGAGCCACGCTCACCTCGGCTTGAAACTGGCTGAAAAAGTCCGCCGAGTCCTCCTGGCTGGGAGAGCCACCGAGTATGGCATCCGACGCCATCCATCCGCCCAAGCCTACTGAGTCGATGCATCTGGACATCAGATCGGCAATGAGCTGGAGGCTTCCGTCGGGAGGGGCTTCGGCCTCATCCTCGGCGCCCGTCCGGTCAATGTAGCGTGTTGTCCAGCCGTCTTTGATGAGTTCAGCCCGCAGGACGTTCATCAGGCCGATTATCTCCTCGGGCTTGAAGAGACTCCGCAAGCTCTGCACGGTTGCGGCTGTCGGGCAGGCCGCCAATTTGCCGAACGCCACGCCCAAGCCTCTGGCCCTGTGCCCGCCTAGGTAGTGTTCTGTAATCTGCAGTTCTTCCTCAGCCCGATCAAGCTCCATGTTGATCACCTCGTTCTCCTGGTCGTGGCCTTGTTCCCCATTTTCCGTGAGCCGCAACTGGATGGTCTTAGATGGGTTCTCAAATAAGCCGAGGCTGCGGAGCAGGAGCTTGATAGAAGATACAAGCTCCGTCGATCCAAGCTGCGTCCCGGACAGATAGCCCACAAGTAGTTCCATCGTCGGGTCCACTTGCGCTAAGAGGTTGGGTACTTCTTCTCCGATGATGTTATCCGCCCCGTCCACCTTCTGAATCTTGTCCTTGAAGGCCGACTTGATGTTTGAGATTGACAGATGCCCAGCATCAACGAGATAGTTGAGGATGTTGCTTTCTGGTAACTGGCACGCCATCCGCGATGTCTTTGAGTCACTTTGCTCGTCCCACGAAAACACTCTGCTGATGGCATAGAATATCCACCGTCTATCAACACGAGGATAATCAGCCCGAGAGGGCGGCCAGACCCACTCCGGAAGCTGCGTCGGAGAAGCGGTACCGTTTGGAAGGCTCTCTTTCTCGGCCACAGCTTCGCTTGACTTAGTTTTCACCTTGAAGACCTCCGCCAACAACTCTTCCCATGAGCGTACGTCATTCTCGCGAAGGAGCTCGTCCGCTTGCATTGACTTGCTCTGCCATTCTGGCCACGAAAGATCCGACGATCCAGGCAAAGGCTCCGCGAGGACGGCTGACTTAGGCTGGTCGACTTGGGCCGGCTTCTGGTGAGAGGGATTCCGGGGAATCCCACGCCGGATTGCGTCAGTCAATAGACCCTCCGCGCGGCGCTTGTTGTTTCGGTTTTTCGGTGCTTCGATCTGGAGAGCAGTCAGGTCGGTGCCACGGAACCCAACCGCGATCTCGCGACCCGCGAGATAAGTGATGAACTCGAAAGGGTTGCTGCTACCCTCAGATTTCTCGGAGTCAACAGGCGCGGTGGCTTGGAGGGACCGGTAGATCGGGTTGTACACTGAAACGGTATCGGCGGCAGAAGTAAGGACAGAGGTCTTCGATAACCGGAGGAATGAAGTCAACTGCGGGACCTGCAGTTTGTTCTCGAGCCGGGGGATGCCATTGCTAAATCCGTAGGTGACGATTGACCCGCCTGAGAGCGTTTGGAGCGTTCCGGATCTGACATCCAACTGGAATTTCGTGCAGTCCTCCGCTTCTGTAGGAAGAGGAGCGACGAACACTGAAATAAGGCGCACATTATCCGTTTGCCGTGCTTCCCTCTCTGACGGGAGGGCGAGAACATGCAAGTGCCGTGCATTAGACGACGGTTGCGAGGTGATCACAATAAGGAAGTCCGGATTGAACCCCTCGCGGTGGATCTTCTCCTGGAACACCCCAAAAAGCTCGTTTCCGCCACCGAATATTCCGTCGACAACGTCCGCAGCAAACGTCGATTGTGCGAAGTCCACCTTGAGGCCTGCCTTGGGACTTGCAATAAGGTCCTTTGAGAGCACAGAAGGCGACACCTGCCATCTCTCGTCCAGAGTCTCTCCGTTTAGGCACAGGATCGTGCCATCGGAAGCCACAGCTACTAGGTCATGGTTGGACGACTGATCACTAGGCAACTGTGTCACGGAATGCCTGGGCGAGCTGGCGAAGATGAGGATGATGGGCGCATCACAACGGAGGGTATGGGAGACAGGTGTCGCGGTTGTCGTCCCGGCCCCGGAGATCTCCTCCTTGAACAGTTTGATCTCGCGCTTTGAAGAGGTGCCACTGCTTGTTGCGAGCGAGACATAGGTATAACGAGTGGCCGACTTGGACGACGCTGGCCTCCAGCGCAAAGAATACGGCGCGCAAGTGAAGACGGACTGGGGCGAGACCAGGTACGAGGTAACCGCCTGAGATGAGAGAATCTGGGACACGTCAGCTTGGGAAGGCCAGGCGAGAAATTATCCAAGGGCTCTAACATCGTAAAGGTAAACAGCGACACCGTCAATTGCTACCGTGAGCTCGGTCCTCTTGCGACGCTTGCAGCCCTGCTTTTGGCCGAAAACCTCCCCGGCAAGGTAACGGCCAGGACCATCCGGGCCATCGAGAGGGGGAGGAAGTGCCTGCAAGACGTATGGCGCGTGTATCTGAAGCTTGGCAGCCATTTTGAGTGCGCCGTGGCTGCGGATCAAGCTGTCTGAGCTGTCAGGGCGAAGACATCGCCGTTCTTCCAGTTGTTCTGAACTTTCTGAGGCTTCACTGGAGAGAAAAAGTCCACTCGAAAAAATAAAGTGGATCTAATCGGTGGGGCTAAAGTACCAGGTAGGCTTAGGTAATGCTAGGCTCTTGAGTCCTGACCCACTTACAAGCATTTGCAGGCGCAAAGCCGATGATGCAACTGGCGTGTCAATTGAACGCGACGCGAATCGTTAACGCGTGCACTAAAAGAAGAGGCGCGGGCATGCACGCAGCAATCATCGGGATTGGGACCAGCTACACTTACTTTCCCCTAGTCGCCGCATACCATGTGAGAGTCTTGATGGTTCTTCCACGTTATTTTTGAACCTTTGTATCTAAAGCAATTTGATCTTCCCCCAGCATGATTACCTACAACGATCAACTTGCCCTGGCCTAGCACATCTTCTAATCTGGTAAGTACTGCCGTGCGCCGCAGGTGAAGCCACTTTACGCATTAGTCTTTCTGCATCCATCATTCCTCATGCAAAGCTAAGGGAACAGTTTAGTCCCCGCGTTCTCTGTCAATGGGTCCTCTCGCGGTGCTCACCATGGCTGGGACTTCCATGCCAACCGACACTACAGCCCAACGGCCATTGCACCCTTTCTTCACACAGAGTCGCTCGACCGTGCCCATGGCAGACAATCAAGCTCTGAATGATTCGAGCGCACCAGCCGAACCCGACAATCCCTCCACGGCGCCCGATGCCACCGGGAGTGAAAGGTCTGAAGAGGATGTCCCAGAACCGGCCACAACGCGTGGTAGACGGCGAAAAGCAGATAAGGAGCTCAGAGAAGAGACACAAAAGAAGGCACGGCCAAGAAAACGAGCGAGGAATTTGCCTGCTGGATCAATTGAGGGTCATTTTCTGAAGCTGGGAAAGGGTAGTGGAAGTGCTGCGGATAAACCGAATAGCACGGAGGGCTCGGCGGACATCGATGTTTCAGCACCAAAGGAAGCGGTCGCTGTGAACTTCCCGAACGCTGCGAAGGGAGTGAATCACGGCGGTCTTGATTTAGCCACTGGTGACACTGGAGTTGAACACTCGGCACACAATGATCTTCACGAGACCAAAAACCACGGCTGTGTTCCCGAGTCCACCACTACAGCATCCACAGAAGCGGTGGCTGGTACAGCAAAACCGAAAAAGTTGTTACAATTCAATCCAAAAACCGGGACGATCGGATCACCTCCAAAGCCGAAATTGTCTAAAACCGCCACGGATGAGGCGCACGATGTCGAGAAAAAACCACCCGCAAAGCGTGGCAGAAAGCCAACGTCCAAAATCGTGCAGATCACATACGGGCCCGATCCTAACGCTCGTGTCAGACTGGGGGAGTTGATCGACGCGATTCTCAGCGGCCAGGCCCGGCATTCCGTCGCTAACTCAAAGCAAATACGACCAACTAGCAGCCGAGAACAATCCCTTGATCCCCTCAAATCCTCAGCACCAAGAGCAGCGAAAACCACACATCCGTTCTTCTTGGGCCAAACCAAGAAATCCGAACTGACTGCGGAAGACCCCAAGCCTAAGAAGTCTGCCTCGTCTCCGCCTAGCAGTAGAACGAAGCAGTACAGCTCTACGCCCTGTTCACCCCGAAAGTCTCGAATTGAATCAGCTGCAAAGGTGCCAATGCCCCAGTTTGGCGTGAAGAACTTGGGCCTGAAGTTCCCAGGAGCCAAACTGCCTCCATGGCCATGGCATGATGTGGCACACACGCGAGGAGACGGGCACATCGCATTGCTAGCAGACACTGATACCACCTCACTCCCTCTTGCTTCTCGGAAGTCCAAGGGAAATGCGGTCAAAGTCCCACCGAATGAGTCCGTCGTCAGTCTTGCCACCAAGTCGGCGGAATTCCCAGCCATGGTAAAGGCCGTTCAAAACATCAACACCGAGGAGATCATCCCTCCGCCTCCTGAGCTTCGCCTTCCACAAAAGCACTTCGAAAGTGGAAGCAAACTGCAGGCGAGGATCCTTCCCGAGCTGAAGACCTTTCAGCCCACTCCTTTGTCAAAAAGGGCCAATCCACTCGAAAAGGATGTTCAGGGTGGTGAGCGTGGCGTGCGAGCGCCCTCCCAACTCGCGCGCCTTTTCGGTTCCATTGCTTCCTCGCTATCGGCCTTCGACACGGCCCAGTGCGAGACCAGCAACTGGGTCCAGAAATATGCACCGGCAAGCGCCATTGAAGTTCTTCAGCCTGGACAAGAAGCATTTATGCTGCGAGATTGGCTTCGGGCGTTGATGGTACAGTCTGTAGATACGGGTTCCACAGAGTCCGAAAAGCCAAAAGCCGGGTCAAAGGCAAAGGGAGCAGGTGCTGGTAAGAAGAAGCGAAGAAAAAAGCTCGACGGCTTTATCGTCTCTAGTGAAGACGAGGAGGACGAGTTGTACGAACTGTCGGACGAGGATGACAACTGGGCTCCTAGTGGGTGGCGAGGCATCCTCCGCAAGACAGTGGTCCAGTCTGGTAGTCTATCCAGGGGCAGAGACGCCGATAAATCTGCAAATACGCTCGTTATCAGCGGCCCGCACGGATGTGGCAAGACCGCTGCAGTGTATGCCGTGGCCAAAGAGCTGGACTTTGAGGTCTTCGAGATCAATCCGAGCAGTCGCAGGAGCGGCAAAGACGTGCTAGAGAAGATTGGCGACATGACCAGGAATCACCACGTCCAGCAGCACCAGTCAGCCAGCCCGCCAGACGACCAGGATACTGCGGCAGAGGACGATACCACCAAGGACATCAAGTCAGGCAAGCAGCCAACCATGAGTGCCTTCTTCAAGCCCAAGTCGGGCAAGCCCAAACCGAAGCAATTGACAAAGACTTCAGCAAAGGCTCAACCAAGCAGCGAGGTGAAGAAGGAAGCAGCTAAGACGCAGCGGCAGTCCTTGATCCTTCTGGAGGAGGTTGATATTCTCTACGAGGAGGACAAACAATTCTGGAGCACGGTCCTCGGTCTCATCTCACAGTCAAAGCGGCCATTCATCATGACTTGCAACGACGAGACGCTTGTTCCTCTGAACACACTGAGACTCCACGGCATCTTTCGACTCAGTCCTCCGCCAACGGACCTTGCCGTTGACCGCTTGATCCTCATCGCAGCAAACGAAGGCCATGCGCTCACACGGGACTCGGTGGAGCAGCTTTACGAATCTCGTAACCGTGACTTGCGGGCTGCGACCATGGACCTGCAATACTGGTGCCAGATCGGAGTAGGCGACCGCAGGGGCGGCTTTGACTGGTTCTATCCGCGCTGGCCAAAGGGCGTTGACTTGGACGAGAACAACGAGGTCGTAAGGGTCATCAGCCAAGACACATATCAGCCAGGCATGAACCTCTTGGGACGGGACCGGCTTTCGGATCCCCAGCTCTCCCCCCGGCTTGTGGAAGAGGAAGTTCTCCATCAAGCCTGGGAGTCATGGGGTCTAGATATCGGACACTGGCAGGACTCAACGGGACTTGACTCCTGGGCTGAACATATTAGACCCGAGGTCACCACACCCGCTGATAGGCTTGGGGTGCTGGAAGCGTATGATAGCCTAGCCGAGGCGATGAGTGCAGCAGATGTATGTTCTTCCAAAGCATTTGCTGCATTCAAGGAGGTGAGCTGCTCCTGTTCCATTATGTGCGACCTGAGCTAACCAACAATCTTTCAGGAGGCCATCGACACCACACAGCCCGAGGTGCCGGCTAAGCTACAGGAAGACTTCGTCCTGGGGCTCACGTATCTTGACACTCCTCCTATCGTACGCTTCAACTCCTTGACGACTTCGCTTGCTTCTGCTATCAGGTCTCTTGCAAAGCACTGCTTGCGGTTGCACGTTGAGAACCTTCAGAAACACTCTGGGCCTGCGCTCCGTCCACTAGACGAAGCACAGGCCATTGAGCACCTCCAGACAAGCTTTACGTCCGCCCTACCGGACGCCTCAGCGATCAATCGGATGGACTTTGCTCTTGCATTTGACCCGATCGCTACTCCCGACACTTCCGCGCCACAACCAGTGTCATTCCTCGATCCTTCGGTGTTCGATCGTACACTAAGGCTCATCGCTCTCGATGTAGCACCGTACGTTCGCAGTATCGTCGCCTACGACTCGAAACTCCAGGAACAACGACTCAAGCTAAGCAGCCTAATGAGCGAGGGCGGCAGGAGAAGCCACGGAGCAAAACGAATGCGCACAACCAGGTCGGCGCTTTCGGCTCTAGAAGGCGGTTCCCGAACAACCACTAGGGGTGAGAAGTGGTTCAAGGCGAATATCAATCCGTATTTGGTTGCAAAGACTGCTGGCAAAGGGTGGGACGCTTCTCAGTCCCAGGCGGAGGAGACGATAGAGAAGTCGCAACGGAACTCTCCAAAAAGCACCCCTACTAGTACCACACCCTCACCCGTTGCAAGTCCCACAAGGACGCCAAGGAAAAAGGCTTTGAAGCGCAAGAAGTTGAAGAAGGTTGCCCAGGACGACGATGAGGAGACAGACGAGCTCGGCTGCTGAGTTTCCAGAGCTGCTGGAATGTTTAGCAAAGTCTGCGGGGATCTGTGTAGAGGCCACTCAATGTGGCATAAGGGACCCTCGATCGCTCGGAAAGGGATATAGATGATCATAATCTAACGGGTGGCATAGGAAATAATGAGCTGATGGGTCCAGTGCTTCTCCTGCCATGGTGTTGAGTGTGTTGGTCTATGCTTGATGTGGACAGCTCTCGTCCCGCATGTGTTATGAAGCTTGATTTCAGACGTTGTTACGTGTAGACCCTTACACATTAACGCATTCTCGCTTATACTATGGAATTTTCCGAGACACCATGTTCCATCTCTCCAGACACACCCTGTTCCTTCCATCGGTCACATACAAGCTAAGGTACTACTGAGGACGGGCAAAACTCAGTGACAACGCCACACAACACCATCATCACGCCGCTCGGCCCCACCAGCATCAAGCGAAAGGCGTCTAGCTATAGCCCGAGACTCACGGTAACCATGTTCAGAACCGTGAGCGTCGCGATCGTAGTACTGTCCCTGTGCCGGCAAGCGGAGGTATCGCGGCGCCGCACTCGATGCGCTCCTCTCAAGGGAATACCGCGACCCAGTGCTGCTCACAGACAAACTCCTGCTGATAGAGGCGCTTCGGTCCATCAAACGATATCTCTCCGACGACCCGGTAGTAGCGGGGTAGTGCCGCTCTGTGGCGGCAAGGACCGCGGTCCGCTCGCGGCTCACGCTTCGGCTTCGGTGTCGGTGTCGGCTTCTGCTGCGGCTGCAGCTGCGGCCGCGACAGCAACAACTGACGACGACGCACTCGCGGCACTCGACGCTCCGCTCCCTGCTCTCGCTTCGAAGCCATCTCCGGTTCGGTCCCCGACTGCGACTACGGCTGCGGCTGCGGCTGCGGCTGCGGCCACGGTCCTCTGTTGCTCCTCCTCCCCCTCGTCCTCGACGGGCAGCCTTCTCCGCCAGCCGCCTCTGCCTGGCCCGCCGCCCCAGCTCGGATATCTCCCAATCCTCCTTGTCGCCGTGGGGGAAGCCCCGAGGCCAGTACTTGTGCGCAAGCAGCGAGGCGCCGACGACGGAGCCGAGAAAGAGGTAGGGGATGCTTTTCTTGGTCTTGCTATCCCCCTTTTCTTTGTTGCTGGCTTGGAGGCGGGGGACTCTACTGCGGCTGTTCGAGTTGGACCTTGAGGAGGAGGCGGAGGAGGAGGCGGAGTCCATTGGAGAGTGCAAGCTCGACCCCGAGGGCGTTGGGGGAAGGGTGTAGTAGGTGGGCATATTGTCTCGTTATGACTGCCGGAGTAGTGATGGGTAACCGGTGAAGGGGTTATTAATGAAGCTCTTTCTGTTCGCGACTAGGTGGTTCCAAGGTCGTGTACACCACCACTGTATATATAGCCGGACTAAGGCATAAGTGTAGAGGTGCTCTCAAAAGTCCTGGGAGTTGATCAAGGCGAGGATAGTTCCTCCAAGAGCAGATTCGGCGGCCGGAAGAAACTGAGGAAGGGGAAGGGGCAAAATATGATCTGTCGCCTTGTGGCAGCTAGGTCACCCGAATGGGCGTGCTCTGGAACGACACAAGGCGGTGGGATCGTAGGAAGACCCGGCCAACTACGTCGCGCACAGCGAAACCGGGCAGGAGAGAGGTGACGAACGGTGCGTGCCCAAAATAGCAAGATGGCGAGGCCAACGTCCGAGGCCAGTGACCCGGGCCATCATGTTGGCCGTCATACCGAAACAGACAGCATAAAAACAACTCAGGTATTGTTGAATCAAAAGCACTTGCTGCATAGTGAGGAGCTAGTTAAAGAAATAGCAGTGGAGGGAGGAGATAGTGATGTAAAGCGAATCGTTAGCAACAGGGGGAGGCCAAGGCCCCGGGATGCCGAATACCCATGAGTTATCGCTGCGACTGGCATCGACATAAGACGACCAGAGTATCACAGACAGCTGGATCCAGTCGTTCTTTCAGGAATGTACTGGGTGTCTGCCAGATGAGCACTTGGCATGACTATTACGATAGAAGATAACCTGAGCAAACGGTTTCATGCGGTTGGGAGTTCTCGGGCGCTTCTGGGTTGATTAACATCATGCGGGGCCGGGGCCAACGGCCGCCCGGGTCCATCACCGTACGAATCGGGATTCGGGAGAGACCGAATTTCAGCACGCTTCCGGTCACGTTGTAAGACGGGTCATCCTCTCCAAACAGAACAATGCTGCACTCTAGCTGCTTGAACCTTCTTCTTCGCATCCCAGGCACAGCCCCTCTGAGAAGGAGGGTCTTCTAGTGACAAAAGATTGTGTAAACGAAGATTTATTAGGTCTCAGCAATTAAACATGAGAAGAACAGATACTACACTTGATCTAAGCCAGAGAGGCAAAGAGAGCGCTGAGGGAAGGGAAGCGAGACTGCCAGTGAGAAACGAAGGATAGGGTGAGACTGAATTTATAGTGTATTGTACTGTACTTGCACGTTTGCAGGCAGCAGTGCTTGTGTCAGACTCACCTGCCCACATTTGTTGGGCCAACACGGTGGTGGCCGCCTTATAGGCTGAGGTCCTGTGTGCTGGTTGGTCCCAGCAGACAATTGGCTGAAAACATGCGCACATGCAGACAGACGACAATGGAATGAGGAGAAGAGTCTCTTTTCCATCGCAACCGCCCAGCCCAAGTCTATTCATTGTTTTTTTTTGTATCCGACTCTATAACCCGCAACCATGATGGTGTGAAGGTCCTCTATACAATCATCGTCCCTCGAAGCGTCCGTTCCCAATGGATCACTTCCTGTTCTCAGCCCACTTCAGCGCACCAGGCGCCGCGGGGTCGCTTTCCACGTACTTGCACTGCGTAAAGGTGGACCACAGCTGGCCGATGAAGGAGCGATCATCGCGGTGGTACAGGTCGCCGAGCAGCGGCTTGATCGCCTCGGTCGCCTCCTCGGCCTTGTAGAAGGGAATTCTCCTGTTGGCTGCGTCAGTATTCCGAGGGGCAAGAATGGATCCCGTCCGAAGGGCAAACACATACGGGAAGAGATGGTGGACAACGTGCGTATCGATGATGCCGTGGAAGATGTGCTTGCCAACAAAGCCGAAATCGCGGTCAACGGTGGCCAGAGCGCCCTTGACGAAGGTCCAGCTATCGGCCTCGAAGTGGTGGACCTCAGGGTGGGTGTGGTGCAGGTAGGTGATGGCAACTGTCGGGCTGTTGTTAGCTCACCGCACACACGAGACAAGCATCAGGCAGGATAACAGGGGAAACGTACTCAGCCAATGATGGACCCAGAAGTACGGTACGCCATACACCAAGAACACCATCTTCCATCCAACGACGGTCGACGCGAGGTAGAGAAGACCGCCGACGATGGCGAGGCCAAGGTCCGACAGCGCGATGTAGACAGCCTCGCTCGGGCGGAAGACAGCGCTGGTAGGCTCAAAGTGGCTCACGCGCCACCAGCTAGCCTCACGCTGCTGGCTGTCGCGGCCCGCGGAGACATTGAACAGCAGGTACATCTGCCAGCCAGCAAGCTGGTGCAACAGCAGCTTGGCCAGTTGCACAACGGGCACGTCCTCGAACAGCTCCCGGTCGAGATACAGATCCGCGAGCCTCCGCTTCTCGCGGTCCGCCTTGGTGTGCGGCACAAAAGCCATGTCCTTCTCCATGTGTCCCGTGAACCGATGGTGGCGGTGGTGCGAGAACTTCCAGCTGAAGTACGGCACCATCAGCGCCGAGTGCAGCGTCCAGCCCACGACGTCGTTCAGCCGCCGGTGGACCGAGAAGGCCCCGTGGCCGGCCTCGTGTGCCAGGATCCAAATGCCGGTGCAGACCAAGCCTTGGACATAGCCGTAGGCGATCCAGGCCGCCGTGCGCCAGAGAGAGCTCTCGATCTGGGGGATGAAGGTCAGCGCGGCCCAGCCGAGGGCCGCTGCCATGGCCACGTCGCGGACGACATAGCCCATGGACTGCCAAGTGGAGGGGACGAAGCAGTGGGCGGGGATCGCATCGCGGATGGTCTGGATATCGGGGTATTGGGGGCCGTCGGCGAGCTTGGTAGGTGCCAGTTTAGCCTCTCCGTTTGCCTTGCGACTTCTCGTCACTACCGTCGTGGTTGTGGTCGCCATTATGATGTTTGGCAACGGAGGATCTGTTGGGGTGGGCAGCGGGATGGGAAGAGCAGGTTCGGAAGGGGGAAAGAGAGAGGACGTCTTCACCCGCAACCAAGACGGGGGCCAGATGGCATTTTCTTCAGGCCATTCATCTCACATTCATCCTTTGACCGCCCTCGCCCCCTTCTGCCGCAAACCATGTCCGCATGGAGAGGGGTCCAGTCAAACGGACACGATAACCCCTAGCGAGCGAGTCGCATCCATGTTTGCTTGGCGGGGGGGCATGGTTTTAAGATTAGGTCCAGATCCCAACAGGCACAGACGAAGCTGATGGATTTTGGGTACGGAGTACGTACTCAGGATCCCTTTCTCCATACTATTCACTCGTCCGTTTCGTAAGATACAAGCGGCAGGCTGCGAGGTGAGTGCGAACTACCCCATATAGCACGCCGAGTATTGTGTCCTACCCAGCGTAACCAGTTTACCGCAATGTTGGTGAGATCTCACATTTTTCTCAGGAACATGTGAACTTTCAGGGTCCTGCGTTGCGCCTATCAAACCCCCTTGGGTCCACTAAAGGGGCAATTTACAGTGGACCCAGCTAGGCAAGGCTAACGGTCCAGAGGTAAAAATTCTCGAGCCAGTCGGCTTTGACAAGATGTTCCATAATAGGTAAGGCTTGAGCATAGGCTCTGCGCGTCTCTGGGTTTGCACGGCAGCGGCATAATAATAACTATCCGTTCCAGGTTTACACAAACTGGCAACGAGTTTGCCTCCTGGTTTGATGATAGGTACATACCCCCGTCGACGGAGCTCACTCCACTTGTTGGGAACATAGCTTGGCGTGCTTGGATGCTGCGAGCCAAAGTGTCGGTGTTGTGGAATGCCACCCAATCCTCAACTTGACCATTATGGGTGTCCAGATGAGCTCTCACTCTAGGACAAGCTAAGACAGGCGACTTGAAGTCAACTGACATTTCATTGCGTTTCGATTGTAACCCATTATACTCACAGCCATTTTTCACCCCCCCAGTACATTTCTTTTCACCTTTTCCCCATGCAGCTGCACCACAAATCGGGTAGCATGTCCATGCTGAAGTCCCAGCCCGAGTTCCCTGCCCTCTGTGAGCCAACCGGTCACCAAACACTCAACGTCATCTGCTCATGAACTCGTTATCCATGTATGTATACCATGGTCGTAAGCGGCAGCGCAGCTAGCCAGGTAAATCCCTTGGTACCCGGCTTGGGACCTCTAAACGTCCTCGTCTGCTCGACGGCGCTCCCTTCTGCTTCGCCCCGGAACAAACCCCCCTACCCCCGCAAACCAAATAAAACGTACGTGAAAGTTCGGCGACCTAAATGCCAACGTTTCTGCAACCTAAAGTCATGACCCAGTAGCCCACGGAAACCATACCAAATCCCAAAAGACCAAAAGAAAATCGCCATGCCATGACGCCGATAGCCAGGGCCTGCCGCAGGTCGTATGCCGCAAGGTCAGATGCGTCCATGGCCGTTCTCGAATGACCGGCGATAGAAGTTGAATGACCAGGGGTAATGTGGTGCCATAGAAGAAACCTGACTGGCGAACGAACTCCTGATTGTTGAAAGTCAGTTGCCTTGACGGGAGGCGCAGAGGTATGTGGTGAACGCGCGGAGGGCTTTTGCTGAACGGGAAGACTCTTCTGGGGAGCAAAAGTATTTGAGATTCTGGAAGGGCAGAGGGTGGGCCCATCACTGATCAGTGTCGGCCAGATCAGCTCGCCTAGGCGGTTCCTAAAGCGCCTGCACGATGCTGGATGTGACTGACACGTCCGTCTTGGCTACGTCCATTTGTAGTACGGCCGTATCAACCTTGCCGGCAGACTGCTCTGAGGCGAAAACTGAGCCGAAGGGTGTGCTTGAAATGAAACCAAGTTGTTCCCAGAAAGTTGTACAAGCGCTGGAGAGTGCGCGGAAGCCTACAGCTCTCAGTCGAGGGCCATAACCGACTTCTCTGCCCGGGCACGCATATGACTCGCGTGAGTCTCAAGGCAGGACGTGATTAGGCGGGTCACTGCAAGCCTCGTCAGCAGGCTGCGCGCACACGCGGAATCAGACGGCTCAACGACTTACCAGGCCATACAGCTGCTTTGTCGAACATGTAGGCCGTCGCTCTTAGCAGCTTGGCAGCATATCCCCCGCTGTTGTCCATCTGGAGTCTACCGTCCATGCCAGACGTTAGTCCCATACCAGCCGCGACGCCGGGCTGTATCATGTCCATGTTCATCTTCACTTCAGCAGCGCGAATGACGTCGTCGATCTTTCCCAGTAGCTTCACGTCCTCTTCTTCTAGCAGCATGATCGCTGGTACTTGCGAGAGATCAACATTGTCCCGGCCCAGAATCCCAAGATAGCGACCGACACGGTCCTGGAGCGTGGCAACCCACTCGGCTAGGACTTGAGCACAGTCGAAAACACAGAGCGTCGCTTGCAGAGGCAGTTCCCGGCTTGTCAAGTTCGCAAAAGTGACACCAAGCCTGTCGGAAGCCAAGAGAGCCTCGGCCGCGAAGAAGGCTGCCTTCCGTAAATGCTTCTCCCTGCGAGATATCGATCTGTTGTTGGAAACCTGCGCCTCGGACTGGAGCGGCTGCTGGGTCAGGGCAGGGTTGACGGTGCCGGAGAGCGCCAAGTCCGAAGTGCCCAGGTCCGCAGAGGAGTACTGTGTCGGAGAATCAACAGAGATGGAAGTTGTCCCGGCTGTGTTCGTTGCTTCCTTGGCGGTTGGGTCAGTATCGGAGACAGGCGAATGCTCAGCGTGTTGGATAATCTCAAGACCCCTTGCTAGCTCCTCCGCCATGCCGTCCCAATCGCGCTGCCAGAACTTCTCCTTAGACCGTGAGAGGTTGACAAAGAGGCGGACATAGGCGAGGTCGAGCAGTGGGATACAGTCGGCGGAAAGAGGCCCTACACCGTAAGGGTTTGGGCGCTCTGGACTGTGCTGTGGATTGCTTGCCCAGGCGGCATGCCATGCCCGAAGTGCCGGCTCGATATGACGGTGCATCTTTTCGGTTTCTTCGTTCGTCCAGACCTTGTTGTGGTGCCGCTGGCGCGTCTCCCAAATGTAGTTGTGGAGGGCATTGATCAGAACTAAACAGCCGAAGCTGCTCGGTTTCAGGTCGCTCCTGGGCAGGTCCTCCACATTCACCGCGGAACCGAAAGGTCGATGGAGATCCGTTACTGGACGTAGCTGTTGCTTCTCGCTCGTGCGCAACAGCTCCCCCAAAGCCTCATGGAACGTCATCCGGTTGTGGTTAGCTGCGGCAACTCCGCCCTTGGCCCGGAAGGCGGCGGCGCTCTGGGCTGCGAAGTACTCTTCGTCACAGGGGAGATCCAGCAGGATCTCCGAATTCGTCAGGGCCGGCGTGTGGTTATACGCGGACACTAAGAGGCTGGACAAGATGAAGACGGCATAAAGGGTTCGTTTCCGCTCCTCCATGGCCTTCCAGCACAGCCACTCGGCCTGCTCGTCGCCATGCCTCCGCCCAGAACCATTCCAGCGGCCGCCGCCATCTGCATCCGCCATCTCGACATCCTTGACCCCTTCAACGCGCAACGGCCTCAACAACTCAGCTCCGTGCGCAAGACTTACTAAGGCGGCGGCGTGCGTCGACGCAATCTCTCCGGACCGCTTGTCCCCGCAGTTATGACCATATACGACATTGAGAAGCATCGCCTGAACCAACCACACGGGAGTCTCGACGGGGGATTCCTGCTGCTGTGAATTCTGGTCCGACAGGGGAGTGCGCCGGATGGATTCTGCCTTTCTTACGTTCGCCTTCCTCCTCTCGTCGAGATACAACTGGATCATCTTTTGGCCATCCCAAATAATTCCATGGACGCCTGGTGTTCCAACTCAAACAGGGCGCCAATGGCCGCCATAGAAAGAAGCAAACACCCGCTCCCATCAATGCCGCTATCTCGCCCGTTAGCCAACAAGTGCGCAGGAATCTCGAACGATAGCGTCGGTGTATGAATGAACGGCAGGTGCGGATGGAAGTATCGTAGGTACGCTCCGACGTATCGCTGGAGGTCTCGAGTGCTCGGTAGTGTGCTAGACTGATCGGAGGAGCTAGGAGCGGTGGCGGTGATCGGGGGTGGCTGAGCGGTGATTGGGGACGCCGGCGTGGCGAACGAGTATCTCCGCGTACCAAACTGGGACGCCTGGGAGGCTGACAGGGCACCTAGGATGGCATTTCTTGTTGAATCAGTGATTGTCGAGACGGGTAAGGTGCCATGATTATTAATACCATTCATCGAGGAGGGCGTCTCTGGACCGGCACCGAAATTGAGCGCTTGGTTCAAATTCTGGCTGTTCATGCCCGAGAGCACTGTCGGGCTTAGAGAGCTGAGCGAGGGCGGTGGTGTTGAAAAATAGTTGTCCCCCATAGTCTTAGCCGACGACGGCTGTGGAGACAAGGGCGCACCGTTTAGGAGGTCTGGGAAGACAGAGCTGCTCACATCGAGAGCAAAGGGATTGGTCATCTGCGGCGGGCCCATGATAGACGGCTGCCACATGGAGCTCGTCGAGGCATGGTTCGACCCGTCCACCATCACGTCGCTAATCCCACTCTGGCTAGTGGTGCTAAGAGCGGATGGCGAGGAACCGTCCACGGCTGTCTCGGTAGGACCATTGTTGAACGACATCTGATGGTCGAACCCCGTCACCCAGTCATCCAACGACCCGCCGGACATGTCAGGCAGGCCGTGGGGGGAGAAGGGAGTGAGCGGGTCCATAGCCATCGAAGGCGGAGAATCGCTGTAGTGAAGGGCGTTAGGGTTGATGGTGGAGCCCGACGAACCCCCGAAGAACAAGTTATCCAGTTCGAACTCGGTGCCGAAAGCCAATGGCGGGGCTGTCCTAAGACCGCTCGAAAAGTCCAGGCCGTTCATTCCATGTGTCTCCAGCTTGGGAAGGCCGAGCGGAGCTCCGCGATGCGCTAGGGCCGCAGCCATGCCATAGGGTTCGAGGCCATGGGTTGGCAGGCCGATCAGGCTTGGGTGCCGGCTGTGTGTAGGGGGCATTCTCGACACCTGCGCATTGGCCGCAGCAATCATCTGCATGGCGGAGCCGTCGATGTGACTGATCGTATTCGCCCTGGGCCGCATGGAAGCGGCCGTGTTGTTGGCAGCAGAGGCAGCACTCGGACCAGCGACGCTGTTCTTCCGAACCCGGCTGGCGCCCTGCGTCGGCCCGCTGGCGCTCTCTCGGCGATTGCGCGGGCGCGACGACGGCGTCGTCGTCTGATGTAGCTTCTGCTGATGGCGCAGAAGCAGATCACGGCGAGCAAAGCACCGGGAGCACTCGGGACATTCAAACGGCTTTTCCTTGGTGTGGGACCGCTCGTGGCGTTTTAGATGCTCCAGGCGGGCAAAGGAGCGCTGGCATGTGCCGCAAACGTGGGGTCGCGGCTTGTCTGTCTTGGGCGGAGGGAAGTTGGCGGGGGTTTTGGTGTTGACCATGATGGTCGAAGCTTGCGGATCGGAAAATAGCTCGTCAGCCATTGAACGCGAGGTGTAATGCCACGATTGAGGAGCAAAGTTGCAAATAAGGGGTTGGTGTGGGTAGTGCTGTGTGTGGCAGACCTACCAGCTTCGTCACCTGCGGGCGCACTGCCGCCTGCAGCAGAGGGCGACGACGAATTGGACATGGTAGCGACAGCCTCGAGCTTGCTGCCAGCGTCGCTTGACACGGTCATCGTTCTGAACCTGGAGTTTGAGGGGATTTCGAGTAGCCGGGCAGGATCACCTCAGGTAGTTGAGTGGGGAGCGGCAAGGCAGGGACCGAAAGAGGCAGCGACAGCGGCGGCAGCGGAGCGGTGGGGAGCAAAAGCTATCGGAGAGGGAAAGACAGAGGGGCTCAGTGACGAGGTCGATAGTCGCATGCTATTTTGCCTGGCAATTCAATTGCTGGGCTCTATCCTCGTCTGTTCAGTGATGCTGAGACCGTTCTTCAGTTTTCAGTTGCTCAGTCAACAATCGCATTCCGCTCCGGTGCGTGGTTGTGTTAGTTGCAAGAGCAGAGAAGAGGGCTGGCCCCCGAGGCAGCTCTGGCTCGGTGGAGGCGGGAATTGGACGCCCGACCCCTGGAGGAACCCTGGCCCGACGGCGAAACTACTACTTCGTGGGCGGAAACCCTCCAACCAGTAAGCAAATGCTGCTGGATTGGCAGCTCCAGCATGGCGGCTAGCTAAGCCGGGAGACAGAAGCACAGTGTGAGCGCTTCATGCAGAACTGTAATGTAACGAACGAGGCTGGGCACTTCTGCAGATGCACAGACGAGACAGACGGCGTCGGTACCACCTGCCCACACCATCCCGAAGCAGGCAAAGAAGCCGCGTGGGTCTGCAACACACCATTGATGCAGAGCGGTCTCGTGGTACCGGACCAATACCTCAATCGCGAAGGCGTAATGGGTGATCTGTGCCCAACGGCTCCATGAGCAATGGTGGTTAATATCAAGTCAACAGTACGTGAAGTCGTCAACGTCCGGGGATACCACTAATCTGTGACAGAGTAGTGTAGTGTAACTATTCCGTAATATCACAGCTGCTTCAAGTTCTGTATCGCGGCATGCAGGCAGCGATCAAGTCGACCGTGAGTCAGAGTTGCCCTATGGTGGGTCGGTTTGTAATCCAACCTTACCCAGGAAACGAAGACGAGGGTATCTGAACACCAAGAAGCAATTACAGCATTGCAGCGCACCCATACACAACTTTTTGATACCACTATGAGCAAGAAGGCTGTGAGTTAGCTTTGACTGTCTAGCGCTCTCTCCCCGACGCCGCTCATCTGGCTACGTAACGGTTAAGTCGCTGACGGTTTGCCACAACTGACTTTCCACGCACGATTGTAAACACGCGTTCAACCCAACGGTGCCTCTCCTGAATATGCAAAGGTGCTTCGAAGTAGCAGCTCTACTCGAGGATCCTCTCGCCCGCCGGCTGCCGTTCCTGACCCGTCGCCACCCATGCAGGGCATTCTGCAACTTGCCTGTTTCGATAGCATGGCTCCTGCATCTTCCAAGGCTCCAGGGCTGTTTGCAGAGCAGATTGGTGGCCATTGTGTGGTGAACCGGGCGATCGTTTGTTCGTCCGGTCCGGTCATCATGGACCCTGGGCCTGCCCTGGGCCCCTGGTGGGCTTCTGCTGCATGGCGTTCCATCTGACTGCTCGGTTGCGGTTGAGCTAACCTCCTCAGAGTCTAGTACCCATCTTCTGCATCCTCTCTGCCTTCACAGTGCGTAAACGGCGTTTCATACATTATGTCCGATACGGTAAGTAACAGAAATGAGATGCAGCAATCTTCAGGTTGCTCCTAAGATGGTTTGGCACCTACACTAGAACGAGGAAAAGCTGGGTTGAACATTACACCAAGAACACAGGCAGGAAAGAACCAGTCAAGTGGTTGGTATTGCAAGCGCAAGGTATCATGCTCCCCCGTTAATAACCAAATATCGCCATTTTGCGCCGACTTCCTTCCTAGTGTGGATGCTATAACAATTCGACATCCGGAAAAGCGCGGCATGCGACATGAACTCGAGCGATCCGTGTTCCCTGCTGAAAGACTGCTTCCGGCTGTATGCGGCCCGGCTCCAGGAATCAAGTCCCAGCATACCACGGAATAACACCTATGGCAAGAGCACATCATACCTGGATCTTGACCTTCGTATCGTAAACCAGATATGCTCAGCCCAGGCGGTGACAGACTCGGCGGCCTCGGGTCAGTACACAGGAGGTATTTCTTTCTTACCGAATGAGCATGGCGTTGTTAGGATCGTCGCCCAGCTCTGCTATTAATATCATTATTATCGCCGGCCCTGCTCCCTGTCACTGCAGCGAGTCCATGCTCGAACTGGTATAGCACGGCGCGTTACAAAAGCAACTTGCAGAGCTTCACAGTCCTTCCAAGGTCACGCACAAGATCCGGTCCTTCGCCCCACCAAAAAGAGCCACCGTAGGGCGCCGTAAAGTGGCCAGAGAACATGTTGAGTGAAGAGCTTCCAGGTTGCCCAACGTAGGCCCGAAACCAACAGTAGGGGATGACTTGTTTTATTGGGGCCTGTCAGGAGATTCCTGCTCCCGTCGCTACGATGATCGGCCGCTCCAGAACCCAGAGCTCCTCGCGGGCGACTTTGTGATATCAAGCTCGCACCGCGGGAGCCTGACCGCTCTCTCATCAGACTCCCGAGGGACGGGATGATGCTTGCCCATAGACTCCATTTGGGCAAAGATGGTTAAGTAAAGTGGGATGAGTTCTACTGTGGTATGATGGGTAATAAAAACCTCCATGCGGGGTACCCTCGCTGATTCAGGCAATGATACCCGCTTATTTCTACACTAAATATACCAAACCACTAGCTAGTATTTTGTATGCATCCCGTTGGCTGCAATAACAGCTTTGCAGCGCTCTGGCATTGAGGCCAACAGCTGCTTCAAGTAGTCGTCCGGCAATGCCTCCCAAGCCTCCTTAACATATTCGCGAAGCTTGTCATACGAGGGCCTTTCTTCAAGGCCATACCGGTCTTCAATCCAGTCCTTCATCCAATTCCAACAGGACTCGATTGGGTTCAAGTCTGGTGAGAAAGGTGGCCACTCCATCACAACAATGCCTCTCTCCCTGAGATCCTCCTTCGTCTCTGCAGCTATATGCCCTGGAGCACTATCTTGCATCAAGATTAGATCTTCACCAAGCTGTGCCTTACACATCTGTATCCAGCCATAAATGACAGGGACAGTTCGTGCGCGGTACGTCTCAGCGTTGATCTTCCCCCAGTCCTTTTCCCAAAAGAGTCCAGGGCCTTTACCCAAGCCAGAGAAGCAACCCCAGAACATCCAGCCTCCTTTACGTTGATGCTTTTCCACAATGCAAGTAGGATCCCACTCTTCGCCTTGCCGCCGGGTAACATATTGCTTCCGATGTGGCCCGCCAGTAACCCAAGTCTCATCGGTCCAAAGGATCTTTGCCCATTGTTCAAGGGTCCAATGTTCATGCTCTTACGCCCAAGCTAAACGGAGTTGCCGGGTTCGTTCGGTAATCGGTGGCTTCTTACGAGCAACTCGCCGGCGGAAGCCGAGTCGATAAAGGGCATGCTTGATCACCCAAACGCCGAAGACCCCAGCGAAGATGATAGCCGAGAGTTCGAGGAAGCCCATTCGACGAGTCTTTTTGCTGGAACAAACAAACTGAATAAGCTCTTCTTCTTGCTCTGGCGTTAATGTCCGAGGCCGGCCAGTACTCCGGTAGGCAGTTGCATCAGGAGCGCGAATCGCAGTCCGGATCTGGGCCTTAGTATAGCCAGTGATACGATGGATCTCAGCTTGGCTTTTGGCTGCATCGAAGTATAAGACTCGAACGCGTTGGCGTTGTTCGGTAGTCAACTGTTTCGTACCACTTGACCCTTGTGGCCGTGCCATTGTATTGCTGGATTGCGTTGACTGCGTTGACTACGTTGAGTGCGTCAACTGCGATGACTGCGTTGAGTGCGTTTAACGAGAAACGAGATGGCTGTCGAAAAAACAGGGGGCTCGATAAGTTCAGCTGATTGGTCAAAACGCGTCGAGTGTTGTGACCCACAGGTACTTGACTAGGGGGTTTTCTTTATGCACGCGACCACAGTACAAGCCCACGTGAAACCCAAAGATGGGCCCAAACCAGAAGACGCGGAGCCCCGGCAAATTAGAAAACCCAATCAAGGTCTGCATGCGGTGAAAGTTACCTTGAATGTGGTTCATACCAAGCCCGGTCAGACTTCGGCATCGTGCGCGTCTTACCCACTCAGGTTTTCATATCTTCTGTCCATGAGCAGATAACAACCAGACGAAGCCGCGCCTCGGACCGGCCTCTATACCTAGTAACGGGACAGAATTGGGGGTTCGGGCGACAAACTGAAGGGATCGCCGGCCTTGACCAGAGGTCCGGAAACGGGACGTCCTTTACGGGCAAGCCGTGTGCCTCGGAAAAAAGGAGTTGCGAAAAGAGATAGGTTCTTCCAGCGCAAAAGGATACCTTACTCACCCGATTAAACTGATCGCTTTCATACAATATATAAACATATAGCCATGTCTCTGAATCTCCCCTCGTAAGCTCCCGATCGTCTTCTCGTTCCGAATTGCAAGGCAAGTTTCCAATGTAGAAAGCTGTATGCGGAAACGTTTTACCCCGCGACGGTCCGCGACGCGATAAGGGATGGAGGGGTCAACAATTCAGATAAGGCACATCCAATGCTGTCGCGGGGCATTTGTGGTCAGAGCTCCCAAGCTCGCTCCATAGTAACCCCTCCTCGAGCTTCACTCTCCGATGGAAAACCATGTGAACTGCGACTACTTAGTCATCCAAGGAGGCAACCACCAAGCGAAATAAATCCATGAAGGGGTATGTAGATTCTTCATGTTTTCAGCGTTGGTAGGAGGTCAGCCACCGAAATCTCACCGCACTGCAATCATTGATCGGGTTTTTCCAAGTCCTGTCCAGCCCAGCCAGCTGTGTGAACAGCCCCGCACTGATCCAGCAGGGCATCCGAAGTCAACACCAAGCCATCGTCACCCTCATACCTAGTCTTCTCTACCCTGGGCGGCCATCTATGGGACCACGTCTCGGAGCTTGAAGCACCAAGCGTGACATCTTCGCTCCAGCAACACAGCCCTATCGTCTTATGGAGGGTAGCTCACGAGCATCTTTGGGTGCCAGACTTCGACTTGACGGAAACAGGCGGTCCGAACAGTGCTGCATCCTTTGTTCGGCTTTCCGCTGCAAAAGGCCGGGATATCACTCGGCTCATTCCCTTGGGAAACAGGGTGGCCAGGCGCACGGCTGGCTGTTTGATGCAGGACGCTCAGAATGGTCTGAGGACGCTATTCTCCATACAGGAGACCATGCAAACCCATGTCTCGGCCACGTCCCGGATTCGCCAGGGGCATGTCGCTAGCGGGATCTGACCCTCGTGTACCTATCTACAATACCTGCAGGAGACCCATCACTGCAAATTCCCTCACATCGGCGGCCTGCAACGACGCAGAAAATGCGGGCCCGTTCCGTTTGTTGCGGACTTTCCGCAAGCCGCGGCTTCATACCTAGGTAGGCAGCCCGACGGTCTTCGAGTCTTCCATTAGCTAGGCCACGGGATGACGTTACGGCGAGCGAGTTGTAGCTCCCTTAACATTATAGGATGCAATGGAAAGCCAACCAAATGCCCTGCCGAGACTCTGGCTTTCCCACGTGTTCGCTTGCACACCCCAAGATCAGCAGTGATGCTTGTGGTGTGAACGGCATGAGGGTCCGTGCTTTTGCGGCAAACAACCTCACCCACCAGAGCGGATCATCGCTCAAGCCGGTTTCTGTCTAATCTAAAGCGAGAGGACCCCTCGCCATTACCCAATCGTCCAGTCTCTGAACGCGGGCCGCAGGTCTCATTGAGCCCGTCCAACCGCTGTGCAAGTCTCGGGACGATAGGGTGATGCCGTCTGCTGGCGAAGCTCACCATTCAGCCCCCATCCAGGGTGCTGTTTCATCGAGCCTTCTCCCGTGATACATTCGTGCAGAGCTATGCATGCAACAATCTCACATCACGCTGCGGCAAGCAATCTACCCACTACTGGGTAGTGTAGAGGACTGGAGTGGGGAACGCCGTTTGGGGCGGGTTGAGCTACACGGCGACGTCCCCCATATAGAGGGAGGTTCTTCTAGAGCTCTTGGAATCGTGGCCAAGTCAAGCAAGGAGCTACAGTAGCTGCTGCGTGATAGAAGCTTCCGTGGTCTCTAAGACCACATGGCCAAGCCTCGGATCTTGAGTGCGACGTTGCGGCCATCGGTAATAAGAGGCAACGGCCAAACGGGTTCGAACCTGTGCACTCCTGCGCTGCTGTACCGACAGTATAGTACATTCAATGTACTTGCTCGCTCTGGGGCCGATCCCCGCAGCATACTATCTAGGCCGGCTCGCAGGTAATATAAGCTGCACATAGCATCGACTGTATTTCATCATTTCCATATTGCACAGTACATACGATGTTCCCACCAGCCCTGCAGCTCAGACTGTCTCGAAACACCTAGACTCCCGGAAAGGCCGTGCACAGCATTACAGCTTCGGGACCATAGCTGCAGGCGCGGCCAGGACGATGAGTGGCAATTGGTCGGATAGCACATACATCCAACTTCCAGGCGTTACACGAGCCCCATGACGACAAGGTATTCACATCCGGTGAGAGCACGGCTCTCGAGAGTGGCTTCCAGAAGAAGAGCCGCATATTACTATGCATATCGAGCTGCAAGATGCCGCTCATGGAGGAGTGTCACATCGGCCGGACAAGTGCACACCACATAATCCACATTCAGACATGAAAGCTGCGCTGTGGAAGGTGGGTGAGAGCAGGTCAATCAGCACATATCATCGCACATTTGCCTCACAGTAGCTCCCGGGCCATTGAGAACGTCTAGAGGGTGCCCAATATGTCATCGCAAAAGTCCTCTCCACGGCTGTCTTTCGGTCTCCTTATCGTATCGCCACAAGGCCCATGAGTAAAGAAACGAGCAGTGACACACACGATTCGTAATTCAGGTGATTTGAGTTGGCTCGATTTAGGTATATAGGACGTGTGGGAAAAGGGTAATTGGGCGTTCAAGGCGATGGGCAGGGAAGCTTCAAGGCGCATCCGGTGTCTAGGTCGTTCCAGATTGCTACACCACCAAAGCGGTCGCCACCCGGGCTCCTACGCGGAAGCGGACCAGGCACCCGGCAAGGCCCGAGTCCGGGCCCGCCACGGCCCACACCATCTAGCGACCTGTCGTATCCGCTGATGGGCTAGACACTGTGCGGCTCCCCGTGAGTCGCATTGAATTAACTCCCGGTCGAGGTCCCGGCCGGGAGGCGAATGAAATCAATGCAACGGAACGGTTACTGTAATATTAACTTGTCGCCCTTCTCCTTTACTCTCCCCTTTACCTTCTGTCCTGCTCCCACAGTCAGCCGTCGACCGACGTCATGCAACCGGCGCTTTAACTCAAAGAATGGGAAAGGGGCTGTAGTGACAGTAACCTACGGTAACTTAAGGCAATGGGTCACAATTACTGGCGACCTGGTTGTGTCAGTTACGGCTTGACCAGGCGCCAGTAAGTTCCTCATCCGGCAGAGGCGAAGGACGACACCTGTGTAGCTGTCGAATTCTACGTGAGGCGGACACAAATGTCGCTACTACTTCACCTGTCGTTGGTAGATATGATCTTGGAGTGAGTTTCACTGAAGAGCTCACCAATCGTGATATACCTAGGTACATACGAGAGCCCGGGCATATGATGTAGTAATTTATGGTCACATTTCGAATACTGGAATTCTCAAGTACGCCAGATCGTTTTGTAGTTGGATTCGACAGTCACTCGGGTATCGCTTTGATATTATTCTACGCCAATTCCCTTGCTACCTATGGGTGTTGAATGCCCTAGACAGCAGTAGAGCAGGGTGTCCTAGGTGACAGAGTTGAAATCCACTTAGAGCGTCACGGTGTAAGGAGCTAGTCGCGAATTCACAAGCCCGGCCAGTCCCAAACGGTGCGCTCCGTGTTGCGTCGTGTGACCTGGACCTCATCGCCAACAGACACAGTAAAGCCCTCGGCGTGGCCACTGCCCAGGAACGCGTACCTCCCAAAGACAGGAGACCACTTCGAACCCAAATCCACCCTCCGATCCTTCATGAGCCTTTTCAAAACCTGGCCCAGCTCGCCTTCCGCTGGTTTGCCCGTCTCGTAGTCCACGTTTAGGCTTGTGCATCGCACGCAGTTGCCCGTCAGCAGCAGCGTGCCTCCTCTTTGCAGCCCGTCTCCATCTCCATCTTCCCCGACGACACTCTGGCCGGGCACAATGGCAAGTTCGGCCCAGAAGTCTTCTGCCCAGGCTTCCTCGCCGTCGCCGTCGACAACAACATTTGGCCGGAACCTGTGCATTTCCACGGGGCGGCCGTTGAGCAGACGGTCTCGTACATCCCCGAGGGATGACTCAGAGGTGACGAGCAGTGGCGCCACGTCGGCAAATGTTATCCACGGTGCTGTGTTCTGGCCAGACTGGGGGTCCGACCCGGCGATATATGAGGCAAGAGACGCCATCCATCCTCGTTGTTGTTTCTGCTGCTGCTCGGCAGCGGGCTTTGGCGGTAGCGTCTTGCCCAGAACTGCTCTCCTGCCGTCACCGAGATAGACCAGGATCACCGAGACGCCAAAGCGGCGGCTGAACCAGCTGTCATACGAGTCGCCCATGCGGTACGCCGACGCCGGGCTGCCGTGCAGGACGACCTCCTTCTTTTGCAGGGAAGAGATATCCGGCTCCAGAGGGACTCTGAGAATCTCGTCTTCAAGTTCTCCGCTTGCCTCGGGCTCGCTCGGCAGCTCGCCGTGGTATTGCACAACCACAGCCGCCTCCCCTTGTTGGGGACCGGAAACGATCCGCTGCTCAAACAACGCACCCCGCGGGTGTGAATCCACCTGCACCTTCTTCAGCTCTCCTGTTGACGAGTGCACCTCCCATAGCATGAACCGTCGATCATGGCTGATGCCCTGCGGGCCGATCTGGGCTTTCTTGAGCTCGATCCCCCGCAGCCCTTTGATAGGATAGACATAAAGCTTGTCCCCCCCGCGTTAGCTATGTGGCCGCTACGGGCTTGTAAGCGCTGTGGAGTTCCACCTACAGCTGAGACCTTCATTGTCTTTTCTATGAGGGTGTTTGCAGTATGGACACGTCTGACGATAATGGGGTTCAGCCACCACAGAGCAGTAGCTCGATAGCAGCTCTTGAATGGCGGTGGCCAAGTGAGAGATAAGTCCGGGTGAATTTAAGCGCTTGTTGTTAAGGTTGCCAGTTGGCCAATGCATGATCTGCCAGTTCACATTTTTAGTAAGAGCTAGAGCTGTTTCGGAATACGAAATCCACCTAATCAAAGTGAAGGGCGCCGGGCTGCAGGCTCGATCAACGCTTCGCAAGCAACGGGTTAGGCGTCGACCGGATCGTAGGCGAATGGTTTATAAATAAAGCCCGAGGAGCCATACAGGATTAAAAGTCAGGGGAGACAATATGCTACATCTGAAAACAGAAGCCCAGGCGAAGACTCCCAAAGGAGTATGCAGGCTGCAGCTGTCTGCCGTACAGGAACCCATGTTCCAGTGCACGCAAATGGTAGATTGAGCAGGGCCGTTATATGATCCGTATATCCAGCTGGCGTCATTTGTTGGTGTTGCCTGTACGCAGCGTGCTTGACATATGACCCTACAAGCACCAAGGCAATGGGTTAAAGGCCATTCATTGAATTACATATTCAAATTGACGTGAGTTTGGTTTGTTGTGCTCGAATCTACGCTCAACCTTTCTCTCATTCTGTGTGCTGCAGGACACGAGACCGATTGTAGTCCTATTAATAGATGTATAGAATGCGAGGTGCGAGGTTGTTCGGTTTCGCTTTTGTTACATTACTACTAGTACCTACTAGTAGTACTAGCACTGAAAACGTCATCATCCCACCCAATTCCCTAACCCCTCAAATCAACAAGTTACAACTGGGTAACCTCACCAAGCGTGATATTGAAATACTAGTACTACGTATCAACCGGAAAAACTCCTACAACAAGAGAGAAAATGGAAGACAAGACCGTTACTCTGACCACCAAACCGGGGGCTTCCCTCCACATTTCCGTCCTCCACCCCCAACCGCACAGGCAGAACCCTCTCTCGAACACTCTCCTGGTCTTTCTCAACGGCTTGGCCCTCCCCAGCGCAGCCTGGTCTGAAGCGATCGATCACCTGGTTGAAGTTCGGAAGGAACATAAGCAACCACTTCCCGCGGTGCTCTGCTATGACCGCTACGGCCAGGGCAGATCCGACTCGGACCCAACCGACGCCCAAGATTCGCCCTACGGACACGACCTACGCGCGGCCGTAGCCGATCTGCACCAGCTCCTGACCCAGGTCTCGCACGATGAGCTTCATCATCGTCCAGTCGACGAACTACGCATCGTGCTGGTCTGCAACTCGATCGGGTGTCCCCTCGCCCGGCTGTACGCGGCCGAACACCCGGGCCTCGTCGAGGCGTACCTCTTCTTGGACTCGATGATGGCTAACACGGACTTCGTGTCGCTCTTCCCGGACCCTGACGACGCCGAGTTCGATGGGAGCCAGTTGCCGGAGGGTGTGTCGGCCGACGACCTGCGCCATGCACGGGACACTTTCGGTAAGCATTTTCATCCGGCAGTGCCTAACGCGGAGCATCTGGACCGGAGGAGGCTAGGGGAGTTGCTGCCACGGGCGGATGGACCTGAGTTGCCCGATGGGCCGGGAGGGCGGTCTCCGTTGTTGGTGGTGGTGGGTCATGATTGGGACGTGTTCGCTGAGCAGTCCGAAAAGGCAAGCTTTGACACCGAGATACGCGCGCGGTGTTGGGGGAGCGCTGACAGATGAAGCAGGGATCCTTGTCTGTGCCAAAGGCTGTCATCAATGCCTATATGAACCCAACATGGGAGGCATACAACGAGGGCCTGGCTCGGCTCGTCCGGACAGGCTGCGAGGTAAAGATTGCCAAAGGCTGTGGCCACTTCATCCAGAAGGATGACCCAGCTTTTGTGGCCCGCGAAATCAGCGATATTTTGAACGAGTTGCAGAGCCGCTCAGGGCAGAAGGTGCACCAAAAGTAGGACATAGGTACATAGACCGTGTGGATTTCCAGGGCTACCTTATAAAACCACCTTCGCGTCAAAGAATGCACATCACATTATAGAAACACCGACCAGAGTCTATCGATACTCGAGAATCGATGACATTGTCGGACCAGTCCGTTCTCTTCAAAGGGCCCGGGAGCACTCTCGGGGTCCGTTCAAACAAAAAGACTCCCAATCATAGGCCGATACCCGCCTCCCACCTTCACAACCGTTCAAGCTGTACCATCTCAAGCAAATGCAAGCTCCCCCTCGCGCCTCTGTTGTCCAGCGTTTCGTCGGACGGCTTACACGTGACGGTTATGCCTATCCGCCCCAGCCAAACTGCCTTCATGCCCACCGGTACCAGTTCTCGCGGGGATCGCCGAGGCATTCGCCCACCGTCACCGCCCTGTATCCGCGCTGCCGTATCTCTTCCAGCATGTGCGGGACCAGAGCGTCCGCCGTCTGAGGGAGAGAGTCGTGGGCCAGCACCAGGAACGAGCCACCCCACCACCCAGCGTTCAGAGCCCCCGAGAAGTTGTCCATGGCCGCCTGGATCTCGCCGGGTCGCTGATAGAGGTAGTCCTTGGGATCGACATCGAAGTTGACCACATGATAACCCATCCGCTGCATGTCATTCAGGCACTCCTAGTTGCAAGAGGCGTATGGCGGTCGGAGGTAGGTGGGCGACTTGCCGAGGACGGTGCGGAGGGCCCTCTCGAGCCGACGGATCTGGTAATACCGCGCCTCTGGCGCGACGGTCGAGAGGTCAACATGCGACCATGTGTGTGACCCGATTTGGTGGCCCGAGTGGTCCATCCGTCGCAGTATGTCGGGCCAGGGGGTCGATTCATCGGCAATGCCCCTCGACCAGTTCTCCCCGTTGACGAAGAAGGTCGCCCTGGCGCCGTACCGATCCAGGTGATCTAGGACCTGGCTGGTGTATCTGAACGGCCCATCGTCGAATGTAAGCGCCACGACACCAGCAACAGTGCAGTGGTTGATGATGATGCCGCTGGGGACAAGGTTCTGGGCCCGACCAGTCAAGTTGGATGCCGTCGTAGGTGCAGCCTGTCCCTCAGAGAGAAACAGTGCGGCGCACAGGACTGCCGGCAGTTTCATCATGATTGTTGCCGCCGGGTGCTAAGCACAGAAGCGCGCCCAAAGGATGCTTCGAAGAACTAATCGGACGAGGCGGATCGGGAAAAGTACGTGCTCCGGGTTGGGCCTTGCGCACAGGGTTGAGCTAAAACAGATGCAACCGGTGGAAGAAAGGAAGTAGAATAGACTTCACTATGGGAAAGTGACTGGCTGAAACGCTCATCGTCCCATTGCATGCGTGGTTCATGACGATGCAAATGGGGTTGCGGCAGTTCGCCCGCGACAAGCAGGTGCCGGGCGGGAGTGTCGGTTCGACTGTCCAGCACTGCCTCGTCACTTCCGCAAGGCAAGCCTCCTGTGCGATTTCCGAATGCAGTCATCACCTAACTACACTATCAGAGCTAGAAAATGCAGAGGAAAGCGATATCGGCAGCTACGGCGCGGCGTGAGAGGAAGGAGCATGTTGCCTGGATACGAAGGTCATGACCCGTATACGGCAAACGACTTGTAGTTTCAGAGAATCGGCCGTAGATGGGTATAGGGATCGGGACATGCTGCACACGCCTGACGGATCAGTCGCTCCCGAGTCATTATGGAAGAAGGGTCGTCCGTCCTGAGCCGCATGTTACGCGTTTTCCTGGTGAGGTCAAATGTCCCCCAGGGTTTGACGTTGCTCTGACGTGCCGCGCTTCGCTCCCCCGACCAAAGCTCAGATTTATTTAATGGTGTATCCATTCTGCCAGAGGAACATTCCGGCTCCGGCGAGGCTGAGCACGGCCCATGGAAGCTCAAGCTCAATGACGGACCACACCCACAGGCAGCCAACCGGTGGAGCCTGCTTCATGACAGCCATGTACCCGAAAGTGTTCGTGATGTGGATCACGTAGCAGCCGGCAAGAACGCTCATGGTGAAGAATATGACTTGGCGGACAGCGGACTGATATCGGGGGCCCAGACCTGGAACCAATCCAGGGTTTGCGGCGTGCGGATGGAGGACGTAAATGAGGAGGCCGAAGACTGGGAAGCACAGCGTCGTCGAGGTTAGCAATGCAGCACCGAGCGCGGGGATGCCGAAGAGTGCCGCTCCTTACCCAACAGAGCTTGGCCAAACCTCATCCAGATCCTGGGCCACACTATCCGATCGACCGAGTACTGATTGTGCACGAGAACGTCGAGGGTGAAGTGCAGCATAGACAAGCTCACGGTCCAGAGAAACGTCTCGAGCACACGTTCCACGGTGGGTGGTAACTTGGCGTCGTCGTCCTCTACATCCTCGGTCGTTCTGGGAATCGTAGCCGGGACAGCCTTCTTCTCAATCTCAGCTTCCCTCGTCTCCGCCTGACCAAAGAGTCCCTTCTCCTCGGCGAGCTGCAGCAGCGTCTTCTCTGTCGGGCCGGACCAGTCAGGCTCCTTCAGCTCAATACCGTTTGACTCGGTCTTCTGTTTGCGCTTTCTTGCCATTGTTGCTACTTCATGCGACTTTTGGTGTCTGAGGGACTTGAGAGTACGTCGCAGCGTGGGTAAAGAAAAGGTGATGCTGCTCAGGTGAGCCTCATGTCCCGGGTCAAGGAGTTCGCCGTCAAGGTTGGCGCGGTGGGCCGACAGATGCACGCGTTTGAATCCCGATAACGTTAACGTTCCTATCACAAAGTGGCACTATCGGGGAGTCGGAGCCCTTGACTTCCGCTCCGCGGCTAGAATGTTCGAACACCGTACCACTGCACGTGATTCGTTTCCCTCCATGCGCACCTCAGCCCACCGCTAGTCTAGACTACACCATCATCTTAGGCAATTCACTCCTTGTGCGGCGGCTATTAACTTTGATTCCATGAGGTGACAATATTCTCAGCGACGGGCGGATTAGTTGTGTACAGTACATACAACTAAGCAGTGTTGCACTGGAGTTTTGGGTCGTGTTCTCCCGCTGAGCTTCAACCGCGCTCGCGTGCGCCGACACCCCGCCCTGTCGCAACGTCTGGTGACAGCACCCGGGAGACGCGGCGCGGAAACGCCAACTACTCTACTAGTGACAGGACCACCTACTACACTCTGTTTACAAACTGAGTGAATCACAGTCGTTGCATCATAGGAATTTTGAGTTCGATGGACTCAGGCTGGCTTCCGGCTCTCGGCGCGGCCGCCGTCGTGGTCCCGTCGCTGTATGTCTACACCGCTTCGGTAGTCTCGGCGCGCTTCCCGACCCTGCGCAACAAGCGCATCTGCATCCTAATCGCGCACCCTGATGACGAGGCCATGTTCTTTGCGCCCACTGTGCAGGCGCTGACTCGGCCCGGACTCGGCAACCATGTCAAGATCCTGTGTCTGAGCAGCGGTATGCGTCTTCGCCCCCCCTCATTCGAGTAAACCCCGCGCATCTCTTTCAATGTGCTGCCCGCTGACGAGATAAATCTCATGGAGCAGGCAATGCAGACGGCCTCGGTGAGACGCGCAAGCGTGAGCTCGCCAAGTCGGGCTTGATCCTGGGCCTCCGCAAACCCGACGACGTCTTCGTGGTCGACAAGCCCGAGTTCCCAGACAGCATGACGACAACATGGGACACAGCCAAGTTATCGTCTCTGCTTTGCTCTGCCTTCGCCCCCAACCTCGCTCGGTCGCGCAACACCGACGCTGCGCCGACTGCTTCGATTGATGTGCTCATCACTTTCGACGATGGCGGTGTCTCAGGCCACCCGAACCACATTTCGCTATACCACGGCGCCAAGGCCTTCATGTCGGCACTGATGGCTGGCAAATCCGGTTGGGCGTGTCCTGTCGATCTCTACACCCTTAAGTCGGTGTCTATAACGCGGAAGTACACGGGCTTCCTGGATATCGTGGCTACCCTGTTCAGCTGGGCATGGCAGGCGGATAAGAAAGACAAGAAACACCCTGGAGGGCTTGTCTTCCTCAACGGCCTGGCAGGCCATGGCGGGATTTTCACGGCATGGAAAGCCATGGTCTCGGCGCACAAAAGCCAGATGGTCTGGTTCCGATATGGTTGGATCTCGCTGAGCAGGTACATGTACATAAACGACCTGAGCTTGGAAAATGCCAAGGGCCGGTGACTATGGCCAGAGCTTCGACCACGTACGTTATTACCGTAGATGAAAACATGCTGCAAAGCTTTCTGGGCTCATGCGAATCGGAATTGCCCGCGTGTCTGTCCTGACTAGAGCCGCTAATCATCACAAATGCTCAGTACAATCCTCAAAAGAATTAAGACGGAGCCGCTGTTCCACTTCATCGATCTTAAGATCAAGGCAGTACTGAGAAAGAGCACATATGTCCTGTCCATCCCACAACGTGCAAGCAAAGCCAGGTCTCGGAGCGCGTCGATGAACTGAGCCTCGCTATCCCGTGGTAGTATACTCGTCTACTTTACCTTATACACCTTCAGCAAGTTATCAAACATAAGCTGGAACCCGATCATGGCATCCTGCTTATGTGTCCTGGGCGTTCGACTTTGCAAACCCCCTTTCGGCTTATATGGACGCCGAAATTTGAATGGCGCCGGGTGAGCGCGGCGAGAAACGATCTGCTGCACCAACCCACCTCATGATGGCATGATGTGTGGAGCTTCCGCACATAAATCTTCACAACAGCTGGAGTATGCTTTCTTGCACAGTATGTGAGGTTTAATTGCGCTGTCCTGGCAGCCGTCAGCTTCTTCTTTCCGTTGGTGTAAGTGATAGGGCTGTCGAAGACTCCAGTTCGGCGCTAAGCTTGGCTCGTGCTTTCTATGTCCTGGTTAGGCAGGCGGTGATGGCTGGTAGAATCGCCTCAAGTCATAACCATTGACCACAAGGTCAGTACGTAGTGGTGGCCCGTGCCCCATCCGAATCCCCAATGCCACTCCCTGTTCATCTCTGCGCTCACTCGGCTTTTGGTCTTGGGAATTTGCCCATCATTTACTACGAAAGCACGGCATTGCATTCCAAGGCCCGCAATATCCCAAAGAACGGGGCGTGCGAACTTAAGCACCCAACCATGGCCGAAGTTAGGAACGAGGGCAGTTCGGTGGCAGAACCCCTCGACCTTGTGCGGCTGCTGCTTGACGAAGTGGTTTGCGTGAAGCTCAGAGGAGACCGGGAGCTCAAGGGCCGTCTCCATGTAAGCAGAAAAGCTGCCCCACCTTTTCCAGCAAACCTCAACTCCGACACTCAACTAACAAAGGGTGCCATCAACCCCTTATTAGGCTTATGACAGCCACTGCAATCTCGTCCTTGGTGAGGTCGAGGAAACAATATACATTGTTGACGAGGAGGACGACAGAGACGTCAAGGTCAGTTATCTGAAACCCTTTTTTCTTTCGCTGCAAACAAGCTGATAGCTGTTGTTGGTAACACGTTCCGGCGAGCAGACCATGAGCAAGAAGTCTGAGATGCTATTTGTGAGAGGTATGCCCCTGAAGTTGGCTCTACAACCACCTTATGTTTAACTAACAATACACCAGGGGATAGTGTTGTGCTTATTGCTCCTCATGCAGGGTCTTTCTGATCATTGAACTGTCTGGGCGCGTTCCCGCAAGCGGGTGGGACAAGCGGCAGGCGAGTTCCCCATCTCGCAACTCATTTGGCGGCGGAGGTGAGAACGAAGTCTGTTGAGAAATAGAGAGCACACCATAAATAGGTTCTCAGACAAAAATAGTGGCCGTGGTTGGCTTAGTATTCGTCCTGGATAGGCGAGCCAAACAACCAAACATCGGTTTACTGCTGCCATATTAGCGTGTTACCGTTGTCGCAGTCTCACATGTATTCTCTTAGTCTGCTGAACAAGTTAACGTATCGATGACCAACTCTCGACGGTATTAGTGTGTTTGGCTCGTTCATGTTTCCAACGCTCATAAAACTGCAGCCATTGCCTCCGGGGCAGGCTGAACTAACATGAAGATGCTACACTAGAACGCCACGATTACACATGCTACGCCGCTTCACAACCGAGAGGAAGCCATTCTCTTTTGCACACATACAAATTGTGGACCTGCTCAACAGCATACCGCCCTCCAGGTCTCCAGGGTCAGGTCCCAACTTTTGTGTCAGAGCCTACTTTGTCATCTTTCTCCTCCACGGCACCGGACTCCGGGATCTTCTGCCCATCACCGATGCCGCCCTCTGCCTGATTCGGCATGAGCGGCTTCGAGGGGTCGTACCCAACGCTCTTGACAATGCCAAGTCCTTTCGTCCGACCCTCTCTGAAAAGCAGGCGATCACCGGGTGCCAAGTACTCGGGCCGCTGCACAAACCGGAAGGCAACTGTCGCCCGGTCTCCGGTCCGGATGAAGGGTCGGTCGACGTCAATGATTGCACAAGTCTGGGAGACCGGCCCGACATGCAACATCGCCTGGTACTTTGTCTTGATGGTCGTTGCGTGTGACAAGATAAGAACTGGTGGTGGTTAGTACCAAGCTCGTCACGTAGCTCGCGAGCATGGAGAAGTGGTTTACCTTCAGCAACAAATTCGCGGTACACCTTGGGCGGTGCTCCGTCGGACTTGGACAGCACTACCATTCCTTTGCGCACGTCTTTCCTCCGGACTCGTCTCAAAGCGAACGAGGCGGACTGACCAGCCGATGCCGCGGGGACGCCTATCCTTTTCCTCTCGATAGAGCGAATCGAGGTCTGCATGAAGCGTCCCAGAGAATCCGGCCCGATCTGGACTTCATCGCCGGCATGGACCACCCCGGACTTGACGATGCCCGAAACGACGGTCCCAACGTGGGGGACGCTGAAGGTATCATTGACGTGGAACTCGAATGGAGCGTCGGCATCGTAGCGGCCATGATGTGGGAGAATGTTCAGGAATGAACGGACCAGGTCGAGATTCTCACCCGTCACATTCGAGACCTGGAAGATTGGACATATTCGCTGGCTCACAAACTGGGTGGCTGTGTTAATGCACTCTTCGCGATTCTTGATGAAGATGGGTATCTTTCTTGCTCCGGGGCTCTTCAGAATCCGCGTGATTTGCGTGATTGTTTGCTCCAGGATTTGTGGCGGGCATATGTCGATCTTGGTGATGACTACCATGACCGGCACGTTCAGAGCGAGCGCAATCCCCAGATGCTCTTTGCTCATACCGATGAGGCCGTTATTAGCCGCAACCATGAGCAAGCAGTAGTTTGGGCTGCTGGACAGCAGTCCGAAAACCGTGGTGCGTAGGTAACGTTCGTGGCCCGCCAAGTCAGTGAAGGTGATGACCTTCGCGCTGCGCTTCCCGATTTCTTCCCACGAGAGCTTGCGTCCCGGTGTATCGGAGACCACAACTTGCCCAGCGGTATCGAAGCCCATGATCTCCATCCCGACAGACGATGTCCGCCCCGTCTCGATCTCGTGCTTGTGTCTGAATAGATTGACTCGCGCCTTACCCCGGCCGTCGTCCAGATCGCCCTTAACGAGCACGCCAAGCATAGAGCTCTTGCCAGCGTCAACATTTCCGACAACAGCAATCCTCGTCTCGATCACATTCTCCACTGTGGCCGGAGCCTGGCGAATCATGACTTTACCACTGCAATCTCCATCCTTTGTTGGTGTTCCGTCGAGTTCGCCGCCCACGTTCTTCGTCAATAACAACTGGGTGTCGGCCCTGAGCTTCCTCGCCGCCTCTGCTAACCGCTTGAGTGCGACATCCCATTCATCGCGCGACAGCTTCATGCTCTCGCCGTTGTTTTCGAACCCGATATCGAACACCGTCTCGCCATGGCCCTCCAATAACCGCTCCTTTACGACATCGGCCAGTTTCTGGAGAGCATCGGCATCGCCGCTTGGCGAGAGCAGGAGCTCTCGCAGGACCACGCGGGGAGTTGGGTCAGAGAGATCAAGGCTGTCGAGGATGTCGTCTAGTTCCTCGTGGTGCTCGAGATCACCCTGGGCACCCTTGGTTGCCGTCCCTGCCGCCTGTTTGGAATTAGGGTAGCGCAGGGCCTGTTGCTTCTCGACGTACTCGGCGAAGTCGCTCAGGGCGGCTTCACCTTTCCGCTTCTCGTGTGGTAATTGCTTAGCGTGTTTGTTGCTCATGATCGTGCCCTTTCCGGGGGACCTCCTAGAGATGAAGTCGAGATGTGGGGCTGAGATTGAGTTGATGACCTCACTGGATCATTAAACAGGCTGGGAAAACAAAGGCTATGGAAAGCTCAATGATTATGATGGATCAAAGAGCGAGGACGCAGTGGAGGGTTCTAGGGACATGAAACACACGCTTTATTATTTATAGAAGTTCGGTTTGTATCTGTTCGCCGGTTGAGTCGAAGCTCTGTCGAGTCATCAATTGACCTGCACCCCGTGAGCAACACCGAATCATTGCCCTGTCGTATCGATAAGGCAGCCTGAGGCTTGGCACGGTGCGCTGAGATCCCCACCGAGTCTCCATACCTGTACTCCCGCGCCAGATATGGAACGTTTGCTACCCTGCAAATGCAGATCGGGCGGCGCCGCAAGCCTCTCAACTCACTCTGGATGCAATCAGGCTCCCGAGCGCCACGCAGAGACTGACAGCTAAACCACAAGTAAACACATTTGCAGCACTGAAAGCGGGAAATGACAGAGATGGTTTGAGTGTTGAGATTAAGTCTGGCTTCATAGAGATGCTCGTTAACCCCCCCGAAGTATTCCTTGGGTAGTTGGACCTGGCCTCTCGACCCAGGAGAACCCTCCAGTAGTCTAAAACTTGGGACAGTGCTTGACACACAAGACTACAAGGTAGCCTCTGCCCGACAATATCAATGCTCGGTGAGCGAACCAGAACCGATGCCAATGTTAAACCAACTTTTGATTTCCCTCCGGCCCCGCCGTTTTCCCGTCGCCCCGAGTAACCATCGATAACCTAGAAGTCGCCATTTAGGGTATCATACAAAACAAACGCTTCAAACAACACAACACCGAGACCAACCGGCAAGTGCTCTTCACCTCCCACCAGCGCCGAGCCCGCTCAGACTGCCGTGTTGGACGGCAATGTCCGTGCGGCTTCGGATTGCACGCCCCCATGCGCGCAGTCCAGCGGTTCTAACATCTCTGCAATGGAGTTCTCCGTCGAGAAAATCATATCCTCGCAATAGGCCGGCGGGCTGGGGGGCACATCCTGGTAAATAGGAGGAGCCTCATTGTCCCAGCTGATCCCAATCCCTGCCCGTTCGGTGAGGACACACCCGAAGTGCATCCGCAGGATGCGTCCGATGCCCGTATGCGTCACAAGCGACGGCTTGTTGACCGGGGCCCATTCCTGCGAGACTACCATCTCGACCATCAGCTGATGAGTCACCTCGGTTCCGTCGCGGCTCTTAGTGTCGCATGCGTACTTGGCATTCTTCGCCAGACTGTAGTCCAGCTCCAGTTCGACGATGCTGTCGGTGGCGCTCGTATAGTTGCTCTTCCAGCCGGAGAAGAGTGTCTTCTCGCCGATCACCCGGGTCTCGGAGCGGACGACGCCCTTCTTGCTCTGCTGCTCCTCCGCGCCATCATCGAGTTTGGGACTGTGCCGTTCGCACGCCGGCGCGATCGTCTTTGTCGTCTCTTCAAGCTTCCACGTGAGCTTCTTCAGTTTCCAGTACTCGACCGTGTTGACCTTGGGGTTGAATTTGGCGATGCCATCGAGACGCAGGGACAGCGTATTGCTGCCAATTGGATGGATCACGTGGGGGTAGTGTGCGCTGGCTTTGATGTTGGTGGGAGGGAAGACACGGACAGAGTGATGTGGCGTCTCAGAAGTCGGGAGGCTGCGCTTGACATCGAGTACCTTTTCCAGTTTAATGGGTGCCAGTGGACAGCCATTGCTTCTGGGGAGCGCTTCGGCCTTGAACTCGTACGAGATCGAGACCAGCGGACTGTCCATGGTAGATGGAAGATGCCCTTCTAGTAGCACCGAAAAGGGGAACGAGTGTTCACCTACGTGACAAATAATCAGACTTGTGCATTCTTACGCGGAGACATGGGGGGAAATCGAGCATGATGAGCTCACCTTTACTCATGAGCAACGGATTTTGGAGGAACTCCCACCTCTTCAGCTCGGTGTATTGGTGCGTACATTCGTTGCAGTGTGTTGCGAAAGGCTTCTTCTGCGTCACATGGATGCTGAGTGTGGCGTGGAACGAGTCGATTTCCAACCCATCTTCCCTGATGTTCAAGAATAACTGGCCGGAAACCAGTGCACCGCTGCTCCTTTCGGGATCGCCATACATGACGATTGGCGGGGACTCGAGCTGCCAGTCCAGGGAGGCTGGCAACGAAGTGTGAGCATCTTTGCTCAAACGGACAATGTGCAGGCCAGGGAAGGAAATCCTGTGATGGTGATGATGCGCGGCTTCCTTATGCGAGTCTGAGGAAAGGCTGCTCGCTCGAGAATCGCTCATGTTCACGCTTGTTGCATATGGCGAGACAGCAGCGTTGTCTAGGTCGTTGTCGCTGATTAAGGTGAAAGATGCCCGCTCCGAGCTCCTCGAGACTTTCCCAGTTCGATTTGGAGAGGTCCGCCTCCGTGGCGCGCCCGGACTCGTTTTCTTCGTTAAGCTGGAAACTTGGCTCTCAATTGAGTGCGTTGATGACCGGATGAAGTCCACCACCCGATGTGGCATCTTGTCGGCCTACCCCCCTGCCAGTGGCGGGGACAGATGGTGGGGATAGCACCTGACCACAGCGGCACAACTCAATGCTGCTGCCGCAAGTCCACAAGTACAGCCGGTCCACTGGACGATTGAAATGCTCCCAGGGCCGTTGGCACGAACACGCCTTCCGTAGTTGTGGGATTTGAAAACCCAGAGAGACTGATGAGTGTCGCTAGCTCTCGGAAGTAAGCTGGGATCTTTGACTCTTCTCGAGGTGGGTCCCAATCGAGATCTTGATGATTGAACACGGTAACTGGAGGGACAGCCAGCAGATGACCTGTCTGATGCGGCGCTGTCAAAGTCAAAGAACCGAGGAAGGTTATACAGTAGGAACCAGCATTTATAGGACGATGAACTGAAGCCTGAGGGCGAAGTCTTTGTATTTAAGGTACCATGCATCGAGTAACAGCTCGAAACCTTTATGTAATTGATGGAGCTGGACCCACTTGACGCCAGAAGTTGCAAAAAGCTCGAACGGTTCCTGAAGTTCTGTCAAGCGACCAGCAATTGCAAGTATTTTCTTTTGAAAGTTGCATGTCCACGCCCCACACGTCGTATTGCATAGGAGCCAGGCTTGCATGTGTGAGAACCTCGAGAGCCGGGTGCGAAGAAATACACATTTGCATTGGATCTACTACCCACAGTCGGATAGGTACACACAAGAGCGAGCAGCACTGCAGGTATAGGGTTACTGTTTACAGGTACTACTAGTAGGACAAAGAGGCTCGTTCGGAGAACCGTCGTCCTGGCAAAGTGCCATTACGTTTATATACATATGTATGATACACAGATCTATCCACGACCTTGCACTTCAATACCGCCCAGGTCGGGAGGTACAGTAGGCAACACATGTCGGACTCTAGATCTCGGTGCACTGCTGTACCCCTACTTTACATGCGACTGACCACCCGTGGCACCGTGGGCGTCGACAACATGTTCCAGTGCCAGTGGTGTACATGAGAAACTGTGGTGTTCAGTACGTACTTAAAGGTAGCTAAGTTTCTTTGATCTCCACAACCGGCGGATTGATGTCCGATTCGTTTGGCGCCAAGCTCAAGTGAGGTCAAGTTGAGGTCAGATGGGGCTCCGTCGGCGCCTGGAACGTTCTGCAAGCCCTGTTACTGCTGTGTGACTTTTCAAGCTCCGGTCACCTGGGCAAACAAATTTTGGGGCGCTCCAGTTCCACAATAAGCCAACAGGCGGAGGAGAAAATTTCCCTTCGCCTGAAGGCCAATGGTTTCGTCTCGTGAGCTCCAATTCCCGCCCTCGCTCTGTCCACGACGCCGACCTCGACACTAGTAGCCGCAAAAGTCACTGCTCCAATTTGTACAATACTAGTGGTACTTCAGTATGCTGTTATAACTTACCTATTCCTGGCATCCTCGGGCTTCAGCCATTGCAGCTTGTTCGATTTCGCCATTGCCTTAATGATATGACGTCCCTGCCCTTAGTGCTACCACATCAGATGTGACGCCCAACTTATATGCAGCGGAGGGGTGGCGCTTGCATCATTCCCTCGGAAATGCCCAAACCCAAGGCTCATGAGGGTCACAACCGTATATGCACGGCCTCATGTGCCCAAAGATCGCATAACCCTCTGTTGAAATGGCATAGTTGATCCTACGCCGGTTTGCGCCCTCTGAATTGGCCACCTCATCCGTCACGCCATAGACACTGGTATGGGACTTTTAGTACGGCTCTGCATAACCAGCAGAGTCTCGCCAGACGGTGGCATTGAACTCCTTGTTCCCGCATCCTACCGCTGGCCAAGGTCGAGGAACTCATTCCGGACCTTCGCGGACTCGGCGACCGAAGTCTATGTAGAGGCGGTGAAACCCCGAATACCGTGGTCCGGTTGCCTACACATGTACCGTACTCCGATACCTTCTTGGCCACTTTCCAGCGCGTCGGGGCCGGCCGATCCTGCAGGTACCATCGGGCCGTGTTCTGATCCCCACCTGCACCCATTGCCTGGTCCGGGCATACCAACTTACCTGGTCTACACAGTATGACTGTCTCACCAGCCTTTCCCACTCCCGCTGGCACGTCATACGAGGGTTGACGGTGTATTCCGGTGGAACCGCAGCGGACCAGGCTCCATCTGCTCGTCTGTTCCCCTGGTTTCCAAAGCGACCAGAGGATGCTTCGACACAAAAACTCTGTCGGCGCAGAATTCTCTGCGCAGAATGCCATCGGCTAGCATCGGCTTTCCGTTTTTGGCTGTTGCGCAACTGCTCTGGATCCTGACCCATCTCGCCACTGGTATGCAATGCTAGGGTTTACTTCGGGCCCTGGATCGTGGGAAGGATGTTCCAAACGAAAACTCTTCCAATACCGGCGGCAAACTGGCAAGTCAGTACACAATGTGAGGGTCGGCTCCAATTCCAGGTCGGTGAGCTGAATGCAACAGCGGTATGGCACATTGAATGTTTGTCCCCGAGAGAACAGGGGGATCAAGACGGTCAGGGGCATCTCCGACCCAGCGGACCGTGTGAGTTTATATTTCGTGACGTCTGAGCGCCTTCCAAAGTCCCCAGGGGAGCCTCCAACTACTCCTGACCTTGAACGGGTCGAAATTGACGCCCTCCAGACGTTGCAGGTAGTCTCCGGCAGCAACCGCCTCCAATAACACGCCAAAGCCCCGCCTTATATCGCCTTGCGTGCCCTCCGGGCTATGAGCCGTGGTTGAATAGACGTGCTCCGGCTCCCCTTGGTGCTCGTATTCGTGCCCGGGTCCCTCGCCTAATTGCATGTTCTTCAGCATTTGGCGTGCCGTGATGAGGTGGTCATTAGCACGGGTCGCAACCCGGAAGACGGCATCTTGTAGTCCTTCGGCGTGAGGACCCCGGCGAAACACATCCTCCTCTTTCAGGCCGCACTCGGCCATAATATCGAGCGGAAGGAGCAACGCTGGGCTCCTTGTGTTTCCGACACTCGACCCGAGTGGACTCTGAACGGGTTGTGACGGTCCGGCAAGAACAGGAATGCCCCGCAGCGTCGCGGCGATGCCACATGCCTTACCGATGTGGCTCGCCAGGTGATCCATATGTACCGATTGCAGTGGCATCATCGCGAAGGTCATGTATATCAGCGTGGCATACGTGTTCTCTGCGTAGTCTTCCAGGGCGGCCAAGCTAGGAAAGGGCTTGTTCTCCATATGCTTCTCCCGCGTATTAATCAGACGCAGGAGCCAAAATTTGACCGAGCTCGCACTGCTGCTGCCTGCCCGAGCTGCAAGGCTTGCCACGGCGCTATGCAACAGGATCGAGATGGGCTCCCGTGGAGGCTGTCCAGCAAAGGTGCTGTTCACCGAGTCGCGCCAGAACTGCATCCGGAAGCGGCCTATCGTTGGGTTTGACACGGTCTCAGGCAGGCGAGCGAGCTCGAGGTTCAGCGTCCGGAGGGCATCATAGGCATCCTGCGCCGGCCGTGGAATGAAATGCCGGATGAGGTAGGCCTCATAGTCACCACGCCTGAAGGTTCATCTGTGAGTGATTCAAGTACAGGTGCAAAGTGCATGAAGCGGGGATGCACACCTGAGTTGGTTCAGACAATATTTCCTGGCTTCGGCAACATCTCCTTCTGAAGCGGTTGCAAGACCGCGGCGGAGGGCGTGAGCTCGGCGAGAGGCCTGCTTGAAGCCGCAGCCGAGAGGTCGGTTGGAATACATGCCGAGATTGACGTAAGCTAAGTTGGCCCCATCCTTTCCATGGCAGTATCCGTAGATGAGCAGTCATCAAGTTCTTCCCCAACTTTTATGCCACTGGCATCAGCAGCAGTCGTAGAATGTGGGTCCACAAGAGCTCAGTCATTTAACAGTGAAGTCACGCGGTCACCTGACGGTCGCGACGCCAAAATTCACGGTTACTGCACTGCCGCGTCTGCTGCATACCATGAACCAGCTGCCAAGGTTAGACTCTTGTGCTCTAGGCGCCCCGAGTTCCTACGAGGTCCAATTCCGAAGATATGGATTTTACCAGCTTTGATGAGCGTCCCAGCAAGAAAAGGCGCTTTTTCGAAGATGCAACACAGGAGATGGCCGGCAGCACGCAGGGTGCCCCGCCAGCGCCCTCTCACCCCAACCAAGGAACTGGATACTTCCAAGATGCTGATCAAGACATTCGACGGACGGCTCTTGTGACATGTTCCCGAAGCCCAGATACATCTGAGACAACTCACCACCCAGAGCCACATCTCGGAAAATTCCCAGGCCGTTTGAGCGATCCTCCAAGAGATGGAGATCCCCATTCCAATACCTCGACCGCCGTCGGTTTCGACCAGGCGATCTTCGAGAGCTTCGTGGGCGATAAAGTTAGCGAGGATGTAATAGCACTCATTCGAGAAAATTGCGGCCACAACACAGAAAGGGCGATCAATATGTACTTGGACGGTACATGGAAGCACCTGAAGAGAAAGACATCGGCTCGAGCACCTGGGCGTCCATCAGGCCCGGCCGCAGGACCTCACTCAGAAGCGGACCCAAGCTCGCCCTTTCTGCGATTCTCAACCCTACATTCAATGCCGGAATCGAGGTACATTGGCGCGTTTGGCGTCGAAGGGTGGACAACGCGTTCCGGCGTTGGCTTGCTGAAGTACGGCGATGTGGTCAAGATCGAGCGCCAGAAGATTGGGGTTCCTAGTTCTACGTCCCAGAAGGGACAAACCAAGCTGGGGCTTGCTCAGACGCCGGCTCGTGTCAGCGCCGCCGCAGCTAAACGGGCAGACGTGATCGTCCGCTTCACCAACAAGAGCGGCAGAGAGATCGGGCGGCTGGCCAAGGAGACGGCAAACTGGGTCTCAACACTGATAGACCAGAAAATCTGCAAGTTCGAAGGAACATGCGTCTATGCCCCCGAGAGACTCCGTACCAATGACACGATCTTCATACAACTTCGGTGTTCTCTGTTGAGGTCTGCGTTCTTTGGTCGTGACGTGCAGGTCGCCGATAACAGGACAACTGGACTCTTCGAGGAAAGGGAGACATCCGAAGAGAGAGACTTACGCCTGAGACAGGTTGCCCTTGTCAAGCTCTTCCAGGAGATCAATCTTCTACCGCTCAGAGGGAATGCGGCGGCCGCAAGAAACCAACGGCAGGAACTACTCCACGCGGCAGAGATGGCTGAGAGCAAGAAGAAGGAGACAACCAAGCCGCAAGACCAAGACAATGCTGCCTCATCATCCCCTTCGGACGATAATGATGAGGGTCAAGAACTTGAACAAGACCAACTCGACGCTCTCTACAAGAAAGCGCAATCCTTCGATTTTAGCACACCCGAAGCAGAGCCTGCTGATACTTTTGCTCTGACGCTCCGGACATACCAGAAGCAATCCTTGCATTGGATGCTGGCAAAGGAAAGGAACACGGCACAAGAGCAACGAGAAGCCTCGATGCATCCCCTGTGGGAGGAGTATGCATGGCCCACGAAGGACCACGATGACAAGAAACTCCCCGAGGTTTCTGAACAACCCACCTTCTATGTCAACCCATACTCCGGCGAGCTATCGTTGGATTTTCCACGTCAGAAACAGCACTGTCTCGGTGGAATTCTGGCCGATGAAATGGGCTTGGGCAAGACCATCCAGATGCTCAGTCTCATCCACACGCACAGATCCGACGTCGCAATCGAGGCGCGCCGCGCCAATCGAGCAGTGTCGTCGGTTAATCAGCTTTCCCGCCTCCCTTCCGTTCGTGGCCGTATCACGGCCACTGACGCTCCATGCACAACCCTCGTCGTCGCTCCGATGTCCCTACTTGCGCAGTGGCAGGGCGAAGCCGAGAACGCTTCACGGGAGGGCAGCCTGAAATCCATGGTGTACTATGGCAGCGAAAAGAGCGCCGATCTGCTGACGCTGTGCTGCGAAGCTAACGCTGCGGACGCTCCAGACGTCATCATTACCAGCTACGGCGTGGTACTATCCGAGTACAGCCAGATTATCTCCAGGAACGGTGACAGGGCCAGCCACCGTGGGCTCTTCTCGCTGAACTTCTTCCGCGTCATTCTGGACGAGGCTCATAGTATCAAGAACCGGCAGTCGAAGACGGCCAGGGCTTGTTACGAGCTTGCGGCGACGCATCGATGGGTGTTGACGGGCACCCCTATTGTCAACAAGCTCGAAGATCTCTTCAGCTTGGTCAGGTTCCTGAAGGTTGAGCCATGGAGCAACTTTTCCTTCTGGCGGACGTTTATCACCGTGCCATTCGAGTCCAAGGATTTCGTGCGGGCTTTGGACGTTGTTCAAACTGTCTTGGAGCCGCTCGTCATGCGAAGAACGAAAGACATGAAGACCCCAGATGGAGAGCCACTGGTGGCGCTGCCCCCGAAGCAGGTCGAGATCGTTGACATTGAGCTCTCGAAAGCGGAGCGTGACGTATATGACTACATCTTCACGAGAGCCAAACGGACCTTTTCTGCCAATGTCGAGGCTGGCACCGTCATGAAAGCCTTCACTACCATTTTTGCGCAAATCCTGCGCCTTCGCCAATCGTGCTGCCATCCCCTCCTGGTCCGGAACCCGGATGTTGTAGCCGACGAAGAGGAAGCCGGCACGGCTGCTGACGCAGCCGCCGGACTTGCCGACGACATGGACCTCCAGTCTCTGATCGAGCGTTTCACAGCAACGACGGACGATGCTACTGACTCTAACGCCTTCGGTGCCCATGTTCTCGGCCAGATCCGGGACGAGGCCGTCAACGAATGCCCCATCTGTGCCGAAGAGCCAATGATCGACCAGACAGTTACGGGATGCTGGCATTCCGCCTGCAAGAATTGCTTGTTGGAGTACATTAACCATCAGACAGACCGCCACGAGATCCCTCGTTGCTTCCAGTGCCGGGAGGTAATCGACTCTCGTAATTTGTTCGAGGTCGTGCGGCATGATGACGACCCGGACACAGCGATGGTTGGTCAAGGGCCGCGCATTACTCTGCAACGGCTCGGGGTGGGCAATTCATCGGCGAAGATTGTCGCTCTGATCAAACATCTGCGGGAGCTACGCACCGAGAACCCAACGGTCAAGTCCGTCGTATTCAGCCAGTTCACTTCGTTTCTCTCGCTTATCGAGGTAGCTCTCGGGCGTTCAAATATGTCTTTCCTGCGACTGGACGGGTCTATGGCCCAAAAGGCGCGTGCCGCAGTCCTCAACGAGTTTAGGGAATCCAAAAAGTTCACCGTCCTGCTTATCAGCCTCAAGGCTGGCGGTGTCGGTCTCAACTTGACAAGCGCCAAGCGGGTTTACATGATGGACCCCTGGTGGAGCTTCGCCGTCGAAGCGCAAGCCATTGACCGAGTCCATCGACTGGGACAAGAGGACGAGGTGAAGGTCTACCGCTTTATTGTGAAGGATAGCGTCGAGCAGAGGATGCTCAGGGTACAAGATAGAAAGAAGTTCCTGTAGGTACCGATATACCTGGAGTTCGTCGGTCAGGACTTGCTGACGTATTTTGCAGTGCGACTTCCTTGGGCATGATGTCCGACGAAGAAAAGAAGCTGCAGCGTATCGAGGACATCAGGGAACTTCTCAGTTGATGGAGTTGACCACACGGAGGACTGCGGACATTGCGTATCAAGGTGTTCCTTTCCACTACGAATGTAGCCTGATGAGCTCTGTTGCGCGTTCGATTGCCCATGGACGACGCCGATACGAGGTGGGCGTTTTTGGCACGAGGTATGACGGTTTAGAAATGACCGAGGGTCTACTACACTTTGGCCACATGCCTAACATAGATGAGGTTACAACACGCTAGCTGTTGCCATTATTATAGGCATCTTGGACCTTTGCTGTCTTTTCCTGCAGAGACAGCTGAAGCAGTAAGCTCTCCCTATATGGTAACCTATCGACTACCACCTCTCTATTAGATCATGAAGTGTTTTATTCCTGCAACGAACGCAACTTATGTGGATAGCTAGCTGTGTTACTTGGCCGCGCCACCTTTTCCCTCGCCACGTATGCACGTAGTTAATAGGGACGACCAGATAAGTTCAATTGGGGTCGAGCGATGGGGGGTAGCCGAACATGTCCCAGGTAGTCACAGGTCCGACCTTCCAACCGTTTGGCTGAACTCGTACCTATATCGTCAGTCAGAAGAACAATGTGCACTGCTCCCAGCCCGCGTCTCCCGTCATGCCCATCAAGTATCACACTTTGACCCTCCACCCAGGCGAGGACAAAACCCGTCCCTTTTCCCTTGTACACTTGTCGTCTGCTTTTCAATTGAGGGAATCCAGAGGGGTTCAAAGCTGGTGTTATGATTATTTAGGGGAGTATCAACCTAAATTGGAAAGGTTGAGGGATCCCGGAAAAAAAGACATACAACACAGGGGATTCCCCAGTCGTCACCGACCTGAGTACTGGTCCTGCGATTGGTAGCTTATCTAAGGGAGAGCGGACGGGATCCCGAGTTCTCTACCACCTATGGTCGTATGTAATAGTTCTGGAGCAAAGAGTGCATGATATAGGGGACCATGGAGTTACATGTTCTAATGACACAAACTACACTACCTACTTATTTTCTCTCCAGCAATGCCCACCGCACTTATGCCACATCCGACATTCCTAGGCCTGCTATCTTGTAGTAGTATATTAACCACTGCTCCGCGTCCCACACTAGTTAGACACAGGACATTGGGTGAGCATATAAGTGAGAAGCTCGCACCAACTACAAACGCTTTGCAATCAACCGCCGGTGTTCTTCGCAGTTCAAGTTTGAGTCCCACAGTTCGGGAAAAGCACTTCAATATCTTGAGCAGCAAGTCTCCCACTGTGTGGACCCTGGAATCTATCCGATATACACGGGTAATGGGCACTGGTTCATAACATGCGTGGGGGGAGTTGATTCATATCTGAACTGCTGTGGCTGCACCAAAGCCTGTCCTTTAAACACTGAAAACACTGAATAAACACACAATATTTTGTCTAGGCTTCCTCCCCCTCCGTTTTATGATCCTCCAACTCCACAATGCTAATAAAGACATGAGAAGGAACCAGAATAAGGATGCTAGGGAAGTAACAGTAAATGCAAAAAGGGTACACAAATATTAGGGTAGAGTACTACTCGCTGGGAAGGGACATAGTGAGACAGCCCTCCACCTGGGCTGGTCGATTAGACGCAATCCCTAAATCCAACGCCGATCCTCCGAACAGTATGCAGGGTAGGCTGTATGCAAATAAGTGTAGGATATCGTCTGTTCTCAACCGAGTGGCCGGAGTAGTCTTGGTGGGCAACGACAGTCCAACACTGTAAATGTGAAAAAATATCGCTATCATATTATGATAGGAGATTGCGGTGGCGTCCGTCATGACTTCGTAAACCAGAAACCCAGACGCTGGTGCGTCAACAAGGTGGGGTATAAAACAGTAAGCGCAAGTTCGCCCGGCGGCGTCGTTTATATTTCCTGAATCCACACCTAGAGACTGCGTCAGTATGTCAATCCAGCTTCAGTGTGGGTATATTCCAACTCACCTCCATCTTCCCCGTGTCAGATCTCTGTTTCCTCGCAGCTTGCTTGACCGACATCATCACCATGTCGAGGTCATCCTGGTCACCCATCGTGATCATCTCGCCTTCCGGAGAATCCTCATCCTTGACCTTGATCTTGAACCTGCGCCGCAGATCAAACTTCTGCTGGATTCGCGTGACCAGATCTGGGAATTCGATGGCGGGGCCAACGACAATGTAGCGAACATCTCCAGCGTGGACCTTCACGCGGATGGTTTTCAGGGCGTCTCGCCTCGAAGAACCCCTCTTTGACCCTCCCGACATGACGGACCCAGGGCCAGGCCTGCGGGTCGACACCATTTCAAACTCGCCCTCATCGAAAGAAGCGTCGTCGTAGTCGCTGCCCTCTTCCTCCTCCTCTTCGATGTACCGGTCTCGTGTCCGGCCACCGGCGCTCCTCTGCGACCTGCTGCTCCGAGAGCCGGCACCACCGCCGTACATATCGTAAACGTCATCTGGGTACGCATCCTCCTCCTCGTCCCTCCTTCTCCTTGGCGCAGGTGGCTCACGCTGAGAGAAGCCGCGGGACGGAGCGGCTGATGCGGAGCGAGTTGGACGCGGCCTCTGCCCGTCTGGGGATGTCCTTTCGTATCGTTCGTTCGACCTCACTTTCTCGAGATTGAGCCTGCTCGGAATCGGTTTAGGTCCGTTGCGTACGGAAGCTCCGCGGCTCACTTGTGCCGGCTTGTCGTTCTCAGGGGGCGGGGTAGGGGGGAACACGTTGCGATTGTTCGGTGGCTCAGATTGCTGTCTCCTGCTCTGCAGGCCCGGCTTGACGAGGTTGCTAGCTGCAAACGAGAGCGATTCGGCTGGCCTGTCATCCTTCGCCTCGCTTACAGCCGACTTTGCTGAAAGTTAGCGATAGTTCTAAAAGAGCAGCGAGTCTGGGATCTCTGCTTACCGCTTTTTGCATCTCGATGCCAGCGAAGCCCGTGAAAGCATTACTGCGATCCGAGGCAGCAACTAGCCTGGCCTTTCCTAGGTAGTCCTTTTGTTGCAGGTTTCGCACCTTGGCTTCGTTTGGTCTGTAGACGACGCCCACGGGAATGGAGAACACCGTATATCCCTGCGACCGTGTCAGTGACGGGCCGACTGGTGCATAGAAACTGCACATACCTTCGCCTCGTCCCGAATCGCATCGTCGATCACGTTGTGATCCTCCACCACCTTCTCCTTGACTGCGTACTGTAGATCCTGCATGCCAGACTCCATCTGCTCAAGGTAGATGTAGCACAGGCCGCGGTTGAACAGAACCTCGCACGAGTACAACTTGAAAAGCAGACCCAGCTGCGAATAGTCGATCAGTGTGTTCCCGCGGAGGTAGAGGAGCGTGTCGTTGAAGTTCGCCAGAGCTTCTTCGAAGTCGCCGAGCAGGAAATTGGAGACGCCCTGTTGAAAATATGCAACGGCGAGGTACTGGTCGAGTTTGATCGCGCGTTGATAGCACTCAACCTAACCATAAGAGTCAGCAGTGTTTCGAGCGGCCCAGGACCAGACAGCACTTCTTACCGCCTGCTCGTGCTGGCCGAGCGTCGCATTGATGACACCCATGTTGAACAGGATCTTGGAGGTATCCGCGATCCTGTCAAAGGATCTCAATGCCTCGTCGAACTCATTGTTATCGTAGAACTTGAGGGCTTCGACCCATGTCTCGATTTCCTACATCGGCGCGTGTAAGTAGCTGGGTACCTGTGTCATCGTACCGCAATGCGGTCCTCCCCTCACCTGTTTTAACGACATTCTTTCTCAAAAGCTGCGATTGCGACGGCTGTCAAAGCCAGGCAAGTCTTGCGGCTCTTGCTAAGAGCGAAATCGAGGGGTTTTTGCTGTTCAGCGGCCAACTGCAAAATTACTGGGTGTCTTGTGGTCTGATGTGCGTTGAGGGGTTGAGTGGCTTTTAAAGTCAAGGGGTGCACAGCAGGGGGTGCCACGGCGCTAGGCGGCTGGGCGGGCGGCAACAAGGGGTCTGCCCGGGCGATTCGAATCAGATGCGGACCGCTCGATCTCCCCCGCTCTTCTGGGGGCCCAATTGCCTTCCGTCGTCTGCACTCCGGCGGTGTCCGAGAACTGTCCGCGAGATGCAATCACCAGGGCCAAGACACGAGTGGTGCCCCTCGATGGCTGGTTCGCAGGCAAGTGCCTCAGTGACTAGCAGCTTGGCACGTGCTGGAAGTGACAGCTTGAGCTGTCGTCTTGTCAATCCGTCCGCAAAGCAGTGTCCCGCAGCTGCCGTCCTTCAGTCCCTTGTCTTCGTACTCGAGTGAAATTCTGGATAAATGAGGCTCCCGGGGATGGCAGGGTGGCGCCGTTCCTGACGATCGTCTCAATTTATCGGTAGTAGATGCAGCTCTAGTGCCCTTTGCAGCCAACAGCACCACATGCAGCGTATAAGAATTGAGTCCGACTCTTCGGTTTGCCCCTGTCGGATCGAGGTCGAGCGGGCGATACACGATGGCCGACGCCAGTCTGAGTATGCCTTTACTACTATTTGTCCGTTATGTTCGTCCGAAGAGTATAGGTGTTTTTATTTTCTTGCCTTTTCGGCTGGCAGAAAGGAGTGGCCAGAGGTCGGTTCTGAGAGAAAAAAGACGGGAGGAGCTGGGACCGGTAAGACGGGGAAAAGGAGGAAAAGAACACCAGGAAGACAGGGGGATGTCAAAGGGTTGTGCGCTGCAACGAGAGACGAAAAGGCCGTTCTCTGCGGACAAGTCCAAGTCCAACTAAGCGAGGATCCGGCTTCTGGGCTCGTTTGGGGATGGCCAACCGGGGAAGACGATCATGCAGGACCCACTGGCAGCTGAGTGGAAGACTTGGGCCTCCCAGACTCGGCCTGCATCGAGAGTTCCGGATCGAGTGAACGCCCTTGGTTGTGGTTGTGAAAGGGGCTTCCCAAAAGCCCATTGTTACAGCTGGCAGGGAGGTCCCTTCATACAGTAGGAGGGGACGGGCAGAAGAAACCCAAGACTATACAAGTGGGGCTACAGCGTTGCCCGCGACTTCGTCAGTGTGCTTTTGGGCATCAATGGGAGCTCGTTCTCAACTCGATGCAGAGATGCCCGGTGTTGGCGACAAGAAACGCCGTGAGAGCAGGCGTTCACGGGATGTCTATGATCGAACGTTTTCACGACTCAGTCGAACCATCCATGGTCAGTACGGGGGTTAAGGAGTCGGGTGCTGTTCTGGAAGCCAGTTCGGCCAGGGGTATGGCGCATGGGATCGAACGGTCCCACTCATGTCGAGCGCTGCCGGATCGACACGAGACGGAACGCTCAGGACCGCCAATTTTTCCCGCCATGTGCTCGATGTTACGAAATATCCAATCAAAACCTCCATAGAAAGGGCGCTTCCCTGCCGTGCGCGCTCGAAATGGCTGGTGACACCATCCTATAAAACCACCTAGCCAGCTTGGGATAAGAGAAGTCGGCAAATGGAAAAGAGTTGAGATGTTGGGCGTGCAAACATCACAAAAGAACGCCGAGTGAGTGGACATCTGAAGGTCAATGCGAAGCTTGACTCGTCACAGACACCGTGGAATCCCTGCGAATCAAAAGCCTGCCTCATGCAAGCGTTCTTGAGGCCGGCCGTTATTGGGCTAGCCACAGCCGTCTTAAACTCTCCAATCCCTGCACACGGACTCCAAGGCGGCTACGATCGTGCACGACGGTATGTACGTACCAGTGTGCTACCCGACAAGATAAATGTGGCTGAAACATCCATGCACCGCCAAATCGCCAAATCAACTGCATCTTCACTGACCGCTGCCAGATCGGGCTACTTAGCACGGTATCCGGCCTTCTGTCTTTGGCCATGAGGAGCTAGGTAAATTTGTTGTACGGATGTATTCACATGTCGAGGAGGAGGCTCAACAGGAGTCCTGCGCACCATGTGGGGCGGCGTTGCAACCTCACATTAGCGACGGCGCTAACTTTGAAATGGCCGGATCCCTGCGATGTCTCGTCGAGATCTCGATAGAAAGAGATAACTCAAACGGCCATATCAAACGATTGAAGGCATGGAAGGGAATAGTGCGAAAGCGAAGAAGTCAATTACCCGCGATCGTTGATACTACCGCGGAGATTCGCAGTCACAGTTGGGAGGTAAGTACATGGGTAGTACTCCTATGCAGTGTACTCCGTACGCCAGGCCGTTCGTTACTCGTGGGATTTTAACTCGAGATCGCCTTGTAGATCCATTTGATGCCAAGAGTGGTGAGAAGCTCACTTCTTCAACTTCAATTGCTCTTCGCTACGTACCGAGTATAATTTAGTACTAATCCTACCTTCTTAAACATCGAACTTATCGTCCGGGTGACTGTGCCGTAATAATTGGCTTTGCCATTTGAGAAACAGGCCTGACGCAGGGCAGCCCCAGCCCGCAACGACCGGCCCCAGCTATCAGCCTCATCACGGGCAGTGCAACGTACCTTACTCTAACATATTGGGGTCACTCCTCTTGCACTCCGCGTTGTATAAGTCGACTTTCTCACTCCAAATCACATCAGGGTACGAAGTGTTGTCCAAACGATCCGATATGTATTATCCCAGTTATGTTGTTACCCACAGCGTGGTCTTTCTTCTGCGGGGCATTTCTCCCAACGTCACATCGTTGGCCTCCAGAGCCTCCCTCGAGCCTCCTCCCGTCTCATCTCCCGGCACCCATGCTTAGTCGACACACTCCCGCGCGCATCCGAGGCACAAAATGAGCGGCTTCCGGTTCCCAGGAGCGCGGTTCATCCCCGCACGGCTTCTGCTCTGGGCCAAGAACGAACGGAAAGGAGGAATGAGAGACCGCTTCTCATGGGGCTTCGGTGTCAGGGCATCCCGTGTCCTCATGTGTTCTGCAACAACCCGAAGATACTACAACAGTACAGGGCAGCGTTTTGAAGCCGTCTTCGTGGACGACAAGCCTAGCTAGGCTACCATTCTGCATCCCAAGCCCGCACAATCGTGATGATGGGACATCATTTCCGGGCCAGGGCATCTTACAACATTTCTGCAGACTCGTCCGACCTTCGGAAGAACGTGGCCCAAAGTAGGACAGGGCCATCCGTTCCTTCACCGATCCGTTCCAGCTTGTTCATCATCCCACCGAGACACAGATCTCTTGATTATGCGCCCGCCGTGCGAAACAGGTATCATAACATCCCCTTCGAGACTTCGTCTTTCCTCTCCTGCCACAGCGTCTTTCCCGTGCAGGAGCACACAGTCTTGTCATTATCCCATACACCCGCGCTCCGCGCAATGACGCCGACCACAGTGTCTTCCTCGTTTCTTAATGGCTCGCCATCGCTCTCGTCTCGGCGCGATACCACCAGGGCGCGGCCAATGACCTCCCAAACCTGGAAAGGGCGGTTGAGGAACGCATTACCATAGCCGTTCGGCCCAACCTCCACAGTGCCCAACACCCCACGAGAGCTGCGATTGTCCTGCGCCTCAGCTGACCAGACCGGCCCCGCAGATACTGCACCATCCTTGAGGTTTCCATATTCGCGAATGGTAGCACGGTAAGTGCCTGGGGGTACGCCGCGGACGGTCAAATCAACCAGGGTTTCCGTGGGGCTGACCTGCACCATCCGCGCCAGGCCCCTGACGAGTCTCTCGTTTACCCAGCTCTCGCCGGGACTGCCGGCAGCTGTGACTTCTTCGTCCGACCTGCGATGGTAGGTCTCCAGGATGCTAACTGCAGCACCTAAAGAGGCAGAGAAACATGAATCAGTGTTGGCCATGGAAATTGTCTTGGAAAGTTCATCTCAGGCAGGCGTTCTCTCGAAGCAGGTGCTCGAATAACCAAACCTGGACAAAGGATCATGCTGTCCTACTCACTGTTTGAACCCCCTGACCCTCGCAGGATAGCATCTCTCCCGGTAGCTTGGATAGCTTGGACAATCGCCGATGGCGCCGCTATCTCCCACATGTAAGGTTTCAGATCAGCAAGGACCGGACAATAGACCCCTTGGCAATGGCGGCACAGCTTGTACGGACCTGTCCCTTCTATCGATACCAGTTGATCCTTAACGTTCGCCTCAACTTTGTTAATGCCCGGCAGCTTGTACAGCGCGCCCGTGATGTCCTTTGCACAGCTGTCACAGGTCATGGGCACCGCGAAGAGAGTCTGTTTCAGGTTTCATCAGCTTAACTTTATCGATCTGGGATTTGACAGAGTTGCGCCAAGAGCGGAAAAGACAGGGAGGGCATCAGAGAGTATGAAACACGAAGTGAGATCACTCAAGCATAGACTGGTAGGGCACAAGACAGCGATGATTTGAGAGAAGGGTCACTGGTTTGCGGTCACACGGGAGGACGCGACTTACTTGGAACGGGGTCATCACAGCCATCTTGCTGGGCTGGTTCTTTTCGGAAGATGACTGGAATTGTACACTTCGTTGCCTCACCAAGGTGCAGTACGCTCCAGCAGATGCGGTCAGAGCCAAGCCAGTGATGCCGATGAGAGACTGTGTGTTAACGCGGCCACGATGCATATAGTGTCTAAGATCTAGGTAGAAGGTTGGAATAGCGGGAACTCCGGAGCAAGCATCGCAAAAATCACATAAACGTGGCAGGACGCTCGGCGCTCTTTTACATACATACTGTACAAAGGAATGGAAGAGAATGGACTGCGCATAGAAGAGGGCGGATTAAAGTATCCCGAAACCCAGCGATAAAACCGGCCGATTCCCAGCCAGAATCCCAATGAATGCTTTGAAATCCGCCCCGTCGGCTTATTACTGTGGCTCGTGTGGTAACCTTGCTCACTCCGCTCATCGGCTTATCGCGGGCAGCTGCCAGTTTGATGCGGGGCAGATGGCAGACCTTCAGAAATTCAAAATGGGAGTTGGTGGATCAAACAGAGGTGTGGCTTGCGCCTGTCGTAGCAGACGTGGCGTGTATAGTGAGGCGCAGCTATCGATTTTTCCAAACTCCAGTCCTAAGACCCATCACGAATCGCGATACTGGATACTGACTGATACTGAATTCGCGTCCACCGATTGTCCACCGGTGTACAGTTCCACAAACTGTCCCTCCCGCCCATTACGAGCCTAGGTCGAATTGGGGATATTCGCGACATCGGCCTTTCTTCGATTGAGGAAGACGCATCCTCGTTGATGACTGGGAGGGACTAGTTCCCTGGGGCCTTTGCTCGATCAAACCCTCATCCAACACCGTCAAGATGTCACAAACGATTGGAGCTGTGAGCAGGCACTGCCCAGCCCTCATATGAGCTATCATTTCAAAGTGCTGTCTATTGACCAGAATCTCTCTTGGACAGACCAGACTAGCCTACTCAAGGGTATGGCACCATATCTCGGCCTCGGCTCCCCATCCAACCCTGAGCACGGTCAAGTCCCCTCCCGAAGCCGTCACTCCTCCATCATTAGGCCGTCTCGCCTCCCGCATTGCAACCCTCCTCATGGGTAAGCACAAGCCGACCTGGGACCCCTCAACCGACTGTGGCGACTACGTGGTGGTGACAAACTGCGCGGCGCTGTACACGACGGGCAAGAAGAAGTGGCGAAAGACATACTACCGGCATAACACACGACCGGGGTCCCTGCGGACGATCACGATGGACGTCCTGATGGAGAAGTTCGGCGGCGCCGAAGTGCTGCGCAAGGCAGTCAGCGGCATGTTGCCCAAGAACAGGCTGAGAGACAAGAGGCTTGCGCGCTTGAAGGCATTCGAAGGCGATGCCCACCCGTACAAGCAGAATTTGATCCGGTTTGGTGGGAAGGCTGTTGGTACGCCCGGGTGGGAGGAGATGGCACGAGTCGTGAGGGAGGCAGACCAGGCGAGGGTATAGACTGAAGGTTGAGGGTGGTGTATTTTTCAGGGGGAAGTGAGGGAGATGAGTGACTTGTACGTGCATCATCTTGGCTCTGCAACCGAACCATGTGTATTATCACTATATCGATGTATATGATGACCAAACGCTCATGCTACTTCGAGGCCAGGTTTCCGCCCTGTGTGCAGAACCACCAACAGATCCTTTAGATGTGCACAGTCGCCAATTCACTACGCCAGTTATTAAGCCATGATAATGCTAAGGAACGAGCAACGATGCCTGCGCCGATGTTGCTACTCTCAAGCCAATGCCAACCAACGTAGAGTAAGTTCTTATCCGCCATGGCCACCATACTCTCACCTATGCACAAGGGTCGAAACGTCACGAGCAACCTCGCATTTGATGAGTCCATTGGGCCCAGACTGCGGCGCATACACCTCCGCATCCTTCCCTGTGTTCTTGATGCCCTTGTGCCAGCTCAGATCTAAGATGACGTTGACGCTGATTAGTACGGGCTGGTAGTTGCTTAGGAAACAGAAACCCACCGATCTCGAAGTAGTGCTTGTTGGGCAGGGAGAAGGCGGTCTTGTCAGCTTCCGGCACCGCCTCCAGGATTTGCTCGCACATCTTATACATGGTGTTCTGCACCGACGCGCTTTCATCGGTAGCAAACAACTTCATGATGATTCCCCGGGCGCTCTCCCAAGCTTTATCGAACCGCTCCGCCCCATTTTGGATCGCTGCCACGGTAGGAAACCGCTTCCAGGTCCATGTGCAGTCGACATCGGTCGACAGGATGCGGTCCCACGTCTCGGGTAGGGTGGTGAACTCGTCGCGCACAAAGCTGTGAAACGCCGACCCGGTGCTTTTAAGCACCGACAACCCCACGACGCTGCTCTTGAGGTCGATGCCCGCTCCGCGGGCCACCGTTGCCTCGACGTTGCGCGTCTCCTCGCCGTCACGGAGGAAGCTGTGCGGGTGAGGGGCGCCGTCGATGGTCATACGCGTCCACCGGTGCACCTTTACCTTGATGTGTGCCGCGCTGATGTGCGGGTACTTGTCGAGGAAGTGCTGGCCAAGGTGGCTGGCGTAGAGCTCGGGCGGATTTACCGGGTGCTCCTTGGCCTTGATGTAGATGGTGTTCTTAATCGAATCAGTGGCTACAACAACACTGTTGTCTGCCTTGGTGTATCTGGGCCAAAACGGTGAGTTGGGGCGTTCACCTCCGCTCGCTTCTTCTTCTGAGAGTACGGCTTACGATGTCTCGATCTGGCCCTCGAGCAGGCAGCAGACTGTCATCTCTGTGACAGATTGCACCCCGGTCTCCTCATCCCTGTCGACCTTGAAGACGCGGACGTTGTCCTTCCCGTAGCGGGCAGAAGCAAGGGTGGGCATGGCGGCGATAATGGCTCCAGAACTGGCCGGCAAGGGAACGACTCGGCGCGGCTCAGACAAGGTCAAGGAAGTAAGCGTGTTGAGGAAAAGGTCAGTTGAATAGGGTCAGTTCGTCATTTATACAAGCGCATCGTCCGAATTATGGGCTACACCCGGTGTCCCGCCGAGGGGGAGCCGGGAATGGAAGAGGTGGGTCCCCGGAATCCGCCGACTGCCTTGTCCAAGGGCCCCTCCTTCACACGCCATCCGGGCCCTCACGGATTCGGCCGTGGCTTGCATCGGCGTCATCCAATGTTCGACTCCTTCTGAACGAGCCCTGCTGTCAGTCATTGCCGAGAGAGCTCTTCTGCAGGAAAGCTTTTGTGGATGCAGTTTGAATCGCAGAAGGATAAACTTAAAACTTGGAGCCCGGGCGTTGAGAGCTTATTATAATCCGTGCTCCGGCACAAACCCGGGAGCATCCCCTGCAGGAGCCGAGCGGGGGGTTCCGATTCGTGGGGGTGTCGCAAATGGAGCTCGAATTAAGGTATCAAGTCGTATGACAGAGATAAGGTCTGTGCCGTGTCTTTGCTTTGGCAGATGCTATTGAATGACGGTAGTTATAACTAGCGAAAAGAACTTGGACAATCATCAGTTTCTCTACCTTATTAGGGCCATGTTTGCTGCCATGAATGGCGAACGGTCGCAACTCCCAGTTCCCAGTTCCTCGAATCCTTGAGACAAATTTTGCTACGGCTGCTATTCTGGGCAAGGAGACTTACCGATCGATCTTACAAGCACTTGCAAAATTTAAGGAAAGCTGGGGATAACCCTGCCGCAAGCCGCAGTTATTTACTACGAGTTCCTGTTAGTTATGTAGCGTAGATACCTTTGGGTGCAGTAGGTTAGCACGTGGCTTGGTTCAATTGCTGCTATGAATTATCCTCAGCCCTTCGACCTGAACCGGCAAGTGGGCCGGACGTTGGAGGCATTGCGCACTGACCATCTGAATGCCAGCCTCCGGGCCCGAGTCCCGTTGCGACCGCGGTGGAGCTGGGACTCGGTCAACTCCTGTTCCCCACATGATATGCATACAAGTGTACGGGTACCCAAGGTCCTGAGTATCCGTACGATAGCGGGCAGACCGATATGGCGAAAGCTTGATCGCGCGCGCGATCCGCCCCCTCTTGACCAGATTTGTCGTACGATGGATCCGACTGACTCCCTGCAGCTTTGAAGAGCCGGAAGATCAAGGCCTCAGGCAAACGGCCGACCGGCAACTCGAATGCGCATACCGCACGGGGTGAGAGCGTCGAGAGCGTCGAGCGTGGAGGGCAAATGGCTGGGCCATCCACCATGCTGAGCACCTCGGCAACGCCCGCTCAGAGGTCCTACATCCAGCAGCAACAGCAGCAGCAACAGCAACAGCAACAGCAACAGCAGCCTGCGAATTCTCGACCGAGCCTGGATGGCCTACAGCCTCAAGCACCCAATGGAGGCCGCAACATCTCGGCCTCCGCCGTGAGCTTTGCGTCCCGCGGCCCGTCGCTTAACCCGTCGCCCATGCCCATGCCAGGCAGTTTCAGCTCTGAGCTCCGCAGCCAGATGAACCTCTCGCGCGCCGGCTCGCGACTCGACCTGTTTCCTTCGCTCGAAAAGTTGGACGAGGATGATGAGCCGATCCAGGAGGAGAAGTCGCTCGCGTACCTGCGCGAAGCGCTCAGCCGCGAGATGAAGATCAAGGAGGGCTCCGAGAACATGCTGGAAGCGCTGCATTCTAAGAAGGCGAAGCAGACCAGGGAGCAGCGGCAAAGAGTCGAGGCCGAGCTGAATTCGTCCAACCAGCGGATCAAGGAGCTGCGCCAGAAACTCACAGATGCCCAGCGGGTGAAGGCTGCCCCGACAACCCCCACGAGGACCAGGACAGAGGGCCTGGTTCCGGGCGTCAATAGCTTGCGCTCCCCTCCGAGCGCTTCCAGGAGCGGTGCCGGATCCGATGTCGACGAGCCCACCGAATCGCCTACCTTCATACTCACCGAAATCCTGCAGGCGCTAGAGGTGGCTGGTATGAGCCCGGACTACTACGTCGCCAGGGCAAACAGCCTGGTAGATCTCTTTAAGCGGCACCCCACGCTGAAGTATGACTTGGTGTGGTCGGTGTTTGGCCTCCGCATGCAAGCCATGCTCTTGAGCGAGAGCCGCGAAGTGGTAGCCGCCGCGTATAGGATGATACGATACGCCATTTCGGACATCAGCTCGCTCAGGAAGATCCGTGCGCTCAATACTGACTACTTGGTCACATGGTACGTTCTGAAGCGCCTCGGGCCCGCTGTGGGAGCCCGCGAAGGCTGAACTCTGGCAGGTCCCTGATTAAGGATCGTAAATCCGACGTCGAACGTGAGCAGGCCCTCAAGTTTGTGCGTGCTTTCCTGGACGTCAAGGATGGCGTCCGCGAGATATCGAGAGCCGTCGTCAGATCGATTGCGGCGGCCGCGGAGGAGCCAGAGGAGAGACTGCGGCCCATCTGCATTGAGACGCTGGCCGAGATCCTGGTCCGCGACCCCCAGCTGTTGATTGCTTCCGGCGGTATGTCCGCTCTACACGAAGCGTTGGCGGATGGCTCGTACAAGGCATCAGAGAGCTTGACGGCTGCCTTCCTCTACCTCCTCGACGGTCCAGACCGGCGCAAGTACTTGCGCCCGGGCAACGAGCTCGACGTTCTCTTCACCGCCTTCACGGACGAGCTGTCATCCAACGAGCGCTTTCTGAAGCAAAGCGCCAAGTCCGTAGCTTCGGCGCTCAGGACGTGGTCGGGGCTCATGACCTTGTCCATGTACAATTTCCGCGCCATCAGATCCATGATCACCAGTATGGTGGTACAGACGGGACCTATCCGGGAAACGATCCTGGATCTCATCTTCTCGCTTCTCCGCATCAAGCCTCCAGCATGGGCAACATCATTCCTGGCCGGCCGGCGGCTTACAACCTACGGCCGCGTCACGAACCTCAAGTCTACCAACACCAAGGGTTCTTCTCACAATGAATTCGAGGAAGAAGGAGGAGAGCAGAATTTCCTGGAACACTACACGGCCCTCCTGCTCGCGGTATTCATCAAGTCTGGTGTCATACCAGCACTCCTCAAACTCACCCAGGACAACGAAAGCGCAACCCTCAAGCGGAAATCCACCCTGTTGATAGGAGAGGTGCTCAGATTGTCCAGTCGTCTGCTTCCGCCGTCTTGGAGCAGCGAGCTGCAGTTGCTTCCCGAATTGTTCGTTGCGGCCGCCAGGCTAAAGGACGAGGGCCACTTCGCCGCCACTGGGGTTGTCTACCAAATCAGCAGCGTCAGCAAGACCCTGTACAGGTCCTCCCCGTCCGCTTATCTTCCTTCCGCCCACCATAGCATGGACCTCGGCGCACTTGACGAGCACCCCAAAAGCAACACGGCAATCAACTTTGACGACGGGACATTCCGGCAGCTCCTGCTCGAGTCCAACGTGCTGAGCAGCTCGAACTACAACAAGTGGAACTGGGATGTTATTCTCAGGCTCATCGAAGGGCCACTGACCAGCGGGAAGAGACTTGAGGAGGCCATCAAGGCGTCCAAGTTCATGAAAAGGATCATGAGCTTCTATCGCCCATTCAAGTTCAAGTTCTCGGAGATCAAAAGCTCAAGGAATACACAGAAGTACGTCAGAGCCGGATGTGCCCTGATGCATGCTCTGCTGCAGAGTCCCGAGGGAAGCAGGTACCTGTCCGACAATAAACTGCTACGACAGATCGCCGAGTGCTTGGCCCAGTGTGATCCTACCAGCGGCCTGACGGCACAAGACCCCATGTTCTCCAAGGACCGTCTCACCGATACACTTTGCGGTGGGTACTTCCCAATGCTCGGGATCTTGAGCGGGGACGCAAAGGGAATGCAGATGCTGGACAGATGGCGCATCTTCAACATGATGTACCGCATACTTGACCTCAAGCAGCGGCCGGACCTCATCAAGCTCATGCTCGCCAACTTCGACTATTCTCTGCAAGGGCACCCTCGCGTGCTGCTTTCGAAGGCCCTGACCGCCGGGACGAAGGACATCAGGATCTACGCGACGAATGCGCTGAGGAAGTACGTGACGCATCCACGGATGGGAGCCCAGGGTCAGGAACCTGCGGATTCGAAGTGGGCCATTCAGCTTCTGGTGACTCAGTTGTACGATCCAGAAGTCGAAGTGTGCGCGACAGCCGTCAAGATCCTGGAAAAGGCGTGCAACACAAAGAACCACCTCGAGTACATCGTCGAATGCCGGCCAGCGCTCGATCACCTGGGCGAGATAGGAGCTCCCCTGCTCTTGCGCTTCCTCTCGACCTCGATTGGCTACCACTATCTTGACGGGCTGGACTACATCAGCAACGAGATGGATGACTGGTTTCTGGGCCGGAACGACTCGTATGTGAGCGTCATCGAGGCGAGCCTCGCGCGCTCCTTCCTTGATCAGCAGGATGACCACGCGACAAACCGAATCAGCGTGTTTGGCGACGAGCACGAGATGGAGGCCGACAGTCACGTACCGCCACACTTCTACCGCGAGCTCACTCGGACAGAGGAGGGCTGCAGGCTGCTCAGTGACAAAGGCCACTTTGACGAATTTGCCGCCACGATCCGCGAGCACGGCATGCAGTCGGACGACGCGGAGATGATTGTCAAAGTGAAAGGCTGTCTCTGGGCCGTGGGAAACGTCGGCTCTATGGAACTAGGCGCGCCATTCCTGGAATCTTCCGACGTGGTCGAGCAGATCGTCAAGATAGCCCAGCACCACGAGGTCATGAGCCTGCGGGGGACCGCCTTTTTCGTCCTGGGGCTCATCTCCCGCTCCATCCACGGCCTCGAGATCCTTTCCGAGAACGGCTGGGACTCCAACACGAACATCCTGGGCCACTCTCTCGGCCTTTGCATCCCCACCGACCTCTCCCAGCTCCTCTCCCTCCAGCCATGGCAACACACCCCGGTGACCGAGATTGAGCTCCCCGACAGCCAGAAGACCGAGACGACCAAGCTGCCTGCCATGCCCTCCCGCCCGCGTTCCGAGTCCCTGCTCAAGGCGCTCCAAGAGGAGGCAGAGCAGGAAGCCGGCGTGGACGGAGAGCACTCCGGTCTCGTAGTACCGCGCGTGGAACTCGATCCTGACCCGACCAACCAGCGCATCCTGGAGCTGGTGATCGACATGTCGAACATGGTGCTGTACCGACGCGCTCGCAACGAGCTAATGCAGATCAAGACGCAGAAGAAGGCGGCAGGGTTCTCGCAGCCGCATCTCTTCCGTAAGGTTATGTCGTTGCTGGAGTGCCACCATTACAGGCTGGCGGATCGGAATATGATCGTGGGCTTGTTTGATAAGAGTGTCCTGAGAGCAGTGGTGTACAGGGAGGACGAGAGCGAGAGAGGAGAGGTGAGTGAGGAGGAAAGCGAGGAGGAAGCTGGGGACCGGGGTGGAAGCGGAATGGCGGTTAAGCCAGGGAAGCAGAGCGAGAGCGAGAGTGAGGAAGAGGAAGAGGAAGAGGAAGAGGAGGAGGAGGAGGAGAGGGAGAACGGCGACGAAGAGGAACAGAGCTCTGGTGATGAGAAACTCACAGAGCGGCAGAGGAGCATCAGCGACCCGGCACACAAGAAAAGAGCGGGTATGATTAGCAGACGGTTCGCCCGATAGCCGGGCGACAACGTCATGATGTCTATTTGGGTTTATACTGAATATCAATGAAGGGGCGTCCAGCACGAGTTGTGACCCGAGGGCACAAGCCGGCGTCGGTTGTATTTCCACAAAATCAGGGGGAACAGTAGGGGGGTTGCCAGGGGACTGAGGCGGTCACGGTTACGGAGCGGACTTGCATACAGGCATACAGGAGCGGTTGGGGACCTAGGTTCTGGCTGATGATGACGGGGGAAGCCCTGGGGGTGCTGGTCGGCGTTTCGAGCAACACTTCGGTTAGCTCCCTTCATTTTCTGTCATCTAGCATGGATTGTTGTACAAGCATACAGTACTAGGTACTGCCGTGGAGCGGAAAGCTGATATTGGGAACTCGAGTCTTAAAAAGATATTTGAACGCTTCCATTCCTTCCATTCTTTCCATTCTATCCACCTCAACGTTATTCAAGGTCCTGGGCAACCCCACAATTCCGCTCACTTATTCCCCCGCGCTGCAGCAAGTCCTGAGTGCTTTTCACTAGCTTGGGTCAGACCACTCGAGGAGAGGCATTTCATCGCACCACCTATACTATACATGCATTGTACAAGGACATACATACCAAAACGAAATCGCGCTCAAGATGGCTCCTGCAAGAGTGTTGGTAATCGCGGGCTCAGATAGTTCAGGCGGGGCGTATGTGGTCGTTTCTTCTCATATCGCAACTGCAATACCCTGGTTGTCGTCAAGACAAAGCGCTTATACAATGCTCTCACAGCGGACTGGAAGCGGACCAAAAGGTCATTGCTGCTCACGGGTGCTACGCCATGACAGCCACGACGGCGCTCACGGCCCAGAACACGAAGGGGGTGTATGGCATCCACCTGGTGCCGCCCGAGTTTCTCAAGAAACAGATCGACGCCGTCATCGAAGACGTTGGGGTAGACGTTGTCAAGACAGGTGAGCTCCCCTTGCGTCGCTTTACTTTTTCATCAACAACTCTGCATGTGCTGACTGCCGTACCTACCAACGAAGGCATGCTCGCCTCGGCCGAGACAATTGAAGTCATTGCTCAAGCCCTCGAGCAACACAATGTCTCCACCGTCGTGCTCGACCCAGTAAATATCCACCCTCTCCCATCTCTGCCTTCCGACTCACTCGCCTACGGGGAACTCACACTTCGGTGCGCTGCGCAGGTGATGATAGCAACAACAGGCGCCCAGCTGCTGCCTCCCGAAGCCCTCCACATCCTCCGCGCCCGCCTCCTCCCGCGCGCAAACATCGTGACGCCCAACGTCCCGGAAGCTCTCCTCTTACTCTCTGACAACAGCAGCAGCAGCCATATTGCAACAACAACGCCTGCGGCTGTCAGCAACGTAGGCGATCTCGAGACCCTCGCCCGGGCGATACGCAGGCTCGGCCCGAAGTGGGTCCTGGTCAAAGGTGGGCATTGCCCATTCCGCAAGGACGGTACCGCTGCTCGGGCGGAGAACGAGAGGGAGTTGGTGGTCGATGTGTTGGTTGGAGAAGGGGATGGCGGGACAGAGGAGGCCGCGGAGGTAGTGCTCAGGGTGGAGACGGAGTACTGCGATTCAACGAATACCCACGGCACGGGGTGTTCTTTGGCTTGTAGGTTTCTCCTTCTGGTCCAACTTTACTTTCCTGCTTCCCTCCTTCCTTCCTTCCTTCCTTCCTTCCTTCCTTCCTTCCTTCCTTCCTTCCTTCCTTCCTTCCTTCCTTCCGTGGCCTGTTATTCAATAGGGGGTGGTGATGTTGACTTATCGACAGCGGCGATTGCGTCGAACTTGGCAAAGGGGATGGACATGCCTGCAGCAGTCAGAGCTGGCTGCAGATATGTTCACGTCGGCATCCGTACTGCGCCGGGGCTGGGCGGCGGCAACGGGCCGCTCAACCACTTCCACTCGGTCTATGCGCTGCCCTTTTCGCGGTATGGGAGCGCCTCCTTCCCCCCTTACCTCGCTCCCCGTGTCAGTCCTTAGCTGATGCGTCCCAGGGGCCATTTCATCGATTACCTCCTCGAACGACCAGATGTTGCGCCTGTGTGGGACAGGTTTGTTAACCACCCGTTTGTGTTGGCCATGGGAGATGGAACGCTGCCGATTGAGTCGTTCAAGGGGTACCTGATCCAGGACTATCTCTATCTTGTATGTTGGCTCCTCTTTATTTAGTCTTTGGACGGACGGCTGCTGAGTCTGGGACAGACACACTTTGCTCGAGCCAACGCACTTGCTTCGTACAAGGCCGGTACGATGAAGGATATTGCTGCTGTAAGTGCCTCCATTTCCGGCCGGCGGGACCCTGATTGAAGGACAGCCGTGCTAAAGCCGGGGTATGAAGTCCGCCGCCATCGTCACGCATATCTTCCGCGAGATGGAGCTGCACATCGGCTATTGCGCAGGTTTTGGCATCTCGAGGGAAGAAATGGAGAAAACAGAGGAGAAGGGAGGTGAGCAGACTCCCTGTCTTGGTCTCTTCCCAATAGACGACTGACGACCAGATTGCAGCATGCACGGCATACACCAGGTTTCCCACTCCCTGACCTAATTTCATCAAGCACCTGCTGCGTTACCTGCTGACTGCATGCCAGGTACGTGCTCGACATCGGCCAGTCTCAAGATTGGCTTGGGCTCCAGGTAGCCATGGCACCCTGCCTCCTCGGATACGGCGCCATCGCCAGGCAGCTGCACGCCGATCCGCGGTCCAAGAGAGAAGGCAACCTGTACTGGACGTGGATCGAAAACTACGTGGCCGACGACTACACCACGGCAGTCAAGACGGGCTCTGGTGAGTGCAGACAAGCCAAGCCAAGAGCGGTGAAGGCAGAGAGCTGATTGCCGGACAAAGAACTCCTCGAAAGACATGCGGTGCTCCAGAGCGTGCCGCGGATAGAAGAGTTGGTCAAGATCTTCATCCACGCTACAAAGGTCAGCTGCTGGGTCTACTGGTTGGATGTGCCCCTCGACGCCGGTTGGACGCTGACACGTTTGGGCCTGCAGATGGAAATTGCGTTTTGGGAGATGTACAGTGCGTCTTAGACCGGCCTCAGATAACGAGAGAAGGAATTTGGGGAACGGCGGCGTCATACATATCCCGTACTAAACTGTGAGCGGCATTTTTGTCGGGGATTCGCGGAAAGACCAATCATAGAGCAAAGGAGAACAAACGTCGTTGATGTACCATACACAAGGGACATATATGTATGTACGTACTACAGTACTACATGGAACAAGTACATATGTAGGTAAGGTACCTTATATAGTTAGAGCAAAAAGCCGTCTCATCTCATCTCTCAACGCCAGCGGTCTGTCCCGCTATCCGACTCCCGGCCGCCGTCTCGCGGTCTGCCATGGATGGTCCCAACCTGGAAGGTACTAAATCCGTACGGAGTATAATACGGTACATACGAGCAGGTACGGGTTGCCACTTGCCACCTGCCAGCTGCGACACTCCACCACCTTCGTTATCCGCGTTATCCAGACCGACCAGCTGACAGGGGACCGTGCCTGCAAAACATTTTCTGAGCCACACGCAGGCCGCCAGAGGACCCAAAAAAAAATGTCCGGAGGCGACTGCCATTTTCCCTCCCTGCTCTTCCATCCGTCTTACAAAAAGGATTTTACGCACCTCCGCCTCGTCAAAGCATTCTTCCTCCTCGTCTCCCTCAAAAAAGTCCATTTTATCGCAACGCGCGAATTCGCTCATTTGTTCGAGCAAAGTACTTCGTATCGGAATTCGAAGTCACTCGCGACGCGCGCTTGGATCAGGTTGGCATTTTTTTTTTTTTTCCCGACGGATCCATCATACCGACGCCGAAACTCAGCGCGTCTTAATCGGTTTCATCATCGACCATCTACGTCGCCAAATCCCCCCGACTCTTAGAACATTGTTGGCTCCGCTTCCACACTTCTAATCAACCAAAATGTCTTCCTACGGTGGTGGTGGCTACGGCTCCCGCGGCGGCGGCGGCGGCGGATACTCGAGCGGTTATGATCGCAACGGTGGAGGATATTCTAACGGTTACTCGTCTCATGGGTATGTTTTCAACATTTCTTGCTCCTTTGAGTCGACGCCTTCAGTCCATTCTTGATGGCGGATGGCACAGTCCTTCGAAATCCACGCCATTTTCGTGGTCCGTTTGATGGCCTAGCTGCTAACTCTTGTGTCACAGTGGATCTGGTGGCTACTCCGGTGGCGGCGGTTACGGCGGCGGCGGCGGCGGCGGCGGCTACGGCGCCGGTGGTGGCTACGGCGGAGGCTACGGAGGCGGCGGTGATCGCATGTCCAATCTGGGTGCAGGTCTGCAGAAGCAGACCTGGAACATGGATACCCTGCCCAAGTTCGAGAAATCGTTCTACCAGGAGCACCCCAGCGTCGCAGCCCGCTCGCAGGCAGAGGTCGACAAGTTCCGTCGCGATCACGCCATGACCGTCGCGGGTCGTGATGTTCCTAAACCCGTTGAGACGTTTGACGAGGCCAACTTCCCTCGCTACGTGATGGATGAGGTCAAAGCGCAGGGCTTCCCCGCTCCGACTGCCATCCAGTCTCAAGGCTGGCCGATGGCGCTTTCCGGTCGTGATGTCGTCGGTATTGCCGAGACTGGCTCCGGCAAGACGCTGACCTACTGTCTCCCAGCGATCGTTCACATCAACGCTCAACCTCTTCTCGCTCCCGGCGACGGCCCGATTGTGCTGGTCCTGGCTCCCACACGTGAGCTGGCTGTTCAGATCCAGCAAGAGATCACCAAGTTCGGGAAGTCATCTCGTATTCGCAACACTTGCGTTTACGGCGGTGTGCCCAAGGGCCCTCAGATCCGTGATCTCCAGCGCGGCGTCGAGGTGTGCATTGCCACCCCCGGCCGGTTGATCGACATGCTCGAGTCCGGCAAGACCAACCTCCGTCGCGTCACTTACTTGGTTCTCGATGAAGCGGATCGCATGCTCGACATGGGTTTCGAGCCTCAGATCCGCAAGATCATCGGCCAGATCCGGCCTGACCGTCAAACTCTCATGTGGTCGGCCACCTGGCCCAAGGAGGTCCGGAACCTGGCTTCCGACTTCCTGACTGATTTCATTCAGGTCAACATTGGTTCCATGGATCTGGCTGCGAACCATCGCATCACCCAGGTTGTCGAGGTGGTCTCGGAGAGCGAGAAGCGCGACAAGATGATCAGGCACCTCGAAAAGATTATGGAGGGCAAGGACAATCAGAACAAGATCCTCATCTTCACAGGCACCAAACGTGTGGCTGACGACATCACCCGCTTCCTTCGCCAGGACGGCTGGCCGGCGCTTTGTAGGTTTTCCCCGTCGCTGACAATTTTTGATGGCACCATTTCGCTAACACCATCGCAGCAATCCATGGTGACAAGCAACAGAACGAGCGTGACTGGGTGTTGGATCAGTTCAAGACCGGAAAGAGCCCAATTATGGTCGCCACTGACGTTGCGTCGCGTGGCATCGGTATGTGTCCCCTCCCCACCATGCCCCGAACCCTTTATGGGCAGCCTTCCAGCATCGAGGTGTGCTGTGCTTTACTCTTGTGTCTAGGGGCTTCCTTGATTGCGCGTACTTGCCTGACCTCGTGTCTGTACGGTCTTCCCGAGAGGAGTCTTGGATTCGTGACGTAGCTGAGACGCCTTTCTCACTGCTATGCCGTAAATTCTTCTCTTGTACCGTTTCTTCTGCCGCGGTACAAGCGTGGAGTAGGCATCTCTTGACCCCGATCAAGCTTGTCTCCAAGATTCCCCGAGGCCCGAAGACCTTGGATCTTTGGATCTCCCACCGGCATACTCACCGCAATGGACAGCCCACCTGCCAAGCAGAGAAGTACAGCTATAACAGGCACGAAATATACTTAGTTATCCGTGCCATACGCCGTCCGTTCATGCTGGAACGGTTGCTTGCCGCCCATGCTGCAAGCCGTTGCTAACCATTTCCTTCGTTTCAAAGATGTGCGCAACATTACTCATGTGCTCAACTATGACTACCCCAACAACTCGGAGGACTATATCCACCGCATTGGCAGAACTGGCCGTGCCGGCGCCAAAGGCACAGCCATCACCTTCTTCACCACTGACAGTAAGTTTCCGCGCTCCCATGTCTCGTCTGTCTGAGCGATTCGCTAACCACTCAACCAGATGCTAAGCAGGCCCGTGACCTCGTGGGTGTCCTCCAGGAGGCTAAGCAGCACATTGATCCACGTCTCGCCGAGATGGCTCGCTACAGTGGTGGTGGTGGAAGCGGCCGATATGGCGGCTACCGTGGCCGCGGCGGTGGTGGATTCCGTGGTGGTAAGTGTGTAACAGTCTATCTTCGGGCGCGGGGGGACATACGCTGACCGCGCTATGACAGGACGTTCAGCCGGCGCTAATGGCGCCAATGCAATGCCCGTTGGTAACCGCCGCTGGTAAAGAACCTGGACGATGAAAACGGCGACGTTTTGCGCGACGCTTTCACGTAAGCGTTGCTCGCGATTTAGATCATTTCGTGAACTGGTCTGTCGAACCAGTGGCATACGGCATTCGGACATCATGGCGTTCGGCATAGAGGGCTCTTCCTTAGAGGTTGCTTCGTGGCTCAAGTAGCCACTGCTTTTGTTGTTTGTTTTATGTCACTACTCGGCTTGGGATGAAGGCGGCCGATTCCTTCTCACGAGACGACGAGGCGTTCCTGGGCTGGCTAGAGCTCACTAAGGATCCTACCGTCTCCCAGTTCGTCAGGCGATTCTGCTCGGGCATCCATTGGTTGGTCGTCACACCCGGCGATACCTTCCTCTTGGCCGATGTCCAACTGCGGAAGCGGCTCCAGGACCTTTGACATGTCATATTGTCTTACTCTTTCCCATCATGGTCGTGATGATTCCTTATATTCACAGGTACTAGCCGTGGATTGAGGAGAAAGAGGCTCTCGTGGCTTCGGCCGAGGTGGACCAGGCTGTCACAGATATCATCCTGCTCGTTTCGTTTGGCTGATGATGACACAAGGAAGTCTTTATTATTGTAAGGTATCTAGTTTCAGGAGAAAAGCGAATGCCAGAATGATTAAAGAATGGTAGATTTCTACTTGAGGGAGTCAGGTGTTTGCCTTGCCTCACACATCGAATGTGAAGCAAGGCGTCTGGTTCCAACCCAAGACTGTCAAAATCGGCACCGCCAAAGGTGACCGTGTAGTATTTTCATCCATTCCTTGCTGTTCTCGGGTCATAGAAGGCGTCAGGCTCTCTTAGCAAACTACTTCCCATACGTTAAGACAATGTGGAATAGCTCCCTCATCTACGGAGTATTTGGGTGCTTGACTATCGTGAGCTAAGAACCCCTTTGCAGTTGCAGGAAAATCTAGGCTCTGTCATGGTGCGCTGCGGTTCCTTGCCTTCCTCTATCTGCTTCCCCTGAATTTTTTTTTTTTTTTTTCCCCCTCTTGGTATTTCGCATGAGAGATTAAGGGACACCGTGTCTGAGATTCTATCCTCATCATTACCAGGCCAAACCCAGCTTGTACGGGCCCCCCGCTTCTTCGTCTGGCTTTGGAGTCGTGGGTGGAGTTGCACATGCGGCTGGATCTTGGGGTTTTCACACAGTAGGAAGCATGTCCGCTATCGGCAGCGTCATTTGTTACAATGGGTGGGTTCAGAGTCCTTCTCGCTGGGGCAAAAGGATGATAAGACGGGCTTTCTGTGTGATGGCGCATCCGACAGCGGGGACTCTTGGGTGTTGGTGCCCAAATGCTTTGCTTTGCCGTGTGTAGATATCTGGTGAGCAAGCTGGGGAGAGCTGTCTGGTGCAGAGGCCCCAGAGTCTAGACTGCGGCTCTAACTAGCAAGTGTGAAGTGCTAGTGTACGTTTGCAGATTCTCTTGAAACGGCGTAGCATCACGATTCACCATAATGGGAACCTGGGCGAGAGTCTGGGGTAGGTGCTAGTCCGTAGTGAGGCCGGGGGGAGGGGACAGGAGCGGAACCTACTGGCGGTAGTGCGTGGAGGGAAAGCGTCCATTAGCCCGCTAGCCGGAAACTCCATAGACTGTACGTCCCCATCGGTTGTTGGCGAGGAATGAACATCCTCTTCTCAGCTCTAAACAACATCGCTGACGTGAATAGGGCTACTCCTACGTGGCGGACTATCCAGAGGTTCCGCTCATGCTTCACTAGGATTTCTTATCCAGTGGTGATCTCTCAGGAAAGCAGTCGCCCATCGGCTGAGCGGGTCGGATGCCCTCACTAACTAACCTAAAGTGGGTGACTGGCTTCTGCACGTCAAAGGGGCGAAAGGGGGGGGGGGGGTTTGATCGCGTTCTGTTGTCAGCACTCGGCCGACTAGGGTAGGTATGTACGGAGTACAATACCTAGTAACATTAATGCCTGCCGAGCTTCCGGCCAGCCTCTCCCCTCCTTTGTGGTGGAAGAAGGCCGAGCAAATGAGACCCAGATCCGAGGTGCAATTATTGTTGTGATTTTCCCGTCAGTATGGGACACCCTCGTCCCGTGATGCACCCCCCTCCCCCCTCCACTTTGACATGTGCTGGCATGCTGCAGTGCCTACTGTGGTAAGCTGAACGACAACTCACTTTCCTACTGTAGGCGGTCTCTCTCTCGGATCAGCGAGCATCCTACACAGTGAGGCGCTCATCAGTTTGTTGTCTTGGCTCGAACCACCAGGCGGTGGATCTTTCAACCTTCGTCCTACGGTATGACTCGGGCTTTCCTGGAGCAAGGATCCGCCTTCGACGCAGTGTGCGTTCGCAGTGCCAGCAAACTGACGGCAGTGAGGAACTGCGGATGGTGTCGAGGGTACTATTACAGGGCTTTTAGCTAGTGTGCCTGTCTATGCTTTACTGCCTACCTTACTACGTATCGCGACGGTTCCTTTTCACACATATCGGTGTAACTGAGCCCTCGTACGGTACTCCGCATACTCCGTACCTACCCGGAAACCGGTAGCATGGTAAGCTAGATGTTCGGGAAGCTTTAGTTGATTACTTAGACCGGCCTATTGTAACGTGCATGGGGCCCGGGAAGCTCAAGTAGGGCGCTGGGAGATGAAGTCTTGATGAATGAGCTCGACCCATTCGTCTTTTGCTGTGCTGCTCTCGTTTTCTGTCGTTGCTCGACAACTGACTTTCACTGCATCCAGCAGCATGACATTGACCGAACCATTGTAGAACGGAACAAGCCGGTCGTGACGTTCATGGCGCGACGCCATGAAGGTGGTGCCCGGAATTTGCTCCGGGTCTCAGGCTTGGGAGCCTAGGGTTGATGAGTACCCGACGCTGGCAATGATGAAGGTACCAGACATTAAAGATCCCAGGACCCGTTCGCGTGATGACACGCGCAAGATGAGATCGCACCATTTCGTGTCAATCTGCAGGGCCAACATGATGATGCAGAATAACTAGTTAGGTATGAAGTCCTTTGGCCAAGCCTCAGCTTCTTACCGCGCGGGGCGAAGGAAGCCCTTCTTTCTTCGTCCAGGAGGTTTCATGGGGCGAAAATACGTCGGCCAAATTGTTACTAGGTACCTTAGCTGTTGCTGCGAGGCCTCGGTGGCGGTCAACGATAGTCAAGCATTCACCCAGCCCGGCTGATGGTCAAATTTCGGTCAGTCTAACCAACCACTCACTGCCCGTTCAGTGTCTCAAACCCCCCTTATCAAGATCGCGACAAGCGCCTCCCGGGTTCGAGATCATTGCGTCTTCAGCCGCTTGGACGACTCCACCAGCACTGTCAGCATCGCTTGGTGCTCTGTTGTGAATCGTCGGCCGGGTCCGGGACCTTTTTGAGGGCTAGGGCAGGGGTATGGGCATGAGCTTTTCCACCAGATTGCCCCAAAATCGTCTAAGCAAGCGAGGATGGTGGGGCCATCTAGCCCGTTGCTGCCGTCCTTCGCTGGAACATGGCTGAGCCAAGCGTCATGCCCGTGCCATTGGACCCAGCATCGTGATTCCCACAGTCCAGGGTACCCTGCTAACGTAGCGGTGGTAATTTTCCCGCCCACGTCCTTTTCGTCAGCGTCTCGCAGCACCCAAGAAGAAGTGCTGCACACCCAGAGGTGAGATACACCCTCTCGGCCAAAGGGGGCGGGCTTCGCATGTCAGTGCAGGGCTTCGGTGCAGTCCCAGACCAGAGCGGGCAACCATTCGGCGAACATATATTCGATACGCGGAAATTTATACGTTATGTAATGTAACCATAAGGTTACCTAGCGATATCTTGCCGCGGTTGCCTTGTCAGTTCGACGGCGGAAACTATTCCGTGTTACAAAGACGAGGTCCCCTCCTTCATACAATCTCACCCAAACGATCGGGCTTTGAATTCAGAAAGGTGCATTTTGTTGTTCGAGTCACGTGCAGTTCCGCTGCTGCGTCTGCGAGGTCGCACAACTGGTTGTTGATTCACCAAACTGGTCTTGCCTTGCTCGTTTTGCCATCGACAAGTTGGCGGAAAGCTAGCCGGAAAAGTACCGACCATCCTAGAGTTGCGGGGTTACGTGGGAAAGTGGTGGCTGGGCAGTAGCCATTTCTAGAAATATTGAAATATCGTATTGACAGCATATGGTAATTATGCGGAACGAGTAACTTACAGATTCGGTGCCTGGAATTCAGGATATTCGCTGTGATTCTGTACGTACATACAGACGATTCAGACCGGCTTCCCCAATCTGGGTTAGCCGGAGCGCCGGCATTGTCTCCACGTCCATGACTGGACTGAACGGTATTGTATATACATATCCTTACGCATACAGTCCCACTGTTCCGATAAGGGTTCCAACCTCATCCCTCTCCTGTGGTATCTCTTCACTTCCGGACAACCTATAACGTTATCCAATAGCTTCATGTGAACCCGAAAGAAAAATCCGCCGTTTCCACGCTCATCATTGGTCCCGGGATGTGCGGTATTAACTTAGCATATGAGGTTGGTACCTTGGCAACACGGGTCTGCTCACCGCAACATGGTCTGTCACGCGCAACTCAAGATTATCCGGACATGATTGCCCTGAGCGAAGACAATAGGCATTCCCCTTCGGTAAGTCGGCGTTGGGTCAAGCCGGTCATCGGCCTTCCTGCAAGATGGCCCCGCTCTCTCTTGTCGCAGCGGGGGTAAGCGGATACCCAGGCTGCTCCAGATCGGGGTATCAGCGGTCCCAGCCCATCTCGAGAACTTCAATTTAATGTTCCTGTCTCCTCCCTCGAGAGCTTTGCCTTCGGTAGCACAGCATCTTGGTTCCCGAAGCAAGGTTTCGCAAAAAGCACGGGTTCCCGCACCTAACCCCGTTAGCGAGGGCCACTAGGCTGTTCAACACGTGGCAGGCTCGCTGCGACGTTGATCGGTGATACACGGATGGGTGACCATCACCACACATACTTCGTACCGGCAAGATTACCTGCGTACTCGAGCTCTCCGAGGGGCCAGCTTCTTGCAGGTCTCTGTACGTACGGCTGCTGCTTACTAAGACGGCTATCTTTCGTTGTGCTACATCTGGCGCATGTGAGCATCCATGTATCATTTGTGGTTAAGAGCGATGGATTTTCCCGTATTAGTACTACGACTGTACTGTATGTACTTACTGTACGAGCGCGTGCGGCATGACTGAAATGACGTTCAGTAGCGTGGGCACTGTGTGCCTGCGAACTGGTACGCGATTTTAGTGTATCCGAACCTTCGGGTCATCCATCGGTAGAGGCAAAAAAGCTGAAGACTCGGCAGGCAAATCGCTCGATCTCTTGGCAAGAACTAAACAACTGCTCAGCTGCTTGGTTGTCTTTGTCGAGGCGGCAAGGAGTCCTGCGGTATGCCCAGCTGGTGTGAGACCTTTCAGAAGACTTTAGTTAATGGTACTAATGCTCTTTCCCGGGTCTCCGTTGCTTGGGGCCAGCGTCCTGCATTGCATCACTATGGCAGAGTGAGAAGCTCACTGCTAACCTAGTTATTCGGCTGCCTGATAAGAACACTGACGATGCACTTCAAGGAACAGAAGTGGTACTGGAACGCTAGTAGGCGATGGAGCCCTGCTTATTACTGTGGTAGGGAGCCCTGCTTAGTGCGACTATACTTCGATTTAAGCTCGCGACGGCGCCCAACTTCGCAACACCGTCTGTTCCATCCAGCCCCAGCCCGGCCCAAGCATCCCAGATTTTTAATCAGGACCCCAAGCCCCCCGTGCCAACGCCCATGTTAGTCTCGCCGCGTCGCGGAGTCCTCAAACTTTAATTCAACCGTGCCTATTGTCTACCTCGTGCCGATGGCATATTGTAATAACTATTGCTTCTACCGATCTCACCATAATGCTGGCAGTGGCAACCGCGGTCTCGATTCGGAAACTTAGGTATCTATTACTTCCGTCGAAACTACCTACTAAATGGCCTCCCCCCAGGCCGGAGAACGAGATCCGGTTCCCTCGGCTGTAGTGTAGGAAGGGATTGACAAGGCGGTGTCGATGACTTCTGATGAGAGCTTTAGACTCAAAGCGAAGTTCATGCCGAGCCTGCTAGCATTTATTAGCGAGCAGCGCGAAATCCAAAATTACCTGGTACACGTGTACGGACAGTTACCGCATGATGAAAAATAAGAGGCAAGCGGAGCGATATCCCAAAATGTTATTTTTACCCGTGGGGCTGGACCAATCTCTTGATGCCCGGATCCTTGGGATTTCCTCACCCACATCTTCGCATCTTTGAGACCCTGGTCGAAGGCTCAGATCATCACACAGTGCGATCCCACCAGATTCCTAGGGTCGATCGCCAAACTCGACTTACACAGTACACTAGGGAAAAGCCGTCTCCCCCAGGATTTGTATCGATCTCATCAGCCGAGGCTTCTTCCCTTGAGCTTGCATTCGGTGGTTTGCATTCAAATCATAGACACAGTATGTTTCGCCAGGGTGTGATCGCTGTTGTAGTGTATCCATGCGTCGCTGCTCGACTGCTATCTTGCACTCGCATCTTGATACTGCACTCAAGACATAGGAGTTCTTGAACTCTAGGTACCCTGCTGAGGCGCCTTTCGAAGTTGTCCACCGTCGAGGACTCCACAGAATGCAAGCATCCTGCCATTATTAGTGTACACTCGGTCACGGTACTGTATTGCGTATTTTCGGAATCTCAGGTCACTGGCAGTCTGCTGCCGCCTCCACCCCTCGCCACTCACGCCCGCCTTTCGCTTGCCGCCACTCGGGGACTTTTTCACCATGAAGAGAAGGAGCAGCGCAAGCGCAAGCGCAGGCCAGGATAAAATAACTCCCGTCATTATCAGATACCCAGGAAGCTGTTTCCTCTCTCGAGCTTTTCTGCGTACAGTAACGATCTGTGTCAGGGAGACTTACAGTAGGATACTCAGTGGGAAGAGTGAAAGAACGTCACGGTACGAGGCGCCATATGTGTTGGAAATGGCACACACCTCCGCATCAGGTCACAACCGCGAATTTGCACGAGTCATTACTATTAACACACAGGAAGCGCAGCGGTGGGGACTTGGGCAGGGGCGGGTCAACTCGCACTACGAGTACCCTGCTCCGGGTCCGCGCTTGTTGATTCCTTCACCCATCCAAGTCGGTACCGAACAACACAGCATCTATCGGAACCCTACCTCAGTTCTGTTTTTTGGGCGGTCCGTAGACTTTGAATTAATTGCATGGTCTTAAACGAACATTGAAAGTGACAAACACAAAAACAGTGATTGGTGCCAATCGACATCTTGATGTGTGTTTAATGCCCTGTACGGGGGCCAGGCTATATGCGCCATGTGCAGCATGCAAAAGCGTGGCCATGGTATCGGATCTTCAGGTTCTGCTTTAAAACAAACATTGAGCTGAGCGATCAGTTGCATTGTCCCCGGCCATTCACTGTGCAGGAACGACGGTTTCTTGGTACAATACATACCTTCTTACACTTTGGGATGCGGATGATACAGATTGTGTATTTTACAACCCACCGGTGAAATTTGAAAGGTACCTTACCTTATTTTGACAGAGCAGCGAGTGATGATTTACCCTCGCATTCGCTCGAAGTTTTGAGCCTTGCTCGAGTTGAGTTACAATGCGCGATTATACCATTGTGTCACTTATAAATTGCAGACCAGAAACTGAAAGAAGTCCTATATAAAGGAGGCTCAGTGAGCCGACTAGCAGGTGTTTTAGGCATCGAATGAAATCTTCCAAGTTTCAGTAATCGCACCGGTCTGTATGCAGGACCACCACACAGCACAGAGCGTCGAGGGGAAGATAAGAATATTCAGTTTGATACAGTACATACACCCCCCTGCCAGTACAGTGTTACGTAAGATATTGTACAGTACGTATCTGTCCTGCACAGAGCATCTGGCTCCACTCACTGGTGGGGATTGCGACAGCAGGCACCTTCAAGCTGGACCTTGCGGTGCGGAGAGAACCCAGAGCGTCAACTTGACCCCATCCACCATCTCTCAATCCCTTCCACCCCCCACCTCCCTTATAAAGCCACACTCATACCCGCACTAAACTCAATTTTTCGCTTGACCGAACCACCCACGGCTCCTTTAACATCCTCACACGCGCTGCTACAGCGCATAAAAATCACGAGTCCCAAACTCGAGTGCCGTGGTTGCCAGCCATTGTGCGCCTCGATTTGACCGATTTCCCGGTTCTCGGGAACTAGTTCACCTCGCTGCGGCTCTGGTGCGTGAGGGTCACCTTAGCGTGCCCACATCGCACGCTAATTCGCTTTGGCGCGGATTTTAGCAGCAACCCAAGACCAAGCCGGGGCTTGCTGATTCGGCTTCACGACCTGGCTAATTTAATCGGCCTCCCACCCCACAATAAGCTCGTCCATCAACCGAACTTTATACTCGGGAGAGGGCGTTCCAAAGCAACGGGCCGGCTTTTCATCCTATCTGCAAACCGACCCCTGGCGCTTTAAGGTTCGGTTGACGGGTGCCCTGGCTTCATCCACCACGGCGCCGTATACTTCGCCTAGTCCATTGCACTCGGCGGCAGATCCAAGATACACCCCGTCACCGAGAACGATTGGCGTTTCGCCCGACTTCTTGAGGCAGTTGAGAAAGAATCCGTGCAGTGGCACAAACAACATCTCGTGATCACCAAGCCATCTCAGTCACTCGCTGATTCTTCCATGGACCGCGGCGCCCCGGAATACTCGCAGTCAGGTTTGCCCTCGCCACATCCCAGCAGCGTCGACGACACCCAGTCTAAGGCGTCGCCCATAGATCCAGCGACTGCTGCGCCATACGCCGCCCAGCAAGAGCCTCGGTCAGCCGCCTACTCTAACTCGGCCACTCCGACGTCAGATTACAGCGTGTATCCGCCCACGTCACGGTCTGGCGCGTTTCCAGAGATGCAGCGCCAGTACCCGCCTGCTCCCAACCCCAACGGCGGCAGTGCAGGTATGCCGCAGACTCCCACAAGTCCGTCCATGCCTTTGGGAGATGGGCGCAGCCATCAGAACCCCCAGCAGCAACAGGCCAATTCTGACAGCCATGTGCCTATAGATCCATCCATGGCAGCGCCGAGTCCGACTTACACCACGCATGGCCAGTACTCGCCATATGCTCCGCCCCCTCACCCAGACATGGGCCACGGCTATCAGCAGCATGGAGCTCCAGGCTTGTATGCCCAGCCTCGTCCAGACTGGGCCGGCTACAGCCAGCAGGCCCCGGGGCATATCACCCCGACTCAGCACGTATTCCACCACCAGCCTCCAGCATCACAGGTGAGAACCAATCAGGTGAGTTTGGCCGCGGCTTGTTCTCCTTTTCAGCCTCCCTTATTGGTAGGCAGCCCTTGCTAACCGCCTCTTTAGGTCTATAGCTTTGTTCCCATTCCTGGCGCGCAGCAGCACAAAAGGCCCAGAAGACGCTATGAGGAGATCGAGCGTATGTATCGGTGTGGCTGGCAGGGGTGTGAAAAGGCCTACGGCACTTTGAACCATCTCAATGCCCATGTGACAATGCAGGGTCATGGACAGAAGCGGACTCCTGAAGGTATGCTACTGATGCCGCCTTTGCTTCAGCGATAACTCCATGCTAACTCCGTCTGTCACCTCCAGAGTTCAAAGAAATTCGCAGACAGTGGAAAGCACGTAAGAAGGAACAAGAGGCGGCTAATAAGGCTGCTGAGGAGGAACGCCAGCGGCAGGCGGCGGCGGCCGCTGCTGCTGCTCAGAATGGCGGCCCCGACCAGCAAGCTGCTGCGGATACCGCTCAACCCCCGACGACATACGCGGCCTCCGGGACTGTTCAGTTGCCCCCGATCGGATACCAGGCCCGATACCCTAACCAATCCGCCCCCGGCATGCAACAGCCGCTGCCCGAGTACAACTACTCGAACTACTCCCCGACGTCGCCGTACGGGCAATCCAACCAGCAAATGTACAACCAACGTGAGTCTTGACTTCGTACTCAGCCAACTCGCATTGGGAGTTCGGCTTGCTAACTTTGAGCCTAGATAACGGTGGACCTGGCGGCAATCATTAATTCCATACCCATTGGATCTTTTCTAGAACCCCGCCACCTGCTCGGGGACGCATCAAGCAAGCATTTGGACAACATCACTTTTTACTGTCAACTTTCCACGTTTTCTCTTCCTGCCTTCTCCAGGTTATGAGCGTTCGGGGCCCTGGTTTCTCAATTGCAGCAAGAAGCCAAGCCACATCTTTCGTTTCTGGAACGAGCGACTGGGTTTTAGTTGCAGCATACAGGCAAAGTTAACCCCACTTTTTTATCAATTCTTTTTCGTCAAAATTGCATGGTTCCGGCATGGAAAGGCCTGCATTTTTCTTTCACCGCGGGGATTTTGCAGCATGGGCTTTGGGCGGCGGTTATACCCCAAAAGAGGAAGAGGTGTTATGTAGCATCATTGGGGGGGAAGGGGACTTTGGGCGATCGAGGCTGTGGGAGCATTTGATGAGCTGGCGGACGTGGAATGGTGGGGTCTCTTCTTGGTGGCCTTGAGGACCCCTCGACATTCTCCTGTTTCCCGCTATTCATGTTTGTTTCTTACCTCAAACGCCCTTCTCTTATGACACGGTAACGGCAAAGGCGGTGATGGGCGTTTAGGACTATCTGAGTCGCATCGTACGCAATGCAGCACCTTGCGCGTGACCCGCGGGGGTGGTGGCGCTACGGTGATAATCTCCCTTCCAGATACTTGAACTTCCATGATTGTTGGATGAGAAACCTACCGAGAATTACTATACAGGGCTTCCCCAACGGACGCTGGCAGGACGCACTGTTGTCCATGCTACGTCACTAGAAACCACATTGAGACTCGGCGGAGGAAATGCCGCTGAAATTACCTGCTTTCTGTGTTCTCGCAGCCGCACCAGTGTCCGGGAAGACGTTTCCGACAGCGATCTATCTATGTCTAAGTGAAGAGAGGGTGACACAAAAAGGTACCTAGTCAAACAATACAGGTTTTGTTCCGCACCTCTCCTCAGTTATTGGTTACATAGATATATATGTGGCTGGCATATGGCTAGCTGCAGTTAAGTCCATGATGGTTCAGCGGGACTCGACTTGAGGATGGGCGAGAGATACTACTGTCAATACTCGCTTACTCCCATCGTTCGGTTCCGCGGCCATGGGACTGGAAGTTAGCGGCTACGCCTCCCTTTTTTGCGGGTCGGCAAACCCGATTGTCTGGTAAACTAGTAGGTGAGGGTAAGGTTTTAGATCCCGTCTGTGTACACTTAACCTTCGTCGACGTTGGATGCACACCAACGTGGGGGGAAAGGCGGGTCCGGGGAGATATTGTACAAGTGTGTACGCAAAGCCAGGTTACGGTGCATGTACAGCGCAGGCTGTACAATACATACGAAATGCGAGTCATGCTTACGGCAGTGTTGCTTTGCGTCGAAAGTTTCGCCCTGTTTCTGCATGGGCACTTACCCTGTCTTGCGTTAGCTTTGTGTAACCACACTCCTGGCGGAGGGGAAACGGCGGCGCGGCGCGGCGAAGCAGCGAGACAAGCCGAAGCAACTTGAAACGGACCTTGGCCGGGCTTTCGTCTGTCACGCAGGCTTGTGCTACAATCGACTGAAGTCAAGGGGCGCTGGGCCGGACTCGGGTGGCAGAATGCGGCAGCATTGTTAGAGGTGCACAAACGGGAACCCGACTCGGACCGAGTCTCGTATGCATGCACATCGCCCCGGCCAACGACGGCTATCACAGCCGATCTATTCATTCTACATATCGTTGCTGACAATTCAGAATGGAACACTTAGGGCCGACCGCGGCACGGAAAGAGCCCACAGGATTCGTCGGTAAGACAGACCATGAGTTCGACAATATCTCTCGGGATCTGCACGCTCAAGCAACCCTAGAAGTCGGACGACAAACCAACCACTGCAAGGCGGACAACCTTACTAGTTGCTTGAGGTTCCCGACTTACCCTTGTCTGCTGACCTGCCCTCTCCCGAGGCGCATCGGCAGCGCACTAACGTTAGCTAGTGTACATGTACCTCTCACCAGTTGCGAAGAGAAAGAAGCGAAAACGCCTGTGGTACAGTACCCTTTGCCAAGCACAGTGGGGACAACAAGGGCTGCGGACAAGATTCGGAGGTGAGCCATGCTGCGAGTGTACCGACAGGACCGTAGCTCCCGATCCCGTGTATGCATCCCTTTCCAGAGTCATCGATGGCAGTGTAGCACACGGCTAGTGCACCCTAACGTACCTACCACCTAGGTAAGTCCCGAGACCTGTCTTGCAGTATACTGTTCGGTACTCCGTACTGCGGTACTTACTGTGCACGTTGCCGGCCGTTCTTGGCGTCATTCGTTGTGGGTCGTGACACCTGAGACAGTGGATAGAAACTCGGAAAAAGTAGCGAGTTTATTGACCAGCGAAGCTCACAACATCAAAATCGGATGCGGCATTCAGCGACGAAGCTACCGTCCAAACCTTTCTTTGTATGCGGCTTGCCTTCGGCATCCAGTTGAAAAGGGTTGGCCTATTTTGCGGCCTTGATCGTCTAGTATTCCACCAGAGTTCAGGTACTCTCTATGTCTGGCTCTTCAATGCAGGCGGAGGCATCTGGGGATGAAACCCCGTTGATTTCCGCAGAAGCTGTGTGCGATAAAGCGATGGAGAAAGGGTTCGCCAGACTTGAGGGAGGCGAGGCCGGTAGTCATCCTCTGCCGACCTGCCTCCAGAACGGAGATATCTTTAGCATCTTGGGCTTGCCCGAGAACTCCACAGTCGGACTTGACACTCTAGCGATGACCACCAAAAGGAGCCTCCCCGGTTTCCGTGATATCCCATCGGGCCCGCACTTCCTCTGGGTTCAGCAGCCTGGGGGGGTTTCTCGGTGCGGATATTGGTTCGTAACTGGCGCGCAAGGAGATCTTCGCATCAAGCAGTGGGACAGGGATAATGAGGTGCTGGGAGAGCCGGCAAGCAATGTTCAAGCGGCCAACATCGAGTCCGTCTACTCAATGCTACAACCATACACCTTGCTTGAGCAGAGGAACACTATCTCAGCCTCCCTTCCGATGTCATCGAACGACACCCTCTTACAGTGGGCACGATTCCCAGCGAGACTCTGGTGTACCCTGACGAGCGCAATTTCGACACAATCCTTGCGCAGGTTATTCGGCAAAGGAGGCGTCAGGGAGTACCTCATCGACTCGGTAGACTCCCTAAACTTCCTCTTCGCCCAAGACTTCCGCGACCTGCAAATCCTCGACGTGGGGCCCCCGGAATCGCGCGTTCCCGACACCTCGGCACGAGTCGAGGCATTGTTGTTGGACAGCGTCGACGGCCCAGTCACGGAGCGGGACATCCTTGCAGAGCTGCAGTTTACCTTCCTCACCGGCACGCACCTCGGCAACCCGGCCTGTCTCGAGCAGTGGTGGAACCTAGTCCTTCAGATTGTCCTGCGTGCTTACAGCCTCGCCATCAGCCACCCATTGCTCGCCAAAGGCCTTTTGCAGACTCTCTTTGCGCAGCTCTTCTACACCGAACACTACGTCGGCTCTTCTTCACCCTCCTCCCCTTCCCCCCTTGCAGACCAGCCAGATGGACGGGGAACTAAAAAGGACGGGCCCAACAGCGACAGACCGATATACCAGTACAGGCCCCGCCTTAAAGAGAAGCTTCGCCAGGTGCTATCGCAATACAAGCGGAAGCTCCAGGAGCTGCTTCTGTCTCGCAACGGCCATGTCACGCCGGCACAGCAGGCCGTTGGCAAGGTGTTTGAGGAACTGGAGGCGTGGCTGTGGCAATTTGACTGGAACCTCAGAGGGAATCACACACCGGGGCGGGAGAACATCATGCCAGAGATGGTAGACAGTGATGAGGAGGACGACGGGCAGCCCGTTGTGGTGGAGCTTGACGAGGAGGGTAGGGAGGTCGGGTTGGTGTCTTTCGGGGACTAGACCGCTACTCTTTCTGTTGTCTTTGGCAGGGGGAACGCGGGGGCTCCTCGTATGCTTGTGGACATCCTCTCTCGACTAGTAGTGCTCGACTTGGCTCGAGGATATCATCTCCCTTTGAGTTTGCAGGGGGTTATCCCCAGTAGCTTTGTGTAATTTCGACAGAGAGATGTGAATGAGAGCGAGTTATGAGCAACGTCACTGTTACTTATCCCATCCGTTGGTAAAAGTGCAGATAGCCATTGGGAACGGGTCGCTAAGAAGCTTCATAACGCAAGCAGCATTGCAAGTTGCATCATGGATGTTGGTCCGTCGTCAGCGAGATAAGGTATCGGTGCCATGCCCTGCCTTATCTTATCGCCCTACAATACCGGCCGACGTCATTCGTTCACCATCCAAGACAACTTGGGACAGTTCAACCACATCCTCAACTCGAGTAATCACCTGCTCACGCACACAATGTCCCGCAAGGGCGTCGGCCTAGCGGCCTTCGATCGCTCGCGCCTGACCTCGGCGCAGTACGCAAGCCACGGCTCGACGCTGCGCTCCACCAATGCGCAGGCGCTGGAGACGCAGCTTGCCGTGTTCCGCTCGCTGCTCCAGCAATTCGCCCAGACGCACGCGAAGGATATACGCTCGAACCCGACCTTCCGCGCCCAGTTTGCGCGCATGTGCGCCGCCATCGGCGTCGACCCGCTCGCGAGCAGTAGCAGCAACCAGTCGAGCGGCGGGGGCTCGATCTGGGCGCAGCTGCTGGGCAGGTCGGTCAACGACTTCTACTTTGAGCTGGCCGTGCGGGTTGTCGAGGTCTGTAGCGAGACGAGGGGCGAGAACGGCGGGCTAATTGAGCTGAGGAAGGCGAGGGAGCGGATCACGAGGGGTCGCATGGAGGGTGCGCCCGAGATCACCGAGTAAGGAAAGCCCCGTTCTCCCCCCCTTCTCTCCTCTCCCCGGCGGCAAAAAAGGAAAGGAAAGGGGGCTGACAGGTCGAGCCAGGGACGATATCCTCCGGGCCGTGGGCACACTTAAACCGCTTGGCTCTGCCTATTCTATCATCAAGGTCGGTAGCAAGCCCTATATCCGCTCGGTGCCCAAGGAGCTCAATACAGACCAGAGCGCCGTGCTCGAGGCGGCGCAGGTGCTCGGTTACGTTAGCGTGTCGATGTTGATGGCTAATTTGAACTGGATGCGCGCGCGGGCCGAGACGGTGCTTGAGGACCTCGTCGGCGAGGGTATGCTGTGGGTAGATAAGCAGAGCGCCGAGTGGGAGTACTGGAGCCCTAGCTTTATGCTTGGAAATCAGGACTTCCCGCGGACGTTGGGTTGAGAAGCGGTATAGGTAACCGATCATTGTCATGCAGCTACACCACGCCGATGGGTAGTCGGCCAGAAGCCGCCTGGCCCAGCCGGTTCAGTGTCTTATTATCACCGACCAAGGGTGGTAGTCTTAAGCCGGCCATATAGATACGAGAGAGAAGAAGTGAACGGCGTGAGGAGAGTCACTGGAGTGTCTTCTCATGCATAGACCAGCTTAGGATGTGCGCATATTTCTGTTTTCAGGCAGTCCACCACGCATTAGCTAGGCTAGACCGTTCCAAATACCGTTCAAGTGTTGTCATGGAACTCTGAGGTGGAAATAAGCACGAGGTATCCAAGCTACTATATTCATCCAACACATCAAGGCAATAACCCAATCCCAGCCATAACTAACATAAAGGTATAAACCACCGAACATTATACACGAATCCGCCCTGCCGAAACTCCCTTAATGGAGCCGCAACCCCAAAGTCATCACAATCCGTCATAAAACGCTTGGTTCACTCAATAGCGTGTTTCAAACCTGCCTTCACCCCCATATCCCCCCTTGCGGGAAAACGAGGCGGGGAGGGGGTTCGGTTAACCTTGATGTCCCTCCGCGGATCCATTTCGGCGCGGCACCGAAGAGTCTTGGTTTCTACGCCCACCAACACCAGACCTCGCGCCACCGCATGAGACTAGTACGGAGGGTTGGGTCCGATAGGAGGGTAATCCTCGGGGCGAGGCCCGCCGATGGTGGAGCCGCCGGGGGTGCGGCCCTCGCCGAAGTGCTTCTTGCGCAGGGCGCCGAGGCGCTTTTTCTTGGTAACGGTGTTGATGTAGGTACCGATGACGAACGAGACGAGGTTGAAGAAGGGCACCCAGGTGTTCTCGGGCAGGAACTTCTGCGCGAAGGCCAGGCAGATGGGCGATGTGATCCAGCTCACGCGCATCACCTTCCAGAAGCTGACGCGCACCGTCGCCCTGACTTGGTGAAACGACTTAGCGCCGGCGATGAGGGCCATGGCAACTAGGTAGACGGTGTTTTGGATGGGCGCGATCTGGAGCCCATGTCAGTAACAACGTCCTTAGGGGGAAGAAACGACGGGGTTGGTTTAGCGAACCACGCACAATCAGATTGCTGACGAGAATCTGCATGATCTTGGCCCGCAGACTGGTGCGCCCACTGAAGATCTTCTGCAGGACCCAGATCAGGAAGTGACCCAGGGGCGCGCTGACGAGTGCGCCGTAGGCTGCCATCTTTGGAACGCGCGACGTGAAGTAATTTCCATGCTTGTTGCGGTCCTTGGCTAACCATGAGGCAAGCAATTCCTGGCTACCGGCCAGGGTACCAGCCGTGAGCATCTTGGTGCGCAAAGGGTGTTCCTCTAGTTGCCGCAGGTAGGCCTAGCGTGTAAAGATGCGGTGTTAGCACTGCTCTACGAGCTTCCAGGCCACTCATCGGCTCATCGGCATGCACATTGAAGCCCAGGCGCAGCGGAGTCGCGGGGGGGAAACATACAGCGAGATAACCCTTGGTGCCCGCATTTTGTCTGCCGCCGGTGAGGGCGGTGCCAACGACAGCCGAAATAGGATGCTTGCCGCTGGTCCCGGGCAGGTTCCCGGTAGCAGCTTCGGCGACGGCGACGGCGGCCTGCCCAACCAAGCCGCCTTTGTTGACGGGAGCGTGGGTAGCGACAGCCTGGTTGACAGTCTCCTTGACTGTGTCCCGCTCGATCTTGAGTGACATGGCTCGTGGTGATCAAATCGACATTTAAAGGTACAAGCGGAGCCTAGAAAGGAGTCCGGATTAGCCGCTTGCACAGTTGCCCTTGTTTGGCGGTGAGTAATGTGGCCTGCGATGCCGTGGGCTGCGCCGGGTCGACGCTTTGTTTACAACGGGGATAACACCGGACTGCTGGGTTTCGGGCGGGTCTCGACTTACAAGCGACCTTGGGATAACTCGACGCTGTGTTGAGATAGTGATCCAATTGCGCTGTGGTAGCAAGACTGAGCAAGGGGAAACAGATTCAGGATTGATGTGGGAGAGACAAGTGTTCAAGCGATCCGGGTTGGCTGGGAGCGAAACTGCCACCCACAAAAATCTCGCCTTCGCAGCGTCGGAAACGAGGTGAATGGGGAGGCTGGTTTTTGCATTGGGGGGGACATGGGCAGCTCCCCTGGTCGGCTGGGCGTCGCGACGAGGGGCGCGTGTGGGACCCGTGGTGACCTGCTCGCAGGCCCAAATCAATGCAGCTGATTGGCTACATCATCCAATGGCCGAGGCTTTGTTTTCACCCCAGACTTGTCTTCTTTTTTCAGCTGCTGCGAGACCGTGGAGACAACGCAGCAAGCAGTAAAGTGGAAGCAGATCGACCAATCCCTGTCCCGAACCCCTGTCTGTTGCCTGGGCCAGATGTCGATGATGTTTTGGAGCTGATCAACAACACCACACGCAACAATTCCATAATAAAATAGGCTCACGGGCTAAAAGCCCTTTCCAACGCACGATTCCAGAATATCAGGTATACCAGAAACCTATACCCTATTATGAGTATGTTAGGTAACGTAGTGTCGGATAACAGATGACCTATCAAGCTTGGCCCGACCGATCGTCTGCCGGAAGGTGCCGAACTTGGTTGAGCCGCATACAGCCCTACCTAGGTAGGTACAATACATACGTACCTTGGTAGTCACAACACTAATAACGAACGTGTCGCTAATATGACATCCGTCTCATTAACACGCGGATTACATCATCATGTTTTCGGATTGACACTTCACCGTACAATATCCACTCACACTATATAAAGGGACGAACTGCGCATAGTGATGATGTCAAGTACGGCTGTCTCCCACAGAGCTACATCTATTCTCTGCAGAGGCATACGGGCATGTGTCAGGCCGCTTTCCTAGCGGGGTTGGAGTCTTCTCGAGACAGTGGCACTGAGCGAGGGAGCTGCGATGCGAGCTTCCAGGTTGTTCGGAAATGTCTAGGACGACAGAAGAATGAAATCCCATTCGATCCAAATCCGAGCTTTGACGGCGAATAATAGGTGGCTTAGGTGCAGATGTCGCCGCCTATATGCTTGCTGATTTCTCTCTGCTAAGATCACACAGCTCCACGCAGTTTCGGTGTTTAACAGTCTAAGCGCGGTAAGGCGTGGCACCCTTCGCCATCTCCCTGCCTCTTGTCCAGATACACTACCTTAGGTAAGGTACACGAGGCAGCTCCTTCCATGCCCAAGTATTGAAACTGGTCCGACGCCAACCTCTACCTAGGCAGTGCCTGTTCAGCCGTACCACTCTCCATCTACCTCTGGCCAGGAATACGCCGGCCTCGTTACCATCCGGACCTTTCTTGCCGCAGCTACTAGATCTGAGACCCTGCGTCGCCCTTTTTGCCGCCAAGGATATTCACAGAACGATGAGTGAAATCCTCGCCCGATGGCCACCTCAGACAGTGCCAACGCTCGCCTTCCTCCCATGATGTCTTCACCGGCAGCGCGTAGTGAGAGGAGTATGTACCGCCAACCATGTCTCACCACACGGGCCACGCCTTACTGGATTGAACCACAATGCCATCATCTTACGATGGCCGCAATCTACCATGATACGCTCAGATGCATGCGATGCGAACGACAACCACCAGAGGGCTTCCTTTACCGCTGCACGGTAGACAGGGAGCCGCTCATCCTGAGCGCGAAGGCGAAAGGCGATCGGGTGGGTTCGCTAGTCAGAAGATTGCTGAAGTTCCTCTCTTGCTGATTGCTAGGACAGGTCACATTTGACAGTTTGGGCGACGCTTTTGCCGAGGAGATGACGCTTGGAAGATTCGGTCCCGATGCGCGGAGGAAGCAGCACAGCTTCCTGAACGAGATAACGCCAGAAGAGATCACCTCATACACATTGGAGCAGCTTTCCACCATTTTGGAGCAGCGTAAAAATGTGCGCGGCTCTTAGATCACCCTGCTCGAAGTTTCGATACTAATCGTTCCCGCAGGTTCAGGAGGTGATCGACGACCAGCGGAGAGAGTGTTATAGGACGGGGAAGATATACCCCGACGATACCATGCCTTGGGTGCGCCAGGAAACGCACGAGTGCCAACACGTGGTCTGTCACCAGTGTTATCCGCGGGGGCGAGAAAAGTCGTGGGTCAGCCTGAACGGTGTTCTGAACGGTGACATCCTGCCAACTGTCGCAACGGGTTTCTCTTTCAGCTACTCAGGTTCGAGGCCGTGTGCGGACGCCAATGTGGTCAGGAACATCGGTTGCCGAGCTGTTCCTCTGGTGAGGATTACACACACCGATCCGTTCCCTCTCAGACCAGCGTTGTTAACCCTGAGCAGCCACGGAAGCACTCGGCGAGGGCTCCCTCATCGACGGATCCAAGGTCCTCCACCGACCTGACACCACCAGTGGACCAGATTGATGGCCCGGCCGCCATTAGCAGTGCGGAGGAATACAGCATATTTGGCCTACCGCTTGACGGAAGAGCCACACAGCAGCCTGAAGACACCACAGCCGATGATGCGGCAATTCCCCGGAGCATGCCCTCTTTGGACACAACAATTTCCGTCCATGATTTCATCCTCGAGTACGAATACTCGGAGTACACACTGGCCTGCTGCACGCCGCTCCCTGCAGCCGATGTCGACGAAGACCGCTTCCTTTCCGATCACTTCCTGACAACAGGCGGCATCGAGGGCAGGGAAGGTCACCTCGGTACTGGGTCAGCTGATGTGGTTGACGGCGTTGCTTTGACCGAGGAGGCAGCCGAGTCCTGCACCGGCGATGTTGTCGTATACACAGCACCGACTTCCTTGTGCATGGAACCATCGGCATAATACGGCTCAGGACCCGATGAATGCATGACAGCTTGACATTTGAGGCTCATTCTGAGGAGCCCCCTAGCTTATTTGTACTGGCAGCTTCCGTACTTAATTTCTCTCGCGCCAATTGCTCTTTTGTGCATTCTTTGAGGAGTCTATTGAGCTTTTGGCCCTGAAGGGTAAAGCAGGAGTAGAAGATATGAAGATCAAATAGAAGATAATGTATCATCCAGGCCTGCCTCTCCGCTATCGTGAGACAGTCAGCGGTAAGGTTCAGATACATTGTGTCACCTCATTTTGGGGCGTAACGACGAAAACTGATATCGCAAAAGCATGCACACATGTTTCCCCGATGCCCTGGATAGAATTCTCTTCGGTACTACACAGAGACCCCAGTCACCACTACTAGATAGGAATCGACCTCATCTCCTGCAGCGTCCAATACTTCCGCATGTTCTCCGCCGAAAGATCCCGCACCTCCTGCTCGAGATGCTTCAGCAACACCTCCCCCCACGGATCGATCTTCTCCTTCAATACCGACAGCTCCAGCTCACACTCCTTGGACTTACATTGCCTCAAGTAGTCCGCCATCTCATCCATCCCCTCGTGGATCAGTCTGTGCTGACGAATCAGTTCACAGTCCTCCTGCCTGCCTTCCTTTCCCTTCTTCAGCGCCCCCGGTGGGGAAGAGGCCTGGAACTCAGGCATCTTCCTGGCCAAGATGGGATAAAGGTAAGTCTCCTCGATGGTGTGATGGCTCTCGAGGTATCTCGTCAGGTTGAGCCCCTCGTCTATGAACTGCTTCAGCGTCATGCCGGCGGGGCGCCGCTTGGTGACGCACGCCGTGTGCAGCGTGGAATACATCTGACGGAAGTGCTCGTGCTGCGGTTCAACACGATCGGTTAAATAAATCACGACATGAGTGACGGACAGGTCGCGCCTGTCCATGGGGAGGAGTACAATACATACGAAGTAGTCCATTTTCTCGGATAGGCGGTTGTAGACGCGAAATTCTTGTGGTGTTAACGGAGGGAGCTTCCGTTCCGATTCGGACTCGGATCCAAGGGCCGGCTCAGCTACGCAGTCAGGCCTGGTTTGTTGGGCCGGAGGCTGCGGATCTACCTGGGCGTCCGCTCCGAGTGGCTCCTTCCTCTCGTCTTGGACCATCGTACCGAGTCCTTAGCCCTAGGAACAATGCAACTCTTCCAGGTTTATCCGTGAAGTTCAGCGTTCGAGGGATCGATCTACTTAGGCAGACAGTGTCAGCCACGAAGCTGTATGACGCTTGAGCACAGCGGGATGAGGATCAATAATATATACAAAAAGATCGTGGCAAGCAGGAAGGCTAGACTTCCAAGATATATACACGTCTGTCAATACTCCGTACTGCTTCTTACCCCCTAGCATCCCCGCAGAGTAGGCTCCTTCCAGGACTATCCGTTTTTGGCGGTTCAGAGGCCCTGTGATTGGCTGCTACCCTGCCTTGTCAGCCGTTATCAATCCACTGAGCCACCGATGAGGTTTTGTTGCCGCGCGGTGACTCTTTTGGTGCATCTATCCTGCAACCCCCGCGCGCGAGTGTTACGGTATAAGCTTAGACGTCATGACTAATCGCCAACTCCCAACCTGGCCCCAGGGTCGAGAGAATAGGGCCACACAAGGAATAGAACTTATAGAAGGTATAATATGTTTCGAGTTTCAGCAAATCGTCTGCCATGTCTCCAGTTACATCATCAATATCTACCGTGACAGTGCACTTTGAATAAGCCCCGAATGCCACCATTGGGGGATAGATCATAAAGCCGTTGGTCCCTTAGTACCAAGCGCCGTGAGGACCGTGATCCATTAGCTACAGCCACCTAGAGTTTACTGATACCCCGGCTTCAGAGTCCAGATTGCCCGCATGCTTGATCCGCGCTTCTCCATCTTGGCCACCTTCCCCAGCGCCTGTTTGAACTCGGCTGCCTGGCGCGACCCGGAACAGTACCGGTTGAAGTGGTCCACCAACAGCTTCGACGGTACCTGGCCGTTGTGCCTCTTAATGAAGGCGGGGATCATCTTCTCAAAATCCCTCGCCTGGAGATTCTGGTCCGGCGTGCCGGGCGTACCCGGGCTCGAGATGCGGGAGCTGCCTGTACTGAGGCCCTGACGGTCCGCAACATTGGCCAGTATGCTCGCCGAACCTGGCCCGCCACGGCCGCGGCGGACAGGTGCCGGACGACCGGCCTCTCCGACCTCTCCAGTCCATGTCACTGTGCCGATCGGAACGGTACGAGCTTGTTCGGCTGCACGTCGGAGACTCGAGGCGGCCTGCGCGGCTATTCTGTGTGCCTCCTGCTGGAGCATCTTGCGGTCAGCTTGGACGGTCTTCTTGCCGTTGATGATCTCATCATGTTCCAGGGCGCTGTGGACGCCGGACCGCGCAAAGATGCCCTCCATGAGCCGATCCTCTTCGTTCGCGGGCGGTGCTGGATCGCTTTGGTATGTCTCAACAGCTGCAACCCCGTCTATGGCCCGGAGATCGCTTTCCTTTCCATCCGAATTGCTAGGCTCGACCTCCGTCCTGGTGCTGACTTGCCGAGGCTTGAAACGAACGGCATCGTTATTGCCCGGCAGAACGAGCTCCTTCGGCTCGGCAGGTCTGAGCTTCTTGACATCGCTGCTCTTGAACAATTCGCTCGTCTCCGTCACGCCGTCCTCGTAGGAGCTGAGGCTGAAGAGATCGTGCAAGTCACTAATATTGAACGTCGTCTGCTGCTTGGGGTCCTTCAGCACCTTATTGGTGAGGAACTGCTTGAAAATTTGACGATGATATATCTTCTCCTCGATCGTCCCGGCCGTCATCAGCCGGTATATCGTCACTTCCCTTTTCTGGCCTAGTCTCCAGGCACGCTCTCTTGCTTGAACATCAGTCGAAGGATTCCAGTCTGGGTCGAAGATGATGACGCGATTTGCTCCTGTAAGGTTGACACCCAGTCCGCCGACCTTCGTTGTCAACAGGAACACGTCAAACTCCGGGTCCGCGTTGAACTGGTCTACGAGGGTCTGCCGCTGCTTGACCGGCGTCTTGCCATCCATACGGAGGTATTTGATGTTATCCAGCCGTTGAACGAAGGTTTCGATTATGTCCAACATCTGGACGCCCTGGCAAAACAACAGCGTCTTGTGCCCCAAGCGTTTCCACATCGGGAGCAGAGACTTGACAACGGCCATCTTACCCGACTTGCTATCGTCACCCCACTGGTAACCGGGCTTCGTCTTCAGCCTCGGATCTATCAAGTCGGGATGGTTGCAGATCTTGCGGAGAATATCAATGCCGTACAGCGACTGGCGAGTTCGGCTAAGGATAGAATTCATGTCATCAGACTTGAGGAAGAGCTCATATGCGTCCCGTTGGGGTTTCGTCAGCTTGCAGAAGAGCACCTGTTCGCTCTTCTTGGGGAGGTCAGCCGCGACATCCACCTTCAAGCGTTGCAGTAGATAGGGGCTGATGGTCTCCTTGAGGGTTTCGGCACATTTCTGCGCTGTCATAATCTGCAGGTTCGTAGCGTTCGCGTAGCCTCCCAGTCTGATTGGTATCTCGAACTGGTTGCGGAATGCGACAAGGGTGCCGAGCCGCATGGGGTAGATAAAGTCGAAAAGGGACCACAGCTCAGTCAAGTTGTTCTGCATCGGAGTACCAGAGAGAATGATACGATTAGGGGTGCGGAGCTCTTTGCAGTAGATCGTGATGGCCGCGTTCGGGTTTCGGATCTTGTGGCCTTCGTCCAACACAGCGTAACCCCAGTCCACAGGGATCAGGGCATCGCCGTAGGTCTGTAGACCAGCATAGGTGGTGACCAGGACATGGCCATGTTTGACCACCCGGTCGACTATCCTTTTGACTGCTCCACTGGACCTGCTGGGCCGCCTCCCATCCCAGTCATCCACATGGTCTTCGATTTCGTACTCATCGCGGACGTTGAACATGCCGCTCCCTGAGGAATGAAGAATGGAGACACGGAGTGGCGGCCACCAGCGGTGGAATTCGGTTATCCACTGCCGCAGGACGGTGGCCGGGGCGACGACAATGACGGGTTTGTGGAGCTTCTTGCTGTAGTGCAGGGCAGCAACGAAAGATATCAGTTGGACTAGGAGGTGGTCAGTCCGAGGTTCGCCAGGTGCAGAGCACAGAGTAGTCTGAAGCAGGACCAACCGGTTTTACCCAACCCCATCTCATCACCAATTATGCCGCCGACCTGCTGGTCATACAGCTCTGCCAACCATTGCACGCCCGTCTTCTGATAGTCGAAGAGAGACGGGTAAATGTCGCCGGGGAGTTTCAGCCCGTTCTCAAACACATGGTCTGGCTGATCCGGGGAGGGCTTGAACCACTCTTCGACGCTGTCCGACGCATCTTCAACTGGCTGCACTAGTCTCTCCTGCCGGCGCCTTCGGGCCCGGCTCCTCCGTTCAACCCAATCTTTCAGTCTCCGCTGATAAACGGCTTCGTTGCCATCGTCGATCTTGCTCAGATCGACCTTGTCCTCGCTTTCTTTCACAGCCTTCCCCCGCTTCCGCTTTGGAGTGGCATCGGTCATGTCGAAGTCATCGGAATCGGAGACATAAGACTCCGCCTGGCTAGCCGTTTCCGAGACTGATTCATCCGGCACGAAGTCCTCGTCGGCGTCAGGAGCAGCCCTCTCCGCCCGACGTCTCTTTCGAGGGCGTAGCGAGAACTCGGACTCCGCAGCCGAGGTTTGAAGCTCCTCGGCCTCCTCAGCAAAGCCGGGAAGACGCAGAATTTGGTGCGAGCGAGGGCCTTCACGTTCCTGTGCCTCCAGCTCCTCGGCGAGGGCCTCGTCCTCGGCATCAATAACGGCATCGGCAAGCTCGCCCTCAACGCCGCCAGGGCGCGGACCGCCAAAGGTGGCGAAAGGAGTAATCTTGCCCGTCCGAATGAGATACTCGCGCGACGTCTCGTCGGGAAGCTTCCCGCCCGCAGTCGAGGCCTGGTCGTCTGCGGAATCTTGGCGGTTCCGCTGCTCAATCCGGGCAATGAAGTCGGCAATGTCCTTGTCACAGATCTCAATTTCCGCCTCGATCCGGGCGATCTCTCGCTGGACGCGAAGCCTGGCAGTGGGGTTCCCATGTGCAGAGCGGAGCTTCTGTTTCTCAAGGTCTAACTGACTTTTGAGTTTGGATTTTGATAGCTCGGCCTTCTCAATGCGTTTCTGATCTCGCTTATCTTCCGCTTCAATCAAGGCGCGGCTTGCCTGGAGAGTGATGTCCCGTTCGAGGTCATCCTGGTCTCGCACATTCTCGGTCAGGAACTTGAGTGTCTGTGCCTCGTCATCTGCAACCGATTCGCCAGTGCCTCTCGTGGGCAGAGCGTTCTCGACCGGGGTGGTGCTCGTACGGTTTTCTCCTGCCTCGGATACGCTCCCGGCGGGCGCACCGGCCTCCGGTTCAGAATCCATCGCTAGATAGGAGGGCGGTGCAGTGTGGCTTTTTGCAGGAGACAGTGAGTGAGGTGTTGAACTCGCGATACACAGTGAGCCAGCGCGAGGAAAGAGAGAGGAGAAATAAGTAGTAATCTGTACGCCACAAAATAGGCTCAATGCGAGTTATGCGACCACGCTCCGGACATGGGATAGAAGAACTCTAGGTGCAAGAATGAACACGGAAAGAACTCAAGAAAAAAAAACAGTCTTCTATTGGAGGGGAGTACTGAAAAACCCAGGGAAGAGGCAGCCTGCCAGGCAGTTGCGTGTTACTTGTAGATAGGTAGCTACTAGGATGAGAGCCTTGGACGTGGTGTTCCGCGACCAACATGGGTGGAGGCAGGCACGGTGTCATGTGACCTTGATTAAAATGACGTATACCGTAGGTCCTACCGCTCAAAGGGGAAAGAGCGCTCGGCCAGGCAATGGCCAGAAGTCCTTGCCCAAAGAAAAGGAGCAATAAACAAGAAAAGTGAGAACAGGGGAAATACTAACAATCAGGTTGGCCTAATTGGAAGCGACTAAGAAACAAAGAGGCTGGAGGTTTCCTCGAGATTCTCCTACAACGCCCAGTTCAAGTACTCAGTGTGTGTTTGTTTGTAATGTTATGGGTAAGGACTGTCATCCAGCTCTGCAGTGGAGTCAATGACCTTATCAAGTGATTCTCGACACGGAGCTACTACATACGACCATAGGTGGTAGAGAACTCGGGATCCCGTCCGCTCTCCCTTAGATAAGCTACCAACCGCAGGACCAGTACTCAGGTCGGTGACGACTGGGGAATCCCCTGTGTTGTATGTTTTGACTTTTTGTGTCGGCCGCAGATCTTCTGCTTTTGCTTTGTGCTTCTTGCCTTAACAGGCAGGTACTTTACGTTACGAGAGGTGCTTTCCTTAACATATATACCAGCGTCGAAGGATTGGTTGCGGTCATGCCATGTAGTAAGTCATCTGTCCGGGGCTTGCCTGCCTCGAGCTTTCATAACCAAGCGCAGTTGTCCTTTACATATGCCAGCCCCTTAAAAGGGGGCATGAGGGCGAGCCAACAGACAGACATGGACGAAACAGAAATGCTAGCACGTGAGAGAGCGGGTAACGCACTCTGTTTTGCTAAACCAAGTCTTTCTCGAGGTATCATCAATAGACGTACCTCTGATATTGGCCGTTCTTTCTCTTCCTTCCGCGTACTTCGGGTCTCGGGAAAAGCAGGCGTCTCAAAATGCTCAAAGTGTCAAAGTTATGGGAACGTCTTCTCGAACAGTGTCTGTCAATTGCGGAGGAACTTTGCCCTGCTACAAGAGACGGTCGAGGATTGCTGCTGTGGCTGCTAACGGCCGGGATTAAAGGCTTGTACTACCTGCCAGGTAGTCGGGCCTTCCAAAGGATAGATACGGATTACCTTACGTACTACTGTTTGTTCGTCTGGCATATCTAGCGTGTTGCAGCGCCGACTGCCTCCAACTGCGGCAAATGTCTCTCAAGTCTAGGCCCGGGTTCTAGTGTTGCGGCAGCACCAGGACGCCTGTAATACCTACCGTACTCAGTCAAACAACCTGAGCGTAAGGGGGAGAAATTGAGCCCATGGACGCAACATCATGGCGGGTGTCCTTCAGAGCGGGCCGATTCGGGTGCGGGCAAAATCATGCCTTGGGAGAAGCTGGGTGGATGATTCGCCTGGCACCAGCGCTAGTAGATCGCATCTAATCTCACAGTATGCGCATTTCCAGGTTTGTTGCCTTCTCTCTGATCAACTACAACGTTGCGCAACCGAGTGAGGGTCTTTGCTAAGCCGAGACAAGGTACGCCCTGAGGACGACATGTTTATCTTTGGGAGGGCACGAAGTAGTTACGTATAACAATATGTGGCAAGAATTGTTTGTCACTTGCCACTGGCACCGGCGAGAGTCTGCGCCGTTGCAAACCCTCGCAACACAATCCTCCCTTTCCACACGGGCTGAAGCACCTGAAATCAGTGCGGCTGTCGAATAAGGTCCCCAGATATGCGAGGGGAAGTTCCCTCTTTCCTGACGCATGTGAATACCACAGTACACAGTACATCCAGTTCCTTGATTCCTCTCTGCCCGCTCACCGCTTCTCCAAGAAGGACCCTTATCGCGACCGTTGGCTAGGTCCGCGAAGGTACGCGCTCAAAGGCTAGCTGCTGCTGTGACTTGATTGGGGGCTTAGCGGACAGCCAGGGAACCGCCTTAGAACTGGTGATATAGCCTAGGTCAAGGGGTCCGAGTCCCACCGTGCTGAGCACTCTCCGCCCGACCTGCTCCAGTTCCAGCCCCAGTTTCTCTCTCTTTCAAGATCATCTTGTCGGTTGTTTCGGGGACAAAAGTTACCATGGCACTGGGCACGAGAGTACTGAACTCCCGAGGGCAGTGCTCACGCCATCGTTCTCAACCAATCTGGCCAGTGAAGTGGAACGGAGCCACTGGCCGCTGACCGATCGATGCTGGCAAAAGCAGAAATCGACTCGACGCTAAAGATCTGGCTTGGAATCCGGGCCAATCTGAAGGCAGTGAAAGCGCCATGCCGGAATATTGCCCTAGAAGGGCCCCCGTGCCCTCGCAAGCTTGATGAAGTTAATAAACGCGATCACTATAGCCACGCGTGAACTTGGCACCCTGAAACAAGGGACCACGCAAGCGGCAGCACCTGTGGCTGGTTCAGCCCCTCCTTGGGACATCGTTTCGCCACTCGTGGAGGCGTCCAGACATCCGGGCAGATGCTTGCTTTTTAATTTTGCTGACGCCGAACCACCTTCTCCATCTGTGAGGTCTGGGTCGAGGCAAGGGACGCAAGCGAGAACGTTTGCCGCCCAGCAGCCCAAACTGAACGTACAGTATGTGTCACATACTCGTATAGTACATGTACATAAAATTTGATGCATTGCTATCGACATCGACATCGAATCAGCATGTGCAACAAGCAAGGGGCTTTGTAGTTACCGCCGATGGCCAGTCGTTCATGCTGCATGTGAGCATGAGGCCATATATTGGGCTCCAACCACCGATTGGGTGCTCGCCTGCGATGTTGGCCAGCCTCCCTCATTAAGCGAACGCAGCGTTGCGTTTGATATCAAGCGATCGGCTATACGGCGCCCGGACGAGGCTGGAACCAGACGAGGGAGAGTCTTTCACTCCTTCCGACCCCCCCAGGGCTAGTTTGGGCAGAGTGCTCGTTAAGGCGGGTGGGTTGAAGAGTAGTCATCTCATCTCGCAAGGTATGTCCGGTTAGTAACTTAGTATAGGCGTGGGTGTCGTCATGCATTGAATGCGGGCATGCTGCAGACGCAAGCTTGCCGAAAACAGATCAACGTGACAGCCGTGAAGCGGAAAGAGTGTCGCAATCGCGTTGGCTGTAACTTGACGTTGCCTCTGCTTCTTATTGCCGAGGACGACTAAACGCGACCTGTAAGCCGTCACAGCCAATGACTCAATGGCCCTTGGCGAGGTCTCTGAGCGGCAACCAAGAAAGTTCTTCCGGTCGTAGCGAGCTCCGTGACGGTGTCCTCCGTGCATCTCTCCTTTCCGGCCCTCAACCCTCACCTTGAAGTTCCACTTTCATGTATTTATTAAGTTCATCGTCCCGGCCCTGCCAGGGCGAGTTTTCAGGGGGGATGTTATGGGGTGCATTCGTAGGTTAGGTTGCATAAGTGGAAGGCTGCCGAAAGTGAAACAGGGCCCGGCGGTCTCTACTCGGGAATGTTGACGAAGATTAGGTAAGAGAGCAGTATTGAATAGGGTGCTCGCGCCTGCGAAGTTGCGGTGTTTCATGTCAAGCAGGTGCGGCTTGCAGCGAGTCATGCGGTTGTTCCCAGGTTGTTCGGTGGTGTTCCGTTTCCAAGACGGGGGCGGTGGTGGTGGTGGTGGCTGGCGTGGCTGGGCTTCAAAAACCCGTTCCCCTTGGCTTGGCAACGCTATCTACCAGGTACCACCTAGGGATGACTTGCAGCCGATGGATGTCATTGACTGCAAATCGCCGAGTTCCATCCGTCGGCAACGCAATTGAAGCATTCCTGGTTGAATACCGCCCAGAGGGCGAGTATCTGAGGCTTTTGTCAAGCAGCAGCAAGGGGGAACATTGGCAATGCGGCGTAACAAGCGCTCGTCTGGGACTCGAGTACCAACGGTGCATATTGTAAATGTCACACATACAATATAAAGCTAGGTAGAGAACCCTGACCCGGTAACCCTACGATTCGGCACTTGGGTCTTGGCGAAACCGTTAACGGCACTAGGCCTAGGTAACCGTTACGGCGCAGGGGTTATGGCAGGGTCGACGAAGGGGCTGATATAAGATCGACGAACCGTGGCGCGAGTCGCCTGACGAAATGCACGCACCAAGACACCCGGACAAATAACAAAGTTAAAGTGTTGTAAAGTCTGCTTCTCTCTCCACCAGTAAACATTAAAAGGTTCCACCACGAGCCGTTACCCAGGTCGGAAACGTAATGAAGCACCAGAATCCGACATGTTCTTCCTGTGCAGGAGCGAAAAGGAAACCGCTGAGCGCTATCCTGAGCCATTCCAGCAGCTACCTTTCCGAGACCTGAGCTCTCCGTCCCGTACCAACCTCCCATTACCCCCTTCGTGAAGCCCCGACCCACCCTTTTAGTGTCCTGTAACCACCATGTCTCTCCTCCGTCATCCAGCATGTTTTCAAGCAGAGGTTTCAGCAATCTAGTTCGTCATCATCACTCAGCCGTGTAGTAGTTCCGTGGCGGACCGGTCGTCGTATGCATCGTATCACCCCTTCCCCCCCAACCGGAATAGCCTCTATACCAAAGAACCAATGCTGTCCAGAAGACCATGAGTTGCTCGGAAAACAGGTACAAGTACGTTAGATAGGAAAGCAACCTCGGGCGGTTTTAGGGTATCTCCGTATTAGGTCCGCCCCCGTTGAAAGTAAACCCCAAAGGTCATGAAACTGCCCTTAGGCGCTGGAAGAAGATACAAGATTTGTGCAAAAGCTTTGAAACAAGACACGAAGAGAAGAAAAGAAAACGAAAGTGGGGGGAGGATAAGTGTGTGACCAAATGGTGTTCATATTTCAAACCACGCCATGAAGCCTCCACCATGCTCCTTGCTGAAACAAAGGGTATAAGTCGATGGAAGAAAATGGGAGAAAACCGTCCCTAAAGGAAATGAATTATCGTAGTGGCGGCAGGCCATTTTCATTATGTCGATTCTTTTTTCTTCCACTGCAGTCGTGGATCGATGGTTTCCGTACCGAATCCCGATGGAATTCGCACCACATACCCCTGACAGGGCGCCATGTCGATGACTCGATGTCATTGTGTTGAGGTTGTCGATGTTCAGGTGCTCGAGCGCATTGGTATTTGGTGTAGCGCCGTCACTGGAGCTGTGACGGATTGACGGTGTTGTCCCCAGCCTCAGGAGCCGAAGCCCCTGGCGGAGACAGCGATTGCTATAAGCTCTCCTCCCCCAGAAGCTGTGCTGCCCTCTCGCGGCAAGCCGCCGGTGTGAAGCCTGTCCCCACCTTGTTGGCGATGATGCGCCACTTTTCGTTCTCATAGTCCTGGAGAGCGGTTTTGAGTTTTTGATCCTATTGAGTTTGCCGTGGCGTCAGCATCCAGTAGCTGAGGGGACTCGAGTTTTGAGGGGCGGATCATGGAGAGTTATCACCAACCGTTTCGTCTGTCCATTGCGTCGTCTTCGCCTTGAGCTTCGTGCAGTAGCGCACCTGGAGCGTCCCACTTGACCTGCCAGGAAAGAAGTCGGCGATCTGTTTCCATGTCAGGTTCTTGTTCTCCTTCAGGTCGACCAGTAGTTGGTCGTCCTCAGGTGTGAATTTCAGCTTGGGGCCTCTTGGTCGCGGCGCTGGCGGCGGCATCCCGGCTTGCCCAACCATGCTCGGAGCCCCTCCTCCTCCGCTGCTGCCCTCCTCGTCTCGCCGTAGAAGCTTGCTAGGGGGTCCCGTGTCCGGCAGCCGATGGTGGTGGTGTGTCGGCGGTGCAGCGGCTGCCTGTGGGTAAGCGGCACCCATAGGCGTCTGCTGCATTGACTCCAGGCCACCGTGCTGAAGCCCGGGCATGCCGGAGACGGAGAGGTCAAGCTCGTCCGGCCGCGGCCGCTTCAACCCCGCCGCGTGCCCGTGCGTCGGCGTTAGAGAAGGATAGAGGGGCGCCACGACGGCATGCGGGGACGGGCCGGCACCAAAATGCGGCGGGCCCGGATGTCCCATGTGACGCGCCGACGGATGTCCGGAGAGGTGCGCGGGATCGGTGAGGATTGGGTGCGGATGGTGAGCGGCGGTGTAGTGCTGGGCCAGGCCGTGGTGGGATTGATGGGGCGGCGGCTCGTGGAGAGGGGACGGCCCGCCATGCTGAAGCGAGGCCCGGTGGTGGTGCGCCTCATAGCCGTGCGGAGCTTGGGTTTGCTCGCCCGAATGCGGCTCTTGCGGCGCGTAGTCGACATGGTAATCTCCCACACGGTAGTTGTCCGCCAGCGTGCCTCCACCACATGGGTTCCGCCAGAGCGAACCGCCCTGGCTGGTCGCCGGACTTTGAATAGAAATAATTTGTACGAGTCGAGCCCTCTCGCAGGGCTACGTTGGCGGAAGCTGGAGTATCTAACTCGGGTCGGCGAGACCTAGCGTGCCACGTCCCTTTAAGCTCTCCGTCGATGGGGAACTGCCGGTGGGCTGCGTTCGGGAGTGGACGGTGCTCGACGACGGGCAGAGTGCATGTGGCGGTGCAGCAGACGGTCCTAACGTGGAGTGGCGATGGGTAGATTGCGGCAGCTGCGCTGATCCGAAGTCCCTTCTCGTGCTTGGCTCGGGACCGTTGGGCGGGCGGATGACGGTGAACCGTAGTGGACCCTCCTCAGCAGCCCGTGCCCGTGACAGTAACGTTATGCATGCGCAGGTTGTGGCCTTCCGTTTCCCTCGGTAGTCGATCGTAACTGGACTCGGCGGGTAGAATTCGCGGGGCGGCGGCGTTTGGGCGAACCTGCTGTTGCTCCACTACCCGGCTCGCTGCTTTTCAGAGATGCAAGCAGGATTTTACAGTTCCGAGTGGCCAGTAGAGGGTATATGTGGCCTTATATCGTGTGGTATTATAGACCATTGGAGACAACGAGGCGAGGGGGCTTTCCGTGGCTTGGGGTGGGAGTAGCTTAAATACCCAATGCCTCAACCGTCCGGGCTAAGGCACATAAGAACCTGCCAAGCGCGAGATCAAAAGATGGTTCCTGAGCAGTGGCGGGACCTAGGTCACTCTCGACCAACGATGACGGTAGCATAATTTGAGGATCTTATGCCATGGACCGGCTGCCGGATATAGAAACAGGGCCCCAGGTCTAGTTCATGATGCAACGGGGGAGGGGGGTCCCCATGGCAGCCAGGGGCCTTGAGAAATCCATCAAAACCAAGCACCCCAGGGCGGATTAACCGCAATGGGTATGTTGGACAAGCCCAACCGTCCAGTGACAGACCGGGCCCAGAAAACGCATGGAAAGATATAAAACATCGAAGCCGCATGGAGCACAGATCTTGAAACAAATGGAAGCCCTCGACCATGCAGCTGGAGAAAGCCATGCCGACAGCCGGATTCCCGGAGGCGCCGCAAGCAAGCAGTCCACCGAATGCAGCCACGGCACTTGCCTGACGGCTAAGCTCAGCTTGGTAACGATATTCACCGTTACCTTCCTGCGGGTGAGGTGCGGAGGAACGGTGAGGAGGGATGGGGCCCGCCTCGGCGCCACAGCCAGCTGCCGGAGAGACTGGATCAGCCCGAATCAGCCCACAACAAGGGCAAATGGAGGGCGCCCGAAGTGGCCCGAAAAGGCAACAGTGGGCGGGCATTGCTGGCAAGCTTTGCTGGAAACGGTGCTGTCCATGCAGAGAATCCCTCCTACACTATGTGACACGAGCAGAGGCTGGGGAAGACGCGGTAGGTGGGGTCCAGGTACATACAGACAGTACTGGACGCAGTGCTCCGTACTCCGTGCACTATGCACACTGCTCCCGGCTCGCACAGGACAAAGCAGACCTTGCCAGAGCCTGTTGCCCTGTTCCGTGCCGGATTGATGTGGGCGGCAAGCGGGGGACTGGCTGGAATCTGGCCGCGTTGTCCGAAAGAAGGTATAGCAGAGCCGGGGTGGGCTATATCAGACACGAAAAGAGATCGGTACCCTGGCTTCCCATAGGGCCATGGCAGGAAAAGGTTGACATGATTAGCTGCCAGATTGCCGAACAGGGCGAAAATCAGTCAATACCGGGTGGGCCCATGTTGAGAAGGGGAAGAGGTGTCTTGCCAACAAAAGAGACTTCCGATGTGGATGTAACCACCACACCCTAAAGTCAACGATAGCCTGGCCCTCAACGTTTACTCTATGTTTCCATCATTGGGAAGCGGTTATAACGGCTGGAGGTGGCGCGCGACTGACGGGCCTCGAGGAGGGTTCTCTCGTTGCCCAAGCCTGAGGAGAACCGGCGAAGCCCGGAAGATGGCTACCTCGGCAGCGGAACTGTGAGAGATACCTGGAAGTTCCAGTCATCCGTTCTTCAGTACCCAGTGCAGAGAACGAACCTCTTGACATTCGAAGCGCGCCTGGGCTGGGCCGTGATCCGTTGACAGGGCTGGGGTGGTAGCGTCGCTCGAAGAGGCTAATCTCGGGAACTCCAAGATTGCATCTCAATGCTGCCTCGATGCCCCCCTGGTCATCCGACTGAGCACGGGCAACATGCCCCGCGGCGGACACAGACACTTCCAACAACGAGGCAGGACATTTATTAGCGTCAGCTATTCCCGGTTTGTTGGGAGAAAACGCAAGCCCACCAGACTGGGAGACGTAGCGACGGGCTTCGGAAGGGACGGATCTTGGCGACAGGGGCTTGCAGCAAAAGCGCGACAGCTTTTCAGGGACGAGGGACGCGCATGAAGAAACTGCGTTTCATTCGGACCTAGTAATTAAAGAGTGAGTTATGCTTTCCCAAAACACGAACGCCGTCGTCATCTCAGTCTTCTAGAAAGCTGCACTCCACCTCTAGCTCCAAGAGTAAGGTAGCTAGGGCTGGAGAAGATCGGCCGAAGCCGACGGAATCTATCAGGTCCGCTCAAGAGGGTCGACGCGCCCGGCTTGGCCTTCGGCAACCCGGCCCCGGGGTTCATGACGGTTGGCCTTCATCAATGGTGTCAGGCAGATGTGTCTGGACCTCTCCTCGTGTCATGGTGACAAGAGACCAGACTGAACGCGTGGTGATACTCTGATCGGCAATCCCTCCAGGGTGAGTTCCAGCGCAGCCCCTGCGCAAACAAACCTGGACATCTCCGATCACACCCAAGTGCGAGGCATTGAGGTTGCTTTCAAGCTGTCAACAAACCCCCCGTTGATCGTCTCTTCGCCATCTCCAACAGACCAGACGGCTCGGAGGGGCACCGGAGACCTAGGGCTGGGGTTTGGACACTGAAATCTCAGCCCTCAAATTAGTATGATCGCTCTCTTGTACTCTTGCCAAAAGCAGTAATATGGCTGAGACTACATGCTCTTGTTAGTAGGCGTGTATCGTGTGACATACCATAGTACTGCGTGGTACATAGTAGGTGCGAGTGTGAGGCTGACGGGAGTGATACATGTCATGCATGCACCCGAGACATTACCCGTTGTGCATAGTGTACCCATGTGGCTGGGCCATTGCATACTGTCCATAAACAGTGGAGTCGGACACCATCTGGGTGACGGCGCTAATAAGCAGTAACATGAGCGAGAAAAGCCAAGACAGTAGGCTCCTAATAAGATCTCAATCGGGGCAGCAGGAATCTTGCTCTGCTCGTAACGGCGTTCCTGAAGAGTGCTACACTAGTCCCCGAGAAGTTCGACTGAGGTCCCGAGACCCCTGATCAGCTTGTTGACTTGGGAGCTTGGCCAGCCGCGATGCTCCACCGGATCGGACTTGCCGCTGCATCACAGGCTGATTGGCTCAACCTGGAAAGACACCCCACGGTCTGGGGATGTGCGTGCTTTGCGCCTTCCTGTTGTGAACCCTCAGTCAAAGCTCCAACCAAACTGGAATCTTGAAGTTGCAATCTTTTTACACTGTGCTCTTGGAGCAAAAGAAGCACCTTAGTTATATGTACCTAACCCAGCATGGTAGGGTATGGTGTATTGGCGCATGTTTCGTTCTGGACAGGAGGAGAAACTCCAGCAAAGAGACCATCAAATGAGTCTAAGTCACATGTTCTGCTTTGCTTTGCCGTGCCTAAACCAACCTAAAGAAGAGGGGAGGTGGTGGTTTCCTTTAATAAAACGAACGCTATGCAGATTCAGAGGGGCCGACAGGAAAGCAAGTCATTGGAAGAAGAACTCGAGTATCTCGGCTCCCGGACAATTGGTCGGACATTTCGTCTGCAAGGGCCTCTTGGCATGCACCGACAAGATGGCACACGTGAACGTAATGATGCATGGCAAACCCCAATTGGAAGTTTCCGAGACCTTTGCACACATTCAACGTACGGATACTGCGTAAGGTACACAGCATACCGTACAGAGTACATATTGTACATAACAATACTTGTATTGTATTGTACAATACACCCAACACTGCGGAGCCTTTCCTGCAAGGGCTCTCCGCGATGTGCCAGGCCTTGTGCGTATCTGCCCGACTGAGTGCTTCAAGCATTCCAGTTTCCAAGCAATGTTCCCAAACAGGAAACTGCCCTTTCGACGCATGAATGAGATGGAATGCATTGTATGTAATCTCCTTACATTTACCACACTGGATTCAGCTCGGTTCAAACTTCCAAGACGTTGGTTGCCTCCTTGTTCGACCTTCTGATTCCCACGAGGTGCACCATCCCATTCTCAAGCCCTCTAATGCCTCGGGGATCAATCAAACCGTTAACCAACTCGGTGACAAAAGCCGGGACCCTCTTCCTCTAAATTCTGGAGGCCATCAATTTTAGGCTTTGAATGCCACATAGGGTACCTTACATAACATATAGAGTTCTTACAGCATGCCCTTTCCCAACCAAGTATACTACGTGTGCAGAGTGCCTCAAGACACATGAATGCAGCTCTTCTGTTCGCCTCCCCCTCAATGAGCCCAACCGCCATCTGGATTCCGGGAAAGTCGATCAAACAATCTGGTATTGCTCCCGCATGCAACTCCCAATCGCTCAATGCGAATCCGCCCCTTCCCCTTCCCGGCCCCTTACGATCCTGTCTTGCCGACACAACAGCCCATGTCTTCTCTCCCCCCCCGCCCCCCCAAAAACCCAGCTATGTCTAGGCAAAGTTGTTATCCCTATCGACCCAGATGTCTTCCAGCTCGTTGAAGCTGGTGAAGTGAATGGGACGGTGCTGGTCGCTGTAGAAGGGCATAGGGGTGTCCAGCTTCACGTGGATGGGTTTCTTCTCCAGGCCGCCAAAAGCGCTACCCATGAAACTATAATTCCACTTGCCCGTGTCGGGAACGAGGAAAAAGCCCTTGAACTTGTCACTCAGTAACAGCTGTCGCCTCTCGCCCATTGCCGTCGTGAAACCCTGCGGCTGATCACTACCGAGGTCCTTATTTTCGACACCCCATTTCATGCCTTGCGGAGTGAGAGCCCAGGCAGAGAGCGACACGCTGCCAGGGGTGAATGACACCGCAACCGTCAACGTGTTCGCCCCATCCAATGCGGGTTTGTGAGCCTCGACCAGCTTGGCATGCGTCGTCACGTCCATCGCAGACATATAGGGGAGCTCATTGCCGGACATGGTATGGATGACACCAAGCCACTCCATGCCCTTGAGCAGCTCGTGCTGGGGAAGGTGCTGTGGCAACTGAACGTTTCGCAGCCCGCCGATCTGTGGCACCATGACTATGCATTTGATCTCCTTGACCTGGTCATTGTCGGCAGGTGATGACCCATAGAGATAGCCAGCCACCTGCACTCTGAGATCCGCAATCGTGATGAACTTCTTAAGGATGTTCTTTGGCATCACGTATGTGACCTCGTCCACGTCGCTGTCCACCGGAGCCACATACATGTTGTTGGCTCTTGTGCGCAGGTTGGACGTGGCAATGGCCCGTGTGCGCCACTCCGTCTTGGAGGCGAACGTCTGTTGCTCGAACTGCGATGTCGTCGTAACAATGATCTCCTCTCCATGCACGTTCTGCGTCTTGGTCGTGACAGCGGTGAGCTGTTGCTGCTCTTGCTGCTGCTTCTCGATTTCGGCAGCCTGCTGTCTCTGCAAGGAAGGCGCCGAAATCTCCATACCCAGAATGATGTCACGGACTTCGCTAGTGGTTAGACTCGAGACATTGACGTTGTTTTTCTTGCCATAGTCGTTGAGGATCAGATCCCGCAGTTTCAGTTCGACGTTGATCCAGTCCTCATCCGAGAGAGACGGCCAGATGTGGTGATCTTGTGTGATCACAGTCTTGTCCGGCCGGAGTATGAGCTTCGTCTTATCCTGGTTGACGTGCAACGCCCTCAAGATGAGGATCAAGCGCGAGAATGCCGTGTAAGAGGAGATACTCTTCAGCCACTCGTCGTACAGATTGAAGAGCACCATCTGCGGTTCAGTAGCACGCAGGATCATGTCGCCCAATTTCTCCACCTTCATAGCAGCCTGGAAAGGCAGTTGCAGCTCAGAGGCACGGATAGAGATGTTGGGGAAATCCAGGAGGTTGACCTCGAGAGGATCAAGCAAGCCTTTACGGGTAACAATGAGCTGCTTCGGCTGCTCTTCGACCGGGAGAGATCGGATCAAGGCTGCAACTTCTTCGGCTGTCTTCCACTTCGCCAATTGCCCAAGACGCTTTTGCCCAGCCCAGACACTAGTGTGGATGATCTTGAGGAAGAGCTGGCCTGTCCGCGGGTTGAAGATGAAAATCGCCCCGTTGATCGGCTTGGTTGTCAAGTTGCCCTCGAAGGTCTTGTGGATCGTGACCCGGTAGACGTTGGTGTCGTCGATGAAGAGTTGCGTTTGGTTGCTGAACAGCTCGGAGTAGTTCTGGGAGTTGAGGAACTCCTGGTTGCTCTCGGACGCGTAGAGCTGCAAACCCTTGCGGATGCGCTCGCGTAGCACATAGAGGGCCGGGTTCGCCTTCATGATCTTGGCCATGGCCTGCTGGACCAGCGTCTTCAAGCCAGGGAAGTACTGTCCGTACGCCGAGTAGAGATTGTACGCGAGGTCAATTCCGATCATCAGACCCGTTGGCGACGGATACAAGCTCATGCTGTCGGTTGTGTAATCGAGATACTTCGCTCTGACGTATCTTTCGATATCGTGGGAGTCGTAATCGCCATAGCGAAGCTGCACGTCGATCCAGAACTTGCTCGTCGTGGTTGCCTCGATCACGTCCTTGTTGTCGAAGAGCAGAGATGGCCGGGTGACGTTCCACTTATGGCTTGCGAACAGCTGGATATCGGCGCATGAGCTGTTCATCTTATAGGATTTTCGGGGGTGGATGGTCTCCTTCTGCACCGACTCGATGCTCAAAGCCTCGAGTTCCTGATCAAAGACCTGGCACAGATCCATGACCACGGACTCGTGGATCTTTTGCCACAAGTGAGCCCGGAAGATCTGAATGAGTGAGATCTTCAGCGTCGGAATCTTGCCGTGCAGGAAGATGCCGGTAAGGTCAAGCTGCACCTGGAAACCGACGTAGACGTTCGCTCTGTTGATGGTCCTGTTTTGTCGCAGTTAGTCATTTAGTTACACACGGAAGTGGGGGTGGGTGTTGAAAGAGATAGTACTTACGGAGACCACCAGAGGGTGAAACGACGGTTTGGAATCTGGTTCAGACCGGACCGTTGGGCGTTGGTCAATTTCTTGAACTGCATAGACTGCTCGAATCCGCTCGCACGTTCCCAAAACAGCCCTTCCCAGGACGGGAAACCGGTTGCCTTGAAGAGGGTATGTTCAAGAATCGTTTCCACACCACCGAGCGCCTGGATGACGTCTGTCCGGTAGGCGTTCAGGTTCCACAGCTTGCCGTCGTGTCTCTGGCTTGTCCACCAGAACGGATTGCTTTTCATGAGCTGGTAGATCTTGAACTCCGCCCGGGTGCGGAATCCCTTGTCAAAGCTCAACGTGCTGCGGTCCTTCTGGAATAGGGTATTGATGCGGGGCAATCCGCGATCCCAGCTGTCTTCAAGATCTTCCAGGGTAAGTCGCCTGTTCTGTTGGTTTGCTTCGAGGCGCTTCTGTGAATACTCGGTCCACACGCGCTGCGAATCGATGAACTCTGCCTCCCATGGTATGATGTAGCGGAAGATGTTTGGTATCAACGTCTCCTCATCGTGCGACATGCCGGCACGGTAGTGTGTGACGCCCACATCGGTCTGCTTGGACCAGCGTTTGTCGCTTGCGGGAATCAGGATATGCGACCCGGAAATCATCCCAAGACCACCCAGTTCCTTTGGCGTGTAGAAGACAGCCGGCGGGAAACGGGACGGCATCTTGGAGTTCAAGCCGATCTTGACTCGGGTTTGAATCTTGGTCTCACACTTGACGATGGTGTCAAGCAGATTCGTTGTCGAGACGGCAGCCTCGCGGTAGTATGTGAACAAGGCGATCAGTGCCGTGTTCCATTTGTTGGCGATCTTGGTGAACGTCGTAGAACCGGACGACATCAGGATCTGGCGGATACGATTGTTGAACTTCTGGATATCCTCCTCGGTCACTTGGAGAAAGGCGTGTGCGGTACGTTCCTTCGTTGTGTTGTCCACAAGGGACCAGACACTGTCCTTCACCGGGAACTCCTCGTTCTGGTTGCGGATCTTGGGCAGGATGCGCACTTCGAAGCCGCACATAGAGAAGAGCAGATTAGGGTTGTCCTTGCTGTACACGCTGGCGAAGGTGTCCTCCCACTCAATCGTCGTCACCGATCTCGGCAGCCGGTTCTTGAGGTCCCAAAACACCGCCCTCCCTAGGTTCACATCGTGCCTCATGAGTCGCATGCGCGAGTCCCGAGGCCAACACTTTTTGTTCTTGTAGCCGATGACATTTTCAAAGTTGGGATCCGGCTGCTCGGTGAGGAATCGCTGAATGAGGTCTCTTGATTCGTCGGCCGTGAAGCGTAGGAAAACCCAGATCTTGTCGATGTAGCGGGTGTAAAGCCTGATGGGATGTCTTGTTTCTGTCTCACGATCCTGGAACTGGAGGAAGTCGTTGGGACTCTGCGGCGGCCCTGCAATCTCAGTCGCGCGCTGCGGGCCGAGAAGCAAGAGATCCAGGATTAGGCCATAATACTGGAAGACGAAGGCGGAGAACTGAAGACCACGAATCATGCCGTAACTATTGACATGGCTCATATCTTTGTACGTCAGCGTGACATTGTTCTTGGCGGTGATGTAATCCGCCAAGTTGTGGTCCATGATGAGCCGCAAAAGAGAGTTGAGAAGCGTGAGCTCGATCTTCTCGTAGACTTTTGACAACTGCGTCTCGATCATGACGTTGCACTCGCCATTCGCCGTCTCCCAAACCCTATCGAGGTTGTTGATGCCCTGCGCCCACTTGTAGACGAGAAGAGGCGGTACTTCGGAATCAGAAGGCTTGATCCACGCAGGGAATAAGTGACGCTGATCAGCTTGGTACCAGAGATACTGGTCGAGATAAGCATCGCTGATCTTCTCAATGGGTTCGATGTCATAGACAGGATTGATGGTGCTGTAGTTGTCGTTCATGTCGATGCCAACCTCTTTGAATGCCCGCTGCGTCAGGAGGAAACGCTTGATCCGCTCCAAGGTTGTTCCAGGGCTATCGTACGCCTGCTCGATCAGAGCGAGCTCCTCGCGCTGACTCTGGTTCAGCCTGCCTTTGGTGGAGTAGGCCTCGCGCAACCTCTCCAACGCCAAGATGAGGATTTTCGTGTCATGCTTGTACGAGACACTCGGGAAAGGGATCGGTGAGAACTTTCGCGACTCCAGCCAATGGACAGTCGTCGTGTAGATTACAACGGCTTCCTCGGACGAGACGTACGGTCCATCTTTCATGTGGTTGTGCTGCCTCTCCTGCTCGGCCTTGAGCCATAGCCGGGTCAGTCGCCCGACGTTCTTTTTGGCCACGGTCTTGTCGACAGTTGCGCCTCTCCGGATGCGCTCTCGGTTGTAGTGTGCCACTGATATCCACCAATCCGCCTTGGACTTGACGTATCTCAGGATGATATTCTCAATGGCGACAGGCAAACCAGGAACCTTCCAGGGGATGTTGCTCTTCCAGCACCTCCATGCCTCGGAAAGGTGCTGGAGAACGGTGTTGACTTTATTCTGCTTGATGCCCTCCGGCATCATATCCATGAGGTCAGCCATGACTGAAGCGCGCAGCTCCAAGTCGAAGTGCGACTCAACACGCTGCTTCGTCACCGTCTTGGCTACTCCCTTGCTGTGACGGCCCTCGAACTGACGCGAAAGAAGGTTTCCAAGCCAACGTTCCAGCAGCGGGATGATGCCTCGCATGAAGAAGAGCCAGACTCTCCATGCGGGTGCCCAGAAGCCACAGCCTGGCCCCTTCCCCACGGGACCGGAGTTGAACCGGTAGTATATCAGGTGCTTCAGATCCTTGCACGAGCGGATCTGGTGCATCAGTTTATACTTGTACCGGTACATACCCGTAAGCTGTCCAACATGGTTGAAGGCGTAAAGGATGCCATCGGCAAGCTGGAAAGCATCAATGTTGCCAAGTCGGTATTGCACCTGGGCGTCGACAATGAGCTTAGTCAGGCGCAGAATCTCCCGCATCAGGTGGAAAGCGTTTCCGAATCGCGACTTCTTCCGCTCCTTGGTCGTCAAGGTCTTGACCGGCTTCAAGTTGAAGTTGTAATCGAGATGGAGGTATGTGAGGTTCTTCCGATGGATCAACAGATTGAGCATGTTGAAACCTTGCCGGCAGACTTGAAGACCAGCCTCAACCCAGTCGATTGTTGTCTGCTGGAAAAACTTGGTCTGTTTCAGAGTCTTGAGCAGATTTTGTTTCTGCAGCGACTTCGGTCTCTTCTTGTGCAACTCGTTGAGCACGTAGGTTTTCAGCAGCTTCTGGTACGAGACCCGGACCTTGACCGGCTGCCCCTTAGGACAATGTTCCAGGTACCAATGCTTAATGAGGGGCACGTCCTGAGCTCGCACCATACGCCCCGAACGGCGGTCAAAGGGGAAGGGCGCCCACCATAGCTCAATAGCAGCCGCCGTATCTTCCGTGTACAACTCCTCGTCTGCGAGGAATGGTTCAACTGCAGCAGGCAGTTCGAATGCTTCGTCTTCCGGCTCCTCGATGCTGCCCTGACCGAACAGCTCGTCCTCATGACTAATTGTAAGGTTCTTTGGGGCAACGGAACGAGAGGAGATGGGGTTGATGCTGCCGTCAAAATAGAAGGCAGGGAGGTTGACACTGTCAGACTTGGAGTAGACGATCTGCGGGTGGGAGTGCCAGGAGAGGTGCACGCTCCGCGGCAGCGCATTGTACAGATAAGGGTAGGAGACGCGGCATTCTGTCCGGATGGGATTCCGAAAGATAATGCGGTCCATAGCATTGAACTCGCCGAAGTCTTCATCGTTAGGGTCAATGTCCTTGTAGAGCGGCTCAAAACGAGGGCCTCCCGGCAACGCGACGTTCAGTGCCTTGGCAGTGAGGAAACTCTTCAGCTCAAAGAGATAGAAGTAGTTCGGGTCCACCACATCGGACACCAGCGGCCGACTCAGTCTGAACAAGTTTGCCATCTGTGGCAGTGTGAGGTTCCATCTCTTGTAGCTGGGCCCGTTCACGTGAGTCGTGTCAAGAAGCGGCTGGTGGTCGTAGAACCATTCATAGATGGCTGCCTCTTCCTCCTCGTCGAGATCCATCTGGATGGGCTCCAGGGGGTCGACATCCTCAATGTTCTCGGACCAAGAAAGCGGAGGTTCTTCGTCATCGAATGGCGGAAACCGCATGCGCTTGAACAGCCTCCTGTCGCTCTTCTCCTTGCGCATGGTGGTCCACATAGTCGCCCATTGCGCGAAGAAAACCGGCTCGATAACCCGGGGTATCTCATTGACCAGAGTCAAGCAGCCGTTGACATGGTATAGGACCTTGACCTCCCTAGCCGATTCCCACGGCATGGGCATGTTTTCCAACAACTTCATGACCGCATGTGGCATGAACTTCAGCGCGCCGAGATAGCTGCGCTTGTCGCTAGTGTACTTCTTCTGGGAGACGTCTCCGATGTCCTTGACGATCTTACGCAAATGTTCCGGGGGCATGTCGGCTTTCTGCGTCTCCACGAAACCGCCCTTCCTCTTCTCGCCAAACCGGCTGCGCTGCATACGAAGCCATTCCTTCTTCTTCTGTGCGTACTTGGCAACCTGGGGATCAGTCGGAGGCCGGTAGCCCGGGGGAGGCGGCGCTGGAATTGCGGGAGGTGGAGGAAGCGACGACGGCGGTCCCGGCGGGGGAGGAGTTGGAGGAGGTGGAGGAGGTCCCCAGCCAGGGGGAGGTGGCGGCGGCGGGAGCGAAGACATCTCGACGCTGCCAATTCGAACTCCGGATGAGGTTCACCACCAGACACGAAGACCGGCCCTCTCAGGCGGAAGATGATCGATGCGGCTGCGCCTTTGGCGACGGTGCCGGTGTCAATAAGCGATCGTTCAAGAGTGAGTCTCCATAAACCTGGAAACGGCGACGGCAATCCTTTATCAGCCGGATGTGGTGGTTGCGCGTTCGCGGAGTGTGGTTTGATGAAGCCAGAAAGTTTCGCTGCTGCTTGATTACAGAAAATCTCAGAGCTTCCGCGAACACAGGTGGCGCGAAGATGCTGACGCGCAAACGGATGGAGTCTCGCTAACAAACTAGGCGCCCCGGTAAAGGCATAGCTGCCGTTAGTCAGGTATTGATGTGGCGCAGCAAGTGCGTCCTGTACTTACCGTATCAATACGCACTCACGTGATGAGTCAGCTGATTGGGCCCAGGTCAGAAATGTGGCCGTGTGTGACCGACTTTTAGATAAGTTTGATCCGTCCTTTCACAAGTTGACTGTTTGCGGCAAGTCTGTGAGTTTATTACATCCAGCCGTACGTTGGCGGTTGCACTCAGAGATCCGCTTTGTCTTTGTTTGCTGCGGTGAAGTCTTCCGTGGTTGGCTTCAGGACTTCGACTCGATGACTTGCTAAGCCCCATCGGCCCCCCCACCAGAAAATCACCACTCAAAAATAATTGTCAACCCCTCCACGCAGATTTCGGGTGACAATCGCCGGCAAGCCACGACGTTGCCGCGCACCGCAACATCCCATCAATAGTCCCAGACAAGGATTCTACACTGATCTAGGGCGAACTTCACCATGTCTCGATTCTTCCGTGGCGGCGACGACAGCTCGACCGAGAGCAGCTCCGACGAGGAGGAACTGTACTCGACCTCCGAGGAGGAGGAGGAGGAGCAGGAGGAGCAGGAGTCTTCTGAGGAGGAGGAGGAGGAGGAGGAAGAAGAGTCCAGCGATGATGAACCCGGTCAGAAGAAAGGCTTGTCGCGTTTCTTGGTCGACCAGGCGGAATCTGAGAGCGAGGGGAGCGAAGAGGAGGGCGCGGCCAAGGTCAAAAGTGCCAAGGACAAGCGGTTCGACGAGCTCGAGGCTACCATCACCACCATCCAGAACAGCCAGAAAATCAACGACTGGGGCTCTATTGCGAATGGTATGTTTCTGGTTCCAGATTGTTAGAGTAGCGGCGCTAACTCGGTCCAGAATTTGACAAGCTCAACCGGCAGGTCGTCAAGCTTCAAGATGGCGGCAAGGCTCCCAAGTCGTATATCAAGTGCATCGCAGAGTTGGAGGATTTCATGAACGAGACTCTGGCCAAGCAGAAGGTCACGCCAAAGAAGATGAACGCTACGAACGCTCGTGGTCTCAATGCCGTCAAACAACGTATCAAGAAGAACAACAAGGATTACCAGGCCCAGATCGATGCCTTCAGGAAAGACAGCGAGGCTTTCATGGAGTCAGACGAGGAGGAAGCTCCCCTGCCGAAGCCCACAAAGGTCAAGTTCCAAGAGCCAATTGCCCCCGAAGAAGAGGACGAGGACAAGGAGAAGGGATTCGCAAAAGTCGTGCGTGGCAAGGCCATCCCTTTCTCACCTGAGAGCATTCAGAAGCACCTTCGTGCCATCATCGAATCGAGAGGCCGGAAAAACACCGACCGCTTGGAGCAGATCCGGACCATGGAGGAGCTCAACAAGGTTGCCGAGACACCCTATCTCAAGATTCGCGTGCTTCAAACCCTGATCTCGGCTCGTTTTGATCTTGGCTCTGGCACGACAAACTCGATGCCTCTGGAGCATTGGAAGGCTGCTGAGAAGGAGCTCGGGGCTCTGCTCTCGCTTCTCGAGACGCACAAGGACCATGTCGTCATTGAAGGTGCTGAGGAGTGGGATGACGACGAAAAGACCCCTGTCCTGGGGCCTGATGACAAGTACATCAAGGTTCCCGGCAGTGTGGTATCCTACATCGAGCGTCTGGATGACGAGCTCACCCGCTCATTGCAGAACATCGACCCCCATACCTCGGAATACATTGACAGGCTGACGGACGAGGGATCCGTGTACAATATCATTCTGCAGGGGCTTCTGTACTACGAGACCATCCGGAAGGATGCTTCACTCGAAGTTCCGCAAGAGAGCGTGAACCGCATCATCCAACGACGCCTGGATCACGTCTATTTCAAGGTACGCAAGAAAAACGCACCGCACCCCATACTTGCACGCAACCTTGCTAACTGATCCCAGCCGGCCCAAGTCGTGAAGATCTTGGAGGAAAACTCCTGGAAGCAAGTCTCGAGTGGCGTCGATTCCGCGATCACACCTCGCAACATGTCGACTGAAGCGGGAACGCTTGTTCACACCCTCTGCAACTACCTCTTCGAGAACAGCGAGGGCATCATCCGTGCTCGTGCCATGCTCTGCCAGATCTACTTCCTGGCGTTACATGACGAGTACTACAGGGCCCGCGATATGATGCTCACTTCCCACTTGCAAGAGAACATCGTCAACTTCGACGTCGCCACTCAGATTCTTTACAATCGTACCCTAGTCCAGGTTGGCCTTTGCGCCTTCCGGAAAGGTCTGGTCTACGACGCTCAACACACGCTGCAGGATATCTGCGGCAGTGGGCGGCAAAAGGAGCTTCTCGCTCAGGGTGTAATGATGCAACGGTTCAGCCAAGTTACGCCGGAGCAAGAGCGGCTTGAGAAACAACGACAGCTCCCCTTTCACATGCACATCAACCTGGAGCTTCTTGAATGCGTCTACTTGACATGCAGCATGCTCCTCGAGATCCCGCTCCTGGCACAGACCGGATCCTCGCCAGATATCAAGAAGCGCGTCATCAGCAAGACGTATCGTCGGATGCTTGAGTACCACGAGCGGCAGATCTTCACCGGCCCGCCCGAGAACACCAGGGATCATGTTATGCAGGCATCCAAGGCTCTCGCGGCTGGCGAATGGAAGAAGGCTATCCACTTCATCCACAGTATCAAGATCTGGGAACTCATGCCTAGCGCAGACGGCATCAAGGCGATGCTTGCGAAGCAGATTCAGGAGGAAGGTCTTCGCACATACCTCTTTACGTATGCTCCCTTTTACGACACCTTGGCCATCGAGACTTTGAGCGCGATGTTCGAGCTCGACGCGACCAAGGTGTCTGCCGTGGTCAGCAAGATGATCAGCCACGAGGAGCTTGCCGCGGCCCTTGACCAGGTCACCAAAACGGTGATCTTCCGCAAGGGCGTGGAGCTCAGCCGCCTCCAAAGCTTGGCTCTTGCGCTCTCGGACAAGGCAAGCTCTCTCATCGAGACCAACGAGCGCACGCTCGAGGTAAGGACGCAAGGATCCGCAAATGCTTTCAGCCGGAAGGACGGCAGGCAGGGCGGGCAGAGGGGCGGCGGCCAACGGACTGGCAGAGGCGGTGCGAGGACCGGCGGCAACGCCCAGCGGCAGGCCGGCGGTACACAGTTCACAGGTGGTGCTCTGGGCGCTGCGGTTCGTGGTTAGTATGGGGGGATGGGGTTACATGACTTTCGTTTGCTATTACATTTGGGGGCAGGGAATGTTATGTATCAGATTGGTCCTCGGTGTGTTAATGCTTCGCGCCAGACTAGACCAGGGAAATGCAAACACGAATCACATACCTACAAACTCTTTCTCAGCAACGTTGCCCAAGGCATCGTATTCGCGCGGTAGTACCAGCCCCTATAGTTGTCTGACCTCCATTGTCGTCAAGCCGAAGAAGCCTCGGAACAACTGCTGCTATATCCGATCACCGGTCAGCGTGATTTAGTATGCCATCAGTATCACACATCTGATCCATGCGACTTGCTTTTTTATTAGATTCTCGTGTTCTCCGCTGCTGGGGCGACAATGGCCATTGGCAGACTCCTTGGGGATCGCCCACTCTCACAGACTTTGGGGAAGCGTTAGTTTCAAGTTGAAATTCATAGACCGCTTTGAAAGAGGGCTGGGCTTCGCTCCGTAAAGAACCACAAGTGGTCCCTCTGTGATGGCCAGGTACCCTATTATATAGGTCTTGGTCCAGAAGGGTGCTGCTATCGCAAAGGGAGAGGAATTGTAATCGTCAGGCATATATGCAGTGACCTACCTTACGTACGGAGGACAGCAGCCAAGGCGAGATATCTTTAAACCCGCCGATATCAATCTATGCTTTCTTTGGACGATGGGGCAGTCATTACCGTCCATGCGACGGGAACGGGAACCCACAACCCAGGAGAGCACTCGTGGAACCAAAAGGCAGCGGCCGCAGTGACGTTTGTTTTTTGGGGAAGCTCCCGTATGGAGTGGGATGGCTGATGATCTAGACGCGATGCAGCGTTGTTCAGGACTACCTTGGTAGCTCCGTCTTGATTCTCTATTTCAAGAGCTGCAGGTGTGCCATAAGCAACATGTGACAAGCGCCAGAATATGGAGACCAGGCAATCTCAGGCCGTTCCCCTCGTAATTGTCAACGCCACAGCAATACTCCATAAGAGAACCAAATCTTTCCCAGAAAGCCAGCCACAAGTCCCTGCAGATTCAGAGACGGCGACCACGGCGACCACCCTTGCGACGAGTCGAGTCGGAGGGAGTGGGGGTAACGTCCTCAATGCGGCCAATCTTCATGCCGGACCGAGCCAGAGCGCGAAGTGCGGACTGAGCGCCAGGGCCGGGGGTCTTGGTGCCGTTACCTGTGAACCAACCCGTCAGCGACTAGCCCTCACCAAGCGAGGAAACAGGGGTTAGACATACCACCAGTGGCACGGATCTTGATGTGAAGGGCAGTGATGCCCAGCTCCTTGCAGCGGGCCGCGACGTCTTGAGCAGCCAACATGGCCGCATACGGGGAGGACTCGTCACGGTCGGCCTTGACCTTCATACCACCGGTGACACGGCAAATGGTTTCACGTCCGCTGAATATCGCCCAGGATGTTAGCATCAGGGCCTTCGCAGATCGAGAGCTACTGCGGGCTCGAAAATGTGCAAGGCTTTCGTCCTCCCCGCCCCATCAGCACAAGGCTGGTAGTTCAATGGCGCACGAACCTGAGATCGGTGACGTGAACGAAGGTGTCGTTGAAGCTGGCGAATATACGGGCAACTGTGAATCGAGGGGTCAGCGGGACAGTGACAATAATAAACAACTCCCGTAAGTTGACTTACCGCCAAAGACGAGCTCACCCTCCCGGATCTGGGGACCCAGGGAGATGTTCTCTTGCGCAGGACGAGCGGCCTTCTTGGGAGCCATCTTGACTTATTCGTTCCGGAGGTGCTGTGGTTGTTCCTGCGAAATGGTCCGATCGGCGGTGACTTATCGAAATTTTGGCGAGTTGGTGAAACTGCCCTGCCGCTTCTGGCGGTGAGGGGTTGCAGAAAGCGGGGATTGGGCGGAATATCTGGCTCAAGCCCTAAGTTCCTGTACCATGGCCCCACTCTACTCCAATGGCTTCGGACCTTTTCCCCTTCAATTGCGCCCACCAAGTGAATTTTCTTTTCGCTTGACCTTCGCGAACCGACAAACGACAAACCACTTCCAGCATCGCGAAGCGGTCAACAATTCGACAAGATGGCTTCCACGTATGCCTCTCCCCAAGCCCATTTCCTAGGTTCCTGAATGGTATCGTCGCGTGTCACTTGACGAGATTCTGCAGATTGGCGTGGTCCTCTCACTGGACGCTTTTCCCGGGCTTCGTACTCGACCCAGGCATCGCTCCAGCTCGATCCCTCCCGCGATTCTCCCTCTTTTCTCTAGGCTTGGAACCGGTCCGGCTTGCAGATTGAGAGATGTTTCGCGGGGTGTTGGGGTTGAAGGTTTCTACCTTCTCCCTGAAATCCAGTGCCTTCTGGACAATGGCCGTCGATGTGTCTCTGTGTCCTGGACCAGAAACCCTCGGGCCCCAGCATGTGCAAAAGTTCTTGGATTCTGTCCAAGGCGTTGCTAGGCCGAGGGTCTGCTTTGCGTGTCGGGACTGCCAGCTATGATGCTCCCTCCACCGAGCTCCTCGCCAGTCAACATTCGGCAATCGAGTTAGCCACGAGAGAATGTCGCACTTGAGCAGCAATTCTCCACCGGCGCTCTACCACATACTGCGGTATGTCGGATCACGTACTAATCTTTACGCTTAGGTCCGTCCCGACACAGAACGATATCCTCGTTCCTGAGACTCTCCTGAAGAAGCGCAAGTCGCAGGAGAAGGCCCGCGCCGAGCGCGCTGCTGAGCAGGAGAAGCAGAAGAAGGTGGGTCTTCACATTTGCTTTCGGTTATCATGGGACGATATGATGCACAAAACACCTAGCGACTAGACCCACGTCAATGCTGTTGCTAAACTTATACCATCTTTCGGGTCTGATCGAGTTTCTCGAGGATGTTTTGCTGGACGTGTTGAGAGACAATGAGAGTTTCGCTGACACAAATACACAGGCCAACAAGGAGAAGCGTGGCGTCATCTTCAAGCGTGCTGAGAAGTACGTCAAGGAGTACCGCGACGCTGAGCGCGAGAGGATCCGCCTCGCGCGCGTTGCCAAGCAGGATGGCTCTTTCTACATCCCCGCCGAGGCCAAGCTGATCTTCGTCATCCGCATCAAGGGGTAAGACTCAAATTCCTGCTCCGGTCCCGGACCTAGCTGCTAACAATGGTCCAGTATCAACAAGATCCCGCCCAAGCCGCGCAAGATCCTTCAGCTTCTCCGCCTTCTTCAGATCAACAATGGTGTCTTCGTCCGCGTCACCAAGGCTACCGCCGAGATGATCAAGGTTGTCGAGCCGTGGGTTGCTTACGGCTACCCCAACCTGAAGAGCGTCAAGGAGCTCATCTACAAGCGTGGATATGGCAAGGTCAATGGCCAGCGCATCGCCCTCACCGACAATGCCGTCATTGAGGAGAACCTCGGCAAGTACGGCATCATCTGCATGGAGGATCTGATCCACGAGATCTACACGGTTGGCCCCAACTTCAAGCAGGCCTCCAACTTCCTGTGGCCCTTCAAGCTCAGCAACCCTACCGGCGGCTTCCGTCCCCGCAAGTTCAAGCACTTCATTGAGGGCGGTGACCTGGGCAACCGGGAGGAGCACATCAACGCTCTGATCCGGCAGATGAACTAAAAAGGTGGCTTTTGGTAGTCTTGCGGTTTTGGTCTCGGTCATGGGCAATGGCATGGGTGCTCGGCGTTATATCGTGAAAGCCAGGGCGGCTCACAGGGCATGAATTTAACATCGTCTCGTTCTTGGGCGCTATATTCGATCTCACCCTGGGACGCGTGACTAGTTTGCTTCCCATTGGCCAAGCACGGCCGAATGCTACAAAATTGCCCGCTACTTTGCTCCCACTGTGCCAGTGCGCCTACACGGCGCAATCACTGGGACGTATTCTTAACTATACAAATCGCCCCCGCGTGCTTCCGTGTCATCACAGCCGATTCGGTCGAGTCATAGCGAAAATAGTTCATATCTTGATGTCGAAACTTGTGCCACATCCACAACTACTCGTCGCCAAAGGATTGTCCACGATCTTGAACTGCGACCCAATGAGCTCCATGGTGAAGTCGACCTTGCTCCCCTTCAATAATTCAAGGGAAGGGCGGTCAAGTATGATTTTTGGGGCTGTCAGATCCCCTGGCGACGAGTCATCGGCTGAGTATGTGAATATGGTGTCGTCCTGGCGGACGGCAGCCGACGCGTCTTCTGCTGCTGCTGCAGAGGCAAGCGAGTCTGCCGTGGGAAGCGAAGGGGGTAATGTCACGAGCTTCATGACGTACTGGAAGCCGTGACAGCCCCCGCTCTCGACTTGGATTCGGAGGGCCAAGTTCGGGTTCGAATCTTTGGAGATTATCTCGGAGAGGCGCTGCGGCCGGGGCGGGTTAGTCGCGAGACTTCTCGGGTTGAGTTAATCAGAAGACGGGGAGAGCTGTACCTTAGCTGCACGAGGCGTGATCTCCAGCGTCATTTCCTTCCCGTCATCGTCTACTTGTGAATTGAATATGGCGTGTGTCGCCCCTAATGGGAATGAGGTGCTGAACAGCCGTGGGGCGGGACCCCCTGACACCGTCCGGGCCTCCGGCAGCGCGAGGCGCGCTCTCGGGCCTCTCCATGGTCCGCGACTGGATGGGGGAAGAATATACCGGGGGCTTGGGCGCCAGGCGGTAGACGACGCATGGTATGTGCAGATAGCGGGTGCGCCGACGGCTCGAAATGACCGGGGCAGGAGGACGTCGAGAATCAAAAGTCCGGACGACACAGCCTGGCGACGCATGCAGAGTTGGAGGAAGAGGCCGGCCGTTGCGGGCGGTTTGGCGCAACGTAGACGTGTCATCACAGGTTACAGATGGGTGTGACTTGGTGAATAAAAGTGCGGTTTTCGGTCGAGCCCGCTTGGATCGCTTCCAGGTTCTCCGTCGCCTCGGGCTCTCGGATCACAGCTACCGAGCGGTTTTTGCGGAGGGTAAAATTTCGCCATGATGTCAGATCCGGACCCTTGCAGGTTACCCCTGGCCATATCGGCGGGATGAGGTGGGGCAGCTCTTCTCCGCAAAAGACAGCCCGTTCATGCCCTATGATCGGATTTGCAGCTACTTGTGATACAGATCACACCGTGCCTCATCTCATCATAGCCGATGAACTATTTGTACAGCTGGTAAAGGGAACATTTATCATAATACAAGAATGGGTGAATCATATACACCTCCGACACGGACTAGACCCCGTCCCAGGCAACCTCATTCAAAGATCGAAAACAACTGAGCGCCATCACTAGGGCACGGACCCGAGTCCAACCTACCGTTTCCGGGGAGGATGCAAGTGTTGTTGTTCTCGCTCACTGGCGCAAATGCGAAGCTCGTCTGGCCAATGAAGGGGAATAGCTGGCTACCGGTCGTTTCTCCCTCTGCAGATGCGTCAGTCCAAGTCAAGTCAAAAGAGATAACGGAGGGCGTTAGGACGAGGGAAGTGACAGGCACATACCACCGGCAGCTCGGCCACCACACGAGAATAGGGTGACAGTGTCACCCGCTTGCCTTCTGCCGTCGAAGCTGATACAGCCTTGGGTCTGCAGAAGTGATGCGGTCAGCCGGCAAAACCTTCCCGGAAACGCCTCATGCCGCTAGCTACACTTACCAAGGCGCTGACAACCAACGCTGCAGGCTTATTCGGATCCGGTTTGTTGTGCTTCCCTTCAGTGATGATATCCCACTTCTCGTTAGGAGAGCCCGTGCAATCCACCAGTGAGACAGGGATCAAGTTCTGGCGGAAGTCGCCGGCTGTCGGGTCGATGAAGAGACATTGTCCATTGGGGGCACGGATTGAGACACCGCTGAAGGCACGCTTGGCCGTGTCGTCACGTTGGTGGGATTCCGCTGCCGCCGTCGGCTGTAGGGTGCCGCCAGCCCTTGAGACTGGCACTGGCTCGGTGGGATTCACCGTCGGGATATTCCCGCTCCCAGCCCCGGACCCAGTTCCGCCTCCGCTTCCGGCTGCCGGCGCGGAGGTGGTCGGCTGGGCTGCGAGAGGAGTGGAAGTCTGAATCCCCCCGTTCCCGTCGTTCTGGGTGGGCGCGGCAGTCACGGTCCGGGTGGTCTTGGTGCACGTCGACGTGGTGCATGTCGAGGTCGTATTCTCGCCATTACCGCCATTATCGGTATTGTTGCCGTTGCCGTTACCGTTTCCGTTACCGTTGTTGTTATTGTTGTTGTTGTTGTTGCCACCTCCTGCTGCAGCACCGCCAAAGGTGAATGACTGGTTGGCATCCGCTGCATCACATTTCGCAATGTCAATGGCGTTGCCCTTCACAACAAGACAAGACCCCTCTTGGTTCTGAGGCTTAAGGGAAAGGGGTCCGGCGCTGCCGTCAAAAGAAAAGAGCTGGGAGTTGGTCACTTGTCCACCTGGAGAGCATGTCAGCATTGAGAATTTGGAAACTGTGTCCGAGGAACACTTGCCTCCGTCTGCCCGACCACCACATGAGAACAGCAGAACCTGGTTTCCAGCCTGTCTACGGGGATCGAAGTTAAAACAGGCCTGGGTCAAAGTGCTGACAATAGCCATGACTCCATCGCCCTCGACGTGTTTGCCCGCCGTGATAACGTCCCATCCCTGGCCATCCGTCGACCCGCAGTCAGCGACTTGGATCGGGGTGAGGTTGGCGCGGAAATCTCCCGAGAGCTTGTCGACAAAAAGGCATTTGCCGTCCGAGGTCTAGAATTATGGTTAGCCGGCACCGGCAAAAAAAACATTTACGCCGAGACATAAGCCATCGCACCCTTATCTCAACATCGGAAAAGGCCCGGGTAGCGCCGTCATCGCGCTGGTGAGCCTCCGCAGTGGCGGCTTCATCAAGAGAATCGACAGCCCTAGAACGAAGCGGAGTTGCGCCGACAAGGGCAGCCCATGCCAGTAGTGGAATGAATGTAAAAACCATGGCGTATATTCACAGGATACGAGAGGGAGCGTCGACAGCCGGGGTATTTGAGAAGCAAAAGAAGAGAACGGATGCCTGCCCAGCAGGCAGGTCAAGAAGCGAAAGGAAGGTGAAAAAGAAAAAGAAAGACGCTATTCACAGATAGCTCGTCGACAGGACCACTTCAAGCGAGGGACCGACGGGGGGAGGGAACACAAGGAGGTGGCCAGGTAAGACTACTTATTCACATATTCCACGATAGCTTCATCCTCCGGCGAGTTCATCAGAAGTGCGTAGGCGCTGACCCAGGGGCTAGCTTGCTCTCCCAATGTCCAATGACACCTCGCCACCGACATTGGGGCGAGTCCCTGGCTTCCAGGTGAAGTTTCATGGCCTGCTTGAAATGCAAGCTCACTTGCATGGTTGTTTCGCGCCGACCTCGTGGGACCGGGGTGCAGGCCAAGCGGTGGACATTGAATGACACCCGGCGCGAATTTCTTGATTCTTCAAAGCACCATCCGCAGTGGCATGCGGCTTTTCGATGTTTCTCAACAGGATCACACTATGAAACGACTTGGGCCACTCCCCATGTAAGATGTCGCCAATTGCACGTGCAGCTGGGTAGCTTTTCGGCATCCCTGCAGCACATCCCCGAGATCTTGGCGGGCGCTAGGAGGAACTTTGTTAGGCTTTAACTCTGGTCACAGAAGGGTGGCCTGGATGATGAAACGGCCTCTGTCGGAGATCGCGCCAGGGCGGACGCAATGGACTGAACTACCACACCTTTGGATGCAGAATAGATGACAGGCGCAGCGGTCGTCTCATGTTTGTCAATTTGGGACAGGCCCTTTCCCACTGTCGCGGTAGTTAATGTACGTCCATCCTGTTCTCTGCCAATCGTAGCCCCTGACGAAGAACACTGAGGTCTGAAGACTGCCTCCCAACTACAAGAACAACTTCACGCCTAGGTTTCCGTGCATTGCTGGGATAAGCGGAAAGTGTTACATACCGCCCGGCGTCTGTACAGGGTGTGGTACCTTCGTCAAGGTAAAGAAAGGCGGCACGGGCGGTTGCTGTTAGATACCAAGACGGGCTATCCGATCCAATTCCTCGGGACACTTTTAAGCCCCACCGTGACAATTCCAAGAAGGACTCTTGTGATACAACCTTGCTGATTATTAGGTTCCTAGTGATCGTTTGGTGAAGCCACACTGCCCAAGTGGTACAATACAATCCAAGCACCGGAAGAGCATTGACGTCGCGATGTTTCCGTCTGGAGAAACTAGTCGAGAAGTGAAGCTCTGGAGACGTGCGGCCTTGCACCCTGTCCGCGACACATGATGCGCCGGCGATGCTCTCATCTTACTTCGTATCTAGCGGCCATGATGTGGTCCCTGTCAAAGGGCAAACTCCGGCGGACAGGCTCACTGCGTCACAGGTTAGGGTTATGTGTAGCAGTTCGAAGAGGGCCGCAGCCCTAATGGATCCAGCGGATGCCAAGACTTCAATTCCCCCACTCCGAGATTTCCAGACATCGTCTTCAATTTGTGAGCCGCGCCAACTCCCACCATCACGAACGAACAAGCCCACCATCTCCTCAAAATCCACGTAACACGGCCGCCAAAATGCCTGGAGGTGTCACCGTTCGCGATGTCGATGTAAGTCTTTGCAGCTCTCTGCCGTGACTGGCCCTCTCGACCGAGACCCGAACATTTTTCTCGCTGTCCAAGTTGCCGCGAGTCTCCTTAGCGAGGCTCGCGCTGACCGTCGGTGATGGACCATGGCCGTCGCAGCAGCAGAAACCCAGAAGATGAAGGGAGCAGGCGTGAGGGGGTCGAAAGACCTCTGAAGACGGAATCTTGCTAATCATGTTGCTGCCGGCGTAAAGGCTCACAAGTTTGTCGGTTAGTTCTCTCGTTCTCGTGATATGATTTGACTATGTCTGAGTGGCTACTAACAGCATGATAGCGTCCTATGCGGCTTTCTTGAAGCGCCAGGGCAAGCTCCCTGTCCCTGGTTAGTCCGGCCTTCTGGAATCGCGCTTCGATCGAGCAATCCGACTCTGACACACATCGCATGCAGGCTGGGTTGATACCGTCAAGACCGGGGCCGCCAAGGAGATGCCTCCTCAGGACATCGACTGGTTCTACGTCCGCGCCGCCTCTGTCGCTCGCCACGTCTACCTGAGGAAGACCGTGGGTGTTGGCCGTCTCCGCAAGGTCCACGGCAGCGCCAAGAACCGCGGCACCCGCCCCTCGAAGCACGTTGATGCTAGCGGCAGCGTCGACCGCAAAATCATGCAGGCCCTTGAGAAGATCCAGGTTCTCGAGCGCGACGAGGAGAAGGGTGGCCGCCGCATTACCCAACAGGGCCAGCGGGATCTTGACCGTGAGTTACCCTTCGATTTCTGGGTCTGCGTTGACTCTGACGCAAAACTACACAGGGATCGCCCAAACTGTCGCTCAGACTGAGGAGGAGGAGGAGGATGAGGAGTAAACACGTTGTCCCTAGAGGCGCTGGTCCACCCGCGGGGGTCTCTAGTGGACGGGAGGGACGCTGTGGGGCATTGGAGCTGGAGGCACTGAGTGGTTTGGGTCTGGTCATGGTTCCCGGTAGCATCTGGTTTAGGCGTCATAAAAGGGATTGCTGGCTTGCTTGATCACATGGGCCTGGCCTGGTTTACCTCCACAGTCAGTTTGCTACAACTCCGTGTTTGACTCTCACACCACACTTGCACAGAGCCTGACGACCTTTATGTTCTGGACACCGGGCAATCAGTGATTTCCTACCTGGGTACGAAATAGCGCGGGCGTTTAGAAAACCTCTTCTTTCTCGTTAAGATTTGCTAATCTCTTCCCGCAACTCATTTCACGCTTTCTTTTCGCGCCTCGTTCTTCTCGCGAATCTCCTTGCTCGATTCTCCCAGGCCTTTCCCCCGCCGGACTACTTCTCTCCTTCAACTACTTTCCTCCATCCCACTCGTGAAGAATCGTTCGCAGCTGGGAGTTTCACGATCAAAGTCGAGCCTTCTACCTCACTTCGTTATTCCAACTACTTCTCTGCCTAGTCACGCTAAAGATTTATTGCACCTGTTCCTTGCCCGGCATCCGGGCGCTACCTTCGACCGCCGTGGCGAGGATCGCGCTTCGCTTCAGGATAAGTTTCCGATCCCGTTGCCTCGCCGAGGATAGCTGATTCAGTACGATATATAGCGAGTGTATTACCGTTGCTTCTGAGTTTCCCTGCTTCTGAAAATCCTCGTTTGACTTGCTGTTCCTTTGGCTTCCGTGGTTCTGCTGCTTTCTTGATCCGAAACACTGACAAGCTTCCATCGACAAGCGATGAGCAATTTTCGGGATGAGGTCATCAGAACCTTGGGCCTTACCGACCTACATGTTGCTGTCATTCGAGGCAATGTTCGACGGGTACTCGATATCCTACGCTCGGAGGATAAGAGGGAGCTAATCGAAGCTCGCGATTTGAATGGCGCTACTCCTCTCATGACAGCCGTCCTCACAGGGCAGCTTAAGATTGCCCGACTTTTGCTGCGAAACGGGGCGTCGACAAGGGCCACAGATCGCAAAGGGCGGACCGCCCTCAACTACGCAAGGACCGCTTGGTTCGAGGGTGATATGGCGGTTTATAGACGCCTAGGTCTGCCTCCGTTGTCCCCCGAGAAGCGCGGCCGTAGGAGGCGTAAGATAGCTGAGATCTTACGCTACCCTGCAGCGCTCGCTTCGTGGTACGTCCCCCCAGGCCTGCTCAGCTCCTTCGCATTTGACGCCCGGGACTATGTTTGTTGCTAACGAAAGGATCATTACTTAGCCGCCTCGGGGGACGGCACCCATGTTCCCGAGCGGTATTCTATAAAAATGGCGACAAAAGAAAGGTCTTCCAGCCGGACATGCATATCAGACACGGTAAAGAAAAATGCGCCCGATCGACGGTGGGCTTTATCGTGTCTGCCACAAACCCGGATGTGAAGACGGCTGCTATAAGTGGATGGCAGGAAAACATCAAAAGAGATCGAAATGTCCTCTCCAATGCCAAATACACTCAACTTGTCAAAGACCTTGCGGAGATCCTGGACTTCAACCTACAACCAAACGTCCGACTCGACAACCAGGGCAAATATGTGCCCGAGTACACAGGGCGCGGTCAAGCCACTCACGTGGTTCGTCGGGCACAATGTTTGAGTGATTTATAGCCCTAGGGTGTTAGCTAATCCATGGAACAGGAGAAGAAACTGGCCGTGTTCTGGGTGCTCGCCGCTCTCCAGGCAATCCGCGAAACGAGTGACCTCAAACGGGTGGCCGAGTTACGCAATGCGGCTATACCAGAGGCGTGGAAGGACGCGTGGGTTTTTATAGACCACATTCCTTGCCCCAACGTGAGTTGTTCCGGGTACTGAAGTCAAGTCTGAGCTCTGCCAATTGACACTATAACGGCCTCTAGTGCTGGGAGTTTCTACACAAGGTAGAGGAAGCCACCGGAATTCGTATTTTGGTTGAGCCTCGCCCTTTTGTCGTCAGGGGTCACCGTAAGAGAGGTACCGTTCCCAACCAGGGAACCCATATCACGCAGGGCAGCTCGGGAGACGCCGGAACTGGCACCGCGCAAGTTGATGTCCAAGCCGGACACTCGAACGATGATTCGGCTGAGCACGAAGCGGGTATGGGTTCGGAGATCCAAGAGGACAACGATGGTACTAATACGCAGGTGTCCGGACGGCACCGGCCCCGACACGGTGGCGAAAGATCCGAATCCGAGATTCCGCCGACGGTTGGACCACCGGAGGTAAGCTCCAAATTGTCGCCTTTCCTATGCATAACTTATCATTAGCTAATCTCGGTAGTGGAAGCATTACAATTCAGAACAGTCCGGCCAGTATGCGAAGCCATTGCGGCCTGTCCGTATTCATCCGTCGCTTTTTCTAGAATCGTCCGGCCTCGAGAGCTCACCGGAGTTGCGTGAGCCTGTGTCGACACTAACAGGCCGCTCCGGCTTCTTTACAACCCCCGATCGTCGCGCCCGTGTCAGAGGGCAGTCACCCAGTGTTGATCCGGAGGTTCTCGCAACTTATGACCGAGTCTCCGGGGCGTCGGGGTGTCATCCCGCCCATGCTGAGCGTTCCAGAGCCACTGGGTCAGCTTTCACGTCGAGACGCCGGACCACAGACCTGACGACGTCCAGACCCCTCGACTTATCCCGGTTTGCCTACAACGGCCCTGGATCGTCTGCTACTGCTGCTCCCTCGCGTCCGAAGAATAAGAGCGCCCATGTGCATGGAAGAAAGGAGGTTTCTGCGACTGCTAATGCAAAACGGGCGAGGGCTACCAAGAGGCAGCGTGCTCGGGTCAACAGGGAGAAGATGATAAGGAAAAGGAGCACATTTCTGCGGGCGGTCCAGCGTCAGAGGTGCGCCGCTGACTGACCTTCTTGAAAAATTGACATTCTCATATCTTGCTTTCCCGCAGTTGAAACACACTGCTTCTATCGGAGAATGATCGAGATGATACGGATCGGGATCTTAATGAGAACGGGGGTGTTTTTTTTTCTTGCATTGCTTCAAGGGGTGCTAATGAGGTTTTACCCGATCTGGATTCGTTTCTCAGCATGTCCATGATTTTAGTGTCACATACCCGACAAAGTGTCGATGTTGATGTTCACGATAGTTCGGAGGATGTTTGGTGGTGTTGCTCTCGTTCTTTTCCCTTGTCCCTAATGGCCCCATCTCGGGCAACTTACCAGGTGGAAGAATTGGGAACGGGGCATTCGGGGCTTACAAACATCTATGTCTCCATTGAAATTGCAGCTCGAGTTGTTGTTATTCATCAGGCGGGATTCAGTGGTCAATCGAACAACGGGATAGGGTCTCAAGAAGTCAATAATTAGGCGGCAAAATGCCACATCTCGAGAGCTTCTACAAATACAATGAACCAGTTAAATAAACAGCACATATCTGCTGGCATGGGTATCAAGGAGGTATCAAGGAGTTAACGGCCGTGAGCCACCCTCCGTGTTCCACCTTTGCCGGAGTTTTCATGCCTTTCTTGTGAGGCGCATCCTCCCTCCACCGTTCCTTCCATGTTGGTGGTCTCCACGACGCCGGCTTTTCCATCAGAAGCGCTCCTTTTCCCTCCCTTCCATTTTTCCATCAAATCAATCGCAGCAGATGCTAATAAAAAAAAAGCTGAACCGAAAGTCCAGGCTATCCGCCACCGGGAACGCAATGCCTGTGGCTGGTCAGACAACCTTGATCTTCACCACTCACTAGGCCCAGTTTGCCAGCAGAGCCATCAAACCGGCGCCCAAGACGACACAAGCATACGCAGACAGCTGCATTCCAAGCCCCGCCTTTCGCATCTCCGGATTGAACATGAACTCGTGTGCCACCAACTCAACCAGGGCAGTATACATGAGAATGCCGCCGCTGATGGCATCGAAAACACCATTAACCACCTTGCTGGTCGCCGCCTCCAGCGCAAGCGATTTGCTCGCGATGAGGCCCATTCCGATGGCCAACGGCGTGCTGACGGCATACAACAAACCAAGCGCATACGGCGTCCACCTCCGAGCACCGGTAGGCCAAGTCGCCTGGCCGAGACGTGCGCCCAGACCGAGGCCTTCGAAGGTTTGGTGGAAGACCAGGACGATGAAGAGAACGATGAACTCGTCGGTGACAGCCAGGGTGAGGCCGATGAAGATGGAGTGAAAAATGACGCCGAACTCAAGGATAAAGATGGCGGTGATCTGAGCGGCATAATTGGCATGCTCGTCGCCCTCAAAATGGTCTCGCTGGTGGCCTAGGTGGTTCTCGCCGCGAGGGTAGCTGACGTCGTCGCCACGGACGGGGATTCTGTTCTTGTCGAAGAAACCTGCACCGGCAGCCTCCGTGTCCTGGATTGACTTCTCGTCGCGAGATCCCTCAGGTTGGTGGCCTCGCTCATGAGCGTGGCCGTGCGCGGAGCCGAAGCCGAAGTCGAAACGCGAGACGATGAGTTCCAGGAGGAACATGACCATGACTGTCATCAATGCGATAGCCATGGCCCAGTCGTAGTCGGGAAGGATGTTGCCCAGGCATTCATCGCGTAGGTTATCGGAAGCCGGCGAGAGAAGATGCATCCAGGCCGTCGCCAGAATGACACCAGTTCCGAAGTACTTGGCGATGAAGAAGCAGAGTTTGGGCACCCGCATTCTGGAGGTCCTGGCGAGGAAGACGGGCAGAAGGGAACCGATCGCAGAGCCGATGAAAATGATGAAAATGGAGGCGATCCGCAGGCCCCAGTAGTCGATGCTGGCTGACGAGGCCTCGCACTCCGGGACAGTCGCCTCAGCATCGCCCTCGTCCCGGCCCGTCAGGACACGGCGGTAAAGTGAGTGATGCATGTTGGGCGATGGACCTTTTGGCTCTCGATCGATGATTTATGCTGCTCGACCGGGGCTTCTGCAGACCGGAATCCGGATCCCGACTTCTGACTCTTCCTAAAACGTGGAAGCGGAGACACTCCTCGGCGAACCCAAGTCTAGAGATGGCCAAGAAGGAACAAGACCTTGGTTTGCAGTCGACGGGAGCGGGGAAGGATGCAGAAGAAGCGCGGCAACCAGGGCAACGAGAGATTTCGAGAGATAATTGGCTTCGTCTGCGGGATCGCCCGTCTTGGATCAGGAAGCCAAGATGAGCCAAGATGAGCCAAGAACGCGGTGTTGTTCTCTGGAGTTGGCTTCTATTATAAGTTATCGAGTGAATTGAGGAAGAAATGGGAGCGGAGCTGGTGTGGCAAGACTGCCTCCACTCGGTATGTTGCGGTTTCTGCACCAGGGCGTGAGAACCTTGATGGCCAGCGGAACTTCCTTGAGGGGCTTGCATCAGCACACACACAACATGCTCCGGTAATATCCAGGCTCGCTAGGCACTAAGGTACGAGAAAACCAAAACACCTACCAGCAGTAGGATAATGCGAAATCCGCGCTCGTCCTCCCCTTAAGGTTTTGAACGCAACGTCACCCTCTGCGTCGGTGGCAAAACGATCGATATTCCGGCGCGGTGTTCGTTCGAAGTTGTTCGCTTGTTCGACTTGGATGACGCAGACAGTCCGAAAGAAGGAGGTAGAGACGATAGGGCCAATAGACCGAGACACCTGGGGGCGCACAGCAAGGGCGCAGGAGGGGATGTGTCCTATTGTGGCACGGTTGAGCACCCTGATAGTAACCGGCGCAATTTTGCTACCAACAGCGCTCGTCGGACCGTTAAGAGAGCCAGTATCAACGGAGCTTGTGGATATTTCCATCAGCCACCATCAGGACCTTTCTCCTGTTTTCCTACGGCTCGCACCGAGGCGAACCAACGGCCCCACAACACCTGTCCATCAAGGTTCTCACACGCTGAGCCATCAGGGCGAGCGGCCACCCTGCCAGGGCTGAAATAGCCAGTCAGCCCTCACCCATTTCAAAGCGCGAATTCTGCATTTCCGCAAAATGCTCACATGTCGACCCACTGCATACTCCACTCGTTGGCACGTTTCTCCCAGACGGAGGGAATATTGATCAACTTCCTTTTCCGAAACAATCTGAGTCGAGCGACGCGATTGATTGAAGGAGCGGCATCAAATCAGGCGCTGGCAAGTTGGACAGCTGTAAAGCTGCACCATTATGATGAATATTGTACTTCGAGCCCCAGGCTGCGGAACGGCTCGCCCAGTTTGCGCAGGTCCACGCCAGTGCCAAGGCTGAAGATGAGCGACTTGACGCGACCCTCCCAGAGAAGGCCGATTCGGAGATTCTGGTCGAGCCGCGCCTTTAGGACCCCCCGGTATTCCTTCCCGGACCTGGCAGCCGCAGGTTTCGCCTCCCTCCTAGGAGCTTCGGATTCGGACTCCTCGTCGTCAAGCCGCCATTCAAGTTTCGCCTGGAAACTTCTTTCCTTCCTTCGCGGTGGTCCAGGATCGGGGTCAGATTGACTATTGGGGTCCGCGCCGAGCAGGAAACCAGCTGGCCTTCTGTTGCTCCACAGCTCCATCCCGACCGCCCACTCGCTCTCATAGCTGTAAACGTTGAACTCCATCCTTGTGGCCAGCGAGCAGTAGTCCCTTGCAAGGACGGCATAGGTGGCATTGATGTTTCCCATAAGAGGGTTGATCGTCAAGGTTGCTGTTAGCGGTGTCCCCCGGTGTGCCGGCAGAGTCGCAAAGCGCGCTCCGAGCGACATGCCTCCGGACTTGTTGAGCGTTCCGTAATAAACTTCACCCCCAGCGCTGAAGCGGCCATATATGCGCTCTCTCTCCCCCAACTGGCCACCTCCATTGTTCTCGGAACTGGAACTGTTGGTTGGGAGAGTCGCAGCAGTCGAAGACGTGTCTCCACCGAAGTTGTATAGGCCCCGGATACCAAGAAGTCCTCCATCCGTCGAAGCTAGTCCTTCAACCCCGTATTTACCCCTGTCGTACTGAGCCAGACCCAACAATGTACCGCCATTCCGCAAAGAGCGTTCACTAACAGCAGAGAGTTGAACCTGCAGGTCTGGAGTGAGACGCCGGATAACCAGCCCCTCGAGAAGCGACCGTGGCAGATATAAGCGACCGTAGAAGAGCGAGCTTCCATGCCGGTCTGGTATCCCATCGGTGCTCGATATGGCTGCGGTTTCAGCCGGCGGCTCCTCCGTTCCCCAATACCATTGTCGTCGGTCTCCTGAACCAAGATCGTGTAATTGGCGATAGGATCGTAGGAGAGCCGGTAGCGGTATCCGGTCGGATTGGGCAGCGATACCAGTTAGGGGAAGCGTGCTGTGGAGGTACGAGATGGAGCCATCGACGATGCCGACACTACCGAGCTGGTAGCTGGTCGCAAAGTGGGGGGTTGCGAGGGAGGAGAGGGTCAGACGAAGGCCTCGAGGGAGCGGGAAGTCGATGAGCTCTGCCCCGAGTGTTAGACGGGGGGCGGTGGGTGCCAAAAAGAGGGCGAGAACTTGCCTCTCGCTGTAGCATTCAACTCCTTGTACGTGTTGTCCTCGTTCCAACCCGTTGCACTGTAGAAGGCATGGGTGATGTAGTACATGAACTCGCGCATTTTCTCAGCCCCTGCGTGCCAGCAGGATTAACCTGTAGTGTCACCTTTGAGGAATCATTGGGAGGCTGAAGATTCCAAGCTTAGACTTCGATACTTTGTCACATTTGTCGACCGTGGAGTTGGGCTCAACTGGAAGTTGTGACTGATTTACATCCTTCTCCGCCTTGTTCCCAGGCACAGCCAATCGGCAAGCTTTGTTTCCGCGGCTGTGGATCCCATGTCCGGGCCGCGGTGGAGCCTGGCATCCAACGTTATCCTCACGATCACAGACTCAACGCTACAGACCAACACCATGAATCGTATCCGCTGCAATCCATGATTCTTGGTTGCATATGCCTCTCTGTATTTCAGCTACCACGCCTAGCTCATGCCCATGTCCAGGTAGTTCCTGGCCCTCTCCACGTGCTAAGTGCCTAAGACTATCTACCTAGTTATTACCGCACTTCGTTGCCAATAACAAGCGAATCCTCCGAGTTCAGCCAGCCTATGCCGCCTCGCCGAAGCTGTCGCGGCCGCTCGCGAACACTTTGTCGAAGTCGTACTCAGACCAACGGATGTTGGGGTTGAGGCCAGCAAACTTCCATACACCGTCGACCTTGCGGTAGTAGTGCGTATTATAACTATGCGCGTGGCCCTTGACCTCGACCTTCTGCAGGCTCGAGTCAGTGTAAACCTGGTGCGGCACGCGGAGCTGGTGGTGTCCGATGATCTCCGTGTCCGACACCTTCTCCCACTTGCTGGCGCCGCCGATGAAGTGCTGGGTCCGCAGCAGCGGGTTGCCCAGCACGGATTTGTCCGAGATCATGGTGATGAACTCCTCGGCCGGCATGGCGTCCCACAGCTTATTGAGGAATGAACGGTAATCAACCTGGCGTCATTCCATGCCACGGTCAGCCGACTTGTCGCATCAGTGATCTTCGTTGGTCAACACATACCCGAAGGGTTGGAGCTATGCACTTCCTCAGGCGGTCCCAGTCTTTTGAATCATAGCTGTCCGCCCACTCGAAGGCCGCCTCCGTACAGCCGAGGTACTCTGCCATTTCTGTCAACCAGACTCCTTGGATCTGCACGGAGTTTCGGAGCTCATAACGGACCTTCAAAGGTAATCTGCTGCTTGTTGCTGCCCATTTGTTCGACTTGTTCGGAACTGTTGGGGTGCTTATTTCGACGTCTTAGAGTTTGATCTTTTCGGGGCCAACGTTCATCAGCGGAAAGTCCAGTTGTTTTAACCGCCCACTGGGTACGGCACTTGCTCACCGGGGACGATTCAGTACTTGGGCTCTTGCACTTTCTCCGTTCGGAGGTCGGTGGGGATGTGCGGACGACAGCCGCAGAACAGGCAGGCACGACCCGGTCCCATGGTCTTTCAGGACCGGACCTGGGCCGTGTCCAGTCCTCTTTCTAAGTCAATCACATACCCCAGGTAGTATCGTATCATCCAGGGATCCAGAATGCTTAGCTCGCCACTTCCTTTCCCAGCGTCCCTTGAACATCCGTCATCTCGTCAATACCTTCCATACTAGGTAGTAGCTGCAGCGACTTCACCCACGGAGTCCCGTAAGCCAGGCCACCTTACTTCCGACATTCGATATTCCCGCCCCGAAGGCTGAAGTAATCGAGGCCGAATAAGGTATACCATGTGGACCTGGAAGGCATGCCACTCAGTGCCGTCCGTTGTACATCGGGGTCCCCTCGGTTTCACTACCGCTTGGACAGCATGTCCCGGCCGGTACTCGATCTGTTCGCTAACTGGTATTCATCGACATGTGCTCCTTCCAACAACATATAGCGAAGCCGACATGACTTCGGGGGAAACCCTTCACATGATACGCTCATCCGTACCTAGCTCTCCGGCATATCAGTCGACGTGAGGCGGGCTCCATATGCTCCTCCTCGCTGCAATCGCTGTCGCAGTAGTCTTCGTCGCTCCTAGTGAAGGCATCACCCTCAACCTCGACTTCCTCAGGCAGCTTCTCATCGTCCTTAAACACGTCAAGTGCTAACAGCCCTGACCCGCTTGTCATCGACCGCGTGTGCACGCGAAGGCCCGTATGCTCCGGCTTCACCGCTCTGGTGCGGCCCCCGTGACTGCCTGACGACAGTTCCAAGGCATTTCTACTCATCAGCCGGGTGCGCTTGCGATGGCGCCGCGCTGCGGTGGCAATCGTAGCCTTCTTCGCCCCTGCTGTTGCTTCGGTCCTTCTTGTGGAAGCCGTCACCGTCTTGCTCTTTCTGGCATGCTTCCCCGTGGCCGGTGTCGGGGTCATCGTTTTAAGGAGCCGTCCACCCCATTGCCTGGCAATCTCGTTAAGCCTGCCCCAGACTTTCTCCCTCGCGACCGGCCTGCTCGTACCCTGCTTGAGCAGCATATCGTAGTCGGTGTGCACGTGCCGGATGTGTGCGCGCACCGCAAGCTTCACTTTGTCTTGCAAGGCCAGCTTGCCGGCCCTGCCTACCCGACGACTGTGCTTCTTGAGCGCATGCTTGAGGATTAGCGGGATTTCGGCTTTGGGGATATCGGGGAAGAGCTTCAGTAGAGCTTCCTCAAACTTTTCCTCGATGGCGGCGTCCCGCTTCTGAACGGCTACTGCTCGCTGCGCGGCTGTTGTCTTGTTCTGGCTCCTGACGGTTTCGTAGATGTGTATTGGGCATCGCAGGCCTATCGGCTTGTTCCTGTCGTCGAGTACCACATACAGGGTCTTTTGTGCGTCGTGCGTCAACTTGCGGCAGTACTTGGTGATATATACGTTGCCTTGAGGGACGAATCTGTAGCCCCTCGGCATGGGATCGTCCACCCGGGCTTCGGGATCGTCAGGGTCTGCTGAAGCTACCATGATCCGGTCCCATCTAGGTTGTTGTGCAGTGTGGTATGAACTTGGAGCGATTTTGTAGCAGCCTTTCGTATAGGAATTCACCGATGCAATAGACAGTGTATCTCCAGAATTGCAGTCCTGTACGCGAGCAGCTGTCCCTGATTCAAGAGATCAACATCGGTCTCGAACCCCAAATTGCAATATGGTCTCCTCAGCCTCGGTTTTATGCTCGCTCACCTTTGTTATCCATTAAGTGTACCATCATACAACAAAGAACACAGACTATGCTCGATGCCGAGAATCGACCCAACAGACTGTCATGGGGTCAACACACTGCTGACAGCGACATCGCGGCCGAGGAATGAAATCGGTGGGGACCAAGACAGGAGGGGGAATCGTTTACACTCTTTGTTACAGAATTAACCGGTTCTTAAATTTAGCGCCATTCCCTGGAGCTGGCAGGCACTTGAACAAGAGGTTCTTTGTATTGAGCTATTGACATCTCGCAAGAGACCTTATCGGGAAAGATTGTCGAATCCAAGAACCAGGAACATAGGATGTACTTGTACGTGTACATACAATGACTTGGACCTATCTCTGTCAACCCAGGCGAAGGACCTGAGACCAACGACTACAGCTGCTCACACTGGGCTAGTGGTGCTGCTCGCCGTCAACACGATTGTTGGTTGCGTTTTACCGGCTCGATAAGCATCAGATGCCTGACCTCAACTTAGGTGGCCCTCGAGCTCACCTGGTCACTGGGCATTCATGAACAATGCTCTCGTCCTGGCCTTCATCTCCTCATAGCCCCTTTTCCACTCTTCGGAGTGCGGCAGCATCGGCGGCTCGCCGAGCTCTGCACCGTGTTTATTCACCCAATCCACCAACTCTTGCACATAGGCAATCTCGTGGCCCGGCGGGTGCAGAGAATGGAAACCGCGGCCATATCCCTTCTCCTGCACTCGCTTTTCATACTCCCTCCGCATCTCCTCCCGGGTCGGCAAGGGGGCCTTACCGGCAAAGACTCGCGCAACGGCCTGTGCTTGGAAGTCGAAGAGGGAGAAGGTCGCAACATGGTAGGGCACGCCCACGAAGGCCAGTGTCGGGTCGCCGATGTAGAAAATGTCACGGTGAAGGTTGTGTGCCATGTCGCCGTCTGAGGTCACCACAATGTCCTCGCCAGCCTCGGTGATGTGTGTGGTGTCCGAGTGGAGCTGGGGGAGGAAGGGGTAGGAGGTGATGTATCCGGTGGCTACCACCAGGCGGTGGATATTGTCCAAGACTTGCCCATCTTCAAGCACGATGTATCCGGGTATTGGCTCGCTATCCCCAAGAGGTTCGCCGCTCCGGCGATTGTCGTCGTGAAGGGCAAACCTTCTGATCTGGCTGACTCTGACAACGTTTGCCGGCAGCAGAGACGCAGGAAGGTCAAACTTGCCGCCACGAACACTCTGGTACGTCTTCTCGGCCACACCATCAATTTCCCTGCAAATGTCTAACGCAGACACCCCGGCGCCCATAACAACGACGTTCTGGCCCCGGTACCTCTCCGGGTCTCTGTACTGCTTGGAATGGATGACTCGGCTCGGGTAGCTTGCCTTCCACTCCCGCAGCCCCTCGATGCCCGGGATCCGGGGCATGTTGTAGTGTCCCGAAGCCACAACCAGCAGGTCAAAGTGTGAGATGTTCTCGGTGAACCGGGCTCCGGCCGGCCCGGCCCCCTTCTCCAGCGTGACAGCCCGTACCTCCCACTTGAGCCCGTCCGGTGTTTTTCGAACCTCGTCCACTCTGGTGTGAAATAGCGTGACATCGTCTACTCCGTGATTCCTAGCTAGCGTCTGGATGTACTGTTCGAGGTGCTTCTGGCCGACGAAGGGCTCGGTTCCTTCGGGCCACGGGCCCAAGACGCTGGCCATGAGGTATGTCGGCACGTTGTTCTTGAGGCCGGCGTAACAGGGGCCCGGCGGAGCAAACCAGACCTCTGCATCGGCGATATCCGTGCTTCCTCGTATGTCAATGCCGCTATCCCCGTCGGTATCGTACTCTGGGGGCGGCGTAGTGCATGCGAATTCGCCGCGTGACGAGAGGTGGTAGTCCCCTTGCGAAGGCATGTCGTTGGGGTACGGGGGATCCTCTGCAATCCGCTCGTCGTAATGCCAGACGCCTCCGGCGACCCCTGATCGTTCATACACGGTCACATGCAGCCCTTGTTTCATCAGATGGGCCGCGGAGCAGACCCCGCTGATTCCGGCACCGATCACGGCTACCGTGCGGCCCGGGCCGAAAGCCCGGTGGCGAGATACAGACATGAAGCTTGGGAGGATCGTCTGAATCAGTCTGTTTTGAGGACGAGGATGTGGTCGTGGTCAACCTAAGAACAAGGACGACGTCTTCTGTGCCGTCATGACCTTATCATCCGATCTCCTTGCCCTAGGTGCGATCAGATGACGTGAGTTGACAACCCACTAGTACCATTCGGCTATCAAATTCCCACGGCGGTCACTGTAGCTCACAGCCCATTAACTGGATGCTCCCGTGGGGGTTCGCATGGAGTTGATAACCTCGGGTTATCTGCTCAGCCTCTCGTTGTGTGGTTCATCCAATGCTCGTCTCAGTTTCCACAGCACACAATGTTAGGAGAGCATGGCGCCAGCGGTTGTATGCGACATGTGAGAGTAACAAAACAACCACTGGGCTGTTCCATGTATGTCCATCGATATCAGAATCGCCGGTTTGCGTAGCTGCGGACGGCATAGTCGTTGAGTATAGGGTACTCGCTACCCCGCTGTGTGAGGTGCAGTCTCGCAATATGGGATGCGCATTGGGTCATCGATAGTCTGTAACCGTCTGTAACCATGCTTGATAATCAGTCACGAAAGCCCGAATCATTCCCGCTTGCGGTCCGAACGTCGATTCTGCGATAAAAGGGCGAAGCAGCCGCTCACCAACAAAGTCGGGTATGACTCGGATGCTCACTTGGAAGAAGCCAACAGCTTGAAATCGTACCCGAGGTCGACGGCAACAACATACACACCGAATACCACCGCCACTGCATAAGATGGCGCCTGCAGCGATTGACGAATCCATCGTCGACACCGTCCAGCCGAGGAAGGACACACTCACCCTCCCGGAGGCAGCTCGCGAAAGGCTAACCAAGGCCGGGATTGATTTATCCAACGGCTACCCCTTTCGACCTGCCGTGCCCATATACCTGCAAGACGTCTACAAGATCCGGAACGAGGAAAGGCCTTACGAAGATGCTGGGGCAAGAGCCGACAAGTCCAAGAAGCACCTGTTCTCGGCCGCCACGAAGGTGACGGATCTGACAACCCACATCGGGACAGAAGTAGAGGGATTGCAGCTCAAGGACCTCACCCCCGAGCAGCGAGACGAGTTGGCCCTGTTGATTGCGGAGCGTAGTGTCGTCTTCTTCCGGAATCAAGACATCAGCCCGCAGCAGCAGAAGGAGCTCGGCGAGTGGTTCGGCGAGGTCGAAGTCCATGTAAGTGAGAGACGCGCTTCCGTTGCCTTACATTCATAATAGTACTCTCGACTGTCCAGGAGAGTGGGTCACTAGGCTAACGTCTGGTGCCGTGACAGCCCCAAACGCCCCAGGTCCCTGGAGTGCCCGGCGTGACGGTCATCTGGCCGGATCTTTTTGCCCAGGAGCGGGAAGCCAACTTCCGCAGGCCAGGCGGCGCGTCATCGTGGCACAGCGACCTTGTGCACGAGCGGCAGCCTGCGGGAGTCACCCATCTGCACAACGACACCATCCCGCCCGTCGGGGGGGATACGCTCTGGGCGTCGGGCTACGGCGCCTACGAGAAGCTGTCGCCGGAATTCCGCAAGCTCATCGACGGGAAATATGCCGTCTACCGCTCTGCCCATCCATACCTGGACCGTGAGAACCCGACTGCCGGGCCGAAGTACATCGAGCGTATCCACCCGCTTGTCCGAGTGCACCCAGCGACGGGCTGGAAGGCGCTCTGGGTCAACCGGGCCATGACCGTACGCATCGTCGGGCTGGACAAGGCCGAGAGTGACGTCATCCTCAACTACCTGTACGACGTCTATGAGAAGAACGTCGACATTCAGGTCCGCTTCAAGTGGACGCCCGGCACAAGCGCACTGTGGGACAACAGGTGAGGCAGGAGATGAGATGACAGGTCGGGCGCTGCATGGAGGAGTCGAGACTGAACCGTTTGACAGAATTACTATCCACAACGCGAGCTGGGACTACGGCGGAAGACACCCCCGCCATGGCACTCGCGTCACGTCACTCGCCGAGGTCCCCTATTTCGATCCCAATGCTCCCACTCGGCGGCAAGCACTGGGCTTGCTCGATGAAGATGAGAAAAAGGCCCTGGAGCCAGCAAGCTAGAACGAATCACGAGCAGTGGATGGAATCGCCAAGCGGTAGTTTTTGAGGAGGTCATCGGAGATCTGTTGGCAACTTCGGAAGCTGGGTGCTGAATCTTTTTAATCGACGCTCCCTGGATGAAGGCACTTGGCTCTCATGAAAAGCGCCCTTTGAGCGTTTCGCCTGTCAGCTGCCATTTCCTCGTATCCGGAAGACGCGTACTTGCGGTCATAGTGGTCTGATATAGGATACAACTCAGTTCCACAGACAATGGGGCGCAGAAGACAGTCGGGATGTTCGATGAGGTGAATATCAAATTGCTGTTCCATGATACCTTATATTGCAAAAGGCAGGATAAAACGAGAAGGCGCGGAAAGGAAGATGGCTGACTTGACTCTCCTTGGACTGTGCGAGTTGCTGGATTGTGATTGGTCAATGCCAATGCTCACTTGCAGTGTAAGGCAGGCAGGCGGCGTGGGTTTAAGAAATGCGCCGAAGTCCCACCTCATTTGGGCGGTTGGCGAGCCGTTGCTTGCTGTGCGTGTTTCAGCTTCAAGCCCGGCTCGACGCATACATAGGTGAATACATCCAACGAAGGATAGTAGCAGTTCGGTCCGCATGGCTTCCATCCGAGTGTTGGGAACAAAAACACCGCAACTCCGTTCGTCTGCTCCAAGGCTGGCAAGTCACAATGACCGAGTCAAATAGTGGGGGCCCCGACACGGATCCGCGGGACTTCGCGACACCATCTAATCCTCGCACCGCACAATCGGCCGCACCGCTTCTCATCACCACCCAGCTGCCCGGACAATCAGACCAGAATAGCAGCCGAGGCAGCTCCCACGTACACTATGCGCCCAACGCCAACATTGCGCGGCCATTTTCGGGGACACGGGCGGCGCCCGAGGCCGCTTTCGCTCGCTCCGATACGGAAGCCGCTCTGAGTCCCACCATACGGCGTCGGCCAACACGCGCCGGAACATTTAAAACGGTAGATGACTTCCAGGATCTCACGTTCAGACCGGGCTGGCATCGTATGTCACCTGCTATCCCCTTATTTGCCAATTCGTCTCCGGCATTGCTGACTTTCGCACCTTGTCGTAGCCGGCGCCGAACCTGGCGTGGACCCAACGAAGCCCGATGGTGGTCATGCCTCCATGCCGACAGTGAGCGCGCCTTGCGAGATTACAATCGTGGATTTCTCAGACGATAATCTGTCCATCAAGAGACTCGATAACGGGACGCTGGGCCCGTTCCTCAGCCAGCCGCAACCTAGCTGGGTCAAATGCCGCTGGATCAATGTCAATGGTCTCAGCTGGGATGTCATCCAAGTGTTGGGCCGGCACAAGAATCTTCACAGGCTAGCGCTTGAGGATATCATGGACACGCAAAACAGAACGAAGGCGGAGTGGTACCCCACGCATGCCTTTCTCATCCTTACCCTTCAAAAGCTAGTCCATTTGTATAACTCCGATAGTGAGGATTCAGACTCGGAGGATGATGACCAGAGCCAGAAAAGCGGGCGTAGTAGGCGAAGCACCGGTCCACGGAAGTTGCTCAGGCGGCTAAGGAGAACATTTTGGGGCGAACGCAGTGTTGACGGGGAGAAGGAGCTGGGAGGTGATAAGATATCAGATTCTGGGGATCTGGGGGGATACCTCCGATCACACCCCGCGGGGATATCGAAGGTCTCGAAGGATCTTAGTCAGCTGCGCACGCTTCAGAGGTATCGGGCATCGCCAGATGACCCACGGACACAGTACATGGAGAAGAACTCCGCCCTAGCCTCCCGGAACCTCGCCGTGGCCTGTGAACAGGTAGCCATGTTCATCACCAACGACAACACCATCATCAGCTTCTTCGAGCAATCGGCGGAAGATGTCGAGGTGCCCATCATACTGCGCCTCCAGACTACCGACACCATCATCCGGCAGTAAGCTTTACGTTTCCACCCGTTTCTCTCATAGCCCGCAGCGGACTTGACGGCTACTAACGCGTTGCTGCCGAAGGTGTTGCGATGCTTCTATGGTTGGCCAAGCCATTATAGATGCCATCATCGATCTGGCGATCCCGGTCACGGCTTGCTACGGCGATGTGATCGGAGACTTGGAGCTCGATGTTTTGAACCGACCGAACATTGGACATACCAAGCAGCTTTACATCCTCATCTCCGAGATCAACAAGATCCTGGGATTCATCAACCCCATTACATCGCTTATCAATGCCCTACGTGAGCACGAAACCGATGTCGCACCGGATGCGGTCATGGCACATCTGCTCGATCCCACACACGGAGTTATCATCACGTCCTTAACCAACACCTATCTCGGAGATGTCCTGGACCATTGTGTTTTGATAACGGAGACGCTCAACCAGCTCAAGGGCTTGGCCAATGGAATGATTGATCTGATCTTCAACACCATCTCGGCGTATCAAAACGAATCCATGAAGCAGCTCACGCTTGCCACCATCATCTTCCTCCCTTTGACATTCTTGACCGGATATTTCGGCCAGAATTTCAAACCGTTCACTGTCCTGGACGAAGATATTGGCTATTTGTGAGTGCCGCCTCCTGACGGCCGCTGCTATTTCAGTCCAAAGTCGCTGACTCCCAACAGTTGGAAGATCGCCATCCCCGTGGTTTTCTTTACCATCGTCCTCTTGCTTAGGGAAGCAATATACGATTGGTGTAAGACATTACTCCAGCGGCGCTACATTCTGCACCTCAAAAAGAGCCGACCGAGGAGTCGACGGAGAAAGCGCTCTTGAAAGTCTTGCGATTGGTGTGTTACAAGGGATTGAACTCTGCGAGCGAGTTAGCGCAGCCCAGGTCGTGTTCTATGGTTAAGGCTCTCGTGGCCGATGACGAAAAGGCGCGCGGTGACGGCTCAGTCGGTAGCTGCGCGTGGGTGGTCTGGTGGTAGAGACAATCGCCCCTCGTCAAGACAGGATGATGTCTGTCTAGTCAACCCAGTGTTCCAAGGGAGTGGGTAGTGCCTTTGAAGGACACTACGTCAATGTCAGCTACCTAGCTAACAGGGGTTCGGCTTATGGAGGTATGTATCCGTACCGTACGACACCAACCACCTCACTTCCAATGTTTGGTTCTGGCGGGTCCTGAGCCAAGCAGTACCGAACGACCGGCTACGCCGGGAGCTTTGGGCCGCTTCGGCAGTCAATCAACGCCCAACAGCAGGCTCGCGTGTGCTGCCGAATAGCAGAAATCCTTCCTGCCTGCCAGCCATCAAACCGCTGCCAACATATCACTAGTGTAGGTACATACACAGTTGGCGTGCGGCGTCGTTCGAATACGAGGTTCTCAGCCGCCGATCACTCCCCCGCACCCCGCATCATCACCAGTCTCCGATCTGCTCTTTGGTACGCAACGACCTTGCTACCTCAACCCGGCTCACCGCAAAGAGTTCATCGGCAGCCGCACGGATGAACCTCGTATCACGAAAGTGCAGCCATCATGAGATGCTAATTTAGGCGCATGGCGCTTGCATGCACCGAAATGCTGTCTGAGTACATGTACCTTATTGCCGCTCTGGCAGGCCAATGTCCTCTCATCAAGGGCTCCGGGGACTAATTGACCCAACTCGGTCCTCACGAGACTTCAGCACATACGAAAAGCCGCAGGGAGGCCGAGTACCTACTCGGTCTCGCTATTCCCGGTCCTTCGCGATCCTGCCCAGAAATGTCCCTTGTACGATGATTTCATGCGGCAACCGACGGTTAACAACAGGGAACTAATAGAGGCCTGGGGCGTAATATAAATACTATACACGGTTTCCCAGCTTCCCGCTTAGGATCCGTTGCTTGACACTTGCTTTGACGCCGTACAATACCTGTTCGCCTCGAGCATTTCCCCTTCCTATTGCAGATCCCCCCCGACCGGAACAGTGTGACCAAACAACAAGTACAACACATTCAATATGACTCGGTTCACTATGGCTGCTGCCCTCCTTGGGTACGCTAGTACGGCCCTCGCTGACCTCCAGACCTGCGGTCAAGCACAGTACGACCCGGCTCAGGTAAGTAATACAATCAACACCATCGCTTACACGAACAGTAGGGGGTGGTGCTAACATGGTTGTCCCGTAGTATGTCTGCTGGGACAACCAGTTCCTCTGCCCCATCAGCGCGGGCGAGCCGCTGTCCAACTGCGCCGGGGCATGCTACAGCAAGTTCATGTACACATGCGCCAGCAACGTCCTGACGCTCCTGCCGCCCGTCGACGCACCCTTCACTCTCAGCGTTGACAACCCGAGCCTTCCCATCCACGGCAAAGCCGTCACCGCGGCCGGGCAGCACTGGCTCCTCGACGGCGAGACAAGCAGTTACTGCCCGGAGCAGGTCGGCTCGGCCTGCCCGCCGGGCAACACCACCGTCATCGTGGCGAGCGAGGGCCGCGCAGCCATGAGCGTCATGGTCCCCGGCGGCCAGCAAGCGTACCTGGACCCGTACTGGAACATGGCTTACACCCAAGCGCACTCGGCCTACATCCCGTCCGGCAGCATCACGACCGGCCTTGTCGCCTACCAGGGCGGCGGCTTCATCAACCTCAACGGCAACGGCTGGGGGTGGGTGGCCTGCCCGCCGAGAGCCTCGGGTCCCGCCGGCACGGCCTGGAACTTGGTGGCCAAGAATATGACGAATGCCTACATGCTCAACGAGTGCTCGGCGGTCAACCTCAAGGTCAACGTTCTGCCCGGCGGCACGGTTGGCGCTTGGCAGTACACCTAGTGTCCGTTCTCCGGTTAGTTACCTCTCCAACAAAGAAACGTGCTTCTTTGCCGGTTGGCGGCGTTGGATTGGGCTCATGACAGGGGCGTTCAGTTTTGGTTAAAGCGGGAGTATAGGTAGGCAGGGCATGGTTTTGAAACATACTCTAGAGTAGAAGCAGTAATTTGAACCTGGTTGCTCGGCTGCCGGTCACCACTGATAATCAACGAGTTACTTGTGCTCACCGTGGGCCCAACAAGTCAATAGCCCAGCCTCATTGAGCGCAGCACTGAAGGCCTGACTGAGTTGATGAGCATGTATTGTACTGTACATACATGTTCATACCGTGCCGTCTGGTCAAGATAGAGTAACAGGCCTCCTGAAGGCTGCGCGTCCCCGGGATCTCCAAACTTTCTATCCAATGGCCCCCTGCAGCGCCAGTTGGCCGGCCATCCTCTGCTTTCGAACCCGACAGGCGAAGGACCGATACTGAGCGTGCTTGGCCCTGGCGTTCCCTGCCGGTATGATAACCACGGATACCGCAGAGAGATCTGTGCCAGGTAATGATGCCCATCTGGCCATGCACGATGTCGTCTATGTGATCTATCCTCTATGACGCAAACTCCCATCTCACGATCAAGCCCATCTTATGTCATTCCAACGCTAGTTCGACGGACCTCTGGGCACTATTGCAGCCGGAATCGAGGCCATCACTGCGGGGTGAGAACCGCTCGTCCGGTAAAAGACTGCAGGACAATTCGTCAAGTATCACGGCCTAGGCGTTCCTCGTCGTCGTCCCTAAGCTCATATGCCGGCCGGAACTTGCACCTATCTCCGCCAACGGCGAGGGCTGGATTAGGGCGAGTGTCGGTGACACCGCCTAGCGATGTGAACCCACGGTTGTATAAGTCGCAAAACGGTATCTGGAGGTGCCGGATGAACTGTCCAAAAAGTCAGCGTCGCAGTCCTCTAGCCGGTTCTCCCGCCAGTTTCCATCAACACGGAGCACTCGAGGGCAAGAGATATTATGACCCACCGCCCAAATCTCGACGTAATGCCAGTCAATGACGGGGTGGACGCGCATGAATTGCGGCCAGCCCTTATCGGTCGGATCGAAGTGCGTGAGGAACTCGCCGTGTGGATCTGTCCGCCGTGTACCTAGGAAGATGGCCTTGATAGCGGGTCTATCCTCTAAGTAGGCATCGAGAGCCGGCCGCATGGGCAGTGCATAGCGCTTGAGGTCGAGGCGGTACCCTTCTGCAGATTGGGCCACAAAGTCCTCCACTTCTGGGAACGGATGAGGTGAGACTATGTATATCGCCTGGAGGGGCCGGTCGGAGGCAGGGGCAGTTGATGAGGGCATGAGATGATTGGGAGGTTCAGGCGCCGCCGCCGTGGCTTCGGCCGCACGAGGTGGTGGCGAGTGCGAGTGCGAAGCGGATCGCGGCAGGCAGGCCAGTATCAACACGAGGAGGACGAGGCAGTCCTTGCCACCGTTGTACGACAGGGACAGGTGATCGAGCCTTTGTGAATCCAACACCGGATTAGCCAAACTTGTCGCCAACTCTGGGTGCCGTCGGCCCCGCCTCACCTCGGCCATGGCCAACACAGCACCTACCCATACCGGCGCAGCGCCTCCTGAATCACCCCCATCGACACCTTGACCTGACTCTGCACGCCGCGCAAGACATCGTCTTCGGTTTCCTCGCAGAGGAATGCATCAATCTTGGCTTGCAGCTCAAAGCAAATTTCCGGTAGCGTTCTCGTCGATGAGCCACGCGTCAGAGCCGCCGACCTGTCCGGTTTGGCTGCGCCATTGATCCGCACATCCTGGCCCTCGCAAATTGTGTTCTCTGTCATATCTGCATTTACAAAAGGGATGTCTGCAGGGAAGACAGCATGAGAAGGGGAGAGCGGCCGGCCGGTGCGAATTTCACTCGTTGAACTTGCCGTCAGCTGCGGGAGGGATGGCTTTGGAAGCGGGGGCGGGGCAGAAGGTTCGCAGAGCCGCATTCATCCGAGCCTCCATAATAACATAAGCAAGACCTGACTAGCACATGCATAAACAGCCCGCCCACATGATGATGTAGAGAGCACCCTTACACAGAGTTTTCTTCACCGCCTATATATTACCTATTATTCTTCCTACACTGTTATACTTACTTATTAGGAAGGCACATCAGACTCTCTGCTACTATATATAAAAGAAAAGCTATATAACATAGAACGGGTAAGAATATCAATCAGAAGTAATTAGAAACTTAGGTATAGGATATAATCCATTATAAAATAAGAGAAAAGTACGCTAGAGAGGATTTAAGCCTATAGTAATATAACTATGACGGCATCATCATTATAATGGCACACTCATGATTCATAGCCGAGAGAGGTTCTAGGACTTAAGAATGGTAAGTAGCTCGCAGCAGTGAGTGTTCGTATTACTCAACAACTAAACCATGAGGAGGAAGTTCTCCTCCTCTATAAGGCGTTTCGCCCTAGTATCTATCTAATATTAGATGCTTCTCGCCACTATACCATTATGCTCTATAAGGTTACTCCTAATTTCTAACTCTATAATATTAATAATAATACTAAGTCTCCTCTCCTTAGTCATTGAATCCTATATTAGTAATTTATATTCAAGATATAATATATTATAGATATATTATGCTATAATTAGTTATTAAAACAATGCTTCTTTTGTTCTATTAATAGTATAATACTAATTTACAATGATATAGTACTAATTTATAATTATGCTCCTTTTATTTCTAAGTTAGTATAGTTCTTACATATAGAAACTTTATTTATTTATTTTTTATTATTGTCTAACGTACATTATAAGCGAGCCGAATATATAAGCGAGCTGAATACTGTCCACTACTCTATAACAACTACTCTCAATTGCAATATAACAACACTAAAAACCAACTACAATTACATCAGAAACAGATGAATCAGACTCTTCTGCACCCTCCTGGCAAGTGCGGGCATTATGGCCAGGCTTGCCGCATATACCACAGCACCGAACCTTCGTACGACCCCCCCCAGCACCACAACCATCCAGCTGTATTTCTTGCATTGCCTCCCCATCTACAGCTCCCTGGCTTACCACTTCCTGTGCCTCCTGCACAGTAAGTGATCCTCCAAGCCACACACGTGTTTTTTTGGCTCTCCGGCGCTTGCTTAGCGCCTCGTTGGCCTTGCGGAGCGAAGACACCTCTGCCTGAAAGAGGGCTACCTGGTGCATTATAGCCATCGTACCCTTAGTAAGCTGGTCTACAGCAGCCAACATTGAAGTCGGAGAGCTATTTTGATGGTTAGCAATGCGAGTCTTGATAAACGTTGACTGTAACTCGGCTTCTTGAGGGTTGTATGGTGTCTGGAAGACCTAAGATTGTACAGTGCCTGGCCGTGAGGATGGGGGTGTTGGTGTATGAAGCTTGATATCTAGCTTCGAAAGCACCCTCTCTAGATCGTACGGCACAAGGCCAGCCCCTGCAAAACCGCTCTAGATATTCCTCTTGGTGGTAGAGGCAAAGAAGGCTGCGCGAAAGGCACAAAGGAACTCGAGCTTGCTTACGTGGTTGATATACGCGCGCATTAAGTCCTCGATCTGGCGACCGTACGCCTGCTTCAACGGCCCAAAGCAGCTAACATCAAGTGGCTGGAGGAGGTGGGAGGAATGTAGAGGCCTACAGAGTGTGATAATGTTGTTCTGCTAGCAGTAGAGCTCGAACTCGGTTGAATAGTGGCTTTCATGGCCATCGAGGATTAACAACCGGTATTTGCCCTTTGTCTGAGGCGCTATATAGTAGTCGAAATGCTTAATCCAATCAAGGCCTATTGCATTGGTAGTCCAGCCATTCTCGGTAGTTGCAATGCGCCAGTCGGCTGGGAGGTTGCACTCGGTATACTAGTTGGCGAGGTAGTACTGTGCGGCTAAGATAATGAACGGAGGGATAGCCCAGCTAAGAGCATTGACGCCTTAGATCACTGTTGCCCATTCGCGGTTGCCAGGCTAGGCCAGCTTCGCCTTGCCACGGCCATCTGAGGTTGTAACTACTATACCCGGAAAGATAATGCTCATTATAGACCCAGTTTCATCGAAGTTATAGATATCGTCATCTATAATGCCGTACTTAGCCTTAACGTTCCGCACAAGAGCAAACCATTCGCTAATAACCTTCAGATCCTCGCACTTGGCCCTCTGGTAGTCGTATCTACGCGTATAACGCGTCTGGAGCTCTGGCTGGCGTTTGACAAAGTTTATACGCCCAGAGCTTGCCGACAGAGGGCGCATCGTGTACGCATAGCAGTTGGTTAGCTATATCTTCTACACCACGTAGTCTCGGCGGAAAAGCTCGCTCAGATAGCTCAATTATATATTGAACAAGAGCCTTCTCTTCGGAATCGGTAAGCCGGCGCGAGTTGGGCGTAGTGTCGCGTCGTGCAGGTCGGCCAGCGCGCCGGTCGTAGAGGGTCGTAACTAGCACGTTATAGAGCTTGGCTACGGCTCGGATGCTTAGTTCCTTGTCGTTTTGAAGAGCTTTGAGGGCTAAAATTACCCTGGCTTCCTTTGAAGTAGAAGACATGTTGGGTTGTAGAAAAACTAATGTTTAGGTGGAGGGAAGACGGGTTGTGCCAAGAAGTGTTCGACTCGCTTATATGTTCGGCTCGCTTATAATGCACGTTATTTCTTTATTATTAATTCTCCTTGTTTTAGTTATACTTTGTTTATAATATCCTAGTTTATACATCTAGAGCTTTTTATCTTTAAAATATATAGGACTAGAAAACTTATTAATATACTCTATCTTAAGATTTCCCTTAAGATATCTCTTTAACTTAGTATCTTATTTCTTATTAGTATAATATATCTTAAAGAACTTTAATTAGGCTCTTTCTTTAAGTTTAATCTTATAGTCCTAAAGTTTATAGTCTAGTAGCTTTTTAAAATACTTTACTTTAAATACTAGGTATCTTTATATTCTTTTTTATACTTTATTAATATAAGAATTTATCTCTAGTTATAATACTAGCTATTTGTTATAAATTAACCTGCAAAGGCCGGTGGGGTCGATCTGTATGGTCTATGGGCAGCGCCCGCGTCCAATCATTCTGGTCCCGGAACGGACCAATCAGAAGAGGATCACGCTCGGCACAAGAGAGGCTTGGTGATCTAACTACGAGACTCACAAAGGATCACTAGTGATCCAAGGTGATCCAGTATAAGGGATCACCAGAGGTGGTCAGTGATCTACAAGAAACCAGTAGTATATAGGATAGCTAGTCATTCGTTCTGGTGGACTCAGGAAGTTCACCAGTAAGCAATTATTTCAAGCAGTAGCCTTCACCTACTGTATAGACATTGCGCATTGCATTGTTGTGAACCCTTTGGCTTCACCAAGACCTATAGTCCGACCAGCAGTACCTTCGACCGGCGAACCCTTTCAGAGGCAGGACTGCCTATGGTTTCGTCATACTATTTCTTTCTAGGGAATTTATTTCTAAAGCTTAAATACTTTATATATATTAATTAAAATAATAGTAATTTCGATATTATCTCTATTTCACTAGGCTATATAAGGGTAATATTATAAGTAATACTATCTCTAGCCTAGCCTTATTAGTTGTTGCTGTTTATTTTAATAACCATTATTTTTTAAAAGTTTATAATATATTATCTAATATTATCTATCTTTTATAATAAATCTATAAGAACACCTTTTATAATATTGTATTTTATTATAGTTTATTATTTATATTTCATATTATATGAGTTACATATAGCCTTTACTTTTAGGGTTATAGGTAACTATCTTTTTCAACTAATATCTAAGATATAATTTAATACTGTAGATATCTTAATATTATATTCTTTTTAGACCTTACTTTAATAATATTTAATAGTTCTATCTTTTATCATATCTATTATATATTAAATACTCTTTTAATAATGTACTATTTCTTCTTTATCTTTTATAGTATTCTAAGCTAATTAATAAATATGGGTAAAATAAGATTAACATAACATTCTTTATCTATTAATATTTATCTAAAATATATTCTAGTATATTATAATCTAAATCCTATTATTAGGTTTATTATCTTAAATTATAATAATCTTCTTTGTACCTATTACAAGATTATAGATTCTTTACTTTTATGTAGTTCTTCTTATATTTATAGATTTATTATTATTATAATAGAGTTAATTATTTCTAGGCCCCTTAAAGAGCGCTAAGCCCTTTCCTAACTTTGCCTAGATATCTAGATACATATCCCTATTCGTCAATACTTCCTAGTTACTATCCTATAGTCTGTCTTAGAAGTTCATCAAATAGTCATTGTATTTCCTTAGCTCTTCTAGCCTCTAGCCTCTTGCTATTACTTATATAATACTATTTATCTTTATATATATATCTTATCATTATAGTACCTTTAAAGCTTTACCTTTATATAGATTAGATAATCCTTCTTCTTATGTTATTATATAATATTGGTTTATTATTAATAGTTTTCTAAATAAATTCTCTATAATTCATTCTAATCTTATTATATATACTAACCTTCTTAACCTTTCAAAAAAGGTTAGGTATTATTTTTCTATATCTTATATCTAAGGGACTAGGTAGGGTTTTTTATCCTATTTAATAAGCTTATCCAAGGTAATTGTTAAACTTTAACTAAAACTAATATTAACATTTATATATAATGTACTAGAATTATATAATATAAATATAATAATATTATTAGGGTTCGAGTTAAGTAATATTATCTTGTAGGGTTTATAATATAATCCAAACCTAAGCTAAACACGAACTATATCATTGTCTGTAATATTAATATATAACTTC